AAGAGGAATGTTATTGATTAGTGGGATTATGACAACCTGTCGTCCCCTTTGGTATTTGAAACCCAAATATTGTTAGGTATGGTCGCTGACCTTCAAGGATTCAGATCCAAAGCAGCAACACTTTGCTCCTGACCTCCACCCCAGCGTTGTTGAATTTGCCCCCATGACCTCTGTCCACATCCCTCCCACTGGGCTGCTCGTGGTCTCCAGTGTGACCCCTGACCCGCCTCTGCTCCGCTGAAGCTTGACAGCCTCCCAGAAGATTTTCCTGCACCTGGAGAGCAACGAGCAGAGCTAATGTGAAGCGACGGATGACATTGACTTAAAATCTGAAATGTATTTCTCACTGATCACTTTTTCATCTTGTCAGCTGTTCTGATTTCGTCTTTCTTTTTTGTTTTCTGTTTTCTCCTCACAGGAACAAGAACGACAGTGTTTGATGATGATAATGGACGTGTCATATAGGGGCGGAGTCTATCATCCCCTTGGTGCTGTCAACATTTCAGGGGAACGAGAGCCTGAAGCAATACCAAGAAAACATGCAGAGGAACCAGGCTGTCGGATCAACCTCTGTAAACAATCCAGACAACCATATTCCATCCTCCAGTCTGAGTTAATCTCCACCTGCACATCCAGGGAGAGAGCTGCAGTCTCAAATTAGCCATTCCCCACAATATCTGAGGCATCAATTTAAGTCTTTGTCAGTAACCCACAGCCGCCTCCAACAATAGATGCAGCCTTTACCTCTATTTGCACCTCCAACCTACACCTTTACAGCCTTGCAAGAAACATAAAATCACCTTCACCCGCAGATTGGTTTAGCTGCAGTTTAAACCTCCACTCCAGCCTCCATCTGAAGATTATAACTGACAACTGCAGCCCGAGCCTCCAGCTAAAGCCGGCTGCCCCACCTGCAGTTTCAGAGATATCCATACCATATCCAACTCCATCTGCAGCCTTTGTGGTGTTTTGCACCTTAAAGACCATGCCAGCTATCTGCAGCTTTCAGTAAGCATCATCAGTTTCTGCTGTATAAAGCTGCAACCTGAATCTGCCTCCTCTGTCAGAGAGGTTTACCTCCAGCTCCACGTGACATTTCTGCTTCACAGCTGCAGCCTTGAATGCCTTTGACAGCTTGGACCTCCACCTGGCCGTTCAGATGCTACCAGACGGCTGCATCCTGAACCTTCACCTACGTTCTCATCAGCTTTTCTCTGCAAAGCAAGTACAAGAAAATCTCACTTGCTGATATTTTTTTAATGATCACCTCATGACAAACTCATATCCCTGATCCTTAAACTCACTCTTCGAAATATTATCCTGCATTGATACCTGAAGTTGCTTATGATTGTTTTCTCCAAAACAAGTTCAAAAAGAGGTCACATCTTTTACTAAAGTAAAGAGAATCTGCTGGTAAAAGATAAGGCTGTAAAACAGTGTTTGCAGGAGTAAAACAAAAGGTCTTTTTGACTTATATCAGTGTTTCCCAGCTTTTCATTTCTGACCATAATTCAGATTTCACTGTCATCTCCCATTAGCAGCCTGCTGGGATTGATTTTTAAACAGCAGTTGAAGGAGATTTGCAGCAGGGGTCAAGCCCTGATCTTCACTCTAAGCTCTTAAATATTGAGTCGAAGGCAGACCGAAGCAAAATGCATACGCCTGCAGATGAGAAAACCATCAATGATATAGATTAACCTGAAGCCATAATTACATTAGGCTCTATTCTTGTCATTGAAGTGATTGTTGAGTCACCTACCAGGACACAATAACACACACCAAAGCTCCCATCTGCTTGTTGTCCTCGGAGACCTCTGTCATCCCTGATAACCTCTGTCCTGGGAACACAAAAGACAAATAGCCCCAGCTGCATGAATGTATTGTTACAAATGAGGAAGAATACCAGTGCATCCAGTCATGATGGTGATGTGTATGAAGCCTTGGGTTGTTTTTAGCTGCAAAGAAGAACTCATAAAAACTGCAGTATATCTTTCAGGATGGGTGTAAGTGCAGGGCTAATTAACCATTTTTCAATCTTTTTTCTCCAGTATAAACAAAAGGGCCTCAAGGTCATCTATATGATTTCAGTTACTTGGCACACATTTGTGAAATTAATAAATGTGCAGCAATGGCTACATGCATTTCACTTAAGCATGTGTGGTCCATGTGAGAAAGGCTGAGTTATCATTATAGGGAGCAGCGGTTTCACATTTCCAAAGCTTCCGCACATTTCCACTGCAAGTCCCTCAGATGCTGTGAAGCTAAAATGTCTTTCTTATCAATCTATCACTGCAGGAGGAAAAGCAGTAACATTATAAGTCTTTCCTAGCAGTCAAATCTGGCCTCGCACAGTCTGACTCAGAGGTCACACACACCTCAGAGTCCTCTCATTTAAAGAGGTTTATCCGTCAAGGGCGAAAAGCTAAAACAGACTTCACTGTTGTTATTGTCACATTAATGACTGTTATAGCAGCAGTTACCCATAAGCATCAATAGATGGCATCAAGTCTCTTAAATGAGACAGTCTAGTAACCAGAGCAGGTTTCCTCAGCTGCCCCTGGCCCAGGTTAAACAAGGCCATTAAAAACAGGCATAAAAAATAACCATCTCACTTTTGAAACTGTTTCTCCTTGGGTTCTTAAAACATTAACTACGGGTGAGTATTTCCCACAGAGGAAAAGTCAGTGTCCTGAAAGCTGAGGTGAACATAAAAACGACCAAATACAAAGTTACTGTCTGGAACACTGATTCATTTATTTCTGCAGACCGGAGGTGAGGACTTATGAGTCCTCACCTGAATTCCTCTGAGAACATTTTTATGATTATTTCAAAAGACTAATTGCCAGTGCGCCTGACCAGTGACCTGAAAACCAAAGCTCTACGGGCTGCTGGATTTTGAGAAATATATATTTATTCCCTTCAGTGGTTCTTATTCTAACCTGCAAAAGTGAACATCTTTTGAACTTAATCACCTTGTTTTTAGATAAGAGAGTCAACTGCATCATTTTATTTACAAAAGAGATGTCGTACGGTTTGAAATGAGATGGTAAAAGTCAGGAGACTTGGACTTAAACTTTATGAAAATGCACATTTTGTTTCCCTTATCAAACTCAATCAATCAATCAACAGGCTACCATCTCAATGGATGGATAAACTAACTCAGAATATACAAAACATCTTTGAACTACATGAAAAACAAAAATGCCCAAAATGTGTTTTCTTTACTCAACTTATTTACTATCCAGAATAAGACCCATCACATTATCTTTTTATGTTAATGTTATGTTTATGTTCATCTAAAAGGCTGGTTTAAGTATCACCAATATGCCTTAATGTTCGTATTTTGACGAATAATAAAACGTTGGTGGTGCACATAGATCGACCACTAGAGGGCGACCAAACTATAGTTCCATTTATGAAAGTCAACTGTAAATAAAAGATTGACGGTTTTATTAACCAATGCCAGGCAGGAGAATGTACTGATTGACCAATGAGGTTACGGGATTAATGATCCCGCCTACCGAGCGTCTGAAGCTGACCGTTGGTGCACTTTTGTGCAGTTTTCACGTTCATTGTTAAAAAGACTGTGTTCTACGACATGTAAGTTATATTTTTAAGTTTTTAACTATAATCCGTTTTTTCTTGGTCAAGATGATACAAAGTCGCTGATTTTCTTTCTATTAATATTTCGTTTTTAATCAGTTTCTCTCTATCATGTCCGTAGTGAGTCTTTGTTTCGCACGTGCTGCCGTTAGCTAACAAAGTAAAGGTTAATTTGATTTAACGGTTTTGGCCGGTTAACAAACCGGTGCTGTGGAGCCGAAATGATGTCTATATGGCTGTACAGTCAAAAATATACTAGCCTTTTAGCCGTTAATTAATAAAAAATTCAAGTAGTTGAGGGAAGTGTTAATAGTAGACCATGAGGCGCCATTATGGCTCATATTTAAAAGCGCCAAAGTTTAACGTTATTAGCCGGATAGTACCTATGAAGGTGAAAGTTAGTAAGTCTGTTTTTGTCTTAATAAGTTTATTCTTCATTTTTGACTGGTTACAACAAGCTATGCGGGTTGTTGGTTATGTAAATTTAATATGATATGATATGATAAGTTTTGGTGTCGGATTTAGGTCCATAATTAGAGGGTCAGGAGAAGAGTAAAGTTATTACAGTACAAAACCTCATCTGTTTTTAGAAAAAATATAGTGAGGCGCCATCATCTACAGTAAGTAAACCATAAAGGATAGGGGAGAGTGGGGTCAGTTGACACACCCCCTGTTGCTTGGAAATGGTCAAAGAAATTGATCATGTGACCAAATATTTAGGAGATGGGCATCAAGTCATGGAGTCTGTGAAGGTTAGAAGCACATTGGTGAAGGGGTTAGACATTTATTTATAAAAAAAAAATTCACTCTTGAAAGTGAATTTAGTCTGTTATAAGTTTAATTAGAATTGTGTTCAGACTAAAAAAGATCATTTTAAATTTGTTTTATACATCAATTGTGGTATCTATGAGCTACAACATGAGGTCAAAAACATAAAAGTCCACCATTTTAGCTTAGAGGACCAATAAAGTCATCATAGTAGTTCAGGGGTAACTGAAAAAGTAAAGAAGTCTGATGAAAGGATCAGAGTTTCAGTTCAGATTGTTGAAATGTCAAAAAATGGCTCATCTAACCCTACTCTCCCCTATCTATCAGTCAGTGTTAGGCTTAAGTTAATTTATGTTTTCTCCTATTTATTGCATCTCTATTCCATGTTTTGTGCTGTATGCAGGTATAGAGTTTTTTAAGATGTTAGTGTAGTGAACTAAACAAAAATTGGGCAACCTCAAAAATATGTCAACACTTAAACCTGGTCGTTGTTATTTTGGGGTCACTCTTATCAGGTAACAGGTATCATAGTGGATGGTACCAATAGATTAAGTCAATGTTCTGCTAACCTTTGGTTTCTTTCTGCTGTCAATCCATCTTGTGTTTAGTGGTCAGGTTAAAAGTTGGATATGGATCCAAAGGTGCCTCCTGACCTAAGCAGTATGACGGGCGTTCCAATCTGGGGACGTGGACGAGCACAACAGCTCGAGGAGCTGGCTGCAGGACGAGGTAGGGGGCTGCTGCTCCCTGCTGAAGGGCCTGGTGGTGGACGAGCTAGAGGTTTTCTTAGTTCTGGCGATAACCCACAAGGACGAGGAATAACTCTATCAACGAGTGTACCTATGGTTGGAAGAGCTAGAGGATTACTTCTCCAGCCAGACATTGGAGGACTTGGTAGAGCCAGAGGGCTGACCTTTACGGCAGCTGAACCGAAACCTGGGACTGCAGTTCTGCCCTCTTTAGAGTCTCAACTGCCCCAGCCACCTCCATGTGAAACCAAGACGAGAGACCAAGAGGAGGAGACAGCTTTGGTGAGCAAAGAGGTCGGTTTCTCAAATGTGTCCGTTGTCATATGTGGTTTCTTTTATTTTTCTCAAATAAAATGATTTTATGACTTCTTTTTTGCTTACAGGTTGACATGCCAACACAAGGCCAAGGATCTTCACTGGTCTCGATGTTTAGAGGGATGGGATTTGAGCCCCCAAGGACGTCATGGGGTCGAGGAACTCTACCAGTGGGTCAGTGTTTCGATCACGTTTGTTTTATGTCAGGGTAAAAATATTAGATACAACCAGGATTAAGTCTTGGTTGAACTGCTGTACATAAATAATGTCTCATTGTAATATTTAAGGGTCCATCTTTGAACTATCACAGGTCATGCAGTGTCAGTCACATGGTATTAAGTACAAACTAAATGTCACATAAAGAAAAAGGCAGCTAATTAATTGTTTGGAAATCTCTCATTAGTTTAAACTTACAGGTCATACTAATCGGTGTCTGTAGATTTTTGCTCCTGTTTTCAGCTTCTGCACTCTGACCTTTTGCTCCCCCACGAGGTCATGCTTTGTTTTCTTTTCTCTCTGGCTGTGGAGTTTTTAAAGATGTATATGAAATCAGTGTGATGTAAGAAATCTTCCTTGTAAACTATAGACCGCTGGGACACAAAAACAGGGAGTAAGTGGCCTCTACATGGGCTGAGCGTTTGGATCATCTGCTAATTTGTATTATTTAACATTTCTGCATATTGAGTTGAATTATGTAAACTGATTTGTTTCAGATCAAGAAGCAGGGGGAGATATTGGAGATGGGAAGATGCTGGGTCCCCCACTTGGTGTCATCAGCGGCCTAGAAGGCATCGGCCAACCTAGGGAGGGGATAGCTAGAGGTCTTAGGTAAGAGAATAACTGAATGAACTGATTGAAATAATTACCTTCATCAAGGTCTAACCGACCAAAGCTTGCTTCAGTAAAGCCCTTCTTTTTGCAACAGACCAGAAGTCTAAAGATCTTTGACAAAGTTATTGAACCATTTTTTTTAGCCTTTTTGGTCAGGCGGTGCTTGGGCATGGAAGAGCAGCAGCAGCAGTTCCACAGCTTGGTGGAGTAGGAAGAGGACGTGCTCTTCTACCTTTCCTTCCTCCAGGTCCACAACAGTCCTTTTCAGCTGCTCACGCACAACAGACAACCCTGCTGAGCGCGCAGATTCCACAAGCAGGTAAGTATTTGTGGAAATTGCAATGACTTATATGATGATTTGCATGAAGATCATTTCAATATTTTGCCTGTGAGATTGAAAGACTTAAAAATTTCCATATTTTTTAAATGCAAACAATGTAAAACAGGAGTACCCCAGATTCCCGCTGCTCAGGAGGTGCTGGAGCAGCCTTCTGTTTCCCCACTACAAACGGAGCTGAAAATGGAGGTGATCCGGTGAGTACATTTACTGTTCTGCTGTGATTACACCTCTAAAAGCCTCCAAACACCAAACTGACCCTGCGTTCTCACCTCGTGTCAGTCGTTAACTTGCAGGGTCGCGCTACCTCACAAGATGATCTGATTCAAACCTCGACGGCCACAATCTGATTCAAGAATATATTATGAGAATAAAGAATTGATTTGGCTCAGATTCAGCTCCATTAAATGCAAATTAATATTTGAACCTCAGGGTTTTTTATGTATTGAGTAGAAAATGAAAGAAGTATTGTGATTGATAATGTTGGTATCAAAGCAGAGGTTTTGTTTTTAAGTCCTAACCTGGTGAAATTTGTCTTCCAGCTGACGAACAAATCACTTTTCTGTGAAGCGTGCAGATTTTTGAAATGTTTTCCATCCTTCTTATCAAGTCAACATGACATGATCAATGATGATTTATTGGTGCTGAGGTGGAGATTATTAGTCTTTTTGTCCTGTATCCTTTGGCTTCATAAAAATGTAAATGTCGTTTCAAAATCAAAGAGACTGACTGCTCCTCCCTCTCTGTTCAGCGAGCCTCTGAATAAAGCTGGAACAAAAGGGGCTCCTGTAACTATCGGCTCTAACCACATCCCCATACGCTGCAAGAATGAAGCTGTTTATCAGTACCATGTCACGTTCAGGTTGGTATCATGTATCACTGATACGTTTTCCTGCATTATGAATCAGTCTATAATTTGAGCTTAAATAGAAAACCCTGTATGGATTCCCAGCTGTCATGTTTATCTTAAATATTATCTTACAGTCCAAATGTTGAGTCCATGGGGATGCGTTTCGGCATGATGAAGGAGCACCGCTCCACCACAGGGGAGGTTATAGCTTTTGATGGCTCCATTCTCTACCTGCCTGTTAAACTTAAACAGGTAGGAGTCAGGGAGTTTGGATATGAACACCTCTGGTCTTTTACTTTATTATCAGAAATGCTTTTAAGTGAATGGATGATTTAGCTCCACAGAATACTGATTGTATAAAACTGTTCAGTGCAGAAGAATTTCTCTGAAAAAAAAAAAAAAAACGGTCTTGATGTTTTCTTTGCTGGTCATTTTATTATGATGGCGCGCAGGAGGTGCTTCTCCAAAGTATAAGAAAGACAGACAACGAGGAAATCCAGATTAAAATCCAGATGACAAAGATTCTGCCGCCCCACTCGGACCTGTGTCTCCCCTTCTACAATGTGGTGCTCAGGAGGTATTTTTGACAGTGTTGGATCAAAAGACTGAAAAAAACTATTAAAAAACTGACTGTTTTCAAATGTTCATAGATGGTATTTGAATAGACAACATTACTTGTATTTGTAGAGCTTTGAATCATTATATCACTATTTATCACAATTTGTTTCTTCAGGGTTATGAAAATAGTCGGACTGAAGCTGGTGGGACGAAATCATTACGATCCAGGGAGCGCTGCCGTTCTTGTAAAACATCGGTAAGTTCAGGTTTTTTTCTCCCAGCAGGGGGCAGATGCCGGCTAACTTGAGCTCCTCTCTGCCCGGTTCATTGTGTTATAGTATTTTGTATGATCTTGTAGTCTGCAGGTGTGGCCTGGATACTCAACCTGTATCAAGCACACAGATGGGGGTCTGTACCTGAATGTGGACGTTTCTCACAAAGTCTTAAGGAACGATTCAGTTCTGGATGTCATGTAAGTTCACCAATCATTACGGATTGTCCAGATACAGCCACTTTGCATTACATTCTCTGTCACAAGGTGATATGTATGAAATGTTGCCATGTAGTGTAAATGGCAGACACAAAAGGCTTTGCTTTCTGTAACAGTTAATGGTACAGTATCTTGCACAAGAACACCATGATTTGTAGACAGAAGGAGCTCCAGGTAGAAATTTACATGTTTGAATTCAGGAAACATGGGTGGAAAGCTGGCTCCTACTGATAACGCTTTTATAGGGAATTGATGTCTCTTAGCCGTAAAAGTATGGATACAAATACTCACAGTTTTTGAGTCACCAAATTTTCTCTTGGTCTGAAGTTTGTTTAGAGTGATTTTTCTCTGCCTCAATGTGCATGGAAGACAGTCAGAGGTGCAATAATACATCTGTTTCAAATTTGCAATCAGATAGTGCAGGGACATGCACTGTGTGGATTGTTGCATGGTACAACTCAGTAGTAGACCTTCACAAACTTAGACCAGCATCTACAAAAGATATGGCAGCCAAACTGACAAGAAGAAGAGATGAATAGAAATTGTTACCAGCTGAGCAGCTGCCAAGGTTTAGTTTTCACAATTACCCTGTGACTCTAAAATCATGAGGTTGACCATGAGGTTTTAAATCCAGTCTAGAGAGTCAGGGCTCTGGTTTTTGGTGAAGGGAATCTGTAAGTGTGGCGTGCTGTATTGGTCATGTCCTTGCTCTCCAAACACTATAAAAGAAAAACTGTTTAAGCCACAATAATCATGTGTGGGGTCAACCGTCAGAGTGAGCTAAGAGCTGCAGGTTTGAGGATTACAATTAGTGTCTTTCATTCTGTCTCCAATTCATGTGTGGGCACAAAGACCAAACCAAGCAGAGCGATGTAAAAATACATTTCACTTTGCTGTATATTCATGTGTATATTCATGTATATTTAACAAGCCGTTTGCAAGATGGTGACGTTGTTGGTGTGTCTGTACTCCAACCACCCTTACCCTTACCTCTGCTGGGAATGTGGTTGGATTATTGGGTGAGTTGGAGGGCAGTAGTCTGACTCGGAGGGATGATTGCATTTATATATTATTCATAAACAAACAGCCTTGACCCAGCTTTGCTCTCTGTTTAAAATAGAAAGGTCAAAATAAGACACAGGGCCTCCGTAGAAAAGAGACAAAACTGACCTTCACCCCTGCCGTCTTCCAGGAACACGCTGTACCAGCAGAGCAAACAGAACTTCCAAGATGAGTGCGCCAAAGAACTCCTCGGCAGCATTATCATTACTCGCTACAACAACCGCACCTACCGCATCGACGCCATCGAGTGGAACAAGTCGCCGAAAGACACCTTCACGTTGATGGATGGCACAAAAACCACATTTGTGGACTACTATCGGTGAGACTGATCCGTCCACTAACTCATCAAACTTTTAAAAAAAGTGACGATAACAGGTGGTTTTATTTTTTACGCATGGGCCAGAGTTTGAGTCAGAGTAGCAGTGAATTTGTGTTGTATGTTTGTTGGGAGTTTTTAGTTAATTAGTTAATTAATTCTCATTACATTGCCTCATTCAAACAGAAAGAACTACGGGATTGAAATCAAAGAGATGGACCAGCCTCTGCTCATGCACCGGCCGAAAGAGAGATCCAGACCTGGAGGGAAGGTAAAACCTGTCTGAAGCTTCATTGTTGTCATATAACAACCACTGCTTAGCAGACTGTCTGCTGCATGTCTGACAGTCGAGACTTGACTTGAACTCCTGAGTCAGATTGCCATCTTGTGGCTGCAGCAAACTTTGCATTTTAAGTCTGTTTTTATCACTTTGGTCACCGAGAGACAAAATGAGTTTAACAACATCTTTTTTATGTTTGACATAAAGCTGTCCCATCATTTTAAGAGGTTCTCTTGTACTTACTGTAGGAGCAGAAGACCCACTCAGGCATCAGCAGCACTTCTGAATAAATGAAATGATTTCAGACTTGACTGAGTGGATTGTTGTGTGATATTTTTCATTATTACAGCAAATCATCACGGGAGAAATCCTTCTGGTACCAGAACTTTCCTTCATGACAGGAATCCCAGAGAAAATGAGGAAGGACCAAAGATCCATGAAGGTAAATCTGATGAATTTGTGAATATGTAATGCTGCTTGCTGACTCACTTAAGTTATTTTTAGTGTCACTTTTTTTAGCAGTCACTCCTTTACCGTTTTATTGAAATGATCTTTACCCTGGAGGATTTCTGTGACAGTAACGGGTCACCTTCACTCGCTGTCCCACTTTTAGCTGCGTTGGTGACACCCACTTAAGTTTTAGTGGAGAATTTTTTTCAATCTTAACAGTCAGGTGATTACCTTAACTAGAAAAAGATTCAAGTTTGCAGCTCACTGTTATAAGCAGAGGACAGTAGAAGGTCAGAAACATCACCCGAAACCGTAAGATAGACTCCAGCTGCCCAAACTTCAGTGTGAAAATTGGAAATTAGGGAAGCAATGAGGTTGATTTTATTGAGTGAATTTTCTATATCGTAGGACCTGACCACGCACATCAATGTGAGCAGTGATAAGCACACCAACTCCATAAGACAGCTGCTGAAGAACATCAGCACGAACCCCGAGAGCCTGCAGGAGCTCAGTCGATGGGGGCTGGAGATCGGCACAGATATCGTGTTGGTAAGGGGGGGGGGGGGGTTGTTAAATTGAAATATATATTTTTAACTTCAGCTGTCATACACTTTAGAGTTGGGACAAGAAAGTGGTTTCCCCATTATGCTTTCCTCACGTAAAGACAGTATTAGCAGGTTTGTTTCCTTACTCGCAGGTTAAAGGCAGGACCCTCCCTGTTGAAACCATCTGTTTGCAGACCTCATCGTTCCTCACAGGTCCAGATTTGTCCTGGTCTAGGGAGGTCGCCAGGGAAGCTTCAATCAGCTCTGTGAGTGTTTTGGAGGAATCTGTGGGATTCCTGTGGGCACCCTTTTCTGTGTGAGGGAGCGAGGAAACATAATAGTCAAGATAGCTGCGTTAATTTCAAAGTTTTCCTTAGGAATTACTGTTGTATTGTTGTGTCCTATGTTGCTCGTTCTGCCTCTTGATTCTGCGACTCAAGTTGCTCTGCAGAAGCTTCAAAGTTTTACTTTTTCACCCACTAACCCCTCTCACTTTCAGATCCCACTGAACATCTGGGCGATCTTCTACCCTGGCCGCTGTGCGGAACAGGCCGAGGTGCTGGTTTCCACCTTTAACAAGGTGGCCAGTCCCTTAGGTGTGAAACTGGAGCGGCCTATTCATGTGAAACTGAGGGATGATCGCACCGACACTTACGTCAAAAGCATCCACTCACAGCTTACCAGTGAGGTATGACAATAACAACAAATAAAAGTATAATAACGAGGAATTTGAGACAACTCGTATTTATAAAATTTACCAGATTTGTCTTCGTTCTTTGAGTTTGTCTCATTGTTATTAAGCTTTTTAGTGTACAAAACCACTTTTGCAGAACGTCTATAAAGTTATCACACAAATGAGTGTTAAAATATAAATAAAGAGGGAGTTTTCCCCCTTCTCTTCCAAAAAAAAAACATTCAAAGGAGGAGAGGTATTCACTTAGAACAGCATTTACACTGTACCTATAAACTTCTAAATAAGGACCCTGTACACTGTAGCTGTATTTACTGTTTCTGTTTTTACCAGTATTTAGTGTTCCAGTGTTTGGCACAAAGCTAATCGTAACAGCTGCACAAGTGTGACTGTATGTGAAAAGGACCAGAGCCGAGATGCACCTTTGTCTATTGTGTTTGTTACCATTTCACATGTTTAAAGCCAAATATGCAGCTGGTAGTGTGCATCCTGGTCGGCAACAGAGATGACCTCTACAGCGCCATCAAGAAGCTCTGCTGTGTCAAAAGTCCAATTCCATCTCAGGTTTGTCATGACGTGTTTATGCATCACTGAGATTTTTTTTTTTTGAAGATGGTATCGTCAAGGCTCGTAACAGAAGATCTGTGGTTTGTTTGTTTCTTTTTTTTTGACGTTTCTGGTTTTGATTTTGTCCTGGTCACAGGCCATCAATGTCAGGACAATTTCCAACCCACAGAGGCTGAAGACTATTGCTCAGAGGATCCTCATGCAGATGAACTGCAAGTTAGGAGGAGAGCTGTGGACTGTCAATGTCCCTCTGGTGGGTGTCAGATTTTATTTGCTAGGGCTGGATTATTTTGGAAAACCTCTTTATTGTTGTTTTCTGATCAGTGATATGGTCCTTGTTGGTCTGAAATAAACCATAACTCTGCTTTTTTTTAGAAACACTTGATGGTGGTTGGAATTGACGTCCACCACGACACCAGCAAGGCACGTCAGTCAGTCATGGGATTTGTTGCAAGTGTGAACAGGCAAGCTCCTATTTCAGCCTTGCTTTGTGTCCATTTTTAATCAGTGTGTTAAGTAGATGTTTATAATAATCATTTGATGAGACAGATATTTCTAAAGATGTCATCTGCAGCCTTTAAAGATAAGATGGAGACACACTGTATGTCACTTCCTCGTGTTAACATTGGTGCATTGCGTCTCAGCTGACTGGGAGCTCCCTTTCCTTTATCTGCAGTTCTCTGACTCGCTGGTACTCCAGAGTCACTTTCCAGGCGCCCAATGAGGAGCTGATTGCCGGCTTCAGGGTTTGTTTACTGGCCGCTCTGCAAAAGTACTACGAGGTGAATGTTATAATAAATGCATCCCCTTTATATGTAAACCTGTAAGACTTTTAATAGATGTTTTCTTACTTAAATGCCACCCTGAATGCAGTCGAATGAATATTGTTGTTGATCCTGCATCTTCTATAAATCCTGTGAATGCTCTACCACGCAGGTGAACCACAACCTGCCGGATAAGATTGTGGTGTATCGGGATGGCGTGTCAGACGGACAGCTGATGATGGTCGAACAGTTCGAGATCCCACAGCTGGTCAAGTGCTTTGAGACCTTCCCCAGCTACGAGCCCAAGCTGGTCTTCATCGTGGTTCAGAAGCGCATCAATACTACGCTCTACTCCTTTACCTCCAACAACTGTGTCTCACCTCCACCTGGAACTGTGCTGGATCACACCGTGACTAACAGAGCCTGGTCAGTCTTAGTCAAGTTAAAGACCCATATGCAATATTCAGACTCATTCATGGTGCTTTCAGGCCATCAAAAATGTTTCTTTCACTGTAGCGGTCATTTTTGTTTTTTCTCCATTCAGGATGGACTTCTATCTCATGGCACATCACATTCGCCAAGGTTGTGGACTTCCTACACATTACATCACACTGTACAACACAGCGAACTTCACACCTGACCATCTGCAAAGGTATGAACCCCATCAGCACGCAGATTCTTCCACTCAGTCATCATCTTGCTTCAAGGGGATCTTTAACTAGTTCCTAACTCATTTAACATTCTCACTCTCTTCCCAAACCAGGCTGACCTTCAAGATGTGCCATTTGTACTGGAACTGGCCAGGCACCATCCGAGTCCCAGCACCGTGCAAGTATGCCCACAAACTAGCCTTCCTGTCAGGCCAGTACCTGCATTCAGAGCCAGCCATTCAGCTTTCCGAGAAGCTCTTCTTCCTCTGAGGTCCCAGCATACAGCAAAACCAGATGTGGTAAAAACCAAAGATTTACAGACTGACGTTAGTGTCTAAACGATAACCCTTCATTTACAGGGTTTTTGCAAGATTTGTGTATGTTTTTTTTTTGTTTGTTTGTTTCGTTGTACACTCAAAAGAGTCTGCAGAATTCAGGTAGGGGTGGGTGAATGGGTTGGACAGAGGTATTTTACCCCAGAGACTGGGCTTTGTGTTCTGTGAAAACTGAAATATTATTTGAGTCACACCATGTTTTTGTTTTTTTTTCTCTTGACTGTCAACAAGCACTTCTGGTTCAGCCGAGGAGACGGAGAGGAAAAGTGTTTATATAGAAAAAGTTAACAAATCAAGGTTACAGGTTACAGTTACATCATAGAGTATTAAAGGATGTTTGTGTGCATTTTAAGTTTGCTGCAAAAAAAGCGTACAGTTGGGCTTAAATTTTATGCTTTTATGTGTTTTGTGTTCCTTATGCGTGAATGTTCTTGACAGTTATTTTATTTACAGCTGTATACTGGTTTTTTTTTCCTTCAGCTTTGTTAAAAACTTGCATGAAAAATAAAGCTGGAAACTACTGCTGTCAATTTCAATGAGACGTGTCTTTTTTTTTACTTGAACGCCTTAAGATAGACCACCATAATCATTCACAAATAATTTTCCTTGGAATTTCCTTAAAATTGTGAAATCTGGCTGCTATGTCTCCATGATGTTTCCATTCAAACATGACTTGATTTTGGCACTGCAGCTCTTTTCTCCTGAACTTGGCTGATAGGTAAACATCTAAATCACACAGTTACGTCTCAAACATCTCTAAGCCATGTTAAAAGTTTAAGTAACTTAGAAATACATTCACCTTATTGAGCTGGAATTGTTCTTATGTGTTGGGTTTCTATGGTCTTGCCCTTCGTGTGGTTCTTTTTTTATCTTATCTGTAATTAGTTTGCTGTCTTGGCAAGCTCTTACTTGGAAAAGAGATTCTGACCCCAAGGGACTTCCCACTTAAAAGTTAAATATATCCCATCGGCCATGGGAACCCTTGGCGATCCCAGCGAGGAGCTGGAAAATGTTACTGGGGAGAAAAGCATTTGGTTTGGGCCAACTTTCTCTGTCTGCATGTGGATGTTGATCTGTGATGGTGCTGTCCCAACTCAGATAAGATATCTACACAAAAACATATCACCACTTGTGTGTGTGAACTGACAAAGAGAGCATTGGTTGTTCACCTCCTCCTTACCACCTGTCTGTTAAACCCATATTAGCTAAATAATGAACTTGGTGCACTAAATGAGACCACTCTTCCTTTGCTGCTGTCTTGCATATTATATTTATACTACACATTTTCTTTTTTGAGTTTCCATCATCTTTAGATTAACTAATTATTTGTAATATCATACACCAAGTCACATGTCCAAAAAAACCTAACTCAAAACGTACCTTTTTAGTCTTGCTTTTAACTAAATTTTATATCATTCACTTTAAGTGTTTTAGCATTTATCTCTTTCTAGTTTTAATGACAGGATCATCTTTTATTGAGCTGTTCTCTGACACGTAAACTATCAGCCGGTTGGCCATGTTGGATATACCGGTGAATCTGACGTCGCAACAACACAGAATCCGATTGGTCAGATGTGGACACACAGTATGCGTAACTTTAGAAAATTCAACTGCAATACGAAAAAATAAATGCTGCAATATCGCAGGACAGGAAAACGTCGCTGATGTGAGCGCTTGTATTGACAGGATACTGGTTTGAGAAAAAATATCGACATCAGAAATAATCGCAGGAAAAAAACCGCTCCCGGTGTGTAAGGATCTTTACTCTTAAATGAAATTTAAAAGTGCTTATTGGTAGCCTGTCTTTTGCAATACATAAACTACTGCATCTGTGAGATCTTTGTCATTCATTTCATTCATTCATGTTTATTAGTTAATCGTATAGTCTACCATGGCAGAATGCCGACTATTGAAAAGTATATCGACCATGTTTTATACCGATCATATACTGTGGACAACTTGGTTCCGCCTCCCCTCAGTATACGGATTGGAAGCCTAAAAGCTCTCAGTATTTCCGTGATTTTTCTTCATTTCCTAAAACCAGCGTTGCGCAGGGCATTGTGCTCATTCGGCGGGGGAGTCACAGAGAGTTGCTGTGATGACGTTCGGCTCAAACAGCGTATCCCCCCGGGGTGAGCTAGCCAATCTCTGTACGCTCATAGGCTGTATCAAGTGTCAATCATAGAAAACATGAACCCCCTAATAACTTTTAAAAATGGAGCTGAACAGAAAAAAAGAGGACTTGAGCACAAACCAGTCTTACAGTAACTACAAGTCAACATCGCAAGCAGGGGGGAGAAAAATTTATATTCTGTGTAAATTAATTTCTAAAGTTTGTCTACAGCTCCATAGGAATTGCTGGAGGAGGTGGGATTTATGACCTATACTGCAGCCTGTCACCAGAGGGTGCTGTTCTCGGTGTGGCTTCACCCAGCGAGGAGGCAGACGGCGTCCATTCTATATACTGTCTGGCTTTATCGCCCAGCCCTAAGACTGACTGACAATAACTTTAAGTCACTTTAAGGTGTCACTTCATGTAAAACATGTTCCTACTGAAGTACAATTAGTAAACATCTGTAGCTTTGTATTTCAGTGTTACATAGTTCTTGTTTGTATCTTTCTGCTCTTATTCTTGCTTTTTCTTGTTAAACTTGAGTGTGTGACTACATCTTCTAAGGATTAGTGTTTATTTTACAAAATCATATGTAGTTTTCATTGTACAAAACAACACTGAATTATGATTCTAGGTTATATAATTCGGCGTCTACATGCCTCCAAATAAAGATCCTAAATATTTGTGTGCAGCCATCCTCCTCTGAGAGTAAACAGCTGACAGGAAGCAGGAGCACTTTCACCGGAAAAGGAGGAGCAGCGTTATTGTCGATCGAGAGCTGCTGTAATGGCGGTGCCTCGTCGCTCTTCGCAGCAGCAACAACAACAGAATACTTTACAGTCCCCGCCGAGGAACAGCTCGATTTCGGGCGCACCTCCGGCCTCCCCGCCGATGGCTTTACTGACCTCGGCCGTCGGAGCCCCGGAGAACGAGCGGGAATGCAGCGGAGGGATCGAGATGGCCCTGGCCTCCCCGGACCTCCCAGCCCCGGTCCTGGCGAGCAGCGCCAGCTTCAGTACGACGACCTCCGGCGGCGGCAGCAGCAGCGTCTCCAGCCCGGGCTCCGGAGCTACGAGTCCCACTGACGGGAGCAGCGGCATTGGCGGGGCGTTCAGGGAGCTGTTCGAGGCCTGTCGTAACGGAGATGTGTCCCGAGTGAAGAGACTTGTCGACTCGGTGAATGTAAACGCGAAGGACATGGCTGGTCGGAAATCTACCCCCCTTCATTTCGCTGCGGGTACAGACGAGCTAAGCTAATAACACAACAGCAGCGCAGATACTGTATTTTTTCTGCTTTATCTACTAAACCGGGGAAAGTAGCTTTGTTAAACCGTATTATGATGACATTTTGATGTTTCACCTAAAGTATAGTTGTATAAAATTAGACTTAAGTGTAATATTATTAGATTATATCACACCTGGTTTTGTAATTTAGCATTTTATGCTAATAAGCTAAACTGACGTCCTCCAATCTGATTTAAATGTCAATATATCCTGAGGTAACCCTCAAACAAACAACAAAATAAGAGGTATAAAACTCAGTCTTATACATCTGGGATAACAGTAAAAAAATATATAAATGTACATAATGAGCATCACTTGTATTTTAGCGCAGGTCTTCTATGTTTATTTACCATTATTATGAGAGTATTTTACTGTCATTTTGGCTCAATCACTGCTAAAATGTTTCTTAACCCTAGAATATTATTGCTAAAATTGTAACACCATTACTATCAGGTGATTCCTACCCTGAATAATATACCCAAGGAAATGTACTTGTTATCAAAATATATCAAAATACATGACAGATTAAAGTAGTTTTCTTTTTATTGTTAACTGTGCAATGTCCAAAGGGAGGAAAAGTGCCATGAGGGGACCATATCAAAATGCAACAAAATAACTGAAATTGGGCATTCATGTACTAAAAAATATATGTATATAAACTGTAAACTTAGTTTCTTTTCCACCCATTCTTGGGGCATGTAAATCTTCCGTGGTGATGACTCAGGGTCCTCGGCACAATAACAGCTGCAGGAGAGAGAACTAAAATATGGCAGATTTTGAGTGAGTAAAAATGAATAGCTGACTAAAATATTTCTTATCACCATATGAATTCCCTTAAGATTACTACTTTGTGATAATCAAGATAGCACGCAAATTCCAGGACCGCTCTTACTGACCTTATTCGCCTACATGCAGCTATCAAATCCACCCAAACCTACTTTACCCTCTATCACTATCACTGGGTGAAAATCACCCTGTGAACACGTGCCTGTAGGAAAAAGCAGGTTTTGGATCAGGGAAACAAATATGCCTTCAATTATGTCAAATGTTCAATGAAGCTACCCAGAGACCCATGATACTCAAACACAACATCATGAAAATCACGATAGTGTTCTAGGGTTAAAACTAGGGTTGCAGTGTGTCAGTGTGAACTGAAGAGTAGTAAGATATACTCCTTTAGAGTATTTACTGTTAAACTTTAAAACTTAGACATGGAGAATGTGTCGTAATAATACTAACAACAATAATAATATCTTTGTACTTTTTATGCAAAGATGCAGCCTGATGTGTTACTCTAAGAAAACTTATGTACAGCTTCTAAAATTAATCATTAGTGAATATTTTTGCGGTGTCTCCTCATCGGTGTCGCAACCTTAAGTCATGTAGGGAGGGATTCACATGCCAAACATAAGGACTAAAAATGGATGCAAATTTGGCAAGCAAAACTTTCTTGATGTGTAATTTTGGCTTTATGCATCTTGAAATAAGATCCTCATTCAGATCTGTCAGCCCAGTGTCGCTTGAATTAGTTGTAACAAGATATTCTGGCAAGACAAAGTACTTGGTAGGATTAGAGTTTTCAGCAGTATAGATATCGTATCAGATGGTTGTCATGCAGCTGAGGTAAAGTTTGTATGTTTCATCCTTATTTTAGCTGATACAGTGTTAAATGTGTTTAAGTACAGTACTTTAAACAGAAAATACTTGAGTAAAAGGAAAGTAGGGATTTTAAAAACTAATCAAATAGTACAAGCACACAAAAATAAGTACTCAGTAACATCAATAATTAATGAGTTACCTTCCACCTCTGGATAATAGCTATATATTTGTGTTGTCTTATATTTATAGCAGTTTAAATTATAACTATATAAATCTTATTTTTAAGTATTTTAAGGTGGTATAGCAGGGTGGTTGTAGTGTACCTGCACCTCATTTAAGCAGTTATAGAGGGACAAACGTTAAATTTGTTTGACTGTTACAGTTATCATTATCACAGTCTGAGTTTTTGCAGTGAATTCAACACAGGAACACCAAACTGTGAATATTTTTAAATAAACAAGCCCCGCGAACTGTGGGTTATGGCTAATATGCACATGAGTTTTTCCAAATATGACGGAGCCCTGACTTAAACTTCTTTCAGGGTTTGGCAGAAAAGATGTGGTGGAGCACCTCTTGCAGACAGGGGCCAATGTTCATGCCAGGGACGATGGAGGACTCATCCCCCTGCATAACGCCTGCTCTTTTGGACACGCAGAAGTTGTCAGTCTCCTCTTGTGTCAAGGCGCTGACCCCAACGCCAGAGACAACTGGAACTACACGCCGCTACATGAAGCTGCCATCAAGGGAAAGATAGACGTGTGCATCGGTGAGGATCTCTGTTGATTACATTCACATTTTTCAAGACTAATTTGTTATTATTTACAGCTTGTGTTTTTAAAGTGTTGGAAAACTTGATGTAATTGTCTGAGAGGTGATCTGTTTACAGACCTCTGTTCTGTGTTATCAACTTAGTTGTTTTTTTTGATACAATCAGCAGCTCACTGTTTGACTGTGAGAATGATTCAGATAGTTGAACAGTTAAAGCATGTTTTTGTTTCCTCTGGACTTCTCTCACTCAGTTTTACTTCAACATGGAGCTGATCCAAACATTCGCAACACCGACGGGAAATCTGCTTTGGATTTAGCTGACCCCTCAGCCAAGGCTGTTCTCACTGGTCAGTCCCTCTTAACTGCTTTGCCGTCACGTTTACACTTCAGACATTAAGCCACTGCTCCAATGACACACAATTCTGTGCTTGTAGAGATGCAACAAATTCACATTTGACCAGGCGTTTTGGAACACCTCATTGGGCTGAATATGATTATAGGTTTGCCTGACCCCCTGCTGCATTTGATTCTATGTTTTGTAGGTTTTGTCATTGAGTAAGGGCACAAATAGCTGCAGCAGGGTGCTTTGTCAGCGAGCTAAGGCCATCTCTGTTTACACCCCAATGTTTGCACACAGACTTAGAGTTGAAACTGAAAAAACAATTCTAGAGGTCCCCAGACACCCATTTACTAAACAAACACCTGCAATCATAGCGAGCACACCTTAAAAATACACCACGAGCTAAATTGAACGTTAGGAGCGGGCATGCCCAGCCTTAATCTGATGTTTTTTTTTCCTCCAGGTGAATACAAGAAGGATGAACTCTTGGAAGCAGCAAGGTAAGTGTCACGTGTGACGGTTCGTGCACATTTCTCCTGAAGCCTGGAGACAAACTGCTTCATTTCAGTTCCCTTTTTTTTTGCTTGTGCAAGAGTAAAAAGTTCATGAAGCAGGAAAAATCTGCTTCAATATGCACGTGTTTTCAAACTCTTAGAAGAAGCCAGTGTGACTATTTTCTGAGACTCAAACTTGGTTCTCAGTTTCATCCAGTAACGCGTTCAATCACCCATGGCAGCCTGTGAAATGACATTTAGATTATGGAGTAGCGGTTCTGACTGGAGGAATACTTAATGACTCTAGACTTTTCAACCGTGTAATTACAGGAGTGGAAATGAAGAGAAGCTGATGGCACTGCTAACTCCTTTGAATGTTAACTGCCACGCCAGCGATGGACGCAAGGTAAATAATTCACACCATCCCACACCTCAGTGAAATGTTATTGCACCTTTTTTTCTTCATGTGTGCAGGGCAGCACGATCAAACTTCATGTAAAAAGCCTCTTGACCAGAACAGCGAGAAGGTCTCTGAGTCAGATGATTTTTAAGCAGACAAATAAACCCAACAGTTTTATTGTGGCTGGATTAGTCAGAGGATTAATGTCATTGGTTTTGTGGGAGGGTGTTAAATGTGGACCACTTTGGACCTACCTCTGTTTCCAATAATTCATGCATGAATCTCATCAAGCCATCGTGTCGACTCTGTTTTAACATCTAAGCCTTCACTCTGTCAGCTAATATTCAGGTCTGTGGTTTCTCCTCGTCTCCTTTTTTTATTTTTCATAAATGTGGGTCTTGTTTGTCGGGCTTGGGCGAGTTAACTCAGCATTACTTTTTGTAACCAAATCAGGAAAACATAATCCATAATCCCATAATCACGTTTTTCTGTCCCAATCTGGTGTAAAAGTGATTTCTAATGTCGAAGTGTGCCTACAGTTCGCACTCTGTCGAGATTATAACGTAGAATTTTGTGTTTATTTTGTGATATTTTCATTTTTCTCCTGTTGGTGGATTGGATTAGAGGGATAGTAATACTCAGACACGTTTTGTGTTCAGGATCATGAGGCGCTGGTGGATTTATTCCGTCTGTTTTTGAGTGTGGGTGTTTTCCTTTTTGGTGCATTTCTGTCTTTTTTTAGGTCGCTTTCACACCAGAGCTGTTTGGTCCGCTTTAAACGGACCAGAGTTCGTTTCCTCGGTTAGTCCGCTTCGTTTCGGCAGGTGTAAAAGCTCATCTGAACTCTGGTGCAGACCAAACAAGCGAACTCTGGTCCGCCTGAAAACGTGGGTCTCGGTTCGCTTGCCAGTGAACCCTGGTTCAGTTCGTGTGCAGTGTGAAAGCTCACCGGACCAAACACAGGACCAATTGTACATAATGACGCTATACACAGTGCAAACGCAGTGCATCTTGGGTAGATGAAGCACAGCGTCCCCTGTTGCTATGGCAACAAGTGACCGCCGACATTAGCAGTTGCTAGCTAGCTTAGCTCAATTGTCTGAACAACAATAACCCATAAATTCACAATTTGGCATATTTAAACAAAATCATATCACGGCTACCAACAGTCACAGTCCTTAAACTCTGAGCTCATATGTTGTAACATCTTAGATCGTCAAAGTTAGAAAAATAACAGGATCAATCCCTGACAAGCTACGATACCATTATAGGAACAGTTGCGTTCACCAACGTTGTAGCATTCCATAAAATAATGTGACGAAACACGATACAAGACGGCTAGTCCACCCCTGTTTGTTATCCGTGAGGCTACATACTCCTCCTGCTTGGTCCAATCGACGAGCGCTCCTTTCAACCACGTGATGCTGCTCGGATAGTTCGGTGCGCTTTAGAAATCACAGTGTGAAAGCAGAACCGAAACAAGTGATAAATTCAACAATGTTGCAACTTTCAGCTCCCCGAACGAGCCGAGTCCACTTGGTCAGGTGTGAAAGCGACCTTATTCTGACATGCTGTTTCCTCAACTACAAGCTTTTTTAAATGTTGTAATAACCTTCCTCACAGTGCCATCCATATCCATTGTTGCTAACGATACAAAAACATGATTTTATATCAGCTAATTTTAACCCCCATTTCTTCCACAGCAGTTAACCCTGCCATCTCTGCAGCGTGTTTAGGGTCTGCATGATCTAAGCCTGTAATCCAGTGTAGATCTGCTCTGGGACTGAACCAGCACGCATCATTTTTGCCTTTTTCACAAAGCCACAAAGAAAACTGATGAGTCCCATTTAACCCTGCAGCTCAACTTCCCCCTCTCTGGCTTTGTGTCTCATTTAATCTGAAACCACATTTGACCGATCAGACAGAGATTTTGAAGTCTAGACTTTGAGTTTTCATTGGCGCATGGAGAGAGAGGGAAAAACAAAAAGACTTGCTGTGAAAAAAAAGATACTGTCATTTTGTAATTTTTGTTTCGTTTTGTTTTCCGTGTGACTCTGGCAACATTTGTCGATCAGTCAACATCCCAAAAAATGCTGGTAAGTCGACCTTGATAACGGCCACTTGATTGATGCACTGTTGTGATCTCTTTTTTTATTCGTTTGTTTCATTCCTTTTTTAATCCATTGTTTTATTTGACCAATAAGCTGGCTGTCACTTGTTAATTGCACATCATGGACCTGGGTGTACGGGTCACTCATGTATCCTACCCTGATGCTCCTCTGTGTGTGTGTGTGTGTGTGCGAGTGTGTGTGTATGCGTGAGTGAGTGAGTTGGGTTGGTGTCATGGTGACGAGTCATCTATATGGATTTGGAGGAGCTCATAATGTCCACTGCCTGCTCTCTTCGGCGTCTGTCCTCTCCTCGCACACTCACCCACACACTTCTCCAACTTTCAATCACTCGCTCCTCAGTCAGTCTCTGATTTTGGCTTTTTGTTTTTTTTATTAATCATTGGTTTCTTTTTTGATGGTCACTCATGCATGCCCTGAAGGCCTGCCCCCTCTGCATTTTGTCAAGCGAATCCTGAATATGTGTCTGTGAAATTTCTGTGTCTAATGTTCGCACCAGATCAGTTGTTATGCAGTAATGAATGGACGACATTTTCCACCTGTCATTGTAGTCGTGCTATGCAACCCTCCGAGTAATGACTCATGACTGCTTGTTGTCATCCCACGCTGAATGATGCCTCTGTGATTGGACTCACCGTTCATCTGATTTTAACGCTGTGGCTTGAGAACTAACCGTTTGTTATATGGTTAACATTAACACACCACTGCATGGAGACTGAAAAGAATGATACTGCTGCTTAATATGATTGTGTGCTTTACCTGAGTTCGACTTGGACGGAGAACAAACGCTACTAAAATTGGATTTGCAGCTTTGCTTAGACTAACACGTCTGTCATTCTTTTAATTAGACTGTTTGATTTAGCTTGCAGAGCTGCTTTCTCAAACACTCGGCCTGCTTTTTGTAGCTTCCTTGCATCCTGTTATGGTTGGGGTTCGATTGCATCTTACTGAATCTGATTTTAACTCCTAAAAAAAATTAATTACTGATATTTATGAACAAAAACTCCAAGATCTTATTATATTTTGTTTTCCTTTTGGCTAAGTGGTTATCTAAGAGAAATGAGGCTGTCAACACCCAACTGTAACTTCTATTCTGCCATTTTGAATTTAACAGTCTAACAGTTTCAATAGCCATCCTTTCTTATCATCTAACATAAATTTTAATTTGTACTCCTAAAACTAAGAGGTAAAGTCTAGATTTTGTGGCGGTAGATGTGTAACAAGGTTGAACTCCCTGTTGTTTCTTACCGGGGTCAGACAGAAGATCAGCAGCCAATGAATTTTGTCGCTGGGTTTGCCCTCAGACTCTTATTGACCCTTTGCATCATCATCATCATATCTGCCGTTCATCTGCAACTCACAGAGCCTAGCCTGCACACTGCTTCTGGCCCTAATCAGCCGCTTGCTCCTGTGGCCACCGGAGGCAGTGCACACTACGCCAGTCGGCGATCTGTGTCTGCTAACAACCTGTCTTCTCTTACAGTCCACGCCGCTTCACCTGGCCGCAGGCTACAACCGCGTCCGCATCGTTCAGCTGCTCCTCCAACACGGAGCCGATGTTCACGCCAAGGACAAAGGGTGAGACTCTGCTTAGAAATAATAAAGAGAAGTCATTGTTGTCATTCAGTTATCGTTTTTGACACTAACCTGAGGGTCCTGTCCCTGCAGAGGTCTAGTCCCTCTTCACAACGCCTGCTCCTACGGTCACTTTGAGGTCACTGAGCTCCTGCTGAAAGTATGTACTCCTCTTCTTCACTAAAGTTAACACTCTTAGAGTCGATAAATGTGTCAGAGTGATTATCCATCACGGTTAGAAATCTGGTGTCTTACATGTTTCTCTCTGATGTGGTTTTCTCTCTTCAGCACGGGGCCTGTGTTAACGCCATGGACCTGTGGCAGTTCACTCCTCTACATGAGGCAGCATCCAAAAACCGAGTCGAGGTCTGTTCCCTGCTGCTGAGCCACGGGGCCGACCCCACTCTGCTCAACTGTCACAGTAAGAGTGCTGTGGACATGGCCCCCACTCCAGAGCTCAAAGAGAGACTCACCTGTGAGTTCAGAAGTCGACTCCAGACTCCTACAAACATAATCATGGCATGAGACGTAACTTGGATTTACCTGTCGTTCTTCTTCTCCATGCAGATGAGTTCAAAGGTCACTCACTGCTGCAGGCAGCCCGGGAGGCAGACATGGCCAAAGTGAAGAAGACGTTGGCTCTGGAGATCATCAGCTTCAAACATCCTCAGACCAATGAAACAGCTCTGGTTAGAATCGATCATTGGTCACAGTTTCTATTTAATATATATTTTTTAATCCACTCAGTGAAATAACTGTGTGATAAGGGAGAAACAGGATCGTTAACTTATTTGACTTATTTTGTGTAACTCAGCACTGTGCTGTGGCCTCCCCACACCCCAAGAGGAAGCAGGTGACCGAGTTGCTTCTACGTAAAGGAGCGAATATCAACGAGAAGAACAAAGAGTGAGTCGTGTTGTTTTTACTCCTAATGTGACTTTTTAAAGAGGATACCTTCATTAAAAACACGTTTAAAAAGCAGCAAAGAGGAAAAGTTTGAGGTTTAACTTAATGCAACTTGTTTTGTCTTCTAGCTTTATGACGCCCTTGCACGTTGCTGCTGAAAGAGCTCACAATGATATCCTGGAGGTGTTGCAGAAACATGGAGCAAAGGTCTGTGATTTACATTTACATAGAGGGGAATTAGATAAACCTGCTGGCTCAAAGTATTTGGCACTAAAACATGACTTCACCCCCTCCAACTCCAGGTCAATGCAGTGGACACCCTCGGTCAGACGGCCCTTCATAGAGCGGCGCTGGCCGGTCACATTCAGACCTGCAAACTGCTGCTGAGTTACGGAGCCGACCCCTCCATCGTGTCTCTGCAGGGTTTCACCGCCGCACAAATGGGCAATGAGGCTGTGCAGCAGATTCTTAACGGTAATCAGAGCAACATTTCTGTCTCATTTTGTAAATGCTGAGGTTTGTTGTTTTTTTTTTTCATCAGTGTGAGACTCAAACCACTTCACAGGGCTGTGAAACATGCCTATCTCTTGGGGACATCGGGCGTCAACATAAGGCTCTTTATAAACTCTCTCCCAACTAGATTAGACTCAGATCATGGGATTCCACTTGACGTATGGGAGTCATGTTTATTTTGCTTTGTGTCCATTTCCCAGAAAATGTTCCCACGCGTAACTCTGACGTGGACTACAGATTTCTGGAGGCGGCCAAAGCGGGGGATCTGGACACAGTGCAAGTAAGTTTACTGCCTTACTCTAGTTTCTGTAGGTTTGAGTTAAGTTAAGAGTTTCGTACTATTTTCATAAACTGCTTGATGTAGCTAATAATCTCTTTGTTTCTGTGTATGGCAGCAACTCTGCACCCCTCAGAATGTGAACTGCCGGGACCTGGAGGGCCGTCACTCCACTCCCCTCCATTTTGCAGCTGGTTACAACAGAGTGGCGGTGGTTGAGTATCTGCTGCACCACGGCGCTGACGTCCATGCTAAGGACAAGGGGTGAGTTCATCTTCAAATGAGTGATTTTTGTAGGTTATTCACACAAAAAGAAACTTTGTCCAAGCCATGAATGTACAGTAGATGAAAAGTTCTTCATCTTGTGTCTCTCCTCCTGCAGAGGTTTAGTTCCCCTCCACAACGCTTGCTCCTACGGTCACTATGAAGTGGCAGAGCTGCTGGTCAGACACGGCGCTTCAGTCAATGTGGCTGATCTGTGGAAATTCACCCCACTTCACGAGGCTGCAGCCAAAGGAAAATATGAGATCTGCAAACTGTTACTCAAGGTGATGACCAGTTAATTGTCTCCTTTCACAATAAGAGTCTTTAATCGATTTAAAATGAGTCATTTTTTATTGTAATTAGAGGCAGAGTAGATCACTTACAAAGACATTTTTTTATTATTTAGCATGGAGCTGATCCGTCTAAGAAGAACCGTGATGGCAACATGCCTCTGGACATGGTGAAAGACGGAGACACGGACATCCAAGACCTGCTGAGGGGGGACGCCGCCCTGCTGGACGCCGCAAAGAAGGGCTGCCTGGCTCGAGTGCAGAAACTCTGCTCTCCAGAAAACATCAACTGCAGAGACACGCAGGGACGCAACTCCACACCGCTCCACCTCGCAGGTAAATCATAAAACCTCTGATTTCTTATATTATGTTTCTGCTTTAGTTAGTTTTCTTATTGATATAAATGTCTTCTATTTTGATGCTTCTACCCTTCAGCTGGCTACAACAACCTGGAGGTGGCCGAGTATCTGCTGGAGCACGGGGCTGATGTCAATGCGCAGGACAAAGGAGGCCTTATTCCTCTCCATAATGCTGCTTCTTATGGGGTCAGTCCGCACAGCATCAAAAACAAATCGCTCACAGATATTTATGCAGTTGCTCTTTCAAACACCATTAAATTCCATGAAGTGGTTTCTGTGTGATTTCACCGAACAAAGATGTCCCACAGCCTCACCCTCTGTTGACTCTCCTCTTGCAGCATGTGGACATTGCCGCCCTACTGATCAAGTACAACACGTGTGTGAACGCCACAGACAAATGGGCTTTCACTCCGCTCCACGAGGCCGCCCAAAAGGGTCGCACACAGCTTTGTGCGCTGCTGTTGGCTCACGGAGCTGACCCCACCATGAAGAACCAGGAAGGGCAGACGGCTTTGGATCTGGCTACGGTAACAAACACACGACAAATAATTAGGAATAATAAACACACATCAGTTCCTTCTCTTTGGTGGAGTGAATCTGCTGGAACACGAATCCGGCCCCTTTCTAAACTCACAATTCCTCCATCTTTCCCGCAGGCTGATGACATCCGAGCCCTGCTGATGGACGCCATGCCACCAGACGCTCTCCCCAGCTGCTTCAAGCCCCAGGCCACAGTGGTCAGTGCCTCAGTCATTTCCCCCGCCTCCACGCCATCCTGTCTGTCAGCCGCCAGCAGCATAGACAACCTGGCAGGGCCGCTCACAGAGCTGGCCGCTGCCGCCGCCGCCGGGACCTCCGGAGTGGCAGATGGAGCCTCAGGCACCGAGCGCAAGGAAGGAGAGAGTGAGTTTGTTGTTGACAAAACTGAACACTGCTGAAGTCAGTGAACAAAGTCAATATGTGATTTTTGAGAATTGCAGGGTTCCTTGTGAGGAAAGTATGCATGAACTTTTTGAAATGGTCCATTTTTGAGGCTTTCTCGAGAGGTTAGGAACGTTGCAGCAGTCGCAGGCTCAATTCTTGGCCAAGACCCTCTCTGCTCGTCCTTCCCTCACTCTCTCTTTCCCACATTCCAGCCTGTCTTTAGCTGTCCTATCTGATAGAAGCAGAAATGCCCAACAAGATCTGTTTAACACTGTCACCTCTTTCTTTTCCAGTGGCGATGCTGGACATGAATATCAGTCAGTTCCTAAAGAGCCTGGGTCTGGAGCACCTGAGGGACATCTTTGAGAGGGAGCAGGTAAGAAATAGCCAGTTAAGCCACAATTTGGTGTTAAGGAGGGAATTCACTAAGATGAAACCTGTACACTCCTTAAATCGGTTGTATTTCCCTTCCTTCAGATCACCCTGGATGTGCTGGCTGACATGGGTCACGAGGAGCTGAAGGAGATTGGAATTAACGCCTACGGCCACCGACACAAGCTGATCAAGGGTGTTGAGAGGCTTTTGGGCGGCCAGCAAGGTGTGGAGGCGTCTTTTCTTCCTCTCCCAGGAGAAGATTAGCGGCGTGCTGTGCTGACTGCAACATTTCTAACAGAGTTTTCAGAGTGGACTGATAGACCACAAAAATAACCATTTCTAATGTTTTTCAGGTGCCAACCCATACCTGACATTCCACTGTGCCAATCAGGGCACCATCCTGATCGACCTCGCCCCAGATGACAAGGAGTACCAGTCTGTGGAAGAGGAGGTGAGTCCAGTTCAGTCCAGTTCACTACCTGTGCTGGCCCTCTTGAGGTTTACAAATCTTCTTTAAATGAACGATACGATAGAAGAAAGTGTCGACACTTGATGCAGCAGACGTTTGCAGACCGTTTGACAACAGTGAGTCATAGATAGTAAACAGCTGTGTCTTCGCTTCGTCCCCTCAGATGCAGAGCACCATCAGAGAGCACAGAGACGGAGGAAACGCCGGCGGTGTCTTCAGCAGATACAACATCATCAAGGTATGACTCAGAAATCAGAAACCACTAAACTCGTCTTACTACAGCTTTGAGGAGGAGCGTTTGTTTTCTTTGGCCTGTGACTAAAGTAATGTGAGTGGCTCAAACTTTGCTTCGCAGATTCAGAAGGTGGTTAACAAGAAGCTGAGGGAGCGTTACACCCACCGGCAGAAAGAGATAGCAGACGAGAACCACAACCACCACAACGAGCGGATGTTGTTCCATGGTAACCACACTCACTGTTGCTCAATCTTTCTGTGTGTTGACTTCAGGCAGCATTGGCGTCTCACTCGAGTCTAGTTCTGTGAACAGCTTTAAGATACCTCCATTATCTGTTTTTGATCATGTGAAGCATCGTTGTCTGTAACTATCATAACATCATTTTACCGCTGCGGTCACGCCCTCCCCCAGGCTCCCCGTTCATCAACGCCATCATCCACAAAGGCTTCGATGAGCGTCACGCCTACATCGGAGGAATGTTTGGAGCTGGAATCTACTTCGCGGAGAATTCCTCAAAGAGCAATCAGTACGTTTACGGCATCGGTGGAGGCACGGGCTGCCCTACGCACAAAGACAGATCCTGCTACCTGTGCCACAGGTAACTCCCAGAACAACACTCAGAAATGACCTGCAAGAAGCACTTTAGACTGCTCTGCTGTTGTAGTAACACTCTACACACCAAATTGACATTGTTTACTGGCATTGTGATAAAGTTTTAAATGAATTATGCTTAATTTTGGCTCTTCATTGTTTTATCTTTAGACAAGTTTCCTTTAAATGTTGGAGAAGTTAGTCGTTCAGGAACATCCCTCAAAAGAAAAAGTGTGTGTGTGTCATGTTGTCTAAAAAGTGTGTGACCATATCGCTCCTGTGTGCGTTCACAGGCAGATGCTCTTCTGCAGAGTTACTCTTGGGAAGTCCTTCCTACAGTTCAGTGCCATGAAGATGGCCCACGCCCCACCAGGACACCACTCAGTGATCGGGCGGCCCAGTGTAAACGGTCTGGCCTACGCTGAATACGTCATCTACAGAGGAGAGCAGGTAAACAGACACTGCGGCATCACGGGAAATGTTTCTTCCAAGTCATCTGCTGCGTAGCTTTGGCTGACGTCTCTCTGTGTTCTCCTTCAGGCTTACCCGGAGTACCTCATCACCTACCAGATCCTTAAACCGGAGAGCGCGGCCCAGTCTGCTGCAGGAGCTGAGCAGAAGTCGTAGTTACTTTGAATCCCACCCTCACAAAGACTCGATGCTCGTTTTTTTTTTCTCCTTTTGTTATGCAAATGCCTGAACACGTTTTATTTACCGAACACATTTCCAGTAGAGCCCATGGTGACCAGTGCTGTAAAATACTCTCCACTATGGTGATGACACACTTTGTTTAGCATCGGCTGCATGTTAATACAGAAGCATGCGAGGCCCAATAGCGTGCGTGGGTTAGTTCCTTCTCCCTCCTAATCAATCAGGAGGATGCTTGTAGAGACTTTGAAGTATCAGCATTAACTGTTTGTTACTCTTCGTCGCCTCATGCCTTGTGACTGTGCAGAATCACCGACCCCCTCACCTCTACACACCCACACTGTCTCACTGTCAGAGCCTGAAACCTGTGGACTACTACTGCCCCACCATATCTAGGTTCATCCTGTACAGAATGGCCTTTGGTTACTGTGATTTTAATGCTAAACTTATGACACTACAATACAGGTAACAGTGCATTGTTGCTATGCTGTACTGCTAACTTTCATACCAAGGACACTACGGACACTGAACTGAATCTTTTTTTAGTGGTTTTATTCAGTACAGGGCATGCTCCACTGAGAAAGGCCTTCCTGTCTGATCTCTATTTTATCATGTTAACAATCTGGACTTTACTGAGAGAAGATATGTGCTTAGTTACAAAGCTGAAATGCAATGTCAGGCATCAGAGTTACAAAAAGCACACTGAAGGTGTGGATGTTGTACATTAAAAGCATTATATACAGTATATATGACTGTGCTTCACGACAGTAGAGTCAGTAAATGTTCATAATGTTGAAATGTGCTTGTGATGCCTTACGAGGTAACTCCTGATAGCCAGTGAACTCATCCGGGCACCCTTTCTGTCGCCATGGTCTTACTCACAGACATCCCACGCTTATGGATTTGCACTTTTACATAGAAACCTATTTAAGTTATTTTGAATTTAAATTGCAAGTTTGCGGGAAAAATATTTGTACAGGTTGTGTAAATGGTTGTGTATAACTGTTGCTGTTTAACATTATCTTTTGAGTTCAACTGTAAATGACATATGATCTTTTTCGTTTCATGCCTTCTCGATTCTCCCAACCTTTTTTTCTAATAAATGTCCCATTAACAAATCCTCGTCCTTTATTTTAAAATAGGGTTTGTACCTCAAAAACATTGTCATAGGAATAGTCAGCCCTGTCCACAATTGATTGGTTTACTGTTGCTGTTCTTATTGATGCAAAAGTATTAATGCTAGTCTGTTTTACGCTGCATTTGCGTTACCTCAGAGGTCCGAGCTGGGAATTACATTACACCCGAGTTACCAGCATAAATTGGAAGAAAGCGAAATCAGAGGCAGAAATAAGATAGCTGCATCTACGCAAGTTATTGTAGCGCTTGCCATGTCAGAATATAAGCAAAGACAAGGCAAGCGCTAAAATAACTTGCGTGGATGTAGCCATCTTGTTTCCGCCTCCAATTTTGCTTTTTTACGACTTTGTAACTAAAACGCTGGTTACTCAGGTGTGACATCATTCCCAACTCGGATATCTGGCTACCGAGGTAACTCAAACGCAGTTTTATAACCAGCTAAAAACTCCTTACAGTAGCTTTAACCAAAACAAAACACTCGCAAAAGAGCTGGAATTATTAATACCTTTAAATATAAACTATTTAGTCTGGCTTTTACTCATATTTAATAATTGACTTATCTTCATGTTTACACTGATCTTAATGCTTTTGGTGTTTTCATTTATTGTATTTTTATTGCTCTTTTTGGTGCTTTTATTCATTTATTTTAAAAAATTTGAATCACTCTAAAACACATTGAATTGGGTCGAATTAAAGAGAAAAATATAATTAAGAGCTGGAAATAATAATTTTAAATAAAAACGAAGAACTTGCTTATTAAATCTGCTTTTTACGAACATTTTATAGTAGTTAGCGTAATGGTTAGACTGATAATGCTTTTGATATTTTTTTAGCGTTTTAATCACTATAAAACAAATTAAATTGAGTTTTAAAAAAATGAGTTATTGATTGAAAACAAACGACGCCGCAAAAACTACAACAGAGTCGCACGCATTTGACGTCATTGTGGTCAGCTGACTGAAGCTGCAGCTCCACACTTTGAGGCGAAATGTATTTTTATGTGGTGTTTTCAGGCGTTTTAAAGTAAAATAACATCAAGTTTTTCTCGTCATATTTTCACATGTTATATGTGAGTCATGTCGGGGTGAAAACAATCTCTCTGGACCAATTAACGTCATTTTTATAAACGTTTGTTTGTGTGAAGCTCGGGTCGCAGACATGAAGTTAAAAACTTTGAGTGTCTTTGTATTTCTCCTCAACATCACCGAGACTTCAGCAGCTTCTCATGTCATCACTGTTGATGTGGGGAGATCAGTAGGAGACCTCAAACACTTTTGGAGAAGCACTGGTTTCTGGTGAGTCAAAGAGGAAGTCCTTTTATTTCATCATGGACACTCATGTACTGAACACACACACACACACACACACACACACACACACACACAACCACTGACCCACCACTTAGAATTATCTACAATTACCTGCACTTTATATCTGTAAACCAACTTAAAACCCTTCAAACCTTATTTGCACTACTGTAAATACATCCAATATTGCACTACTTCATGATTTATCTGTCATATACTTATATTTATAGTCTGATTTTAGCCTTTATATTTATAACCATATGTATAATCTGCTCACAGCCTGTACATACTTATAGTTATAGCACATTCATAACAATGTTGTATACCCATGATATACTCATGTAAATATCTCCTTCATACTGTGTACATTTGTAAATATATTTATACTTGCTAAGCTCTTCTGGATGGATGCAAACTGCATTTCGTTGCTCTGTACTTGTGACTTATTCTATTCGACTTTACTTTATTCACTTGTTGTTTTTCCAGCAAATGAAATAACTCTCTATTTTTTATTATTATTTTTTATGTATCTAAACCGTTTCCATGAAGTCAGTGGAAAAGCTGAGATAATTTAAGTTTAATTTAAGTAATTTTATCAACCTGTATTTTCCCAAACTTAACTAGAGGTCTGTGTATTTGTGTGTGTTTGTGTGTTCAGCCCTCCACTCCCTCACACAGACGCCCACCTGTACGACCTGAGCATCGACCAGCAGCTCAACCTGGCTTATGTGGGCTCAGTTCCCCATGGAGGGATCCAGCAGGTTCGGATGCACTGGATGTTGGAGCTGGTTTCTGCACAGTAAGTGAAACCAGAAGGTGAAGACTTCTCCTGCAAATCTGGAATCAAATCCCTGAAGAAACATGCAGCTTATTATCAGGAGTATCAGGTGCTGGTTTGGAGGTTTTTTTTAACCATCTTTCTATTAATCTTAAACACGCTGATTATGTTTTTGCAGAGATATTGGAGGATTAACACAGTATGACTTTACTAAATTGGACCAGCTGATAGATCTCTTGTGGATCAACGGACTTCAACCAGGTATGATCATCTAGTACAGATATAGACAAACTGAGAACAGCTATGAAGTGTCATAGTGCTTTATAACAGCTGTAAATCTGCAAACACGACCCAAAGAGGGGCTTCTGTGAGAATAAATTATTAAAAAACTGAGTTTAATAAATTAGAAATTATGAGTAATTCAAATGTAAGTTTGCTGATCGTGTTTGCCGTGAATATCTGAGCCGTAATATTTGATTTCTGCACTTTTCAGGCTTTGAACTGATGGGCAGCGTCTCCAACTACTTCACTGACTTTGAGGACAAATCTCAGGTGTTCAAGTGGAGGAATCTGATTTATATCATGGCCAAGAGGTACATCGGTAAGCGGATCATCTAAATTTGTGATGCCAAAGTGTAACTCCTCCTAAAAATGTAAAAATGGTCAATTTAAATTTAGCATAACACCTGAAAAATTCTAATATCTACCATTTAACTTTAAAGCTTTGTTTGCACCCTAGAAATAAAATGTTATTTGACTCCTGTTCTATTTAGTTAAAATGTTAAGTCTTATTTATGATTTGCAGACAAATACGGCCTGGGATATGTTTCTCGGTGGAATTTTGAAACATGGAACGAGCCAAACAACCATGACTTTGATAATATCACCGTGTCAATTCAAGGTAAGATTCAGCATGCTTCACACACGACAAATTTGTCTTTTCATTTATGAGCAGAAAATGCTGCCAAATTTGTCTTTTTGTGCAAAAAATTCTGTTTTTACTCATTTATATTTCCATATTTTACAATGAACTACAAAAATGTTAAGCATGTATACTTATAGTAATAACTTTTGCATATAGAGAGTATAATCAGCTGATCTCTCTCATCTGTCTCATTCACAAACACACAGTCCTACCTACAGATGAAGAGTCTGCTTTCTGTGGTTGCTCTCACTGTAACAAACTTTTCTTCAGGGTTTCTAAACTACTACGACGCCTGTTCGAACGGTCTGCATGCCGCCAGCAGTCTCCTGAGGTTTGGGGGTCCAGGAGACCTCTGTGACTCCCCCCCACACTCCCTGTACTGCTGGGCCATGCTGCAGCATTGCTACAACGGCACCGACTACTTCACCGGGGAGACGGGGGTCAGGATCGACTACATCGCCCTGCACAAGAAGGCAAGATCTTAAAACATGGACACAAAGACACAGAAAGTTAAATGCAGACAGTTTTAAGATTTTCTCTGGACCTTATTTCTCCTTTTCTGTGTTGCAGGGTGGAGGCTACTCCTTGCCCATCCTCCTGCAGGAGATGCAGACAGTGAAGGAGATCCAGGAGCGGTTTCCTCGGTTTCAAAGCCTCCCTGTTTACAACGATGAGGCGGACCCTCTGGTGGGCTGGTCCAGGCCTCAGGAGTGGAGGGCGGATGTGACCTATGCTGCGATGGTGGTGAAGGTGTGGAGTCGTGTTAATTATGCATTTGTTTTATTTATTAGCCCTACATCAGAGCGAGATTAAGATTACCTTTCACATTAAAGGGATATCACGGTGTAAAATTAAGTTAGGGTCAAACACACCGTAACACAGAGTTAGACACCCCCTCCAGAGATGAATGTTGCCGACCGCTTGCTTCTCTAGTTATACCAACTTTAGTAACAACCACAGGATAGCAATACACAGCGGTCTACGTCTCCACGCGCAAACCTCAACCAAAACGCCACTCTATAGCCACAAATAATGCTCAGAACAGCACCGAACTTCATCAACAGGACATATCCTGGGTCACAGCCATAGTACTAGACACCAAACCTCTTTTTAACTTTGACTAATTTCTTTAGCGACTCACCTACTCTCTTCCAGCAGCCGCTTGTTGGTAGCGAGACCTCAGTCCAGTCCATTACGGACTACAGCGGGGTGACATTTATGATCATTTCTTTATCATGTCCTTGAAGTAATAATCATCATATTAATCATTTTGCACTGCAGTTCCTCTGACTTAGCGTCTCGGTCTGATTGTATTTCCATGAAGAAACTTAATTTTATGCTGGAATATCCCTTTAAAGTCTAGAGCTAGTTTTTAAAGTAAGGTGTTGTTTAATAGGAGTCACTGAGTTTGAAACAGAAACGTGGCATTGCTGTCCCCTGCTGCGTTGGAGTGTGAAGAAACTCACCAACTGCTCTAAATGCATATCAACATAGAAAAAACTCGCCCTTCAATTTAAGGTGCAGTCAAGATTTTGCCCCAGCACACTCCTTTCCTTAGACCACCTGAACACCCCTGGGTCAGGTATTTTGGTGCAAAATGAAGCAAGAGGGCTCAATCATTCCCCTGTTCTCCTCCTCCAACAGGTGATACACCAACACCAGGATCTTCTTCTGTCCGATCCCAACAGCAGCATCAACTACACCCTGCTGAGCAACGACAACGCCTTCCTCAGCTACCACCCGCACCAGTTCACCCAGCGCACCCTGACGGCCCGCTTCCAGGTCAACAACACCCACCCACCTTACGTGCAGCTGATCAGGAAGCCTGTTCTCACCGTCATGGGCCTGCTGGCTTTGCTAGGTGACATTTCTTTTACTCTAAAACAATCAGTCTGTGTTTACCTTAGAGGAAGAGTCTTACCAGCCATGAACCTTCCCGTAAATACTCTTGTGTATCCACAGGTAAATCTCCAGGGTGTTGTCGTGTCCTGTTTTAATTACCTCTCCTGTGTGTAATTGTACTTAAAGGGGAGACTCAGGTTCTGGCTCAGGTTTTGAGCTCGTCAGGAACCAACAGCAGCACCGTGGGAGTTCTGGCCAGCAGCCACAGTGCCGTAATACCGGGCGGCTCAGACAGCTGGCAGACAGCCGTGCTGGTTTACAACAGTGACGACAACAGCTCCTCTGTCAACACAGATGATGTCACTGTGTCACTCAAAGGACTGGCCTCACACAAAGGTTGTCGTAATAGCGTTTAAGATTAAATCGATGACGCTGAGAATAAGGACCTGACAGTGTTTTTTTAAATCAGTCTGTTTTCTGTCCAGGTCTTGTTTACGTCACTTATTATCTGGACAACAACGTAACAAACCCGTACCTGCTGTGGCAGAACATGGGCAAACCCGACTTCCCCACGGCTAGGCAGTTCAGACGCCTCAGGAGTGTGCAGGTAAACATCAGGCAAGGTGTTCACAGCCATCTCAGCTCATGCATTTAAAGTTATTTTACAACACTTGGTATTTAAGAAGGCTATCCTGGAAACATTTTTATTAAAACTTTGCAGAAAAATACACTTTTATTCATTTCATGGTCAGTTTGAGCTCTAGTTTAAGACTTTTGTAAATCAGGGCTTAAATTATGGAGGACGAAAAGAGACAGAATGAAATATATAAATACATCTCTGAATCATAACTTAAATATGTCATTAATTAATTGCGAATGGGATGCATCAATCATTATTTAGAGTCAATCCGTCTTGACTTGATTGGCCGGGGTAACCAATCAGGTGTTAGGATCTGCCCACTGACTTTGATGGGCGAGTTTGACGGATAAATAATCAATTGAATAGTGAAATAACTATATATGTTTTTACATTGATTGAAATGGTATTTTAATTAAATGAAACATTTATTTATTCATTTCCGATTTTAATTAATTAGTGACATATTTAAGTATTTATTTAAAGATGTATTTATATATTTTATTCTGTCTCTTTTCGTCCTCCATATTAAATAAGATGTAATTGTGAAATTTAATCTGTTACTTAGAACTTCTTTCAATGACATTATAGAGAAAAAACAGCAAATTAAATATTCAGATCTTACATGTAAATTTTGATCTGGAATTCAACTTCATATTAAACTTTAAAACTGACAGGTGTGCCAAAGAGTTCTTCATTTTCACTCGGTTAAAACATCCCAAGTTTCATGCTAATAGTTCATAATTATTAACATTTGGAATAAGATTCATGATTTTATTAAAGAAGCTTTTTTTTTCCTCCTGACATGTTTTGAGCCTCTAATTTCAGCGCTGTTGTTTTAGGACCCTCGAGTTGACGGACCCTGGGAAGTTCCTGCAGGAGACACTCTGACCCTAAAGGCCAAACTTCCTGTACCTTCAGTCCTCCTCATCCATGTTTGTGCCAAACCCAGAGCCATGCCCAACCAGGTCAGTCCAAACGTACGATGACGTCTGCTTCCCTGTTTGTTTGTGTTTGTTTTTTTCTCCAGTTAAGCAGGTATTTTGTTTCTAAGAAAGCTGGAGCAACAAAAAAAAGTCCTGAATTAGTCTGGACTGTGTTCTCCAAAAGAGATTATCCTGAACTCTCCTCTGTTTTTAACTTTTGATAAGGTCAATGGATTACGCTTCATTGGGATCACCAAAGGCCAAGTCCTGATCATCTGGTCGGACCACTGTGTTGATTCCAAGTTGGTGCATCATGGCATTTCTTGCCAGTTTGTTATTTTTTTAATTGGCATAAGCCTAAACTTAAAGGAGCCGCTCAGTTCTGAGTTTTCCTCTCTTTATTTTTGCAGATGCATCAAAACATATGAAGTCGAATTCTCCATGGACCGAAATGAGTTCAGCAGAATCAACACTCAGGACACGATTTTCACTTCCTATGTTTTTTCACCTGGTAAGAATATCACTGTTAACTCTTTAGTTTCTTTTTTTTTTTTAAGGTGGCACTGAGCGACAAATGTTACTCACCTTTTCCCATTGTGTTTCTGCAGCGGGTCAGGAGGTTGGAGGTCTGTACAGAGTCCGAGCTGTGGACTACTGGGGAAGACCTGGGCTGTACTCGCTGCCGGAGCGGTATTCAGAGGAGGGCTAGACCGAGGTCGACACAGGCAGCGTTTCATATTCAAATGAAGTGACATAATACATTTTTACATTTGCCTTTATTCTCCTTCATAATTTCACAGACTCCAAATCCAACCCGAAGTCTATTCAACAATTTGCTTCTTAAAGCTCCTGTCAGGAACTTTCAGTTTGCATCAGTTTTGGCGCCCCCTGTGGACCAAGTGACACCTCTTATCTCTTGTCCTGTATCTGTGAAAATAGTCATCCTGTGACATTTTTCGCTCATTGTAAGTTTCTGACTGTGTCTCAATCCTCTGATCCTCTCCCAGCCGATTCGGGCGTCAAAATTTACAGCTGAGAAATTTTCAGCTTTGTTTCTGACGGTCTCAGCTGATTAAGAAAGTAATAAAGAAGCAACAGGTCCAGTTTTAAGCTGCTTATCAACCATTTAAAACCTCCTCAGAGTGCGTTTAAGTTGTTCCTTTAAATCTTTTGATGTAATGAAATACCAGGAAGTTCCTGCTGCCAGTTTCAACCGTGTTTAATTCAGTTTGTTCTGCAGTCATTTGAACAAAGCAGTGCTGAAATAAGGTTGGAGTAATAGTGCATTTTGTGTATTTGTATGTAACATGTTATTGTTTTTAGCTTCAACACATAGAAACAATCGTTTTTTATAACGCAGAAGCAATCAGAGCAGCATCGATGTAAAATCTGTAACAATTTGTCCTTTTTTCTATTTTTAGATTCTTAAATTTTGTTCATTTGTTTTTAAGAGTAAAAGAAGTCAACTCTGAATCTCCAGCCTCAGCTCTCACATTTCTTTCCTCAAAAAAAAAAAAGAAGCACAACAGAAAAGTTTCTTTATAAAATTTTATTGTCTCTGATACAGAATGAATTTGCAGTGCAGCTGTTTTCCATCAGTGTGACAGAAGAAATGGTCCGTAATCACCCGACCTGAAATAACGCCTTTTTGATTTGGCTTGTCGTTAATTTTTGGCAGTGGTCCTTTAATTTTCTCTTTGGGTGTCAATTTGGATTCATCCAATTATTCTCTCCTATGTAACTGAAACAAACGTCACAGGATTTTTTCTACTATTTTGCATTTTTAAGAAGAGCTCCGTCTTCTTTGTGGGCTGATGGATGAATCCAGGATGATGAAGCGTTGGAGCAGTTTAGCAAGCACCTGTAGAGAGAGAAAAGACAGAAGATTGACGGATCAAAATTGATGGCTTTTGCAGTTTTTATATATTTAAGCAACCTTTAAGAAGCTTTTCAAGACTTTCAGATGTCTTTAAAGGATTTGCAGCTCGACTAACGTGCAAATCTGGGTCTAAAACTGAAGTTCAGATGGATGCTGTGTATGCGTACCAGACTGCAGGACGGGCTGGAACTCTCCGGCCATGCAGATTTCCTCCTGTTTCTGGCGGACCTGTCTCTGGATGGCAGGGGGGAGGCCACGGGGGTTGCGGGAGAAAACCAGGGCGTATCCATCCTCGCAGCTTCCGTCATCCTTCAGCTTGCGGCAGGCGTAGGTGATGGCGTAGTTGTCGTAGTCGGTGTCGATCACCCAGTAGTTGTCACCTGGAAGAGCAGAGAGCTGGACACTTAGTCTGGATTTTCAGGGAAACAATAAGAGGATGTGTTAGGGTTAAACTGAGGAGGCTCACCGCCGCTGGAGAGGTAGCTGGCGAGTCCCTGGTAGTTCATGAACATCTTGCCGGGAGTGCCGGGGTCAGGGACTGAGTACTGGGCGGCCATGTCAGCACACACAACCCAGAATCTGAAAGTCAAGAGAGAAAAAGTTTAATTAGAGATGCTGGTGGGAATAAAAACTATTAAAAGCTGTTAAATAGATTTGTAAAGAGTGGCAAACACACCCGAAGAGAGTGACTCTGCCTCTGGAGGAGGCAATCATGGAGCCATCATCCCCAACAGTGTATTCAGCAGAGATGTTGTCCTGCAGGAACAAACCCTCGGGATCCTTCTTCTGCAGAGCGTACCACTTTCCTTCATACTGCATGGAAAAAAACATGGAGATTAATATGAATTCTGATGGAAAACGTGATAATTTTATGTGTTTGTGTACAACAGAATGAGACATAGTGTCTCAGTTTCCAATATCTGACAAATACAGCGAGAATGATGCTACAGTATTTCTCCGTATGCAGACGATATCTCGGTTTATGTTGAAGAAGCCCAAATTTTTTACTCTGTTTACGCTTCCTACTGCAGCTGTATTAACCACTAAAATGTGGTGTTTGTTGGTGTATATATGGATGTCCAAAGTTAGATATCTGTACTCACTCTTTTGGGGTCGAAGTCCTGTTTGACTGTGAAGCTGTCCACCACGCAGGAGGCCAGACCCTGCTCCACACAGGCCAGGAACAGCATCACCAGGGTAAAGACTTGGAAGTCCATTCTGGAGAAAACCCAAATGGAGAACATGTTAGCTGTAATTTTCATCCTTCATATATTGACTCTTGCTCCTCCATCTTTGTTTGTTTGGTCCTCTTACCTGAAGTGTAAAGCAAGTCCTCCGTAAGAATGAAAGTATCCGTCAGTGCAGAGCCGTCAGCAAGAGCTGTGAGCTGTGTTGAGACATCAGCAGCCGAGCCTTTTTATACCTAATGCACAGACAGGCTCACTGATTATTTTCACTTCTTGAACCTAAATGCAGAGTTTAAATCTACCACTAATCCAGTTTACAAAATCCTCTGCTGTAAGCTGATGAGCCCTCACAGTCAGCAGTGTATAGGCTTTATGTAATTGTTTGCTGGCGATACATAACCACAGGTGCTCCAGGGTGGGGAGAAAAGTCCTGAGCTGGAAACAAGTGTTTACATGAGCAAAGAGGTGGATTTTTTTAGATTTCTTAGTTTAGAAAGTATTTTTATACAAGGTAAACAAAAGACGAACAGACGTGATGATTTTATCAAAAGTTTGGGGTCTAAGGGTCCGGCTGTGTGAGTCCATAATCCTTTTAGCTTGTTTTTTTTTTAATCCGTCTCCAGATGAATGTTCCCAGCACAGACGTGTCCATGACTCACCAGTTCAGTCTGTCCTCTTCAGCTCTTACTCAGGAACAACTGGTCATAATAACCATGGGAAAAAATCTGCCTCTTTCTGTCAATGTGGTCTTCATACAGCTCCCAGCTTTGTTTACTTGGAGAGGAACGTAAGAGAGGTTTAGAGTTCACTGCTGAGAGAAAAAGAAAACAGATACAGATTTAGAAAAACAATTAGGAGGATTACAAGTGAGAAATGTGAACCATCACTTGTTCAATCACTTAAAAGTATTTGTGTTCAAACTTCAAAAAGCAGAGTTTTATTTTCACAATCATGATTGTTGTTAAGGATGCATTTGGTTTCATTTATGTTGTCCTGTGAGGAACCTTCATTTTGAAGTCCCCTGTAAATGAAGCAGTTTTTGCTTATCTTATTTTATCTTGTCTGAAAAAGATATTTTTAACTTGTAAAAAAAAACATCTGTTTCTCCGACCCCCCTTGCACAGGTTTCAAACTTTAAAACTAGGACACAATAACCATCAATCCTTTCTGCTTTTATTATGAAAAGGTACGAATATGTATTTCAGTCAGCTGAGCAGTTATACCTCCACAAAGCTCCATGATGTTGCAAATATAGTGAACATTTTAAACAGTACATTCTTCCTGTGAAAAACCTCAAACATGAGCTGAAGATTCGGTCATTGGTGCTCAGGTGGAGGATCGTCGTCCTGCACTGTAGCCATTATTACCACCTTTAGTCAAACTCGCTGATCTGAGAGACGTTTACTCTGGTGTCTGCTCCACATTCAGCCACACAGACGTACAGCAACATCATTTATACAGAGCTATTTTATTATCAGATGTCAGAATCAGAAAGTTAAATTCATCAGCTGACTAAAGAGCAAAAATGAAAAGAGAACATCCACAGAAATGAAGACAGAAGTACGATATTTGTCTCTTAAACGTTGTGTAGTAAAAGTAATGCTTCTCTTGAAATAGATGACCTCAAATAAAGTACATATATATACAAAAATACTGTTATTTAATCTTAACTTTATCAGGAGGTTTCCCATTGAGATACATAATCTCTTTTTTCAGGGAGTCCGGGCCAAAACATGACAAACATGAGACAATCAGATGTAATCAAACACACTGAACGATCAATTTTCAACATCCAGCTGTAAAACGTGCATTCACTGATCAGCTGATCCGTAATCCAAGTTTTTAAGTCCTCCAGACTAATAAAATTATCCAATCTCAGGTGACCTGACCTTGTGGAGCGGGATAAAGGTGCAAAAACATTAAAAGCACAAACACAGAGAGAGTCCAGAGTGAAGGTTGTAAACACAGAAAGGTTTCATAGAAAAAAGACCCAGCCTTTTTTTTTTTTATACAACCTACGGTCATGTGTACGAAAACCTAAAACAGTTCAGGATGGGACACTGACGCCAACACTCACAGAGAGGATGAGGTAGCAAACACGTGAAGCTGATCACTATAGTCAGATACAAATAAGGAGGAAAACAGCGTCTATATTCGACCTGAACAATCTAATTTCACTCTCAGTCATTTGATAGATTCTCAAAGTGATGACTGAATGTGTTCCTGATGTTTCTCCTAGAACAAAACTGTTTTTTTACTGACCTCTTAGACCAACTTTTTGATCTTGTTGGCATTAGTAATCAAAGAAAAAAATGTCATTAAAAGAAAAAGTTTGTGTCTTAATGAAAAATTAAAGATAATTGTGAAAAATTAAGAGCAACATTTTCAAATATACATTTTTACCAGTTCATGAAGTTTCTTGTTTCACATGTTTAATTCCCGTTCAGTTCTCAAAGCCAGTCTGAAAGAAACACTGACTTTTATCTTTAGAGTTTTTGACACAGACGGTTCATCTTCCCCTATTTTTTATCACATCACTTTGTTAGTTTATTTGACATTTCTATTGTGAAGCGTTTCTGTTTTTCTTCTGTAATTACCTCCTCACCTTTGTGGTGAACTCAAAGTTGTGAAAGAGAAAACGTTGTAAGCAGATCACCGTAATCCTGGTCATCCGTTGGCACTCGCACTAGTCCTGGGGGGATATTTTTGAGCACCACTGTCAGTAAGAGCTAAGTAAAGACAGGTAGCATGCCAGTAAGTCCACTTATATTTTTAGTCAGCCCTGGCATTGTTGTCATTCTAATATTAACCTGTTCTGAGGATATTAGGTAAGACTTCTGTGCTGTGACATCCTGAGTTCAACATCAACGTGACACGTCGACAGTGTGGCCACCGCATCTCTAATCTGAAAACAAAAGCTCTCTTTAAATGATCCCCTTGGAGACACAAAGTTACTTAACTGGAGGTGAGCTCAAGTTGAATACGTCTGGACTCGAGCCATGTCAGGTCATGAACTGCAGGACAGTATCAGGTGATTGTCAAAGGAGGTGTAAGAATATACTTTGTTATGTAATGTATGTTTTCACTTACTCTTAATGTTTTCTTCTTTGCTGTTTGGAAACTAAAGTTATTTTTCTTTTTGATCAAATCTGAGCAGTGAAATGAATAAAAGGCTCCTTGGGGCGACACATTTCTCTAAAAGGCCAGCAGGAGGAGCAGGATTTTTAAGATGAGCGGTCCCCAACATAGATGTCCGATTTTCAACAGAAATTTATCAGATTACATCATAAATTAAAAGTTTTCTAAGAAAGTTTTGAAACTTCATACTTTGAGTATTTGATTAGTCTTTAAAAATGGACATCAGCCTGTTTTTCTTTGGAGCACTAATTGTCAAAATTACCTGTTTTAGCTGTTTCCTTTGAGAAAATAAAGTTAGCATCTACTCTTTTTTTAATTTTAATTTTTGAACTTTTCATGCTTTGATTGACAGGATGAGAATATGGGTTCATTGGGTGATCGAGAATTGTCATTGTATAGTATGTTTCAAAGATCATATTATAGTATTAAAATGTCATAGTATAGTATGATAAAAATATCATAGTATAGTATGATTAAATTGTCATGGTATGATAAGAATTTCAAATTTAAGTAAAAAAAATGTCATAGTATAGTATGATAAAAGTTTCACATTTTAGTATGAAAAAGATGTGATAGTTTAATGTGTTAAAAAAATGTCATAGTATGGTATGATAATAAAATCATAGTATTGTATAATAAAAAAAAATATTTATAGTACTGTATGAAAAAATGACAAATTTAAGGGTGAAAAATATCATAGTATAGTATGATAAGAAAGTGATAGTGAAGTATGTTAAAAAAACATGGTATAGTATGATAAAAAGATCTACTTTGACATGGGTGACACAGTTGTGTAACGGTTAGCACTGCTGCCTCACAGCACAAAGGACTGTGGTTTGTATCCTACTCAGGTATAGTATGATAAAAATAAAGTATGAAAAAAACAGCATAGTATTGTATGATAAACATGTCAAAGTATACTATGATAAAAAATATCATAGTATAGCATGATAAAAGTTTCACATTTTAGTATGAAAAAATGTGATCGTATAATATGTTAAAGATAATTAACAAACATCATAGTATAGTATGTTCAAAATGTATAACAAAATAGTGCGATAAAAATATAATAGTATAGTATGTGAAAATGTCATAGTATACTATGATGAAAATTTTCAAATTTCAGTATGAATCAATGTCATAGTATACTATGATGGAAAATTTCAAATATATTAGATTAAAGAAGTCAAAATTTGAAAAGTATGACTTTTTTTCATACTTAAACTTGAATTTTTTGTCGTAGCATATGACATTTTTATCAGTGTATACTAAGACATTTTTATCATACTATGCTATGATATTTGATCTACTATACAATGACTTTTTTTTATCATACCATCCTGTGACTTTTTTCATACTAATATTTAAATTTTTGATCATAGTATACCTTGACATTTTTATCATACTTTGCTTTGACATTTTTATTCTATAATACTTTGACATTTTTATCATAGTATACTATGACATTTTTTAACCTACTTAAGTACGACTTTTTGTCATACTAAATTTTTATTTTTTTTATCATAATATACTATGACATTTTTATCATTCTGTAAAATGACATTTTTATGATACTAAACTGATTTTCTTTTTTTTTTAACTTTATTTTAATCATACTATAGCTGCCCGAGTTTTTTTTACTAAATTTAGAAATTTTTATCATAGAATACTATGACATTTTTATCATTGTAAACTATGACATTTTAATCATACTATATTATGACATGTTAAAATGTCAAAAAAATTAAACCCTAGTATGACATTTTTATCATACTATACTATGACATTTTTTAACACACTATATCATGACATCTTTTTCATACTAAATTTGGACATTTTTATTATACTTTACTATGACATTTTTAACCACACTATATTATAAAATTTATTATACTAAAGTTTGAATTTTTATCAGACTAACCTATGACATTGTTTTCATATTAAGATGTTGAAATTTTACTATTGTAAACTATGACATTTTTATCGTACTTACCACGATACTTTTATTTAACTATACCATGACCTCTTTTTTTGTTATAAAAATTAGAATTTATATCACAGTTTACTCTTACATTTTTATCTCACTATCCTTTGACATTCTTAACCTACTATACTATGACTTTTTTCATACCAGAATTTTAACATTGTTACATCGTAAGCTGTGACATTTTTTTAACACTAAAATGTGAATTTTTTTTATCATAATATATTTTTTTGGCAAATTTGGCTATTTTATAAACTTACATTATTACCATACTATACTATGACATTTTTATCATACTTTACTATGAAATATTTTAATGTACTATACTATGACTTTTATTCATACTTAATTTCTAGAAATTTGATCATAGTACACTATGAAATTTTTATGTCACTGACATTTTTTTCCTTCCAAAATTGTAAGTTTGTATCAAACTATTCTGACCTTTTTTTAACATACTGTAACATGAAATCTTTTTATATATTTTTTTACCTTTATTATGCTATACTATAACACAACAAGTATGACACAAATGTCATAGTTTAGTATAATAAAGATGCCACAGTATAACTTGATTAAAAAAATATAGTATACAAAAATTTCAAAATATTTTATAAAAATGTCACACTTAAGTACGATAAAAATGTCATAGTTTGGTTCAATAAAAATAAAGTATGAGTAAAATATTTAAGTATGTTAAAATACCATTGTATAGTATGATAAAAATGTCATATTATAGTATGATAAAAATATATTCTTGTATGAGAAAAATGTCATAGTATAGTATGTTAAAAAGTTATAGTCTAGTATAATAATAAAAAAAAAAAGTGACTATTGTGGGTACCTGTGGCTGCAGTTTCAGCTTTCTATGCATAAAACACCTTTTTTTGAAAACACCTTAAAAAGTGGGCAAATTTTCATTGTCCCACGATTGATTCATTAACTTTTAATACTTCTGAAGACCCCGCAGACACCCTGAAAATAAAAACAAAATCTTGAGGGCAAAATAAGTTTTGTTCTTTTAATACATCTGTCATTTCATAACCAGCATCAAAAGAAAAACAGAGATCAGGTGTCAGGAATTAAAGACCAACTACAATGTTCATGTAAATCATGTATTTCTGTATTTAGAGATTCTTTATTACAAATATGAACTTAATAATTTATGAGAGTGGCTGATTCTGCAGGATTACAATGCTGAACTCAGGAGCCTTATTTCATACTGTGTAAATAACTCAAAGTCACTGAGTGGTCCAGAGAGGTGTTGTATTAACAGAGGTAACAAACACAATGCCGCACAGGGGTGTTAGACTGGTCGTGACTTTGCTGTGTTGCTCCAGGAAAAGGAAGGAGAGGTCGGGAACTGCACATGGAAATCCTCACAACACTCCAGCTTTACTTGAGGATGGTGTCTTCATTTGCTGTAAAGAGACCAAACAACATAAATATAAAAAACAAATAACAGTTTAGCTTTTAATGAGTCTGTTTGCTGTAAGCTGGGGTGCATGCAGGTGAGTGTTTGCAAACTGAAGACCAAATCCAATTACAGAGCGAGGTTACCTTCTGCTAACTGCTTGGCAATGCGCTCCCTCTCCTCCCGAGCCTTTTTCTCCTCCTCTTCGATCTTCCTCTCCTCTGCGGCGATAGGCTTCAGGTGATCTAAATACACAACAGATGAATATTAAAAAGATGTGTTTACACAGCACATCGTCTTTAAAGATGCAAAAATGCAATATTTGTAATTACACATATACACACTTTAACATATCTTTCTAAAATAGGATGTTTAAATCTCCTGTGAGGAACTTTGTGTCAACTTTGGCACCCTCTGCGGGTAAAACCTCATCTCTGACGTCTGTGCTGGTTTTGTCCTGCACATGTTTTAGCGGTGTTTTTATCCAGAAAAATCTCATTCTGTCTTATTTAAAAAGTCAAATACATCCCTCACTGCCAATATTAGCAGAGGAGATACCATAAAGACCCTCATTTGATACCTACCCCCAGGTACAGGCATTCAAAATTACAGCACAGAACCTTTTAGTTCATGATCTCATTAGATTTTTCAAGTCCTAAAGAAGCGTCACCACTCATGTCAATATACTTGATAACAAGTTTCACATTTTCTCTGCAGCAGAATTCAATTTACTGTTAAAGCGTATGAGGAAATGGAATTGGTTTTATCTTTGTAGTATATCCCAGAAATGATGACCAGTTAAAACTCACCATATCTTCTTTTGCCATAGATGATGCCAGCAATTAAAGCTGAGTACCTCGCCGTCTGTAAAGGAAAAATATCAAGATTAATGGAAGCCTTACTATCACACTAGTAAGTATCTGTGTAAAAAATGCAAGGACATGTTATTTTTGTCACCCTCTTTCTAAACCAGAAAGTCTGATAGGTCTGATAGGTCTGGACATCTGACGGCGTTACTTCAGAAAACTGCAGACCACTGAACTTCATTAAGAGTTTCAACAATTTTTGGAAAACCGTCGATGGCACAAACTACACACCTTTTAGACACACGTTTAACAGTATTTAATAGTAGTCTATAATCTCACTATAATTCGGGTTTAAGCAGAACTGACAGGGTGTCTTTAATTTGATTGAAATCTGTGTTTGTACACCTGGTCCATACTAGTTTTATGGTTTGTCCCTCTATGAGGCTACATTAGCTGTTAGCTTCCCCAAAGGTGATCCTTCTTAAGTACATTAAACCACGTAATGAAGTTCAACAGGCGCATTATGACAAGTTATTGCAGCGTGATTTTATTCAATATAGCCGCTGGTTTGCACACAAAACTTGAATATGATTCAAAATGACGTTTACTTGTTTGTTAGCACGCCTCCTTGCTGACAGTTAGCATGTTAGCACGTCACTCTCTGTAGCCTGCAGACTGACATTATTATAAGGGTCATTTTTCAATGACACAAAAGCAACATTTTAAATATTATGTTCTGCAACACAAACCTTGATCAAAGGCGACACAGCAACTGGAGGAGCCATGGTTTTCGCGCAGGCTAACGACTAGCGGCAGAGGTCACTTTAGCACTGTAGAGGACTGAGAGAGAAGAGACTTACTCACTGAGGTTTTCCTGCCCTTCATATGGTCACTGTTTAACTACCGCCATCTAGCGGTGGAAGTTTGACCTGCCTGTTTTCCGGTCTGTTTTCCACAAAGACGAAGTTTATTTGTAAAATAAATTGATAACGTTTGAAAATAATGATACTAACTTATAAAAGTAAAAAGAATAATGCAACAGGGCAAAAACAAAATGAATAAAAAAAGAAAAAAAATTTAAAATATATGCAAATACACAAATATACATATAAATCATTTTTTCCCTTTTCTTTCTTTCCTCCTTATTTTTTTATTTTATTTATTAATTAATTTATTTATTTTCTTTATTTTACGCCTTTTTTCTTCCTTTTCTTCTCCTTTTCCTCTTTTTTCCTCCCTTTTTCTTTTTTTCCCTCTTTTTCTCCTCCCCCCTCCTCCTTTATCTTATTGTTGCTTTTTGTTATTTGCTTTATTTTAACGTATCTACCACTCAATTTTCCATCATACTTATGGTAATGGATCAGTAAATCCAATCATTTACAGTATGTGTATGCAATATTGCTGGGAACATATCAAGGTCAAATGACAAGTTTAAGTACCAATACTGTTGTAATTTTTAGAGAAATACAATGATGTATGCTGTGAGGCTGTTAGACACAATAATTGTATGAAATTGTTCCTACATGGTCAGTGGGAAGGCAACAGTTTGCTGTGATAGCAGAGATGATCCAGAGGAGGTCAGCAGAGATACATGTGACGTGTGGGCTGGCACTTCAGTCAATGAGGACAATCTGTTCACGAGCAGTAAGGGATTTATTGAAAGCAGAGGATAAGATCGAGCAGCATATTTTGCAATTTAATCAAACAGTGAACTTTGTATATGAAAACAAAAACACATAAAAAGCACCAAAGCACCTGTGAGAGTTTTTGAGTTAGGATTTTAGCACATCATAATCAAAGAGGGATGATTTACCTTTTGCAAATGTTGTCTTATATAACTGTGAGTAATATTTTCTGATGGGAAAAAAATCATGCATCTTCATTTTGAAAGTATTTTCAATTAACCTTTGTTACACAGCATACTGTTTATTGTTTCACCTGACGCCTACTCTGTTTCAGGGGGAACAAAATTGAATCATTTTGTTTTCTTTCTGCTGGTCTGTCTAACCACCAGCCAAAAACATCCACATTTGAGCTTTATGTTACAGGTTCAAAACTTTGGAGCTGATATTTAACAGAGGAAAAACAGACTGTAGTCAAAGCTTTTTAAAAATGTATAATTTGGCCCCCGAAAACAACCTGCAAATTCAGACACCTTCACGATGACAATATTACAACTTTTCTTGGAGCTACTGCTTTTGAAACCTTTTTTAAAATCTCAGGTTTTTCATTCTTCAATAGAAAAACAGTTCTTGACAATATAAAACATTGTGACATACATGTTTCACTTGCACCAACTTCACTGAAGCCATGTGATCAAAAACAAACTCTTAAAAACGATATTTGTCCACCTGCAACAATTTCATTGTCAAACAAACCTGCATTCGATGTGTACTCTCAAAAAGTCTTCCTGACATCTTAAAGAGGTATTTGTGTATTTCTGTATGAGGTCAATCTTTTTTAACTCCACAGAATAAAAGCTTTTGATCAAATGTGAATTTACGAACTTAAATCTGGTCTGACTGGTCAAAGATTTATTTTATTATCACTTAAAAGCATGTCGTTTTAAAAAATTGTTTAATGGTGTGTCAAATCTGGTATAACAAGGATGAGTTATATTGACATATTTAATTTTTAAAATGTATTTTAGTTTGTTTTTATACTTTTAACTACCAAGTAAAAAACATGTTTTGAAAAAAAAGCAAAAAATAAGCTGCCTAATTCCTCCTTATATGTCAAATTTCCCTGATAAGCTGTTCTTTAAATGGAGTCATTGTAGATAAGCATGTCCATGATCACACACAAGCATCCCAACCACATTAGCTGCCAATAAATAAATAAAATACCTGTTAAATGTGCCACCGCCAGAGGCTGAGTCATCTCTTAAGTCCAAGTTTGTTTTACAGCATCACACGCCTTTTTTTAAACAATCTTATAATAAAAAAAAAAATCACATCTACATAAAAAACATACACTGAAAAATCAGCGTGAGTTACTGTGCTGGTTTCCCAGGTAGCTCCTGAGCTTCTTGGCTGTCCTTTTGGCAAACCTGACCCTCCCTCGTTTCTGCAGGGAGGCTGTGTACTGATTGGACTTGAGTTTGGAGTAATAGTCTGAGAACTTGTTGAAGAGGATGGAGATGGGCAGACCGTTGAGGATGATGCCAAAAGAGATGCAGATGAAAGCGAAGAGGCGGCCCAGGATGGTCTCTGGGTAGACGTCTCCGTACCCCACAGTGGAGATGCTGACCTAGAGGAGAAGAGGAGAGCGATCAGTGGAGTTAGAGAAAGAAGACTAACAGCAAACAGTGAGTGTCTGGATGGGTAGAATTTTATTTTTTGTACCCTGCCCGTCTTTTTCATGCATGTGGTAATTTGAACTGATTTACTTTGCATTTTTCAAACCAGGGGCCATGTGAATCCATCTGGACCACCAGCTCCGGTTCAAAGTCCTCCATGCCTGTCATGATCCCTTTAAGCTCTATGAGAAGCTACATGCACACCTGTCCTGTCTGGGGTGAACTAGACCTGTAGCTGACCTCAATCTGCACTTGGTCAGCCCTCGTATAAATAGCAGGAGAAGACGGTGGTCAGACCTCTAACCTGACCTGTGTGCTCCTTTAATTGACAAGCAGGATGAAACAGAGTCAATCTTTAAAGTTGATAAGCAGAATATTTTCAATACGGTATTTGTCTCGTTTTTATTATAACTAATGTGTTAGTAATGTATTGTTTTTGATCAAAGATTACTCCTTGGAACGACCTGATTAGTTTATTCCACTTCTCTACTCCTGTCGTGTAATTACTGCAGACTCTTGACTTGTCAATTTAAAAATGTAACTGGATCAAACTTTTGATCTGCTCAGCTTGACACCCATTCATTTGCATGAAGGACTGAACATGTTTATGATAAATGAGACTAATGCAGCATAAATGAAGAGGAAGTGTATAGTGACAGAAATGTAAACAGGCAGCAGTATACAGAGGAAAGAAACATTTGTTCAAACCAGTAAATGCTAAATCTGCAGTTGCACACATGCTTTATCTCACTGGGCTGCAACAGCGAATCAAACGGACCATCTTGGTTGTTTAGGAACACTCTGAAGCTCCTAAAATAAAGGACTGTGGCTCAGCATATTTGACACCAAGGGGAAATTGTTAAGAAAAGCAGTCGTTTACGATCAACCCATCCCTAAAAATGAATATGAGTTGATTTGTTGCCTATCTGTTGCCTCTCTCCCCATCATTCTGATGCCCCACTTCCACTAGTTGATTCTCCAAAGCTCCACACCTTTAATATCAGGATTTACATGAAGCAGTCTTCTAAACCTAGTGGCACAGGTAAAAATCAACCAAACCAAGTGACAACAGAAGCTTCAACACTGACTTTGAACCTCTTATATGTCTGGCAAACCAACAGCATTCATACGGTGAGAAGGATTCCATCATTTTAGGGAATATGCTCCAAAATTATCAACCAAAGTTTGTTGTCTTGAGTTGTGTAACAAAATAGATTAATGGCGACCAGTAGAGAGACAAACATGCGGTTAAAGAAAAATGTAAAAACTTCTATTATCCTTTGTTGCATATTCTAATGACGAGCTTGGTTCAAATGCAAAACAACTAGACCTAATTTTCACACATATTTAGCCCAATACTTAACATCCTTTAAGGTACAGTATGGAAATGGAAATGGTTAATGGAAAGATAAAGATTGAAATGCTCCATTGCTCAACCCTCGCACCAATGCAGCTACGATGCATAATGAAAATTATGTTTTTACAATCAAAAATATCCTTCAATACAAAGTCTTTTACCAATTTTCATCTTTCTACTGGTGCAACCCGTTAAACATCCAAATACATACAATAGAAACATGGTGGCACAACATGGCCGTCACAGTAGAAGAGACCTGTACCTTTGTAGATGCAAAAGACTCAAAAGACTTCAGCTAACAGAAACAAAACATTTTTCATAATTGGATGATTTAACATTAATTTAAACAACTCTGTTCAGCAAAACAACACTAAATACTAAACAACTCCCTTTAACTTTAGCAGCTTCACTGCAAAAATTCAACGATCAGAAAGGCTATCATTTATGACTACCCCTTCAACACTTTGTCTGCTTCCCTTTGTGTGAGATCACTCAGAGTTTTGCAGCAGTGAATGGCGTTCCTGGTTGCCCTCACTATGACCATTACAATCATTTAGGGGATTATCATTTCCTCGCCCTGGATTAGAAGTAAGATTCAAGCTCCCGTCCAAAGAGGGAGGGGAAAGATCTGTTAACGGGTTTATTCATAGCAGCAGGCAGACTCAGTGGATCAAAGGTGCAGGTTGAAAGTTGAACTCAAACAAGCGCTTTTACCAAACAAGTTATCAACCAGGTCAGTCCACCCTGATGTCAAACTGATGAGGATAAATTAGTAAATGTGCTTTATCGATATAGAGTTAGTAGTTTGAATCTTTTCTGACGAAAGAAGTCATGCTTCTTACGGCACAAGATGACACATCCTCTAGAGCTGACCTCTTTCTGTCGGTAAGCCAAGTAGTGCTAAAGTTTAATCTAATAATGTCCCAGAGTTTAGAGACTGTGTCAGCTGCAAAGTAAATCAAGGACAGGCCATTTGGTTTTGCTTACATAAACAGGTCACTTAGGTCCATTACTCAGGTGAGGGATTTATTTAACGGGCCCAATTCAAGAACTCTTGACTCTCTACTTTCTAAGAGTTGCTGTGAATCTTCCTTCAGGGTGTTGGGACTTTCTGAGATGTACTTACAGCTGCCCACCACCACGCATGAGGAATGCTGGTGAAGTTCGTCTGCGGCATGTCGTGCTCTACAGTGTAAACCATGGCTGAGAAGCTGAAGATGCCCATGGCGATGAAGAGGAAGAGGCAGCCGACTTGCTGGTAACACTGACGCAGAGTGAAGCCGAACGCCCGCAAACCAGTGGAGTGGCGTGCGAGTTTTAAAATACGAAAGATCCTCATCAGTCTCATGATCCTCAACACCTGGCCCAGCTTCCCCACCTGCCCTACAGCCTGCATGTCGGCCTCGTGCTTCATGTAGTTCTCCTCGTTGTCGAAGAACTCCAGGATGCCTTGCAGATACTGAGGCAGGATGGCGATCAAGTCCACGGTGTTGAGGACGCTCCTGCTGAAGGACTTAAGGTCAGGCGTGGACACCAGGCGAAGCAGGTACTCCATGGTGAAGAAGGCGATGCACATGGACTCCACGTACTCCCAGTATGTTTTACCACTCAGTTGACCTGTAGGAGTCCTGTACTGCATCTCCTGTACTGTGTTCAGAGTCATGGCCACCAGGGAGATCAGAACGAACAGACTGGAGGCCACAGCCATCAGCTTGGCCTTGATGGAGGAAAACGGTTTCTCCATGAGGTTCCAGATGTAGCGTCGCTTCTGTCCCAAAAACATGTCATGAAAGAGCTCCTCGTTCTCCTCGATCTCCACCTCAGCCTCCAGCTCTCTCTGGATCTTCAGCTGGTCGTTCAGCTCGTCCTGCCTCTCCTCAAAGGAGATGCGGCAGCAGCGGTGGGTGTTCTTGATCCGCACGCCCCAGTAGTTGATCTCCTCCAGGAAGTTTCGTGGACACAGCTCGTCTTTTATCCACAGCACCCCGGTCCTGTAGAAGTTGAAGATGCTGTGGAAGACATCTGGGTCCCTGTCGAAGAAGAACTCATTGTTGGTCACGGTGTAGTCATCACACAGGTCCAGCTTCATGTTGTGGTCCGTGTAGGTGGCCAGTCGTCCGATCCTGGTCTTGGGATACTTTGCTGCCATCTTGTAGGTGATCTGGTACGGTTTCCCCCCCACATTAATGTTGATCATGTAGTTCTTGGAGGGTGAGATCTGCTTGGAAAAGCTACACGGAGCGCTGTCATCCTCTTCATCTTCATACTCTGCGTAGATGTCGTAGATGTCCCTGCTCAGCTCCTGCATGGAGTTCCATGTCTTCACGCAGCTTTCCTTGGCGAGAGGATAAGCACACTCCGAAGGTCTCCGATTCAGATCTGAAACTGCGACTTTGTAGTTGGGGAACAGACTCTGCCTCCTGTTCCAGAATCTGACCACCTTGCTGGCGCTCCCCATGTCGATCCCCCCCAGACTACACAGCAGACTGAGCGGCCAGCATAACTGCTGCCTAATTCCCCTTTTAGCTAAGCATTGAAGACACGAGCAGGATGCCTCATGGCCCCATTAATGTTGCTGACTGAGAGGATCCGCGTGCTTACAGGACATCTAAATACCATTATCCCTGCTGAGCTGCCTGGCTGACATGGTGCTCGCCCTGTGGCACAGCCCAACCAATGCCCGTTGCGAATTCACCCACTTATAGTTTAACAATTACTCCCTATTTTAAACTTTGATTACTCAGAGTCTATTGAGGCAATTTAAAGTCAGAATATAAATAAGAATCAGAGCTGTTTTCCTCTCATTGATTTACTAATGCGAAGACTCTGTGCAAGCATTAATCTTCAAGAAATCCCTTCAGATTACTTAAAGAAGTCATATAGGAAGGCTATGATCAGATGTACCACAACGTGCCTTTATCCTTTTCGGTTATTCACGACAAGAAATACAACCGTTTGGGATTTTTTCCTTCATTCATAAGCAACAAAATCATTCAAGTTGTTTTGTCTTCTTAGGGATCTAACTCTTTGTACTGGTGGTTGTTAATTGTGTTAAGATTCCTATACTGACGTAGAACAAAGAGGGCTGGTGGACTCATAAAAGAGGATAAAGGCTTTAGGCATTAGTCCTTATCCTGCTGGGAGGGGCTGCAGGATCCCTCAGAACCTGAAGTAAGGGTCTGTCTGCAGCAGGAAATTGTGTTTATTGGAATTTTTCAGCTGCATTTTGATATAGTTTCTCAGCTGCTCCAAACGTTATTACTGTAGAAAAGTTTTAACATAACTTAAATCCTCTTAATGGATATCAGATTGAGTGTTGTAGGGTTGCAGGCTGATGGCCTGTGTTAACCTTTATTTACCATACCTGTGCCAACCACAGCTGACCGGTTAAAATCAATTACGGATTGAGGTTGTTAAAGCAGCTGCATTTAAATAGAGCTGCAAGACTTAAGCTAGTCTTGTTAGAGTCTTGTGTTGGAAGTACAAGGCGTAAACTGGATTTATCATGCAAATCTGTTCTCAGGAAGAATTAAGGAAACTGATGGCTTACCAACTGATATCATGTTTGTGTAAAACTTGGATGTGACCTCAGTCAAACTGCTCACTGATATCTGGAGACGTTTAAAAGGCCAAAAAGCAGAATTCCCAATACTGGAAATGCAAGTTCATATAAACCTTCAGGTAATAATCAAAAACATTTGATGGCACAGATATAAAAAAAATACATATTTTCCTCATATTGCTCTTATTGTGCAGGAGACAGAATTGTAATCTTTCTATATGTGTTTGACTGGGATTAATCGCATCTGCGTTCAAGATTCATGGTTTCCTGCCAGTCACTTTGTCCGGAAGATTTATGGATCAGATTCAGTAAAGACCTCTCAAAGCTGCTTAAGAAACAAGAATGCACAGACTTTAATCCCTTACATCTGCTCATAAAGCCTACAGTTACATACGTTCTCCACTTACATGATGTTTTTTACAGCTGAAAACACAAGCACATTGTGTAGTCGCTGTCAGTATTTACAAAATCATAATTAGGAGCTTGATTTATGCAGAAACAAACCATGAAGACTGTGCAACGTCTCATTATTCACTCCCTTGACAATACAGGTAAACTGACAAAAACATAGATTATCAGCACTTTGCATGCATGTCTGATAACTGCTGTTAAAAATTATGTGTCTTCAACAAAACTTAGATAGCTGTTGTTTTAAAGTTATAAATAAAATACATGATAATGAACAAGTAATTAGACAAGCAAGTATCATCTGTCCTCTCCACCTCTCCAGCAGATGGTGGTATTACAGCTTTAGAAACCTCATATATTGTATTTTATATTCCAATACTGTGCTGTGTGACATTATAGTAAAAGACAGCGAATCACCATTGAAATTCCTCAGCTCTCTCTGAGGAAATTCCAGTCTGGATGTAACTCAGGTGAGGTGGCGCCCAATGCTTAGAGTTTACACCAAAAACTAAACTTGAGATCAAACTAAACAATAGAGAACTGAGCAAACGGTGGCTAAGAAAGCCTCTTAATTCAAAGCACACTCAACTAAATTTAGATGTTTGTCGAGAAAGCTTGCGACTTCAGACCAAACAAAGGTTTGCACAAGATCGGTTTGCCTTGAATATTTCTGTGAAGTGAAGGCAAAAAAAAAAAAAGGCAGTGCTCTTCAGTCACACAGAACTGTCACTATCAGATCATCTGTAAAGACTTCACAGATACTGAAAGTCTTTGTTGATGCATATTTATGAATTTTCAGGAAATAAAAAAAGGAACTGGATTATTTCTAATAGATATGAGGTTCCTTTTTCTACCAAAAAAGCCTCTGAGAACAATAAGGGAGGGTTTTATTTGAACCACGTTTTATTTGACTTTGTTTTTGAAAATGAAAGCATTTTAAAAAATCTAACAAATGATGTATAACCCTAGGCTTCACAGTGGTGCAAGGTTCCCTGGCTGTGAAAGGACCTCTTTGTGTGGAGATGACCTGCATGGGTTCTGCCTGGGTACCCTGGCTTCCTCCTACAGGTGTGAGTGTGCGTGGATGGTTGATAGACTGGTCACCTGTCCAGGGTCTCACCCAATGACAGCTTGAGCAGGCTCCAGCCCACCACTAACCCCAGAGGAAATCGGTGGTAAAGATGATGTAATGTAATGTATAACCCACTGAACAGGGTCTGCAGCTGTGATTAGACAGCTGAAATGTGTAGGCGTCAGAGTTAATTACTATTATTAATTGCACTAGTTCTTTCTCTGCCAGATCACAATAGAAAACATCTACAACAAACAGCTTAAATGTCTCTGGTATTCATGAGATTCAAAGTACGTCTACATCAAAGACAATATTTTAGTGTATGATATGTGTATGATAACATAAAGTGATGGTTTCAGTCTCAGGGTTTGGTTCTGGTTAAAAAACACTGAATTACATTATGAGCCTCTGTTAATAACCAAATGTCTGCTTGGAGAAAAACTGTCCTCCTTTAGTTGGAAGGGTCACATGAATCATAATTGACTCTGTAAAAGTTATTTGATACTGGAATTTTACTGTCATGTGAATTGTATTTATCCATGTCAAAGACCAGACAACCAGACAGATGCTTTCTGTTCAGCGCCAATTCAGAATATTCATCCCCCACTCTTTGTAGTTTAAAATCACGTCTTAAAACTCATTTTTATTCCTTGGCTTTTAGCTCAGCATGAGTGTGTGATCTCTGTCCTTTTATTTCTTTTACGGTCCTTTTATCTCCTTAATTTCTTTTATGCTTTTGTATTTTAATTTCATTTATTTGATTTCATTTTATATGTTTTTTACTTGCTTTTATTTATTTCATCTTGATGTTTTCGGCATTGTCTGTTCTTTCGATTTTATTGTGCAGCACTTTGAATGTCTTTTAAAATGTGCTGTATAAATAAAGCAGATTGGATTGGATTGGATTTTTCCTAAAATGATTTTCTGAAACAAAGTTATTTAACACTGGAGACTCATTGAATTCATTCTTGATAAATTCACAAGAATCTTTGAATTAAACAGTGGATAATAAAAAAAAAAAAACAGGGTTAATATGTCAAAGTTTCTTTAAAGTAATTCCAGGAGGAGGATTATCTAACAGATCCAAATCAAACTTCTTATTGGACATTGTCAACACACAGCAGGGCCTGAGAGAGGGCTGTGGCAAGTTACTAACAATACAAGGAGACCAGAGATTAGAAAATAAAAGTCTCATATTTGTCTGGAAAACATTGTACCAAGATCAATTACATTACAGTTTATTGAAAATGCAACGATATCGTTTCAATTATACAAATAGCCAGTTTAATCTTGACTAGCACACCACTGATTTAGCTTGGGCACCTCCTTCAAATATAGATTCTCTACTTTTGATTTTGCTTTTGATTGATTGATTGGTTGAAGTTTATTCCGAATATGCAAGCCAAAAATATAAAAAATAAAACAAGAAAAGTGAAAAAAAACGTTTAAACATATTCATACATATTTGAAAAAGGAGTTAGAAGAATAATAACTTATGAACTCCCACCCCTACCCACACACTAAGCTTCCTTTCAGCTTGTTTAAATGTACCTGATACTTATAGATAAATAAAGTATGTTCATGACTTTGCATTACTAAACAAAATCTACATTCACTTAATACAGCACACGCAAGAAAGAAACAAAAAAACAACAACAAAAAAAGAACCAAAACCCTTATAACACTTAGTGCTACCCAACACCTTCCTCATCCCTGTACCTCTTAAAAATACTGTCTTTTTACCTCTTTGTCTGAATCAAAGTTATATTAAAGTTAATTTTCCCCTTAAATTATAACTTCCCTCATGCATACTGAATAAACTCTGTATATTTATTGGCAGATGATTATTTTTAGCTTTAGACATTATTCGAGCTGTTTGATATTCCACAATGTCTGTAAATTTTTACAACCTGGACTGCAGAAATAAGAAGTGTGTGTGTGTTCCTGATAGCCAACATTGTGTATAACTCGTATTGCTCTTTTTCCTAGTAGTGTTTTATAGTTCTTGCCCCAAACCTCAGCACAGTATTGGAAGTATGATGAGATTAGGGAACAGTAACGAGTTTAATAAATAAGAGAGCACCACAAAAACACCTACATTTTTCTAAACAAATAGTAAGAGTTTAATGGAGGCTTTTCAAAGATAAAAGAATACTGCTCTGTAATTGAAATTTTCATTCACTGTAATAAAACTGTAATGTGAGTTTTATTTTGAAAAGTAAAACCGGAAGTCGTTTCTGCAGCTAGCCTCGTCTGCGAAGAAAACGCCGTTTTTAAAGGGAAACCAAGGTTGTTGAGGTCCGTGGTGGCAGAGCAGGTTGAAGGTAGGTACAGTGTCATTTTTCTGTGCTGACTCTCCTAATATTGTCGCTTCTTTTTATCCTTAAATGCCGCTCGTTCGGCAGCTTATCGCTTAGGTTAGCGGAAATCAAGATGCGGACAAGTGTCAAGTCAAGACTCCCGGTGAAGTGAATGCTAACCAGGCAGCTAGGCTGGAGCTAACGCGGCTAACGGAACCGTTACCCGGTCCCCGCGAAGCTGGACTGAGCCGGACTTTGGTGATGCTGCGCCGTTTGTTTGGTCGCAGTGTTGAGGAAAATAAGATAAATATTGTTTGGTTTCTAAAATAAAAAACAGTGTCAGTATCGTACCGAGTTTTTCAGGTAAAGTGTCTGATATTTGCTGTGAAGGGCTGCGGGGGGTGTCGGTGTTATGGCTCCCAGTACATGAACACAGACACGGTGCTGCTGGTCTGTGGGAAGACCGTGTACTCCAGTTTACCTGCTACTAAAAGGCCAGGGAAAAATATAGAAAATATAGTTCACTGTTTACTGATTTCACTATTTTAGTGTCTGACATCAACAGCCTGTTTACCTCCCAGCATCAGTAATTGTTGTCACAGGTTTACATCTCTGTAAACTTAAAGGAAAAACAGCAGAATATTATTTATTATTTTATAATAATTATAAAACAACAGAAAAAGGCACGTTAATATAGAAAGAAACAGGAATAATAACAACAGAAAAAAATCTAATATTACCAGACTGATGCCGAAGAACAGGTTTGAACTGATTGAAAGTATTTTTAAAATACCTGTTTTCTACTGGTTTTTGTACCATGTAAGTTTTTCTTGTACAAGTTGTTTAATTAGGGATATTCCAACGTGAAATTAATTTAGGGTCAAACACACCATAACACCGAGTTAAGGTCCTTAAACACCGGGGATGATGCGAATGTAGAACGCGAAACTATGAAATAGCTTTGCCTGGTTTTAGGTGAGGTAGGTGAGATGAAACACAACTCACCTACTCTCTTCCAGCAGCCGCTTGTTTGTAGCGAGATCTCAGGCCAGTCCATTACGTACTACAGCGGGGTGACGCAGCTTAAGGAAGAACATTTATCATCATTTCTTCATGGAAATGCAATCAGACCGAGACGCTATGGCAGAAGAACTACCGTGTCTGCAGTCCAAAATGATTAATATGGTGATTATTACTTCAAGGAAATGAGAAAATAATGATCATTGTGGCTATAGAGTGGCGTTTTGTTTGAGGTTTGTGTGTGGCTACTCAGACCGCTGTGTATTGCTATCATGCGGTCGTAACTAAAATTGGTATAACTAGAGAAGCAAGCGGTCAGGAACATTCATCTCTTGAGGGGGTGTCTAACTCAGTGTCACGGTGTGTTTGACCCTAAATTAATTTTTGCCGGAATATCCCTTTTCAACAACAAAAACTTCCTACGAAGTTACCGAACTGAGCGAGAGACATCCTGAGTGCAGATATAGACTATAATACCACCGAGACTTTTCACTTTGTATATTACTTTTCTGAATATTCATCAACTTTACAGCTGGAAGCGTTGGAAGTTAATTTATAACCTCAGAATAATACAACAGATATGAACTGAAATTATTAGTTCACTATTAGTACACTATTATAATATACAAATAAATGTACACACAACTAAGTAACTACATCTTGGACACTTGACCTTAGGCCTAGACCCTACAACGAAATCAGTCGCTGATACTTAAAAACATCATTCCCTCTCATCTAGACAGCTAATGTAAAGTAGGAATGCACAGACTTATTGGTGTAATGTTGACATCAGCAGGTAGTAGCTTATAAGTTAATTATCAGATATATATGGTCAAAGATTTAATTGATAACATGTACCAACAACACAAGGTAATTTGGCAGTGGACATATTTCTGCTATTATTGAGTGTCAAGATAAAAAAAAAAAACATTCACTATTTATGAAAGAGTCAGATATTCATATAGTATTATGTCTGTTTAAAAATTCGACTGACCTGATGTTCCTAATAATAAAAGGGTGGGTATACGACAGTATTGGCCAAAAGGAGTTTGGAAAGTTTGAAGTCAGACATCCTCAAAAATCTAAAATTGTGCATCCTCAATTCAAAGGGGGAATTTCTTTTTCATACATTGTTATTTCAGTACATACATGCATGCCTCCAACTCCCATCAGAGCCTCCTGTATTTATCTTTGGGATGTCGAATTAAACCTAAGTGACCTTTTCTCACCGCTCATCCTTCGTCCTGTATGTTGCATCAGTAGCGTCACATGACCGGCTGTTTTTTATGTCCTCCTGCAGTCTGCACTTTGTTTTTTATTGTTTTATTTTATGTCCTCTCCTTGCTTTGATTTACATGGTTTACTAGCTGGTTTAACATTGTCAAACAACCTTGACTTACAGTGAGTGTTCTGGCCTTTGCTTTGAGTGCCGTATCTGAAAGTGCTTCAAAGACATCTGCACTCAACTGCTGACTGTATATGTTCTGAAGAGGGAACGCCTACCATGTCGTCCAAACTATGTGTGGAAACGGCTTCACTTCAATACTGAGGGCAATGAAGCAACATGCATGTATTAAACAAAGCAACTCTATGAACTTTTGCTTATGTAACCGATGTTTGCGTATGGAAATGACCCGAAAAAAGAACATCATTCAAACAGAAGAGAGGAATGAAAACACAACTCAAAGAATAAAATGTACAATTGTGTACTTGAATTGCAGATGATGGAGTGTGGGTTTGTTAACGTTAAACCTGCACTATAATGAAAAACTGTAGAGACAAACACACACACACTCCTAATTCAATAATGTCAGAAAAACCAAAAGAACAAGCGCTAGATTTAGACGGCACTTTTTTAGATGAATAAACAGAGTATACTTGGCAGAGGTTGTATTTTTGAAACAAAGCTGTGGATACCTGCACATCCTGTCGAAGCTTTTTTATCTGTTTCAGAGAAATTAGCATGGGGGAAAACAACAAGAGATTAAATAAACAAGTGTTGGGCCAGCAGCATAAGGTGTTTCGGCGGAAGCTATTGAACACTCGACAAATGTCATGTAAAGTGCAAATATTAGTACACCCATTGTGACTCAAGGTTTGTTTGTTTTATGATGTCCATGCAGATGGAGGAGCTCATGTGGCAGATGGAGAGTGGGAGGGTCACTGTGTGCCAGAGTGTGTGTGTAAGTGTGTGTGTGTGTGTGTGTAGGGGGGGCCTTCTCTGTAACCTTCACCACACCAGACCCTTCCCTCAGAAAACCACCAAAGCCCACAGTGACTTCCCCCAAAATGAAATTGAACAGTAGTGTAGTTGAAACCTTTCCTACTGGGTGTGTAAATCTACATTAAAATGTCAAAGCCTCCCCTGATTTGATCACAAGCTCTCTAAAATTTATCATCATTTAATCTGTTAATTATTTCACTGCACAAGTCAACCAGTTCTGATCTCCAGAATTAGACTCACTATTCCTATTTTTAGGAATAGTAGAGGAAGTCTATAACATCATGCAAGATACCTGCTGCATTAGTATCAAGTGATAGATTATCAGCAAGCAAGAGATTACTATGGCTGTTTGCATGAATGAAGCGACATCACAATAACGCTAATGCAATAATAATGCACAGCAAAGGTCAAACCTGCAGAATCGACACTTTTGTGTTAATAGAAAAACAAAAATGTCAAAACAGTTTTTACAAAAAGCAGTGTAATTATTTATAACGTTAAAATCTGATAGTCTGATTTGTCCCAGGGAACAAGAGCTCCTCTGGATTTGGATTAGTTGGAGACAAGTTCCCCTTAGCGCGCTGTATGTATATTCTCTCTGAGCGAAGGACACACTTGTAACTGTACACTGTGTAAAGTGAGACAGCCTGTGTTGTTGCTCCACCACAGAGCTGACCTTGGAAGAGTCCGCACTCTCACAGGGGCACACTTTACTCTGACGCCACTTATTCCCATTTACACTGCTGATAAGGTCTCTTAAAGACATTTGTCTATTTCTGTGTTCGTGTTCTCTAAATAAAAGTCACAATCAAACATACATTTTTAATAATATTTTGCCCTGTAAGTTTTCTTGCATCCAAGCCTCTTGTTCCTTAACCAGAATGATTGAAATTATGATTATTTTTAGCCTTCAACGGCCACAAACATTTTGCTATGATAGCATCAAAGCTTTACCTTCATATGAAATTTATCATAGTAAGGACTTGTCACTAAATACCACCCATTAATGCTGTTGTTTCATTGTCCATGCTCCATCTGTCCCTCTGCTTCACTAACACACATCTGGTCCTCCTCAGTTGATATATAAACACATATATATCAGCGTTTCCACTCAGACCAAAGACAAAAAAAAATCAGTTTTGTAGGCTCAAGTGATGTTAAGAAATGGGAAATCTACATGAGTAGGCTTGAGCGTGTAATGACGTTTCACAGCCAATCAGAGGCGAAGGAGGGCGGGACCCATCCTACAAAAAAAATTTCGCCTCCATGAGACGGCCATATTTGCTCCGTTGTTTGTTTTTTCTTGTTTTGTGGCTTCGGCCCAATATTCACTCACTTACACGAGGAGCGCCCCCTGGATGACGTGTAAAACAGTGACTCGAATCACCAAGGAGGAGCAATGAAAAGAGTGTATAGCGGATAAAGTTTAATGATACAAAAAATCTGTACATGACGAGCGTAAAATATAGCAATATTTAATTTGGATATTTATTTTTTCTAAAGAGTCAGACGTGTCATTTTGGAGACATTTGAGATTTATCTGTGTCCCTGCAGAAATGCTGGACAACACAGTTAAAGTGCTGAGTGCTCTGATGACAGATTTTTTAACTTCCCTGCGATGTTGTCGAGGAAAAGCTGAGACTGTGTCCAATAATAACAAGCCTTCTCTACCAAGTACAACCAGCACCACTTGTCAACTCGTACTCTTTCATTTGACGTGTTCTCTTGTTTGTATACAGTTACTTCCTCTCCCCCAGACATAAAATGGATGTGCACGTCAGCTGGCTGTCACCTGTTCTCTTTGTCTGAGCGTCTCCGTCTCTGTCAGCTCCTTGTGTCAAAACTTGATGGATCTAAATGTCACGCTGGTTGCAGCCTGAGCGACATACACCTGACATTCCATTAAAGGATGTAATGAATGTTCGTCCCCTCTTTGTTTTTCAGGTTGCTGCTGGTTGCAGGGCCCTGTGGAGCTGAAGAGCTGTGCCATTCCCCCTTTTTTCCTCTCATGTCCCCCCCTGTGTGTTTCCCTGTGTGTTAGTGACCCCACATCCCCACCCAACCCCAACCTGATCCTTCTTGTTGTGTTGCCACTCCTGCCCGAAGCCCCCCTCTCACCCCATGCTTGGGACAAAGCCAGCTCACTGCCAGCCCAATGACTGCCTGGATCGTCCTGCCTGTCAGCCTGTCTGCCTTCTCCATCACAGGAATATGGATAGTGTGAGTTACGGAGACATCGGGACTGGATGTGAAACATAACGGGATGAGTCAACACGTTTGGATTTAAGGGCTTGTTAATCAGCATCACAGTCGACGCATGATTAAATTTTACAGCCTGGATGGTGTTTATGGGCAAACACATAAACCCTTTTTAATTTTCAAGTTTTTGCTAAATATCCATCATTATTTCAAGCTCAGTTTAATCATCTTCTTTGGGATCACATAACTTTTAGTTTTAATTCGTGATGTCTGTGTTCCTGTCCCCACAGGTACGCCATGGCTGTGATGAATCACCACGTTTGTCCTGTGGAAAACTGGTGAGTGATTTTCCTCTTTGATAAATGAAATGAGTGTAAAACTCCAAAATCCCACATTTAAATCTCTGAAAGTGGTCGTCAGGGAATAAACCGTGAACTCACTGTGTCACCTCCTCAGGTCTTACAATGTCACATGCACAGAGGAGCTGCCCAGACCAGGCTTCCCCAAGACATGCTGCACCATCCAGGACATCCCCCTCATCAGGTCTCTTGTTCTCCTCCTCCTCCTCCTCTTTTTCTTTTCTGCACATCAAGACTTTGTTTCTGCTGGAAATACAAAAGCAATTTTGTGTCAGCAAAGACCCAGAGGCATGAATTAGCACCTTGTTATGTTGTGGCTCTGTGACAGTCATTAACCCACGCTCTGCATAAACTGCATTTGTCTAATCTGCTAATAAGCCTCAAACCATGAGCGAGTACAAAAGCGCTCTTGTAAAAAGGCGTCATGAGACTCTCAGGCTCTCTGCAGTGTAGGTAGAGAAAATACTCATCAAAGTTTGAAGTGTAGATCTGATGTCAGAGGGTGATTTTACACTCTTAGACGAGACGATGCAGTTCAAAACAGGTCCCTAAAGAGGCATCTGTTGTTCTTTAATGATCATATAAAATCTCACTGACGGTATCAAGATTGTGGTCTCGCACGCTGCCTGTTATGTAAAAGTTAAGACTAAAAGCTGTTTGTCTTTATGGTTTACAGTAAATGCGGCTCCTTCCCTCCTGAAAGCTGCTTGTTCAGCCTCATCGGCAACGTCGGAGCCTTCATGGGTAAGATCTCTTTCTACGTCGCCGCTGGATTTCAATATGTGCGCACACACAAAGGCAGAGAGAGCCCTTATGTTCCTGCTCTACAGTGCAGAACAACACACACCCTGATCTTGGCTTTAAGTGAACGGCCTGTTCTCATGAAACCACCTGCTGCTCGTAACAGAAACTGCTGTGAAGTAAAGTACCGAGGCTCTCCTCCACTCCGTCTGCTGTTCGAGTTTTTTTTCAATACGATGAATCAAAGTAAAGGTTTTATTTGGATATCATTTTTGGATCGTCACGTCTGACTAATCCTCGACTTTTAAACTAAAAATCTCTTCTGCTCAGTGGTAGCTCTCTGTCACTCCGAGGAGAGACATTTGCTGCCTCTGGTCAGGCTGATGTGACTGGTTGTCAGCCTCTTTACACAGGATTCACTCAAACCCAGACTGCTGTTAGGATCAGTCTCTGTGGAGCTGATGATGACCCCTGGCAGCCGAGGCAGAAGCTCAATCCAGCTCTGAGATTCAGCTCCGTCCTCACCCCTCAGAATTGTCCCTTTTTAAAGTCTGAAAAAGTTCCTCGGTTGGTTTTCCTGAACTCACTTATTAAAAAAGTGTTTGTGTGAGGATCTATGTTCTGCGCTATATCTACGTCTGGTGCAGTGACCTCCAAGGCCCTTGACTGTTGGCGTTTTTGAGAGGTTGCCAGGTAACAGCACAGACTCAGGGAAGTTAGTTCGGCCCAGGAGAAGTTTCAGCACAAAAAGAAACACCTCTTTTAGCATGGATGGAAAAAATCAGGATATGTTTGGGTGATTTTGAGTCTGTTAAATGTTGATAGAGCACCTCTAACTCTTTGGAAAAATGGATGTAATTGTATTTCCCAAAATATGGAACTGAACCTTCCATCAGTACAGTGAGTGATTTGTGTTAAACAGCTCAGTAAAGATGAGACCGCTGCTCCTTTAAAGAGAGTAATTGTCCTGTAAAGCTGAGGTCTCTGTCTGCTCGCTCTCTCTCTCTCTCTCTCTCTCTCTCTCTCTCTCTCTCTCTCTCTCTCCCTCTCTCTCTCTCTCTCTCTGGTTTGTGTTTTATTAACTCTCCATGGTACCCGCAGACGTCAGCCACTAGCCTCACAGAGACACAGAGGGGCTGGAAATAGCCTGTGCTCTCTAATCAATAATGAATGCGGCTTTCCTTCCACTTCCCCCCTCTGTCCTCTCCTCCTGCATCCACCCAAGGCCCTCCTCCTCCTCCTCCTCCTCCTCCTCCTCCTTCACTCCTCCTCCTTTGTTGTTTTATCACCACTCAGCTGTGCCCCTGTTTTCCCCACCTGCCCTTAATTGCATCGCCCCTGCTGCGTTCACCATTGATCCATTGTTCGCTCCTCTCTTGATATTCATTTATCTTTATTTCCACTCCACATGGTTACTCTTTAACGCCCGGTCTGATCGTGCCCCTGAGTAGAAGCTGTCTGGAAAGTTTAGCGGTGGGTTAGTAACACGGTTAAACCTTGGATTGAGTACAGTAACAGTCGGCCAACCGCAGAGTCGTAGTTTACAAACAGTGATGCTCTGCCGACCAGGAAGAGTTCCTCATTATGTAACAGAAGACGTCAATATTTGACAGAAGACGTCCTGTATCCGTCAGCAGTATAAAGAGTGCAACATCAGCAGAAAGGCAGCAAAGTCAAGCTCAGCCGACACGACATCAGCTGATCGTAACACCGGTCCATACAGACGAGAGCTCAGCTGATCACAAACTAAACTTTCGATTAAGAAATGTCAAAATCGGCGCTCAAGTCTGTCCGCTCTTACTGCTTTGAAACCTGCCTGAACCTCAGCTCATCCTTCTGTGTCTGAACAGCATCTCTGTATCGTCTCTGATCCTCGATTCTGAACCCGGGGCTCTCGGCTCCTCCTGTCTTAGATTTTCAAGTCTTTCTTTTTCTTTCTCTCTTTCTGTCTGTGTTTCTTTCTTTTTGTCCTTTCTGTCCTGTCTGTTCTTTCTTTCTTTCTGATATCACGTCACATTGCAACATTTGTTATCCGTTGGTTTGAAGAGAGCAGGATGAAGAAACATCTTCTGTTACCTTCCCGTCACTCAAAGTCTAATTGTTCTAATAATCGATCACTGAGCAACATTTTTACAACAAAACAAAAATAACAACAAATCAAACAGAAACAGAGTTTCAAGTTGACTTATCGGTCACTGAGCTTTACTAAAGTCATACCATGAAGTAAACGAAACAATCATAATAGTAAATATAAATAAAAGAGCGTTTCAAGCTGACTTTCTACAAGAATCATTGGTGACTTTTGTAATAATTTCTAATTACATTTTCCTTCAACATTTTCTTGGCTTGTTAAAGATTTGTTCAGGTCTTCACTTCATTACTTTGACAGAGATACACGTCTGCTTCAGAGTTGTCTGCACATGAAACCGAGGATGATGGGATTTCCCTGTTTTGGCGTGAAAATAATGACCTGTCTGTGATCAGCGTGTTCCTGTCTGACCTCACGTCAGAGTTTCATGTGTATTAATAACGTTGTGTGAATGTTTATCGCTCCTCTTGTGACTCACAGTGGTGATGGTGTGCCTTCTGCGATACGCCCAGGTCATCGAACACAGCCACCGATGCTGGGTGAACACCAGCGCTCTGGTGTCCGGCTGCACCAACGCTGTGGGTCTGGTCATGGTGGGAAACTTCCAGGTAAACCTCTCTGACGAAAACCTTTGAACACAAGCACTCTTTTTAGTCAAAGTCACGAGCCACTTCTGATTGTACCGTCTGTTTGTCAGGTCGATCACGCCAAATCTCTACACTACGTCGGCGCCGGGGTGGCGTTTCCAGCAGGGCTGCTGTTCGTGTGCCTGCAGTGTGTGCTCACCTACAGGGTGGCTGTGACCGCCCTCGACTACTGGATGGCTCATTTCCGAGTCGCTCTGGCGCTGGGAGCCATGATCTCCCTCGTCCTCAGTATCCTCACTCGTCGTGTCTCTTTCTCTCACCCTTCACTACATAAAAAAATCTCAGGCGAGGCAACAAAATAAAAATAAAATAATATAAGAGCGTTTTCCTCCTCAGGTCACCTTGTTGGTGTTTGATGTACAGGACAGAGTCTTTGTTAACATCAATCATCAAACCTGCGCTGTTCTAGTTTACGCGCCCGAATCTCTGCAAAAGAAACAGACTCTTAAATTTTAGTTGGACCAAACAACGACAAGGTCAATCATTGCTTTCTCATAAAACACCGCAGAGATCTCCGGCTGCCTTGAGACACTTGTGTACAAATCAACAGGACTGTCCTTCAGATGTAAGACTGGACGGCAGGTCCCTGATAACATCTGTCTGTGTCTGCGCTCACTTCCTGTTCCCCTCCTCCTGCTCTCTGTGCCGGACCCTCTCTCCTACTTACCTCCTCAGAAAGTCGGGTTAGAAACCAGTCAGGCAGCGAGTTTTTATCTCAGCATGTGATTTTTTTCTCAGAAGCATCAAACTGGCTGTTTCACAATCAACGACCCCTGAAAGTTCTCCTGTCAGGAGGCAGCAGAGGGGTTGATATTTTTCTCCTTGACTCGTTTTATCGTCTCTTTTTATACCCGTCTCATCGTCTGTCGGCTGAGAGAGATTAAAACCATCTTCTCCATTTTAATGATCTGATAAAGAAGAACAGTCGATCCCCCTGTGAATATACCACACTCATTGACTGTATCCTATTTTTAAACTCATCTTTTTAATGGAGCCGAGGAACAAATTGCAATTTATCCCCGATCATGTTATGAATTCACATCTGGCCCCCCGAGGTTAAGCCGCCTGTCATGTGTCTCATTATGTAAGAGATTTCATTCAGGCTCTTTCTTTCAGTTGTATTGTCCTCCTTAACTCCTCCTCCTCCCAGGCGGCATCTTCTTCATCCATGAGAGCTTCGTCCTGCAGCACGCCGCCGCCATCTGCGAGTGGGTCTTCACCGTGGACATCCTGGTCTTCTACGGCACCTTCACCTACGAGTTCGGCACCGTCACCAGCGAGACCTTGATGGCGGGCCTGCATCAGAGCCACCACCACGGCTCAGGGGTCATCATCGGGCCCAGGGCGCGGGGCTCGGCGATGGGCGGGGCCACGAAGGGCCTCAAGTCACCCGGGGGGAGCAGCACATCCACACATCTCAACTGTACCCCCGAGAGCATAGCCATGTTGTAGCTCTGCAGCCCCACACGTCCCTGCTGAGGGGCTTCAGAGGCGACTGGGATGAAGAAGGAAGTTGTGATATCTTCAAGCATCAAACCAACACCAGGTTCTCTCAAATCTACGACACTCAATCTTTTAGTTTCACTCCAAACGTCGGTGCGAGCCCCTCCAGTCAAAGTCACCTTCTCCGCAGGAGCGCTGAATGTGTGGAGCCACTCCGAGTCCTGGAACCATGAATGTTTTTACAGACGGCTGTTTATCGGGCAGTTTTCTTCACTAGAGTAGATTTTTTTATCAACGTGCATCACCGGTATGCTCACAGAGTTTCTCCTCCTCCTCCTCCTCAGACACTCCCTCATGATCTCCCCCGACGCTTCGTAACCCACCTGTTCTGGCCTTTTCGCTTATCTCTGCACGGCACACTTTTTCTGAATGAGAGAATAACAATTACTGTTTGAGTTTGCGTAGTGAGTAGAAAATATTGAATGTTTGAGAAGTGAATAGTCAGCAGTTATGTATGTTTTTTCCAGGCTTTAAGCACATGGCCTTTTTATCCAATCAAACAAATTATCCAAGAAGAAAAATAATCACTGATTTCAGCTCGCTGGTTAATTTGGTCGCACTGAAGGTGTTTTTTAAAGAATATGTACCTGTATATCATGAGCCACTCTCATAAAAAAGGTCATAATCCATTTTCACTGGCATGTGAGAGGCGGCGTGAAAAACTTATTGATCCGTTCTGGAGTTAAAACCGGGACTGTGTGTGCATCACAATCACTTTGAGCTGAGAGTCTGTGAAGTCATTTCATCACCGACCAAAACGTTAACTCATTTTGATTGTCACTTTCTAAAAACCGTCATTCTTCATCGTGTTTTTTTTTTTATCCATGTTCGGTGCAATAATCGCCATCAATCACCTAAAAGTTTATGCTCCACAGGAGCGACTACTAATGCCTTTTTCAGTGAGTTCGAGTCGAGACAGGGCTTTTTTTTTGTTTATTCGTAACGTATTTAAAGTGACCTAAAACTCAAAGTCAAATTCAGATCTGACCAACAAAACGAGTCTCATCGACTAACTGATTTGATTCCAGGCTGGACCCTCGGAAGCCTTATTTGAGTTTAATTTGTTTTTAGGAGACGTGAAGCCTTTTTTAGTTCTTATAAAGGATATTTAGTCTTCAGATGTTACCTGAGAGGTGAATATGACGCCTGAAGACCTGTGCCATAAACCTCATGGCATCACTGAAGTGTTGTTACAACCAGAAACTACCGAGAGTTCGTCTTATTATCGGGGTTTTGTTTTATTTCCTGTTGCCAATTTCTTAAAAGTGAGATCTACTGCCACAAACGACCACTGCTTACACTGAAGCTGACTAATGCCAACCCTCTCATGAGACGTAAAACACTTTTTCGTTTTTCTTTCTGAGCTGTTGAAGGAGTAGTTTTCCTCACACACACACACACAGAGTATTCAGACATCTGCACGGGTGTTGATCCATTTCTAACAGTCTAACCACTGGATGCCAGCAATACGTGTTTTTAAAAAGGTCACATCACCTACCTCTTTTCTCTTTCGTGGGTTGGATGTTTGAGGCAGCAGCTAGAGTTCCACCATGTTTTCCACCTCACAGCAGTTCGAAGAGGAGAGTATTTCACATGTTCACAGAGATCTGTTAGACAGGACGGGGGATTTGCTCGTCATTTAAGATGCTCAATCATGCGTCAGGTCATTTTTTTTGTTACTTCTCGTGATTTTTGTAAACTTACCTTTCTTTCTTGGGACTGCAGCAATCCTGATCTTGCCAAAAAAGACTGGAAGTTGAGTCGGTTTTCTGTGTGTCTGTCAGCAGCAGGTGTATGAGTGCACTGTTTTAGCCTTACCCCTCGGACTGTACCGGGGGAACTGATTCTTTTTTTGTATTCTTTTTGTGTTCAGCTGTAGCCTATTTCACCAAACTGTAACTAAAGTCACAAGGAGTGGCTTCAACCGGCAGCTTGTATGAGCCCTCACATCAGGGTTTAATTTATTCACAGGCCAAACTTAACGCTGTTTTCTTTTTGTTCAAGCTGTCACATAATTTCTCTGTTGGTGGTAAAAAAAAAAAGCTGCCTGACCCAAACATGTCTTGAACTTCAGCAACGACAACAACACAGAAACACTCATCTATCCAAATGTATTTGTCTCATTTCCTGGTTTAAGAGAACAGTCATGAAAGAGTCGGAGAAATTCCCAAAAACAAGTCGACACAGAAGATTTTTGTTTCCTTTTATAAATTCTGTAAATATGTATGATTTGTCTATCATTTAGGTATTTTCATTTGAAAGAGATTTATATTCAAATATGAAATAAAAATGATAAATTATTAGCAGATGTTTTGCGTGGCTTCTTATTCAAACACAGAGGAAATGACATCAGAGTTTACAGTACTTTTCAGAGAGGTAAACAGGAAAAACAGCCTGAAACTGCGGCGAACGGCGTCTTTGGGTGGTTGTTTTTGTAAAAACACGGTCTCTTCCTCAGCGAGCAGAAACAGAAACAACTTCAGCAGATGAAAACAAAAATAAAAGCCAACTTTCATATGAAGATAGAAACATACAGAATCACATGCTGTCAGAGCAGGTCTACAGGTCCAATATTGTGCACAACTTATGCACAAGAAGCAAACAAAAGGTCTCCAAGGTCAGTCTAATGAGGCGCAGCCGTGATGTAGACATTTAAAAACCCTTTCAGAGCAGACTTGTTATGTGACTAAGTGTTCCTCTTTGTCTGCAGGAAGAGAGAGGAAGCTTTCTCAGACATCAGGGGACGAGTCAGAGGGCAAATCCAATTTTACAGTTCTGGTTAAGCAGCTCGAGTAATCTTATTGGGCGAGTCCGAAACATCTGTGTAATATCTTCAGTGGCTCCAGAGGAGATTTCTGAACAGTCTGAACATTAATCCGCCACCTCAGCGCTCGAAGAATACAAATTTAAAGAGAGAGGCGGAGTTAAAGACGCAAAGAAATGCTCTCCACTGACGCCTGAATACGTCCTTCACACTTTCATGAGTGAACGTACATGAGTTTACTTTTACACTCACTGTTTTGTAACGAGTTAATCTACTCGATCAAAACGAAGGAAAAAGATGTATTAAAAAAAGGGAATAATTCAGGTGTTTCAAGTCTGACCCGTGTCAAAGACTCAGTGAGGCTCTGTCGCCCCCTGCTGCTCTGATCTAGTCATGTCTTCATTAGTCAGCACCTAGAAATTGTTGAAATGAATTCTTAAACGACTACATAAACCAAGCGCCCCTGAAACCTTCATTTGCTCAAAACTTGAAATTATTTTAAAGCAGAAAACAATCCAATAAAATAAGGCAGGAATACTTCGTTATGATATATTTGTCTTTAGATGACGAGTACCACTGAACCTTTTTTTCACACAGAGTTCAAATATAAAAACAAAGAAAGGAATGGACCGAGCTGAAACACTTCAGTGCATCATTTTAACAATCTATAACACTCAACCAACAAAGGAGAGAAGAGCATCTCCATGCAAAAGAAACTAAAGTTCAACATTCAGTGACTGTTTTTATCACCAGGGTGGAGTTATTGATAGTTTTGTAATATTTGGAAGATTTTATGGGCAAACATTGGTGATAGTTCTGACTTAAAGCCACAGTTACACAGCTGATATAGACGTTATTTCTCACTCTCATTTTTAAAATGTCATTTTGTATAAATTGGGATAAAAACAGTTTTTTTTAATTTCCTGAAAAGTTCATTTTTTATCATTTAACAGTTACCACAGCCCTGTCATGTGTACATGGCTCCATGTAGATCTTCTAGTCGGTGCTCCCTCTGTTTTCTTCTCTCCTAAAGGACAGAAACAAACCGACTCAGTGAGGAACTGATGTCTCATTATCATCATTAATATGTGTGGGGATCATTTGGGGTGATTAATCTCTCACCTTGTCTTTCTTAAACTCCTCATACTCCGGATTGTCAGTCGGTAGTTCAAGTCGGCAGAGAGGACATGAGTTTGTCTGAAGTTGAAACATGAAAAAAAGAAGAAGAATCCTTTCAGCAGCTGCTCAAACTTAAAATTATAACGAGGAATTTTAAATAACATGTTAGTCATCAGCTTTACCTTCCCCAACCAGGGCAGGATACATCCTGAGTGGAAAAGGTGTTTGCAGGGCATTTCTCGAACTGTCTCTTGTTCTTCGAACTCCAGCAGACACACAGGACACTTCAGACCTTTGTCTGTTAGAAGAATCAAAGAAAACTGATTCAACAGTTTCATCAAACCAGGACAAGTTCTGAGTTATAAACCTGCAGGAGTATGTCTCACATGTCTCTGAGTTTACCCAAAGATAAGTCATCATGTTTTCTTTTAGTTTCAGTCACAGATGAGCAGAAGTCGGTCACCTGCTTGTTCTGGAGAAATGACGACCACTGTCAGGGTCTGGACGGCTGTTTTAGCAGCTGGAGGAGGAAGCCGCTGGTCCCAGTCCGATAAGTCAAATGCCCCTGAGTCGATTAGGTCCAAGCCCTGCATTAAAGACCTTTAGAAAAGAAAAAGAGGGTGAGTCAGAGCATGGTGCATTTTTTATTCATATTAATCAGTACAGAGTGAGAGTTCAGGGGCTCACCGGGCCAGTTCCAGCAGTGCGTTCTGACGATACTGCTCCTCAGGGTTGGTGGGCTCACAGTCGTGCTCATCAAAGTAGGATGCCATTTTGGTCCAATAAGTGTCAGCGTCCCGCTTGCATTAAGGAACCTGTCAGAGGTCACAAGAATGATGAAAATTTGATGATTTATTTGCTTAATCACAAAAAATCATCAGGTGAGGTTTGTCCCAACATTGCTGCCAGACATTTCACAGTCCTGGCGGAGTGTCTGATTTCTGTCTTCCTCATATTTATCTTCTGAAAATAGTTGTTCTAAATCAAATTAAGTCAATTTTTAGTTTGGAGATTTAGTGTTACAAACTGTACCCTAAGATAAGTGGTTTGTTTTTGGTGACATTAACGCTGTGAAAGTACTTCTAAGGGTAATACAAGGTCTTCTGATGTTTATTATCCCCAATAAAAATTAATTTAACCAGAAAATATCATCAGCTGTGACATATCTGATATTAAACAACAAACTCCTTCACATACAGTAAAATCCTTTTTTCTTATTTAATTTGTAATACAGTTGGATAAGTTCTGGTTCACAGACTAAAATCCACTGGGAATAGTTCAATACTTAAAGGTTTATATAAAAGAAAAACTACCTTATCATTTATCCAACATAATTCACATTAACTTCATTTTTATGGAAAACCTTTTTAAAATCATTATTTTACTCAATCTTTAAGTTTGATCTGTCAGATACGGTTAAAAGTCAGTGTTTTAAGTCCATTAAAAGAAAGTTTGATCAGCCTTAAAAACACGAACTGACCCTTTATTTCACTAAAATGACCCGCTGAAACTCTGACGAACAAAAATGAAACAAAATGATGATTTTATCCACAAATATAAGTCAGTAAGTGAGTTATAACCGACCAGAACCGAGACTCTGCTCACAACAAGTTTACGGTTGATGTTATTTCAAGAAAAACAGACTTTAAAAAAGAGGAAAAACATTTCAAACAAATCTAAAACGAACAAAATCCACTTACCACTGACAGCAACAAAAACAAACAGGTCATTCTTCCGGGTATGACCGTGTTAACCACGTGGTACTCGAGCCAATCAGATGGTTTCAAGAAGAAGACGGTTGGCCCGTTACTGCCACCAAGTGGGGAGAGGCTTGAACTGCAGCCGTATTTTAGAGACTTATAAACTCGAATCTTTGGGGACAAATAATGCAAATAACTGACGATTAAAATGTATAAATTATTTTATAAAGAAAAACAGATTAAAGCTTCTTTTTTTGTTTTTAAAAATCGATTAAACAAATAACTATAACTGTGCCTAGTTTTATTTCCATGCTAAGTCAAGACCACTTGTTCAAAGTTGCTTTCTCTTATCTGTTTTTCTCCCTCACACATTTTTTTTGCAAGATGTTTGTAAGACGCTGCAGATGTTTTATCAGTCTGTGGTGTCTACAGAGTTCTGCTTTACACTGAGGTCTGCTGGGGAGGAAGCTTCAAACACAAAGATGTAAGACTTCTGGTGAAAAAGGCTGACTCTGTGGTTGGACTCAAGCTGAACTCAGTGGAGGATGAGGTGGAGAGATCTACACTGAGAAAGGTGGAGACTATTCTCAAGAACATGGATCACCCACTTCACAACATCTTGATGGCCAAAGGGTTAATGGTGGTGGACGGCTCCTCTCTCTTTGCTGCAGGACAGAAAGATTCATGAGATCTTTTGTACCAACAGCCATCAGACTTTATAACTCTTGTGTAAATTAGGGCCCGACCGGTATGGATTTTTTGGGGCTGATGCCGATGCCGATACCGATTATTGGGGGGGGGGGGGGATTCGATTACCGATCAATACAGATTAATCGGCCAATTTTAATTTTTTTATGAAGTTTTAAATTTTTGTTAATTTAAGTAACATAGCTACATATTTACTTATTTTTATTAAAATATTAATATCAGTAATTTTCCACGTATGTATCATTTTTGTTACTGGCATGGCTAACAGTATAGCAAGGCTAATAGCAGTAACTTTAGCTTGCATATTACATGACCGACACCAGCACAGCGGGGAACATGGTGAAGTGGGTTGAACTGAAACTTGTTGACTTATTGTGTATTTCACAAACTGGTTTATTTCCCGTTGAGGCGGACCACTCTCCCCTGTGCGTCCCTGAGCTGCCTGCTTCAGATCCGTCACTCTGCTGTGCTGTGAGGTAGTTAGTGGAAGACTGTCATGAGGTTGCTGCGCCATCTACAGGATAAGTCGGGGAACTTTTCAAATGGCGGAACATTTTCGAAGTAAAACCGAATCTTATTCTCCGCATTTTATTTCTGAAAATATTGGCGACAATCGGCAAGTTTCGGCCGATTACCGATTAACGGGATAGATTGGCCTCCTAGTGTAAATAATAGCTAACTTTTCTTCGGGGATTAATAAAGTTCTTACTATTATTCTTAAAACAAAAAATAAATAAATGTTAAAATAAAGTAAACTCTCACATGTCTAATTTATTCCTACATTCAAAATCTACTCCAGAGCCGACATGATAACGTTATTTTCTTTATTTTTGCTCCGTTGTATTTGAGTGTTGTTAGGGTGTGAAGGAAGTGTAGTCAGACTTGTGTGTGTGTGTGTTTACAACAAGAACCACTTCAGCACCATTTTGATACCAAAACAGAATTTATTGTCATAATCAGACTAGAGGTGAGGAGTCTCACTCTTATCACTGCTGACATTCAAAAAGAAAAGAAACAAAAACTGAACAGAAACAAAATCAATTCAAAAAGGTATGGCTTTGGTTAAATAACGCTCTACTAGATTGATTTGAATAAACAGCTGTTACATGATTTCTTAAATAGAGTGAAAGAGTAAGGCTCTACAATTCCCTGAAAAAGACAAAAGTCCTGATTTATCTGCTGCATGTCAAACTAAAACCCTTACAGACCCACCTGGTGCTAATACAGTAGATGCTACTCAGACGCTGAGGGTCACTTTAGTCCTGTCCTTTATTCTCACAGACCTCCAGGATTTGATTTTTCAGTGGACTCAGAAAAACATGAAAACCGTGGACTACTTTTGGACTGAATTTGCCAGTGTTACTCGACATGGAGCTGATTTTAGGAGGGCGGCCTGCTGATGCTGAAAATGTAAAGCCGTTAAAATGCAGAAGTTTGAAATATCACAGCAAATTTATGCATCTTCTTCCATTAGTTCATCTTTTTTTCTCTCAAACATTCATCAGCTTCTTAATACAGTAATAACACTAAAAAAAAGTATCTTTGCTCTGCTGTCCCTCCAGCCGTCTCTCTCCCTCTCTTTGAATGAGTGGTTATTAAACACGCGTAGCTGCATCGGATATTTACAAAACACCTCTCAGAATAATAAACTCACACACAGTGATGATGGTGTCAGAGTTACACAACAAACCCCCGATATCTTTACGTGAATCATGAGAAAACTGCGAGAAACCGTCGTCTGATTGTTTTCTTTTCTTCTCTGAGGAGATGAGGAATGATTTGGCGGCAGAAACGTCTTTTTTTTGATATGTTAATGTTGTCTGGGTTCATAGTGGACTTGATCAACAATCACAGTAAACGTTCATCCATAAACAGTTTCCTTTGGCTGCAAACGAGGTGTGTGAGAGATTCTGACTTGAAATGCTGTTAAATTGATTCACTTATAAAAGATAATCAGCTTTAAAACAAATCTAAAAGAAACAAATAAAATCATAAAACATACCGGTGTTTTCTGCAAAAGTCAAAAGAAACTAGGACTAAATTGTGACCATAGACGTCACCTATTTCCAGTATCTGTCACTGTGATTTCATGTCCAACTTCATGCAGTTGAAGAAAGTCTAACCGCCTCTTACACTCATCACAGAGTTAAAAAGGTCAACAGGTCACCCGCTCCTGTGAAAGACTCCTGCTTTTTTAAAAAACTCCTTTTATGGTTCTCAAAATGTGACGCTCAACCAGTGAGCAGCAAAGTCAAACATGCAGAATACTTCCTGGATTTCTACAGTGTTCAGAAGATTTCTCAACCTTCTAACAAGGAAAAAAAAAAAAGAACTGAACAGATTTCAAAAGACAAAGTTGTGAGAGTTAGAGAGAAAAACACTCGACAGAATTCAGGGAGTTAAAGACAGTCCTCTCTGAACCAGTGTTCGTCAGGAAAAATGTTGTAAAGTTACTGTCAAATCATTTCATAATTAATCTTGAGTTCCAGAGCTTCATCGTCCTTTAAAAGATCTGCGCCAAACTCGTCCCACTCATGCCTTAGAGCTTACGTTACGGCTTCAGTAAAGCACACCTGTCAGTCTGAGAACAGGGCCCGTTTTACACATTTTACAAGGACAGTAGAAAGTGTTTACGTCTTGCAGAGACAGTTTGCTGCTTCAACCAAATACACATACCTGATCCACGCACACTTCCAATGTCATCATCAGGACACAGACAACCTTCTTCGACCCAATAAATCAATCAATCAATCAATCAATCAACTCCGTTCCCACCCCACCTGTGCTAAATTCAACGCTGAGCTAACGCCTGCTCTGTTACCTGCTCTGTTACCTGCTCTAACTGAACAGTTTGATGAAGCAGCCGTGGCAGTAGGGTTTGTCGTTCTGTTCTTTGAAGGTTCCTTTGTTCAGCTGTTTCAGGCAGAAGGCGCACACAAAGTGCTCCGGGTGGAACTTCTTCGACATGGCCGTGATGCAGCGTCCTGTGATGGGTTTCTGACAGCCGGAGCAGAGGGAGCCCCGGCGCTCATGGTAGTGCACTTCACAGTAAGGCTGGCCGTCGTGCTCGAAGAAACTTCCATTCACAAACGGGGTGAAGCACTCCTGTTAAAAAAATAATAACACAGATGGATGACGTTACTCTCATTCTCAGAAAGGAAACATGTTAAAAGGTGATGTCCAACAATGACTCAGCGAATCTTTAGTTTAAAAAAGGTCATGATAATCAGGTGCGTGTAATCATGTAACTTTTTATATTCACTTTTATTTATTTGTTTTTATTCCACTACCACTCGAACTCTAGAAAGCTGCAAAAATACTTACCATGCTGCTATGATCCTTTGCTTTTATCCTTAGTTTTTGTTTTTCTTATATTTAAATTAAACACCATGGAAACAAAATGCTGTGATATGGGAGCCGAGCAACAACATCAAATTGTAGAAAGGAATCACTGCTGTGTTTTTGGTAACGCTTTCTTTTACTGTACACTTATTACCAGGTAATTAACAGGTAATTACCTAGTAACAACATGAAATTATCTGGTAATTACATTATAACTACTAAGTCAATACTCTCTAGTTTTTCTTTTCTTTTTTTCTGTGCAGTTCCATTTTTAAAAGCTATTTGGGGTTCTTATTTTCTATGACTGACACTTGATGCAGCCTACAGGCGTGCAAAGATTGTGTCGCTCACCCGGGGGATACGCTGTTTAAGCTGAGTGTCATCACAGCAACTCTGCCTTCGAATGCGCACAATGCTACTGCGCAATGTTGGTTTCAGGAAATGGAGAGAAAACGCGGAATTACCGAGAGCTTTTTGGCTTCAAATCTGTATAACTGCAGAAGGCGGAACTAGAATGTCCGTATATACAGTCTGTGGGTTCAGATAATCTCCATAAACTACCACTCAAACTTGTGGTCAAGTACCTTATTTGACTATTCTAACTGGTGTTCTCAAGACTAATTGAGTCAAAAATATAGATTGGAATTGTAATATTTTTCATTGGGACTTTTATGGTTATCGCCAGAATGGCAAATCTTATTGTGATAAATTTTTTAGCCCATATCGCCCATTCCTAAAATATACAGAATAATCCTGAAAAACCTGCGTTTTCAGATGCGATGAAGAGATGCGTTCACAGACCGTGTGTTTTGGGAATGATTTAAAGTCCATGCAGTGATTTTTACTGCAGAGTCATGTCTGTTTTTAACGCAGTCTGACCTAGAGAGGGAAGTTACATTACAGATGGTGAAACCGCTGCTACAGACATGGACTCTGTTTCACAAGGAACTAAAAAGAAAGTTCGCCTCTCTTCCTCCTCTAAGTTCATTATCTGCATGTGGCTGAAAACTGTCACAGCAGGAGGGAGTGGAGGTGCCAACAGCTCTCCTCCATAATCAAAACCACAACAAGAAGAAATAATATATTAAGCTTGGTGGTCAAATAAGTGGATTTGACCACCGAGCGTTCAAAAAGAAAGAGAAGAAAAGATACCGACCCTGCAAACAAAACACTCAGGATGCCAGAGGCTGCTCAGCGCTGAGATGTAGTTCTCCAAAATGGCTCTGGCACAGCCGCCACACTTTGGTGCAAACATGTCAAAGTAATCCTTCCTGCAGTACGCTTTTCCATCCTTTTCATGAAAACCTTCAAAGAAAATAAAAACAGTTTTAATCTAGAGGAGAAAACAGAGACTGCAGCTTGAACTACTTTAGACTAAACTCTCGTAGTTTTATCGAAGTTTCGTACCCTCCGGGCCGAAGAAGGATCCACACTGAGCGCAGAAGAAGTGCTCAGGGTGCCAGGTCCTGTCCAGTGCTGTCACAACTTTCTAAACACACAGAACAACAACAACAACAACATCTGTTATCGGCTGTCTCTCTTTTTTAACAGGAAGGGGAAGAAAAAAGCAGACACTCACATCCAGGATGGGCCCGTTGCAGTAGTGGCACCTCGGGGAGAACAGGTTGTGGTAATCTTTCTCACAGTACGGCTGACCTTCCCGCTCAAAGAAGTTCCTGGAGCCGATCTCCTCCTGACAGTGCGTGCACACAAAGTGTTCAGGGTGCCATGTGCGGCCCATGGCGGTCACCACCTACACAGACGGGGGAGAGAAGAGGAGGAGAGCTGATTCAGAGTGAAACCTTTAATTTCTGCTAAAGATCTGATCTGATCCGCTTCAGAGCCTCACCTGACCCACGATGGGCTTACAGCAGGCTCCACAGACTCCTTTAGCCACCGTCTGCACTCCCAGCTTGTTCAGGTCCGACTGCAGGCTGCCGAGCATGTTGTCCAGTTTGTTGACCTGTGTGGGAGGACCGCCTGGACCTTTTCCTTGGGCCATGATCTGGATGTGAGAAGGATGAAAGTCAGTCAGTCTGGTGTTCGCGGCTCATATTCGGAGTATTTTACTTTTTTGTTTGACGGGACAGGAGACGGGGGTTCATGCCTGCATCGGAGGGAAGACTGGGTCATACTCTGTTTGGCAGCCTACAGACACCAGAACTTTAGGAGGGGTCACTGGCTCTGGGGGAGGAGGCTGGATTGGGATTTTAACAACAGGGGGCGGGGGCTCTGGTTTGGGGGCAGGAGGTTGCTGTACTGGGGCAGGTGGAGGTGAGGATTTGACTATCTGCCGGGGTGCAGCAGGGACGGGCTCCTGGATGTGGCGGAGCAGTGGACGAGCAGAGGGAGGTGGGGGAAGAGGTGGGGGTGTTGGGATGGGAGGCTGCTGGACTGGGATGGATTGCTTTGACTCTTCTACGACAGGAGGGCGGCGAGGGGCGGGGGGAGAATGAGGTGGGAGCACCTTCCTTACAGGGACGGGCGACTCAGGGGGGATTATGATCTGAAGAGAAGGAGAGAAAAGAGCAGAAGGGAAACAGAAACAGAGACAGAGAGGAGAAAATGTGGAAAACTGAAGATGAACACGATCATATTTGAGGAAATTTAGAGCACAGTGCCGCCAACCTTCTCCACCTCACTGTTGACCCCTTCAGGACGGAAACGTTGGGGTTTGGACGTGACCACAACGCCTTCAGTCAGCCAGTCATCTGACTGCTTTTTCCGTCGCTCTGAGCGGCCGATCCCGAACTTTCCCTGAAGCTCCTCGATGAGGCGGTCCTGAGACGTGTTCTTGTTCACGATGATGGGTCCCATCTTCCTGCGCAGGTGACCGTCTCGATACATGGGGTGAACGTTGGGAGTCTCCTTAGTGCGCCTAATCACTGATTTTATCTACGAGGGAAGGGTGAGCACCAAACATGTTACAGCAGAGCTCAGGAGCGGCTCATGGTGGCGCTAAAAACTTCTTCACATCACCGACAGACCAGGATGCAGCGGTCAGTGGGTTTAGTAGCACACGAGCATGCACCCGATCCCCGAGAGTCTCAAAGAACCACGCGCTGCACTCGAGTCCCTCACACAAAACTGGTGCAGCAGGTTAAGGAGCGCTGTGGTTTAAATGTGCGATCACACAAAAGTCAAAACTCCGGGTTAGAAAGTGCCGATCCAGTTCTTAAAGAAGCCTTCTGTCGTTTAACGTGATTTCACAAAGCTGAAAAATGAAGCTGTTTTTTTTTAAGTGAGTAAGGGTAGGTGTGTGTCTTTGTGTGGGTGGGAGGGTCGGGTTAAAGAGGCTTAAAACAACCGTTGTTTTTGTTGTTGTTTTTAGCCTCTGTGAGACACTTTAAACTACATTTTTGTCTGAAAAGTGCCATAAAAATAAAATTAAATTTGAAAGTAAAGTCAAAATTTTTAAAAGTAGAAATTTAAAAAAGTCGAAATGAAAAAAAAAAAAAATTCAAGATTTAAAAGAATCTAAATTACGTGAAAAAAGTTGAAATTTTAAGATTTTAATCACAAAATTTCGTCATTATTCTCAACATTTCTAATCTTGTAATTTTCCACTTTAATCTCGAAATTTAAATTTTTAATCTCGAAATTTAAAAATTTTAATCCCAAAATTTCGACTTCATTGACATAATTTATATATTTTTAATCTTAAAATGTCGACATCAATCCTGAAATTTTAACTTTAATCTCCTTCCTGTAATTATTTTTTCTCTTCATGTGACTCTTATCCTCTTCCGTACAAAGATCATGTGTCTAAACTAAAAGTTTCAGCTTTCCAAAATAACGAGAACAAACCTCTAAAGCTGAAGCCGCCTGGTGTCAGAGTATCAGTCTCATCAGCACGTGCAAAAAAAAAAAAGTACAACGTGTGCAAAACAAGCTCAGGCGAGCGCGGCGATGATGCATACGTGTCCGGATGCAGACACTCGGTCTATATTGGGAGTCTGTAGCAGGGGAAGGTCCAGGGCCACATCGGGGGTCCCAGGGCACGAGGAGGGGGTCATGGACTCATCCATCCAGCTGGCCTCTGTCAGCGGGGTCATGCTGCCATCTGTGTACGGCCTCTCGGTGTACGGCGACATGGTGCCATCGAATCCGTCATGAAAGGACATGGACAGCTCCTCGTCCGCCCAGTCCAGGTCTCCGTTCCCGTCGGTGCCTCCGTCCACAGAGCCGTCTGTGATGGTGTTGGTGGCGCTGGCGAAGGTGTCGGGCTGCACGCTGTTTCTGTCCAAGGGCAGGATGAGCTCCTCCTGCGCCTCCTGCATGTCGCCGCCCAGACACTGAGCCTCCATCTTCAGCTGCGGCTCCTCCACGTGGTTTTGTGCAAAACTCATGGCCAGCAGCTTGTCCAGGGCCTCGTCCAGGGAGGGCTCGGCCGCGGGGGGCTGCTGGGCAAAGAGGGGGCTGCTGTTCTGGGCTGGAGGCGTGGACTCCCACTGCTGTCTGCTGGGGCTGGTGCAGGCCAGAGAGGGGAGTATCACCGGAGAGACTGAAGATGGCGTGGAGGTTTTGGGGAAAGACGAGGGTGGAGATAGAGAGACAGGGACGGGGAGGGGGGAGGGAGTCTTTGGAGAAGAGAGAGGAGGGGTGAGGGTTTTTGACAGAGGTGGAGAGGAGGGATTCAAATCCAGGTCTTGGAAAGGAGGAGCGCTTTCAGGAGGACAGGATAGTTTACTGAAAGGTGAGACCCGGTCTGTGGACGGACTTGGAGACTTGGAGGACTTGTGGTCCAGCACAGTGTTCACAGAAGTCAGTGAGGGGGTGGTGGTGGTGTTGGAAGGACTTGGACTATTCCTAATCAGGTTGGAGTTAGATGAAGCAGACTGAGCGAGGACGAGGAGAGACTTGGTTTGAGAGCAGAGCATGGCTGCAGAGACATCTATGACCGAGTCCAGGTCCGGGTCACTGGCTGCAGACAGTGAGGACACAGGACTGTGGGGAGGGAGACGGTTCAGGTGGGGCATCAACGCGCCACCGTCTCCTCCATCCTCATCAATGTGCAGCTCAAAACCGGCGGGCAGAGAGAAGAGAGGAGAGGCAGAAGATTCAGACAGAGGAAGGGCAGAAGAAACCGCTGGAGGATGAGGAGGGCTGGAAGATACCGCGGCGGGGTCCATCAGAGAACCCAGAGAAGTGGGCTGGAGGTCAGAGAGGTCAAAGCAGGAAGAGAAGAAGAGGACAGAGAAGTTAACAAGAAAACGAAGATCATGATCTGATGGTGCGGTGACGCCGTCCTGCAGCTTTGTACCTTAAAGTCGGACAGAGACGCCATCAGCTCGTCCAGCTCTCTGGTGGCGCAGGAGGCGGACATCCTGGCCTGCTGCTGAGAGGACGCGTCCAGATCGCTGTGACGAGAGGAGGGGCTAGAAAAAAACACAACATGCCGAACAAAAATTCAATTTTGACTTGTTGACTTGGAACTTCCTAAAACACAGTAGACCAACGTCGACAGATCACAAGGCCACCTAGATCATCAAACTAACGGTGTCCCGCTACGATGTTAAGAAGGTTTACCGATATCTAATGACCCAGACTCACTGAAACAAGAAATAGAACACACAGACTAGGCTGGGATTTTGATTACAGGTACATTTATCTTTACCCTTATTGGTGTCGACTGTAATTGTAAATGTAACGTCGTCATAATTATTTTTTAAGTTATGATTTTAACATCTTGTTTAATTCTCCTGTTCGGACTTTTATCATTTCAATCCGTACGAATGTTTACTGTCTTCTTGTGGATCCCAGGAAGAGTAGCTGCTACTTAGGTAGTAGCTAATGGGGATCCAAATGAATAAATAAATAAATAAATAAAATATTGACCTACATCTAAAACCTCCGATACAAGCAGTCCATTCCAGACTCAGCTCCAGCACTTCTATCTAGCAGCACCCAGAGAACAGTGTGTACTAAGGTACTAACAGAGTACTGCGGAGTAGGAGTGATGTCGGCCGTGTGGAAGTATTTTTTACGTTAAACCCCAAAAAAGACGTTGCAGCTCAGTGCAAAACTTGTCATGAACAAGTTTGTGCTAATATCGGATCAATATCGGTATCGGCCAATACTGAAGCTACAATATTGGTATCGTTGTACCGGGACACCCCTACCTCAAACTGTGGGAACTTCACACTGGACTTTAAGCAGCTAAAATCAACAATAATTTGCACAAATCTGGTGATTTTACTCCAGTTGGACAGATTTTTTTCTGTTAGTAGAAAAATAAAGTAAAAGAAAGAGGAAAAAAGACCAACCAAGAATGGCCGAGTCCTCGTAATTTTCCATTTACTAACATCTTTATTTCTTCTTCAAAGCTTTTTCTGTATCTGCTGATTCAGAAAACTTAAACTCCAATAAAAGTTCATTTTCCTCTGAAACTTTAAAACTTTTTTCCTGCTTGGAGCTCCATAAAGTGTTTTCTCAAACAAGGAGAATGAGTTCAGGAAGAGCTGTGTGACTCAAACAGCCACAAACAGTAAAACAGTTGGCATCACAGAGACTCACTCATCCCAAAACAACAAACTCTTCAGCTCAAATCTCAGGGGTTCCTTATAATCTGAACTCCAATGAGCCAACTTCATTATTTTTCCACAGACTGAGCTGATAACCCTTTCACAAGCAAACTGTTCATGCACTGTTCATGATAACGACATTTATGAGGGTGATGAGATCATGGTGGAAAACACGGATCATTATCTACGACACGACACCCTGAAATAGAAACACGGACACATTTATAAACATTCCCGCCTGCTCGTCTGACCTAACGCAGAAAATCCGATCTGAGCGTACCTGGGTGAAGGCACTGTGCCCTCCAGCTCGTCCAGCAGACTCTCCACGGTCGGTCGTGTCTCTTCCAGTCTCGTCCCGTTCCTTTTGGGTTTCTCCTGAGGGGGAGGGCTCACCATGATGTCAGGGGCGCCGCCGTTCTCGTAGTGGGTGATGCTGCAGGAGGGTAAGGGTGGAGCCGCCTCCTCTGTGGACACAGAGAGTCAAGTTAACGCGGCTCATCTCAGACAGACGACACAAAAACGGCGAAGGCTGCGGGTTTACCTGTGGTGGGGAACGACGGGGAGCTCTGCTGCACGGCGTTCAGCTCCAGCAGCAGCCTGTCGAGCTCTGACAGGTTACTGCCCAGAGCGGAGGTCATGGCTGCTGTCGACGGGTCGGATGATTTCTGTTTGTTAGGGAAACTGAAGAGGAGACAGAAACAGGCGTCGGTTCATGAGACGCTGCAGGAGGAAGACAAATGTTGAAATTCTTGCTCAAAACGTTTCAGTGTTTTGCGACATGCCTGTAGACGTGGTCCTCTTCGACGTGAGACAGCGGGGAGCTGCTGCTGTCCCTGGACCAGGAGCTCTTCTGGGCTGAACCTAAAGACTGCAGAGGGTGCAGATCAGTCAGACATGCTGTAAAAACTTCAACTTAGGAGCAGAAGACCCCCCTGCAGCTTCTGACATGATATGTTCTCTTTTCTGCTGTGCTTCCTCCTTTTTATTCTGCATACCTGCTGAGAGGAGTGGATGGAGTCCGGCTGATCTACCAGGGACCCGTTCAGAGCCTCAGCTGAGGGTGGAGGGGGGACCGGAGGAGGGACCGACACATCCTGGTAGGAGTGTCCTCCAGTTGGGATGGAGTAGGGGGTCTCATCAGACAGAAACACAGGCCGCTTTGAGATGTGGGACGTCGTAGACTCCAAGTCTGCCAGCAACGCGTCTGAAAGAGTCGAAGTTTGACAGGAGGAGAGAAAAGAGATGATGTTACCTCTTTACAGCAAACAAAAGGTTTTTGATGACGCGACAAAACAGCATCAAACCGTCTCTATTTTCAATCTCAACCTTCGTCAAAACCTGGCACAGTAATTCTTCGTCATATCATCCCAGTGAACACGCCCCTCAGAGACTCATTCCTGAGCTTCTTCTGAAGGTTATTTCAACCTGCAGACATGGTCGGGCTGGAGACCAGTGAATTCTTCCCCGGGGTTATTGGGTGCTCTGAGCTGAGGCGGCTCCTGACTGTGGTGTCAGGCTGTAAACAGACAATGGCAGCGAGTCAGTCGGTCCCTCATTCCAGCCCGTCACCAAAAAAAGCTTCCTCTTCATCGCAGATCATCCCACTGAAAGGTTAAAGCGCGCCTTCGTCACCCATCTTCATACCTAAACCCATCAGGCCTTCATGAAATATCTCTCTGAAATCCCCAACATACTTTTTCCATCAGTCCGCACTATAAATACAACCCTGCTGACAATGAGAGATCTCCTTCTTTAAGCTGAGAGTTTTCTACCTCCACCTCGTTTACAGGGACGGGTCCGGACAAAGAAGCGGACACACAAAGAGTCCCTGGATCCGGTCCAGAGTTGAGGAGGGCACAGCGTTACCCTGCTGAGTGTTTGCTGGAACGCAGGAACAAAATAGAGTCTTACATCACACAATCCATCCATCCTCGGCCCGTCCAGAATAGACCGGAGTCACCGGTTGCTTACTGTTACACTACAGGGGGGGATGGTTCAAGGAACGGCTCCACTTTTCACAGAGATAAAGAAGAAGAAAGAGGACAAACTGTCCGACGACGATGTTCGCCAACTTAAAACCTGTTAGAGACGGTTTGAGTATCAGAATATTTCCTGACGGGTACCGGATAAGAGTTAGGAGCAGGTGAATGAATGAAAAAAAGTTTGTAAACTTCATGAACACACAGAAAAGTAAATATTCTAATAAAAAAGTGAACCTAAGAGTTTAAGCTGAGGTTAGTTTGTCTCTTCATCCTGACATTAAAACACAACTATCAAAGAGTTTCATCTTAGAGTTGAAGAATTCATACTCACATTATTATCGTGTCCACCTGCTGATTCTCTGATATTCCCCTCGCTGTATCATGTGTGTGTGTGTGTGTGTGTGTGTGTGAAGCAGACAGCAGCACAGACAATGATAGTGTGAGCCAAGAGGAGCGATAACGTGCCGCTGAGCTACAGAGGGGGCGTGGTCTGAGAGCAATAATAGTGTGACGCGTCCTTTCAACTTTACAAGACGCAGTGAAACGTGACCTGAGGAGCTTCTTTCACCCTCAAACCCGAGATCAAAGCGGATTAACGGTCATACTTTGTTAAAGTCATGATTTAAAGCTCCTGTGAGCAGTTTTTCCTGATCTGGCGCCCCCTCTGGACAAAGCAATGACAGTTATTTACTTGGTTTGACACCCTGCCCCCCTTCCCCACCCACCCACCTGTGGTTTCAGACATTTAAAGCTTTATAGAAATAGTCTTCCTGGCAGCCGCCTTGATTGCTTTTTTAGTTTGTTAAGAGACATAAATATTAACTCCAGACTGTTTCATAGCCGGCTAAAAACTCCTCACAGGAGCTTTAAGTTTCTCAGAAGATTATTTTAAATAGACAAGAAAATGTGTGATTAACTCCCACCGGGCTGTAATCTACCACCACTCTTCATCGGAGTCTTCAGGGGCAACGTGCTGAAGTCCTGAAGTTTGACATAAACCACTTTGGGAGCGCAGGCCTATTTAAAGCGGGACGCTCAGCGAGTGGCCCGTGTCTGTGCAAATGTGCTGAAATATCATGACAAGCTCAAAATAATCTGCACCTGGTGCTGACATGCTAAACAAGGTCTTACTGAAGTTGACTTTGTTCCTCATAAAACAAAAGCCTCCTCATAGGAAAAACACCACCATCAGTTTTTAGGATCAAGGTGAGTCCTTTAAAACGCAGCGGAAGGTTTAAAGTCACTGACTCAGATCTCAAAAGGCGTCAAATAAAAAGGATAAATGTCCCCGCACTTGCTAATTATGGTAATGTATTCCTAGAAAGTTCTTTGTGGAATTGATGGAGGGGCCAGCCGGGAAGCCTGAGGTCCTCCAAAGTATTCAGGCCGAGAAGCCAAGCTTTTAAAACCCCTCTCTAATGATGCCTCTGCACTTTTAATACCCCCTCCCACCTGCTGATTCCACACATCTGTGACTCAGGATCAGGCCAACACGCTCTCCTCAGGGGACATTTACTCATTACCAGAGGATGTGTGCCGTCCCTGGACTTGAAAGTTTGGATTATGGCAGAAACTGTCGGTGAATAAAGTGAAGACAAACAACATTTAATGCAACTCACTCTATATAAAGTACTTCACACTCATTTTGGACAATGCTGACCCAAACTCCTATCCATGACGTTCAACTTAAACCTGCAAGTTCCTGCATCTTCCACCGTTAACGCATCATGCATCTCAGTGGAAATGTCAACCAAAGAAACTCCTGGTCGACTAAAACCCTGAAATTTTTGACCAAAAATCGACTCATCGGGGGTCCGACTCTGACGGCAAACCCTCCCACCAAACATTCGACGTCAAGGAGACGTGCAGATCAAGTCAGTATTGGGTCGGTCCATCAAAGACCACATCTAGACGTCAGTGCGACGTGCAAAATAGGTTAGAAATTTTGACGTCCCCCGCCGCAGAAGCCTACGCAGCGGAACAAAAATATATGGATATCAGCACAATAAAATAAAACAATAAAACAAAAAAATAAGCATCGTACAACAAATAAATATTCGGCAAACTACCGGACGTTGATTAACATGGGCGCTTTTCAATCTTCCGGTCTCCAGCCGGTCTCTAGTGGGTTGTGCGAATCCATAATGGTGAAAACAAGGGGGGTGTTCTGAGACAGGCTGTTACCTGTGAAACAGGGGTGCTCTGAAAACACACCCATCAGTACTTGGTACATTCCTCCTGATGAAACTAACCGTAGACTGTAAATTGACACGGAAAACAATCGAGTCGTTTTGGTCGACTCAGATCGTATCGACCGAAAAGTCGACCAGTCGACTCGGACTTCACAGCCCTACAAAACAGATAATTAACTCCATGAGCTTTTGTCTGCAAATATTGATATTTTGATGACAATATTGAGCATCACTTAATATCAGACTAAGCCTGTGTACAAATGTCATGTAGCCAAAGAAAAAGCTGTGTGATTCAAAGGTTGTTGAATTGTTGGAGAACCAAATAAATACATAATAAGATCTAAAATTATTTATTTGTTTAGTTAAAGTTAAAAGTTGAGTTTCTCTTTATTTCAGCTCTAATTTGGCAGAGACAGAAATAAAGCTGTAATACTGTCTGAGCTGATTATAATTCTTATTTCCAACAACTAAATCCAACATTTCCAGCTCACATTCCTCTTAAAGGGATGGTTTCTTCTTCTTAAAGGGTTGGTACAAGATTTTTCCAAGCCTAAATGTTCACCTGAGCACCATTTTCAGCTGGTTTTCATCTACATTTAATATCAAACCCATAAAAACCAGTGTTCATCGTTATATAGAAGTCAAAGCATTATTCATAAAACAATGAAAAAAGATATCCAATATAGAGGAGTTTATAAAGGTTAAAAAAATGACAATTTTTGCCTTAAAAAAGTGATCCTGTTGAAGTTAGCCTGAGGGGTTTCTAAGAGGGTGTCAGTCTTTCTATCTTCAGGTTCAGATCATCCCTTTAATATCACGTCCTGATGCAGGTCATAAAAGGATACTAATCTAAGTTGCTACCAAAGTCTTCTTCTTCTTCTTCTTCGCTCAGCTCCCTCAGGAGGGCAGCACTGAGTCTGGCAGGAGAACCAACAAAAAGCCCTCGTCAGTCAGAGTTAGGAGCATTACAAATGCAAACATGCACTGTAAGCCAACTAACAGGCTAATCTTTTCCATTCCAGACAGGGGGTCAGAGCCGGCGTGGACAAAGTCCAATTCTGCTCTAACTGCATCCTGACTCAAAGGGCTATTGTGCGCGGTCTGGAGGAATAAAGCTGTCATCAGGGAGGATATGACTGCGACTAATAATTCAACATGAACTCATCAAACCTCAGTCAAACAAAAACACAGATTCCCTTTCACAGGGGAAGCATCTGTGGCGGCTCTGCGGTAAATAACCCTCATTACACTCAACAAACAACTCTCAACTTATGTGGACACTGTACACATTCTTGTGGCGGTGGGTGCATGTACTGTCTTGCTTGTGGAGTATGCACCCACCCACCCACCCACCCAAGGCTGTGCCACAGTCCTGCAGTGTTTATCAGATGGGAGCGAAGGTGCACGGGGAATTCCTCACATTCCTGTGTCCACTTTGCAGAAAGGAACCAATGAAACAGGGAAGGTGGCTTATAAAGGGCGCACAAAAGCTGCCAGCTTACCGAATTAAAATGACGCTTTGTATGAAACATCTACACATTCCTGTAATACCAGGTTTTATGATTCTAGGTAGAGAGCCGGGGGAGGAATGTAGATGAAAACAAAACATCATCTGTCAGAGAGGAAAATGAAAATAATGTGTTGACAATTACAGGAGCTATTCCGCTAACTACAGCGTGCTTTGAATTCCAGGATAAGGGAGATGTCAATGTTTTTACTGCCCATTTCCCGCAGAGCGAGGACTACAGTGAAAGCAGGGACCGAGGGAGGGGGGGGCGGCTAAGCTTTTCTATTAACATGTGGGCAACGGTGACAGGCCACCAGGGTCCACAGCTCACCTGTTTATAGCCAGGGAGCAAAGAGCAGAAACTGGACGCAGCCCAACGCTGAAACCCTACCCCATCAGGCCAACCCGACACGATATTTATATCAAACAAGACAGGCAGGGGCCGGGGAGAGGGGGGAGGAGGGGGGAGATGCCAGGGAGAGAGAGAGGGAGAATGTGAGTGAATGACAGAAATTAACTAGCAAACAGATTTTAAAGTAAAGTGGAAGAAAAACACATCATCTGGTTATAAGACAATTACTGCTGAGTGTCACAGCAGCCTCCAGTCAGACACACAGAATCATCTTCGGGTGATTTAAAACTTCAAAATAAACAATCCTAAAAATACCGTACCCAGCAGCCCCATATCCGAAAGATGACACGCCCCTTGAGAGAACGCCGCACCAAAATAAAAGCACTTCCCCACAGAGAGCAGTAAATCAGACGAGAGGGGAAAGTCTCAGGGGGACTGATGTAACGCCCAGTCAACGAGGACACTTTCAGAGCGACGCATGTGTGAGGAGCATATGTCAGAGAGCGGGCTTTTGTGCCGTCAGATAGAGTCGCCGGGCCGGAGGAGGAAGACTCTGAAAGAAAGGCTTTGTTGTGTTTAACACTGAGACACGACTCAAACAAAAGAGCCCGATATCAGAAAAATATCAATAAATCCTTCAAACTAAACAGAGCAAGAATGAAATAAGCCCATTTATGAATGATTACATGTATTCGAATATTCCCAAATGATAAAAATCTGAATCCTTTTGACGTCAGTAAGAAACACAGAACTGAAAAACGGACAAATCAGCAGAAAATCAGTTTTTGTTCTTTTTTTCTTCTCCTTTCCAGACAATGTTGGATGTTATGAAAGTGAGTCTTCATCTTCACATCCTTTAAACTCACACAGACTCACACACTTATTTATAACATGCTTGTACCTCTAAAGTAAATTCCTTTATAGCGCCTACATGATACACAAACTTGTGCAAAAGTCAATTTTTCTTTCCTCAGACCGGCTCTGAACTGTTTGTGTCCACACTCAGGTATTAGACTAAATACTCATACACTGACAGATAGGACTGGTTCATGGATCAGGGTTTCTAAACAGATGATATCGACTAAAACGGTTCAAACAGTTCATGATAAATCTAAGGTTGTAGACACATTCAAACTGAAAAGGCTTTACGGTTTTTTAACCAAGTGTTGTTCAACAAAGAGGAGCTGTGGGTTCAGGAGTAAAAGTGAAAGGATTTAGTTCAGATTAAACAGAAGTGGGATTTCCTGCCCTGCTCTCGGACATGGAGCTCCTCTGTTTGAAAACCTGCCCTCAGGTGTTCATAGTCTTAGTCCTCACAGACATAATAACCCTCAGAAATGTCAGCAGAAATAAATCAGCTCTGTTTATCTGATCCGGGTTTGACAGTGAAGGGAACAGCAGTGAGAAAGGTGTAACAACAACGCGGTGAAACAGCGTTAAAGATGGAAAACAGAGTGAGTGACAGCAGAGGGTCACAGACTGAAGGCCCACAGCTGCCCACTCTATCAGCGTTCGCTGGCGGCCTTCAGCTCTGACTCCACTCATTGTTTTTCCCCTCTGTTTCCTCAGGATGTGGGGCAGGGTCTGTTGCCTAAGCGATGAGGTCAGCCATGCAGCTTTCTCTTCCCCAGACCCAGAGCAGGATGGGTGTGGAGCACGAGAACACGACTGATTTACAGTCAGGAGCTTCCCTAGAGCTGAGCAGGCAGGCCTGCTGGTTAGGGCCGGTATGTATGCAGTAACCCTGCAGCAGTCACGGGGTGATGATAGCTAGTCTGGTAACACTAACTCTGCGCCGCGGACACACGGGGACACAGAAACCACTAAAGACCTTCTAAGATCTTTTGGTATGCTGTGCAAACGCTGTAAACATTTAAGAGCACGCTGCTTCTACGAGAGCCAGCTTACCCCCGCCTGGTGACTAAGACCCCCCTCTGTAAGGCCGTCACCTTGTACTAACAGAGTAAATGTTCAGCAGGTGGAAATCTCACAGCTGCTTCAGATACGGGTCAGACAGATCTGCATAATAAAGCTGAGTGACTCACACTGTTTGGGGTAAAGTCTGCGTTACTCCAAACGTACCCGCTCTTCTCAGAGGATCAGAGGAATAACTCGGTATGTTGATCATTGTTATGATACTGAAAACATGTGTTCACCGCTCTCTCTGTTATCTATTTCCTCTGCAGCGTTGGACACAACATCCTCAAAGAAAACAAAAATCTGAGCGCGTCTCTGCGTCTCTGCATGTAAGAAGTCTGACTGTTTCCAACAACATGATACAGTTTATAAAGAAGACTTTATTAAGACCATATCAGTGTGTGGCCTTGGGTGGCTCTGGACTCTTCCTTTAAACACAGTCTGTCAGATCCTGATGAGGTGATTCAGCGCTGATGATGATTAAAAGAGGAAGATAGACATGGAGCTGATTTGAACCCTGACTCACCCTGGCAACTCCCAAACAAGATTAGTACGAGTCCCAAATTATTCAAGAAACTGTGTCATAATTAACCATCAAATTTCTGTTATATTATCCTTATTAGCAGTAAAATCAATCAACACAAATAAATAATCAAACTGGCACAGAGAGTATGTGGTTTTGGGGTTTCTCGGGGTCTGGAGCTCTGTATGTGTGCACCAAAACTACGAGTCAGTTTAATCAAGCATTAATAATTTTATTTCTGTGTGGATAAAATGCTGTTTGTTTGTGGTTCCTAAGCTGTAGCGCCGCCAGTAAGGTTGTATCTATCTGGTTAATGGCTGCTGTCATGATCCTGTAATGTAGGGCTGGGCGATATGGCCTCAAATCAATATCACGATTAGGGCTGAAACGATTACTCGAGTAACTCGAGTAACTCGATTAATAAAATTCCTCGAGGCAAATTATATGCCTCGAGGAATCGTTTAAATCCGGAACCATGTGCAGCGCACGGTGTTTGACACGGACGGTTATTTCTGTTGCGCAGAAGCGTGCTCTTTCCGCTCCTTCCGCTGCCGCGCGTTTGGTTCAATCATGGAGGGAAACGAGGACAGACAGAAGCTGTGTCCGAAATGGCATACTGCCTGCTATCTACTTACCTACTCAAGCAGTAGCTACTGCCTACTGACTACTCAAAGATGATTTGAGTATGCCGCGGCTGCCCGAGCGTTTACACACATACATACTAAATACCCCAGAATGCATTTCGTGCCGGCCGGACGCAGCGCCGGGAAAATTTAAATAGTCCTACCACAAGCTACATAGAACGACTGCATACCGGACAAATTATATAAATTCATTCAATAATAATATTTTTTCTAGCGAGAAAGTAAGTGTTTACATCACGATTATGAGCCCAGTTGTTTGAAATAGTGGCTGTTTGTAAATTTGTCTCGGCGTTTTCGGAGACCGAAGCGTCCACTTGGTCGGTGTTTGCGTCTATTTACCGTAAACACCGGGCAGCAGCAGCTCCCCCTTCACGTTTCCAAATTATTGTGAAGTGTTTTCATAATCAACATCTACACGACACAAACCGGGCGGCAGTGGATGAAAAAAATCACACAAACATCCGTGTATCCATGGTGATAATGCTATACACCACCTGCTAGGCGTGTGATGAGCAGCAGAGGGCTGCAAAATGACCAACACACAACAACATGTAAATAAAAATGTAACACTTTTATATATTGAATAAATGTACATTTGCTTGTCAAATTATGTTAGTATCCAAGAATTATATTATTTCAGCCTATTAATTAAACAAGTAAACTTAGATCCAAAGCCTGGAAATAGTTGTGACTGGTTTAGTGAAAACTGCAAAGATCATTACCATAGCAATTAAAAGACCATCTGCAGACCTTGCCTTCAGTAGTTTCATGTGAACTACATGGTAAAATGTAAAACTTTTGGTTCCTGATTTATGCAGTAAAAATATTCATTTGAAAGACCTGGCCTATTTCAGTTTGTGTGTTACTGATGGTTTTTAATGAGGCAAACGTGATTCAATGCAAAGTATTACAGTGAGAGCAAAACATTTCTTATCCGATTACTCGATTAATCGACAGATTAATCGATAGAGTACTCGATTACTAAAATAATCGATAGCTGCAGCCCTAATCACGATATATTGATCAGTTCACCTCGATAACGATAAATGGATGATAACTACTCCACAAGCTGCTCACCCCCTCCCACATTAACTTCGTCTACTTCAGCTGCTACAACTTTTGAACCGTCCTCCATCTCCTCACCTGTCTTTCCCTCTTTGTTACAGACTGGATGGGGTGGAGTCACGTCTCTGACGTAGGACAGCATCTTAAAGGGACATGAGACCATAGCCTACCTACACACATCCAAAACCAACTTTGATTTATTTATTTAATCAACACCAAATATACCGATTTGTGCAAAATGACGTTGGTTATTGTCGTAAATTTCAGTATCAGTAAATTTTCAGTTTATCGCCCAGCCCTACTGTAATGCTCTACTACCTGTATGTAAACAAGCACAGGTGAGATCTAAACCACTTAATGTACAACCAGCACAAGTATACAGATGTTACCCTGCAGAGAGGGTCAAAGGTTAATTAGCTTTAACTATATTTGATGATTGATCGAAAACTGTTCACTTGCAGACTCTTGGATTTCATTTTTGTCACATCAGTTGTGCAGTTGACTGTTTTCTGAGTAGTGGGTTAGTCTGAATTATAAGTCACTTAGGAACATAAATCACAAGAAGACAAAAGGCAAAATAAATAAAAAAGTATAGACAATGCATGAGTGGTTTAAAAATTTTGATATAATTCATCTTGAAACATGATCTCCGTCTCAATTATCTGCAATGATCTTCACCAGAAATGAGAAAGAGATGTTATAATGTGAGATTTTCTTCCTTAAAGTTATTTGTTGGGGTAAAAGGCTGCATTTATAGCTTTACATCAACATGTTAGTGCAAAATTTGTAAGTAATGAATAAGAAAGGGTTTTATGTTTCAAGAGAGATTGATATCAAGCTAAATCTGCCACAAACCGAGGAACATCATCACTCATATTTCAGAAATGAACAGAATTTACTCTCAAAATTAGGTGCAAAGGTAACTGACTTCAGCAGCACACGTGTGCACAGCTGCTGCTCAAACGCTGATGCTGCAGCTGTAATTAACAAGAAGACAAGAACCACCAACGAGACACGTCTGCTCCAGAGAGTCCTCCACAGCCCAGCAGTGACGCTGGTCCTCCTGAATCTCACACAGTCCTGTTATATTCCCCAAGAGGAGACCTTCATACCTCACAGCCATCAAACACAGGAGCAGGACAAGCTAAAAAAAACAGTCTGCTGCTCTATGTGATCTCGCTCAGGCCGCCACCTGGTCTGAAATTATAGGAGATGATCCGTGGAAAACTCTGAGTCAGAGGGACAGACCAGGAGAGCGCTCACTCTACGCCGAGGGAATCCCCTTCCTCGAGTCCTCGAGTGTTCACAAATGTGTGCAGATCAATATACACACACAGAGAGTGACAGAGGACAGGAAGAGGGAAGTCTGATCAGGTTTCCAAACAGCTCCATGAACACCCGTCAGTCATCGATGAACCAGGGGCCTGAGGGGGCTGTTAGCGGGGGGTTTACTGGAAATACAATAAAGTCCGACCATAAAGTATTTACAAACATTTACAGCGGTTTGTTATCGAATATTTAGAGTGGATGTTGGAGAAATTCGCAGCATGACGGGTGAGTTTACGTCTCTATGACAGAGTAATTGAACGCTGATTAACTTTACGTCCTGTGATTGTCAGACCTCAGAGCCGCTTTCAACAATCTCTTTTAATCACCAGAGGACCCACGTTTGATGAAAACCAACCCAAAGCAACAGCCTGCGTGGAGCTGAGAGCGGCGGCGGTGGGAGGTGAGTCATGACCCAGAGAGTATTTGGCCTTGGACCCCGACACGGAGTGATGTTCGACATTCCTCGGCAGCCTCGCCCCCTCCTTCAGCCCGCTGTTCACACTGCTTCACCCAGACCGCAGGCTCCCTCTCCACCAACAATCGGGCCTTTCAGCGGCCCGTAGCAGCTCCAGCATCTAACATGCCCGCGAGGTATTCTCACAGCGAGCCAGACTCGAAATTCAGCCCATCATCTTTCCACTTAAACAATCCGCAAATCCATTTTACTGCCTCTGGACTCGTGGAGTATCAGGGCATCACCAGAGCGGCTTTGGAAATGATTTACCCTGAATTAGCAAAGTAAATATAGAGAAGTGACCAGCTGGTTAAAACTATAACAACAAAATTAGAAGTTCAGAGGTGCAGTGCAAAAGGTCAAGGGTCAGTGCACCGAAAAGGTGGCTGGTTAGTGCGGCACAAAAAATAGATGGAGCAGATAGACGGGACGGAGCTGTACAAGGACAGAGTGGGTTTGTAGTCGGAGTAAATTCATGGTTTGTGGTGATGCTGATTAACTGAACAGTTTCTTCTGTGATTTAAAACAATCCTCGACACGTGGATCCACATGAAGGGACCCAAACACTGCAGCATGCATGCCAGGTCAATAGTTAAACAGATCAATAGTATTTCGATATAGAGGAACAGCCATTATGCATCATTTCCTATTGAAGAAATTTCTGTGTAATCACTCCCTTTGTTATGTCACCCATTGTTTAACGGCACCATTTGATGACAGTCACCATTGTTACTGGAATTGCTGACTTACTTTTCGGAAAGAGGTGGAGTCGAGGTCGTAGTCTTGCTGCCTGACAAGCAGTTACAACGCGCCAACCTTAGACGACCCATTCAGACTCAATCCGCCATTTAACCAGGCTGTAAACAGGCCTGAATAGGCGGTAAAAAAGGTCAGTTTAACTTGTGCTCATGTGTGAGGGTTGCATGAGCGTTTGGAGACAGCCTCAAGTGGACACTGAAGGAACTTTATGAAAAACATAACACTACTGTGAGTTTCACTTTGAAAGTTATGATCAATGTGGGAGTAAATTATTAAATCTGTCTACTATGTAATAGGGGAGAATTATTCTGGGAGGCACAGACACTGATGTATATCTGCACTGACAAAGAGTTAGTTCCTGTAGTAGAAACCAACAGGAAGACCAGACAAGGTCAGCGACAAACAATGACTACTCATGATCCAACTTTTACCCACAACCAAGAAGAGCTACTGTTGATAGAGCCTCTGACATTATAAGAAGGGTGATATATAGGAGCCCATTGGAAAAAACAAAGTCAAAGTCTTTATTATTTAGCTGGAAATACAAAAAAGACTAAGATCAGTATTAATGCCACTGTGTGACCTAAAAGAGTAACCATTAACGGGAAGGGTGACTGTGTCTGTGCTGGTGGTGTGAAATATGTAAAAAGTGTGAACCCACATAGAGAATAAGTGTCATAACAAGTGATCGACAGCTAACCCTTAATACTGCCTTTTTCATCTGCAAAAACTAATAATGAGAGATGGATTAGACCACTGAAGGAAAAACCACTTTGTCTACAGGGATCGACACAAATCAAGAGTGAGGGGGAAGAGAAAGTAAAAACAGTCATAAAATGGGATGATGTGCTTTTCTCCTGCTTCAATTCTTCTATGCTTTTTTTGGATGCCAATTTGATTTAAATTGTGATTCTTCCATATTTCCCCAAAAAACACAAATCACATGTAAGTCAGTTCTTAAGATTTAAGGTCCTTTCACACCGGGAGCGTTTTTTTTCGTGTGATTATTTCGTCTGATCCACTGGTATATCCAACATGGCCGACCTGCTGATTGTTTACGCGTTTGAGAACAGAGTGCTTTTTCATAAAAACACAAACATTACAAAGATAACGACTAGAAGGACAACTTGTGGAGAGTCATAGCGTCGGGTTTCTCATATGACGATGGTTTGTGTGCTTTAACAGTTTGCTAAAAGTCTTTGTTTTAACTTTCATCTGTGCTAAGTAACTTTAACTCGTAAGCTAACCTGTTCAGATACAACATACCATATGTATTTTCACTGTAAACTCAAACTCAATCACAGCGTTGCTGTCACAGCACCATTAGGTCTCAGTTGTTACCTTACGTTTATGGATTATAGTTTACTGTTCTTATCTGGTACTGGCCCCGACTCAGTACATGCTATCATGACAGACAGACATCTCAACACTAGAGTCTAATCAGAACTGAAAAACACTCAGTCTGCTGTTGGGTCAGTCTTCTCACTTCCACCCGGGACGCGTCTTATGTGTATAGTCAGGCACATCAAAATTCGCCTCTAAATATTTCATAATTTCGCGTCGTACATTTGCATTGGTCTCGGTGTGTAAGGAACTTTATTCTAAAATCTATTTTTGAACATAAAAATCATTTTAAAACTGTAAAACAAAAAATGGCGATACTTCTGTGAATTGGTTTTTTCCCCACCCCTATAAAATGTAGGGTTATTCTAAAATGTTGAGTGTACAATCTTGCTATTAATTAACAGGTGCGGTTAAATGATGGTTACTCCAATTAACCTGTTAATATCAACTATTTCCCAGCAGATACATGAGAGCATCACTAGTTTTCTTCTTTCTAATTTGACTCTATGGCCACTAAATATTCACTACACACTACATTTACAGATCATTCTATTCTATCCATGCTCTCCACTTGTAAAAACGACTACACAGTTGATTTTAGGGTCCATAATTGAGTCTCAGTGCCAGTAAAGTGTGCTCCATCAGACTGCTGATATATCCATAAGCAGGCTGGGCTCTCTGTGCTGTAGTGAGAGGTCTAAATGAGGAGGAGGCCTGTTGACTCCAAACACTTCAAAGCTGGAATGAACAGCCTGAGGGCAAAAGTTGAGGAGGTAATGCAAAAGCTCGGTGTCAAAAAGTCAGCCAAGTATGTCCTCCCTCAAGCGTACAAACTGATGAAGATTAATTCCTCTAAAAGAGCAGGAAAAGTGGACCTTGGGTTATCAGAAATGTAGACGTTGCTGCTGCAGAGAGGGAGAGTTTAAAAGGAGGAGGTGGTGAAGGCTAGCGATGCGAAACCGCTAAGTTACTACGATGCTTTTTTTTCAACGAAGATGATAAAATGTGAAATCAACCCGAGAGTCATTAAGCAAAAGTCTGCAGAGACAATTCAGACTGAAAACAGACACCTTAGTGTGAGTAAGGTGACCCAGAAAGTGTCTTTTCAACACCAACTCTTGTCGTACGTTAACTCCTCCACCCTGCTGTCCGCTTCTCATAAACGTTTTATTAACACTAAATATATTTTTAATAAACTTTCTTGCTCACCTAAATCGTCCATGGTGGCTGCCTGGCTTTAGCCTGAGTCAGATTGGTGTTTCTTGAGTTTCTCAGTCGTTCACGGAGGTTTATTTTCCTCTCCAAACTTCACCAACACCAACACCACCGCCACTGCTGCTGCTGCTGCTCTGAAGTTAGTAAGGATAGCTCTCGTGAACGCGCCTCAGTATGTGCATGTGTACTTTACAGGAGCGCGCTCCAGGCCTGACAATAAAGGGTGAGCGACGGCCAGTGGTCAGGAGCTGGAATTACATACAATTGTTTATTATGGCGCGTCCGTTAATAACAAAAAACAAAACAATAATAATAATAATAATAAAAATAATGATAATATTGATGCTAATAATAATAAAAAATAATGATAATAAAAATAATGATAATATTGATGCTAATAATAATAAAAAATAATGATAATAATAATAATGATAAAAAAACAAAAAATCATCATCATCATAATACTAATAACAAAATTAGCTACAATAATATGATAACAATTATAATAATAATAATATTAAAGTCCTGTTATTTTTTAATTTTAATTATAATTGAATTATTATAATATCCATATTCACGCCTCTATGAAATATACAGCACTTATAAAATGAATAACTATAATTTAAGAAAAAAAGCAATCATGATAATTATAATTATTATAAAATTTTATTCATTGATATATAATTATATTAACATTATTTTTATTATTTTAAATATTTTATCATCATCATACATGTTATATTACATTATATTCACACCTCTATGAAATATATCTAGCACTTTAAAAAAAAATAATTAAAAGCATAAAACAATTATTATAACTGTTATTTAATATAAGTAATATCGATTGAACTATTATTATTACCACTACTACTACTTTTATTTTTAGTAATTTATATATTCTTATTTTCATTATTAATTTATATATTATTACTATATTCACACCTCTATGAAATATATAGAACTTATAAAATTAATTATAATTAGAAGAATAAAATAATTATTTAAATATTAATAGAAATATGATTAGAAAATAATATATTATCATGTTTATTATTATATTATTTCATTATTAATCGATTTATTATTATTATTATTATTATTATTATTACTATTATTATAAACATATTCACATACAGCACTTATTTCACACAACATTATCTTGATGATGGCGTCCTCTGAGTCTGATTGAAAAAAAGGGAAGCTGAGAGTGTATGAAAAAGCATTTATTGAGTTTCTGAAACACCTCGGAATGTGATATGTCATCATATCCTGCACAGATTGCAGGATTTCACAAGAGGTAGAGTAAAATAAACTAAACATGCCAACAGTGAGAGATTCCAATCAAAAGAATGTGACAAAGTTGAGTCTTTTTCAGCCAGTGTAACACACGTTTTAACTTAAAAGCTTTCTCAAGCATATATGTGCAAGTGGCCAACTTCAAACCTCCTGATGATGATGTTCAATTTTTAATAACTCATCAGAAACGCAAAGTTTAAAAAAAAAACAGAGTAGTGGGTATAGAAGCTTTTGTAGACATTGGCAGTTACAAACCACTGCCTTGTGACTAACAGCAGAGGCAAAACCTAACAAACAATGAAATAAACAAATCATAGCTCTAAAATTGATTGTTGTCCTTATGAACATGTTAAAAACAATGTCCCAAATCCCCAATCTAGGTATAAGAGAACTAAATGAACTCTCTATGCTCTGAACTGGAGAATTTAACCAAAATAAAACACTACAAATAATTGTATAATAAATATCGAATTTGTGTTGTGAAAACAAATAAGACAGTTCAGAAATTAGAACTGTCTTCCTTGTAAAAATACTAAAAATAATTTCATCAGTGAGTTTTATGATAGATATTTGTTTTAACCTATAAAAGAAGAGACTATTGGTGTCAAAAGTCTACTGATTTTAGCTTTTTCTCCTCCTTCTCAGTGAGAGGCTGCTGGGAGAGAATTTTGTTATGCAGCCGGTGGTGTTTGCCGATCCCAAGCCTCGGCAGACCACGGTTCAACCCCTCCAGCAGAACACATGACTTACACAGAGCCTGGCTAGAGATGTAGCCACAGCGGTCACAAGTTCCCTGCACAGGCATCTTCACCCCCTCCCGCACCGACAAGTTCTCCCCTGAGTGTATGACATCCATGATAGAGCTGGGCCTGACACTCTCCAGGTCCTTTAAAAAGGTCCTTGCATGGCCTCGGTATGCATTTGGAGAGTAGATACATTCAGTGGAAAAGTAGTCCAACTTCTTGAAGTACGCATACAGGACAATCTCTTTCTCATACGCGTACTTGAGGGGCTTGCAGCGTGGAACCACTCCTTCGCCTTCACTGGTCGTGGAGATGTCAGTGCAGCGGCGTAGGCGAGCTATATCTCCTCGCAAGATGTTCATGAAAACGGTCTCTGCCACGTCATCAGCATTATGCCCTAAACATAAACAAAACATAAAGTCACAGTCACAAATTTACACAAATCATCCAGTAATCTTGCCCGGGGTCTGATTCTTTTTACCTGTACAAATCTTGTCCACCTTCAGCATGATGGCCCCTCTGTCGAGTGCCTGCCTTCTGAACACTCCACAAAAGGTGCAGTTGTTTTTCAGCCCCACCTGCTTCACTATAGCATCCATAGTCCAACCATACAGCTCTTCATACGACACTATCTTCAGCGGCAGTTCATACTGTTCTTGGTTTCTCTTCACTGTCTCCAAGGAGTCATCCCTGTAGCCAGTGATCCCCTCATCGACTGAGAGCAGCATGAGTTCAAGGCCATAGTTGTACCGCTCATTTAGGAGCTTCATTACATGTGCGAGTACCGTGGAGTCCTTTCCTCCCGAGGCAGCAATTCCTACTCTCTCCCCCTGTTTGAAAAGCTTCGCTGCCACGATCGTCTGATGCACTTCCTCCTCAAAGGCCCAGAAGAAGCACTCCTTACACAAAGAGTGGGCAGTTTTAGGGCGTTTCAGCACGGCCCGCTTGTGAGAACAGCTGCTGCACAGGACGGGCATCTTGACTAAGTAGGGATAAGAAAGTTTGTCAGATATTTGGGGCATCAGTTCAGCATGGATGGTTTTCTGAAGCACTTTCAAATCAATCAATCAAATTTTATTTATATAGCGCCACTACACAACAGACGTCATCCCAAGAACAGGTCTAGACCACCCTCATTGTTTGACGAATTATCAAGACCCAACCTAAGATGGGATTTGGACTATGTTAAATTAATTTAATGTGATTACAATCAGCAGGCCTAATAGTAGTTAACTCTAGTTTTATCTTATTAATGTCTGTAATGTTTCTATATGGAGACTTTCCTATTGACTCATTAGTCACAGGTTCTACTCCTGGCATATGTCTCCAAAACTTTTACCTTTTAGGGTGTTTTGTTCAGTGTTTTTTCCCCATATGCTTTTAAACATCTGACCCTTACTGTGGTAATCTTATAGTTATTTTACTGTTATAAACTGGACTATAAGCTCCCACTCATAGGAAGATCATTTGGTATGCTGTTTGGAAAATTTTCCATTTTAAAAAATTGATTATCTTAAACCAGCCTTTTGATTTTTTAAGGAAAGCTGGTGTTAGAAACTTTAAGTTAAGTGTGGATTTGTTAACCTGCAGTAACAAACTTAAATACAGCAGTTGTACTGAAGTAAGCATGTAAATTCCACGAGCAGTGTTAATAAATTTAGAGTTTTGGAGAGGACATTTGGCACAAAAACGTTAGGTACTAAACGTGTACTGATACATCGTCCATCCTGCCGATCGATCAGCGCCAATTTCCTCAATTTTGAGGGATTGTGATCAGCTGATCCTTACACATAAAACCAATATTATCCACCGATCTTATCTACCTCCGCAAAGGTCTGAAAGTCAGCTGTTGTAGCTGTTTGCTTTTGCAGAATGACAGGCCCGCCCACCAGTTTAGTTTGTCCTGTAGATTATAATTTTACTAACTTCCTCAAATCAACTTCCTTTTTTTTTTTTCTTAGGATGTTTAGTATATTTAGTCTGTATTTATTGAATATACTTAGTATCTTTAGTCTGTATTGTACTTACTTCTTCTTATACTTAATTTTATTCTGTATTTTTAGCCGCTGTAACATTTGAATTTCCCAGTTTGGGATAAAGTGATTTCCTTTGTTTGTAAAAGCAAAATACTGCTGTGCACTTTATTTTGGTAAGAGGCTCAAAACAGGCCTGCAGTGTGACCTGTTGCACAAGTATTGTTAATTTTTAAAATGTGGAAAACGGAAGACTAAAGGAAGTGATATAATTTTGGAGTTGGGACAGCAATATTGGAAACTTTGCATTTATATTTGAGAGAACTAACTCATGTGCAGTTAAAACAAACACAAAAAGGTTTGTATTGTTTAATGTTTTTCATTGAAATAAGATTGGAGCATTGAAGATGTATGTTGTCAGTTATAAAGAGAAAGAAAAAAAAGGTATCGGCCAAAATCGGTATCGGCAGAAGATCGGTGAAAATTGTGATCATGCACCCCTATTGGGTACCCTACCAAAATTATCTGTTTTGATGGCAAATAGACAACAATATTGAGATGGAGCTTACAAAACAACCCCCAAGCTTTCCATACTTTAATTCGAAATTGATTTAAATAATAAAATCAATTAGTAAATGATGGACAGGTAGCTTTCTGGTTCAGATTTTGGTAACAGCTGCTGTGCCACTAGCAGGTGTTTCGGCTTGAAGTGTGACCGTGCTAACGAGTGACCCTCCGCCGAATGCGTCAGTGGTTGTCGTCGTGAATAAACCTTTTTTTCACCAAATTGTCAAAACGTACTCTTTAAACATGTCTTTAATGACAAACAGGAGGCATTATCAAGACAGTTCACATCAGCTGTAGTAACTACGACAATCACAGACGAATTCGGCAGACAGACATTTGTAAGGTCACTCTTTAAACCGAAACACCGGTAAATATCAAACGTGTTAGCTATTTGTGCCACGCTAAGTAATTACATTCGTAAAAATGAGCATTTCCATACCAATGTGTCCGATGATCCAGAGTCAGAGCTGAAAATATTAGTTGGATACAATAACAAAAACACTTTTAAACCATAACTTTTCCAATAAAAGCTTTAAACTAACAGGAAAAGTATCGTTAGCATGTTGTTTCATCATGTGTATGCGGCTCTTCTTCACTCGACCAGAGGAAGTGATGGTGGTTGAAAGTGTCTACAGCACAGCCTAGTGGTGGAAATTGGTCATAGCATCTTTAAAACCAGTAAACATTAAACATTACTGACTTTGAGGCTTTTAAAATTAAGATGCTGTTGTCTGAAATAACTTATAGGACATTAGAAAAAGTAGCCCAATAATACGACAAAGTTAAATGGTAAGCAATAAGGATTTATTACTTCGCTTCAAACAAGGGTCACTACTGCCACAGCTGCAGTAGATATCAAAATGCTGTGTTGTGCAAATGTAGGACACAGAAGGTTTATTGCAGAAGGGGAGAGAGGCTGGGGAGGTCAGAGGTCGAGACAGGAAAGAGTCACAAGCTTAGTTGACGGGGTGGAAAGCACCCCTCTGATGCCACTGCATGTCTCTGATGCGCCGAACGGACTGGATCTGAGGCATCTGGGCTCCGAATTCAGCTGTGTCTTTGTACTCCCCTTTTTCAAACAGGTACTGAAAGCCTCTGTAGCCTGGGTACTGATAGCCTACCCAGCTGGTGCGGCAGGAACACAGAGAGGGGGAGACAGATCAGAGAGACTGTTAGAGGAGTAGTGGCAAAAAACATGCAGTAGTTTATCACAGAAGAGGAGTGACTTACGTGCCACTTTGAACCCGCACGGAGGACACCTTCTCCTGGTATCCGTGTGCGTGAAAGCTGGGCACGTCGTCATCTAGGATTTCTATCTTCTTCCCTGTGAAGCTGGGGTTCTCGTAAAGGACAATCTTGTGCTCCTGGCTGTCCTGAGAGGCGAGGAAAGACGTTGACTCGATAAAAGACTTTTTAATCAGCTAATGGGATGATTCTTGGGGTACGTCAGGGTGAAAACTGCTGTCTTACCACTTTAATCGGGCGGAATGCAGCAAGGGTGTCACTACGCCTGCTGTTGGTCCAGGAATCCCAGCGAGGATACTCCCCCTTCTCAAACACATACTGCTCCCCCTTACAGTTTGTCTGCTCGTATCCCACCCATCTGAGAAGACAGAGGAGAAAGAGACGGAGTAAGGGCACATCCTTCAGGTCTCCTTCCATCTATCCTCTACTCATTCACAAAGTTATAATAATAATAATGATAATAACTTAAGAAGTTTACATAGTGCTTTGACATGTAGTCATAGAGCACATGGAAAAAGACACATAAAAACAAAAAGCTCAGTTAAAATGGAGTTGAAGGCCATTTTCATAAGACAATACAAGAACCATGAAACATAAAATGAGACCATGAGGACCAAAATAAAAACATGAAGTAGTTAAGAAAAAAGAAAATGCAATTAAAAGGAGGGTTGAAAGCGGAAACATATAAAAGACAATATCAACAATGATAATAAAATAATAAAGTAATACTGATAATAATAGTAATAGTAAGATAGAGCAACAGAAACAAGGACAATAAAAGGCCTGAAAAGTTAATTTAGAAAAGAGTACAAGTTTAACAAAAGCTAAAAAGACAGTAAAGCTGAAATAAGATGGAGGTAAAAGAGATAAGAGATAAAAGACAGCATCACATAAGAGCAAGTCTGTAAAAGTGAGTTTTTAAATCTCACTGTCTCTGCACGCCTTATCTCCTCCGGCAGGTCGTTCCAAAGTCGAGGAGCTCTGATGGAGAAAGATCTATCAGGCTCCATCTTACATTTGTGATCTGATCCAGCCTTACACCCCCTCTTGGGCCCTCTTGCACACTCGTTTTCGGACCAGAGGAGATCCATCCTTCCAGGCTGTTCCCCCCCAGGCTTTGGAATGATCTTCCTAATTGACTCTGTTGACTCCTTTAAAGCCAACTCAGAACTTATTTATTTGCTCAGGCTTTTGTTTAATTGTTTTGGGGCTGCTATTGGGGGCTACTGTTTAAAGTTGTTGTCCTGACATTTTTATTTTTGTCTGTGTGAAGCACTTTGTGAGTTTTTGGTCTGTGAAAAGTGCTATACAAACAAAGTTTACTTACTTACTTATTTATCACCTTTAGTTTGGAGTCTCGACTTTGGAAGGACCAGGAGGCCTTCGCCAGAGGATCTGAGGCTTTATCAAAAGCTCTGAAATGTAGCTTGGAGAAAGTCCCTTAAGAGCCTTAAAAGTAATCAATAAAATCTTGAAATCAATTCTAAAACTGACAGGAAGGGAGGCTAAAATTGGAGTGATGTGATGCCGTCGACTAAAACCAGTTAAAAGCCGAGCTGCTGCATTCTGAGCTAGTTGGAGGCGGGAGACTGATTTCTTATCTAAACCAGGGAGGAGAGAGTTTCAGAGTTACAGTTAAAGAAGATCCCCCCTCTTTCTCTACTTCCTTGTCCAACATTCGAAATAATTTTCTGGTTCTCTGTCTGTCTCTGACCCACACTCACGGTCCACACAGCACCAGTATGGAGCCCACTTTCTCCACGCCTGCTTCCTTGAGGTTGTTACAGGGACCAGTCAGCTCGTGGCACCGTCCCTGGAAGTTTTCCTGCTCATAGATGATTAGCTGTGCAAAACAAAACAAAGACATGTAAATAGAAACACAATCATAGGGAGTCCATGAAGTTTAAATATCGATTTATTGTCTCACCTTTAATGCACTGCTGCCTGGCTGCTGCTGCTTGGATGCAGGAATCTGATGGTCTGTGGCCATAGTGGGTCGGGAAAGACGACTGAGAAGACACAAACCAAATGAGCTGATATCTGTCTTTTAAAGGTTCTGCATCCCTGTATCTTAAATATGACATTTATCGTCTTTTAATCAGAAAATTACAGCAATAAAATAATGTGACACTGTTTTTGGACTAACTTGTAATAGTTTTAAAATAATACCAATTAAAAAATACTTAAAAAATATAAAAAAAATAAAAAAAATAGAGCATGGTGAACATGAACCTCTTACCAGTGCCTGTCTGTGCCAGTGTGTTTGTGATGGCACAACGGGCTCAATATATACGGGACGCCCAGGGGTGGAAACTCTGCCAACAGTACCCGCAGAGTCCCGGCAGGCTGCAGACCGGCCCGCCATAGGCCCAGCACACTGAAGTGAGGGGGTCACCATGTAGTCTGCCCCCACCCTGGAGTGTGGGGGTGTCACAGTCCCGCTAAGTTATTCCATTAGTTGTCAGTTTTGTCCAGCCGGTTATTGTTCGACATCCACATGATTCAGCACAAACAGTGCCAAGAGTCCCGCACCTACAATGAGCCGACAGAGAGGGAAGGATTGTAAAAGATGGGTTCACTGTGTCAGAAAGAGTCAGGCTGATCCCGATAACAGCCCAAATGAGGCTGAAACTTTCAACTGGAGGACTTTGACTTTGTAGATTTATCTACAATAAATTCTTTACCACTCTTACGATCTAACGTCACAACTTATCTCTACTTCTGTTTGACATTTTACAGCTCCAAACTTGTGTTTCTTAGTCTGACTTCATAGCTGCATGAACCGTTTTCTGTATTTGCCAGTTTTGCTGAATATTCAATATAAGTCAACATCACGGTGCAAGTCTGAGGCTTTACATCTCAGCCTCTAATAGGGTTCATTTATCTGTACATATTGATAATGTAGATGACAGTCGATGGACAGATGTGAGGAACATTATGAAGTATCAGGACACACTGAAAATAACCATCACACTGATTTAAAGTCTGAATTATTTTACGGCACACTGGAAAGATATTCTGAATTTGATGTTGTACTTTTGCGAATGTTGATTTGATTTAGGGTTTGGGGGTTTTAAAAAGGGGTTCGCCACAGCTTTGGGTAGGATAGGGGGCAATGGGGAGGAAAGGGATAGTCCTGAAAGAGGAGGAGCAGTTGAAGTGTGATCCTGCTTCTGAAACTTTGCTACCCAGCATCACGTACGTGCAAAACAATCATACTGTTGCTTCTATTACTGCTAATCCATGCTCCAATTTTTTCTAAAGTGAGTTATAAAATTGATATTCTTATGGTTAAAGATCTTCTGAGGAACTTTCTGTTTGAGTCAACTTTGGCGCCCCCTGTGGACAAAGCAGCCTGTGCTTATCTTGTCCTCTACATGCTGAAGTTGTAACTCGAGTTGAAAGTGTAAACCCAGGCCTGTTTCTTTAGCTGTTTGGCTGACTCCTCCCTCTTGAATGTCTTCAGTTGTGTTTTTTATGGTCTTGTTTCCTTTTGTTTGTCATAAACAGCATCAATAAGAATTTCAGTCAATTTCAGAGACATCAAAATAGAGAACTTCTTATCTTGATCCCTGTCACGGTGCAGTACAGTTTCAGCCTTAAGAAAGCAAAAGGACACCTGACCAGCTTCAGGGGAACTCCACAGACCTCTGTTTAGATGTGGGAAGATTAGAAAGATGCCTGTTGGGGAAAAGTTTGAAAAAACTATCCGTCTCTGTGATCCTGTGGTTTCTGGTTTCGTGGGCTGTTTATAGCGTCTTCAAATACAGTAGATTTTTTTACATATACATCCCATTTTGAGTATTTTGACACGATCAAGAGGTGCTCTTCTTAAAGTCAGCGGTGACTGTTTATGTCTGTTTTCTTATTTTGGTCTTAGGATGCAAGAAAAGGCCGCCTCTGAGTACAAGCTTGTTTTTCTTCCTATCCCTGTGTGGTCGGTTATTTCTGCCTTCAACGCAGAGGTGGTAAAATCGAGTAAAACCAGCTGTTTAAAGCCTGAATGTTCACCTCCTGTTAATGAAGGCTCACAGGTTTTAATAGGAGAAGGGCTGAAAGAAAGATTATATGTGTATGCTATCACGTGTGTATTTTATCATTATATAAGTATGTTAATCATCATTTACTGAAACTCACTCGGTGTGAATGCTTTCACAGTCATATCTGTTTCTTTTTAATGAGCATCGGAAAGGAGAAGTATGACCTTGGAGTCGGGACTGATACTTTTCCACTGAAGCCATGCGACTACATGAACGCTATAATTTCACTCACAGGTTGTTTTCCCAACAGTGTGACATTGAACTGATAAGCAGGAACCTGATGATGAACTAAGCTGTCTTTGTTCTCCCAGTACAGACCACAGCTGCAACCTGTGCCCTGTTTGGATACTGTTGTAATATAATGCCACTTGTGAGATGATGTTAGTGGGCGGGGGGGGTCTGTTTCTCGACTGCATACAGGATGTGTAAAAATCTGAATTCCTCAGTCAGAGGAAGCTGCTTTTGTTGTAAGCTGACAAGGGCTCTGTCATGGACTAAGTTGCAGAAAGCTTTTAAAGTTTGTCAAAATAGATAATTGAGAACGGATTAATGTGCACTAAAAAAATCTATCATTAAACTTTAATTATTACTATTACAGGTAAATAAGCTTCTGCAGACCCAGGACTGGATGGTAGTTGAAGATCACAGCTGATAGAGTTTGTTTATCACTCATTACATGGAAGGGAAAACTGCATATAAGGAGTGAGAGGATTTCTACACTAAGTTATCATGTAAGAAGCATAATGAGAGATTATGTTGTTTGAATAAACTGGAGGATCTGTAATAAATGCACAGTGATTACTATGGTTGGGAATGCAGGGAATCTGTTTTTAATGGCAAGCATACATACAGTATGACATCACTTCCATCACTGTGTAGCAGATGTTGATGATCGTACATTTTGAATGAATAACTCATGTTGTCCTCCTAAAGCTGGATGAGGCATTTTTGGCTGTCTAATGTCTAAGATGGGGGTAAACAGGCATTTAAAAAGCAGCACAGACGACTTCAAATCCAACAACATCTGCAGCTCGTCTCAAAGGAAGAATCTTTACATAATTTCCACAAAGATGTCAGTGTTTTTTTTCATCATCTCTCTTTAATCTTTCAGTTAAAACCATTTCCACCTTTACTTACAGTTACATCACCAACAAACAGGGCCGACTCTAGGTCAAACAAGTTTTATTCGCCACTGTAACAAACATGGCACTCCTCACTGGGCACACTCAGCGTTTGCCATGGTTAGGTGGAGGCGGAGAGGGGGAGGCACTGTCGGCAGTGTGGAGACTCTGCGAGGATCCCGCTCAACTGGCTCCGGCTGTAGCAGGTGGAGCAGGAGGTGCTGGGTCGGGGTCTGGTCCAGGTGCTGGTTCAGGGTTGGGGTTGGGGTTGGGGTTGGGGGTGGGGTTGGGGTTAGGATTAGGGTTGGGGTTGGGGTTGGGGTTGGGAGTAGGAGCGGGAGCCGGGTCAGGAGAGGTGAAACAGCCTCTTTTGTGCCACTGCATGTCCCGCACACGCCTCACAGACTGGATCTGAGGCGCAGGGGCCTCCCAGTCGTTCCAGTGCTTGAAGTCTCCTCGCTCGAAGATAAACTGGCGCCCCCTGTAGCCAGGGTACATGTAGCCCACCCATCTGGAGGAAAGAGAAATTAGATTAACCCACAGTTTTATGAATGTGCCGTCACAGAAGAGGTGAAACTGTGATTTAAAGGTGATCTTACGTTCCGTTTAGAGCCTTGATGCTCGCCACACGATCCTGGAAACCGTGACCCCACAAAGAGGGAACATCATCGTCCACGATCTCGATCTTCCTGCCGGTGAACTCGGGGTTCTCAAACAGGGTTAGTTTGTGATCAGCGCTGTCCTACAGAGGAGCAAACAGACACAAGGACACACCCAACAACTGTCTCCAAAGCCTCTATTGAAGTGAAATTTTCCTTTAAACCTTTGATTGTCTGTTCACCCACCACTTTGAGGGGTCTTAGAGACAAGAGTGAGAAGCTCCTCTGACTGTTGGTCCAGGTGTCCCAGCGTGGGTACTCGCCCTTCTCCAGAATGAACTGCTCCCCTGTGAACCCGTGCCGATCGTAACCCACCCAGCTGAGAGGGAGAGAGGAGAACACCGGTGTAAAAACGAAGGAGCGTCCAACATTCTGATGATTTACAGAGAGTGGCGTGGGTGTTACTCACGGTCCTGACTCGACGATCACAGACCCGACCTTCTCCAGACCCTTCTCTTGACCCTTCTCTAGCACATCTTTACACTCGGAGGTAAACTCTGCTTTGCATCCTTGGAAGTTCTCGAACTGAAACACAGCCACCTAAAGCAAACACACAGACGCTCTTATGAAGGTACACAAACATAGAGCATCACACCTGAACACTCCAAGATACTCCAGAACCTCCAACAAAATCCTAACCCCCTGATATCTGATGACAAGTCTGCATGGTCAGGTCTCCTCCAGGTGTGCATCTATGTGACACAGTAAGCGATCTATCTCTGCACACAGGTACCTTATACGTGGCTCCAGCTCCACCCTGGCTCTTCCCAGCTGCCAGCTGCTCCGAGGCGCTCTGCTGCTCTGACATGCTCCACTGCTCCTCCACTTTTTGGCAGAAACACACACACACAAACACACACAGACAGAACACCATCCATCACGGCATGCAGATGTCGATATGCACACAGGGGAAGGAAAGCTCAATGTCAGAGTGGTAACTCATACCTCACCCCTTTAGCAGAAGCAATAATCCCCTACAGACTGTTAAAGACAGCTCTATTAACTCCATGGAAAAGATTACAGGCTCATCATGTAACTCAAACTTATTCTTTCAGTCAATGAAATGAAACAAAAAGCCTCCAAACCTGGGTCTTCACTGGCTGCCGCACCCTCTAACTCCATTGCATTGGTTTTTATTACACTCTCTGTTACTGTGGTGTCCAGCGTGACGACTTTACCTGGGTTTGCCTGCTAAGAAGTGGTAGTGTCCCTCTGTTTCAGTGCCACTTGGTGTTTGGTGGGGTTGAGCCATTAGCGGACAGAGACAGGGGGGGTATTTATGGTTTATTTCTGGCCACAACAGCAGAAAAGGGGGAGCTGTTGATACAGCAAGTCTGTCGCTCACATTGTGTCCGTAACGCTGCCTCTCAATAGGCAGCTGTGTTGGCACACGCTGCCCTGCCTGTACGCCCGGCTGCCAGTGAGCACTGTGTGCGGGCACGAGGAGAGAGAGCCAAGAGGATTCAGCAAACAGCCCCACTCAGCACAAACACACACACACACACACACACTCTCATACTACACCCGGTCGCAGCCACGGCACGCTTCCTCTCGCCTTTCTTGCATATTTTGGTTGAAATCAGCAACAAAAAAGATTTTAACAAGGAAGTGGTTACAACCCAACTCACCGACACTGGCAAGGAACTGTTCATGAAATTTACATGATGGAGAGACTGATATTTGCTCTGAGACTACAGTCAGGGACATTTAAGAGATGTTGGTCGAAATGGATCAGATATATAAGAGCACGGAGACCTGAACTGCTCTAAATACCTCTGATACATGAAGTACCAGACTATGGAACTACTTGGACAACTGAAAACTGATATTGGTTGATCTTGTGGAGAATGAGGAAATGTGACATCCAAATGTTCTTACTTTACATATTATAAAAGGAAAGGGAGTGTAATAGGCTGGAGAATATGTTAGTATGTTAGTCTAATTGGGCACGTTTGTTTGTTTGTTTGCCACAGATGTGTAAATGTGATTGGACTCATTTTGTATTTCTCCCTGATGAAAATGAAAATAAAAAAAAAAAGAAAGAAAGAAATCAGCAACAAAATCTGAGAGAGGAGGCAAACATTCAGCCCTGAAATTCAGGAATTTTATAAACAATTCAGCAAGGGGATAAATTAAAGGGATATTCCAGCGTAAATTTAAATTTAAGAGACTAAATGCAACACACCCACTCTCTTCCAGCAGCCACTTGTTTGTAGGGGAGTCCTGACGAGTCGCTCACAGAGTGCAGCGGAGTTTCGCAGCTCAAGGAAGAACATTTATGAGTATTACTTCATGGAAATGCAATCAGACTGAGACTATGTTTACACGTGCCCAGCTATTTTTATAAAACATTTATACTAACCCGTGTATATATGCCGTCAAGAGCATGCCAAACCTGTAGGTGGCAGTGTAGCGAGATGCTTAAGCTCACACAGGCCAAACAAAATCCTGCATCGCAGCAACAACAGCAATGTCTTTTCCTTCTTTCCTGCGCACAATCTGCTGTCAGCTACCCAAATCTCAGTTTCTCCATACAAAGAGAGTTTTCCAAAATCTCCACTCTGGAGAAAAATGTCTGTTTTTTAAAAAATAACTGCGTACAAATAAACGGGGCCAAGATGCCAGGGCAGAAGAACTACCGCGTCTGCAGTGCAAAATGATTATTACTTCAAGGAAATGATCCGCTGCATTTGTTGATCAACTTGTAAGGGCTCCCCCACAAACAAGCGGCTGCTGGAAGAGAGTAGGTGAGTTGTGTTTAGTCTGTTTGCTTAAGAAATGAGTCAAAGTTAAAAAGATTTTTGGTGTCTAGTACTATGGCTGTGACCCTATATGTCCTGTTGATGAAGTTAGGTGCTGTTCTGAGCATTATTTGTGGCTATAGAGTGGTGTTTATGTTGAGGTTTGTTTATGGCTCCTCAGACTGCTGTGTATTGCTATCGTGCAGTCGTTACTGAAGTTGGTATAACTAGAGAAGTAAGCGGTCGGGTGTGTAACTCGGTGTTACGGTGTTTGACCATAATTTATATATCCCTTTGAGTCCTTTTACAATTAAAGGTTTTCGTGAAGACTAAAGAGCGACCACAGAGGAAAGAAGTTTACGTTCCACTCAGAAATAGCAGACAGAAGTGTGCAGCTCAAGTCAAGTTTTATTAAGAATTTATTTTTCGCTTTCAGACACTGGCTAGTACAACACAGTGCAATATACATCTTTACTTTCAAATAAAAAAAGGGACAAAGAAAGACATAAAAAATAAACCCTCAACTTTATATGACAAAAGCAAAACATCATGTACATATAAACCAGCGACGACTGATCCATCAACACATTCACTTGCATTGCATGAGCACTCCGACGATACAGGAGACGAGACATGGCCGACAAAAAGGGGGCAGAGGTCAGTGCAGAAGTGCATCAAGTGACAAAGTGCTTTAGAGAAGAGAAGAGCAGAGGGACGATGACGACCAGGAGGAAGATCACAGAGAAATCTTACAGATCAGAGTCCGTTTTTAACAACGTAGTGAACCAACCGTCCCTCCATGAAGTACAAGAGTGAGCCAACGCCCCGACACTCTGAGCCCGTCAGTCTGAACAGTGCCTGGATTGACTGCAGAGATTGTGCATGCACTCATGGGGACAGAAAAAAGAGAGGGATTGCACTTTTCTTTTTTGTTTAACATAATCGAGGAGTGTGTGAGGTCCACTGAGTCAAAGTATGGCTTACAATGAACGCTTCAACATACAATCATTGAGGGAAGACGGGATGATTTAGTGTTTTTAGAAAAGATTCGAGAGTGTTTTTGTGCTGAGAAGGAGTGTGCATGATTGACGGATGCAAAGTCGCTTGGCCAAAAGTCCCCTGATCCTCTTCCACGAACAAAAAAAAACAAAAACAAAAATGATATAGAGACACCGCCAGAGATGTGGAGTGTATCAAGGTAAACCTTTTCAAAACTATCTCTCTGTCTGAGTTAAATCAATCATGATACAAATATAACATCTCCTGATTACAGATATAACATGATATACACTCGCTGACAATCAAGCCAGCTCTGATTTGTTCTCAACGTTCAAGAGGGAAAATAAAAAGTGTCTGAAATGTTATCCTATGGCAACGACGTTCCCTCCAGCAGCCTCCACTGTCTGATAACACACAAACGTCCAACACACACGCACACACACACACACAGCTTGTAATGACGTCTTGTAGTGTGTTTCCGATGGATTCTCCTCCAGGATAACGAGGAAAACGTCCAGGATCTTAGAGAGGCGTCATGGTCCCGCAAATTAACCCTTTCCTGAAATGCGTCCTGACAGAATAAACAAGCATTTCCCTCCCCCTCTCTCTCCCACTTCTCCTGGTCCCAGTAAAGTGTTCATGTGAAGTTCCTCCTCATGCAGGAGAGCTTACACGACTTCAAGCATGAAATGGATAAAGTGGAGCAGCTCCATGTTTGTTTGTTTTCTCCTCCTTTGCTTGTTTTTTTTACTCCTAAGTATGAGACTCTCTGTAAAAAAGGCACCATGCACATTTATCCACCCAGACGGGAAGAGAACAAAAATCAAAAAAAAAAAAAAGAAAAGTTTACGTCAGCAGCTGTAGATCCACCGCTCCTCCTCTGTGGGTCCAACATTAAGGCTTCTGTTTCATCGATCAACTTTTAAGGCAACCTTTAGAAGAGAGAATAAAAAAAGACAAATAAATACGAGCTCCTCTTATTATGTTTTTACATCTTTATGTCGTCTCACATCGGGACTTACTTAGCTTTCATTTTCATATTGACTCAAACGTTTCTTGGACTTCAGCTCTTTTAACCACTGGGGTGAGTCCTCCTCTCTGTGAAGATGACAGGCAGACAGTTGAAGATTAAAAATATCTTGTAGTTTTAGTCACTTTGCAGAAATTAATTTAGTTTTCCTCAATAAAAGTCATTACTTTAAAGCAGCTGGAAGGAGTTTTTGATTTTACAGCCACTTTGGACAAAAGCGGGAGTGTTTTAGCGCGTATCGTCAAAAAGACACTTGTCTGGCTCACACATCAGGGCTACAGAAACTAACTTTTTTTGTGAGCAGTTTGAGGAAACTTACTTTGTAAATGTATTTAAAATGGGAGGTGACTGTGAGACAGAGGTGGAGCAGCAGGACGACTGAGGTTAGTGATACAGAGCTGCTCTGCCTGTCTGTCTATGGCGTGGAGGAGCTTCGTGGCTTCGAGTCTCCTGCTGCAAGACGTTGTCACAGTTTGTGTGCTGACAGTAATATGTGCGTTTTCAGTGCAAAATAAAGAGAAAAATTCGTGTGTCCTCTCTGGTCTGAGTGCCATAAATCGTTTCATTTGCAGTCTGGACCCGACCACTAGCTTCCGTTGTCCCAGTTTTCACTTTTTAGAAATAGTTTATCCTCACACAGATGGACTCATTCACTGTTGCAGGTGACGGGGAGACATCAGCAGAAACAAGAGATTTTTTCAAATGTAGTTAAAAGTTGCATACAGGACGTTTAAGTCCAAGTCTTTTCTGTCCTCAAGTGATTCAGCCAATCAGAGTCAGCTCTAAGACAGGCCCCTAGACAGGCATGCTGGGCAGACCCTGAATCATCTTCTTTGAGGTTTTAGAGTGAATTAAAACTATGAAACACCCAATAAAATAAGGATGAAACAAGCTTTTTTTACTGTTGCATTCAACGGCAATAGCTGCAAAAAAACCTCCCAAGATAATGTGGTTAAAGTCGGTCCGTCTAAAAGTCCTCCTCAAACATCTACGTCTGATTATCGTTCCCATGAGAACAAGAATCATTTTCATCTTAATTCACATGATCAGAGATGCATTTGTAGAACAACATTGTCTTGTTTTTGTCACAGAAAAGAGGTCGTTGTTGGACACTCAGAATCAGAATTTTCATTAGTGAATAAACACTCCATCTGCTCTCTCTCTGAAATCTTAAAACTGAAATGAAATATTATTTTGAATGTTTTCAAAACTAGAGCTTTAAAGTTTAAACAAGTTTTTCACAAGTATAATCTTGTGATGGCGTTCCCTCCTGTATTAGTTTTACTCGGTGTGAATACTAAGAAAAACATGCCAATCAAAGAAACCAGATCTCGATGGTCTTCTGGTAATACTGCTGTGTTATGTTTTATATGTGGGATAAATAAATATGAAGGAAGTATAGACATATCAGGTCTTATTTTGCACACTCACCCATTTTCTTTGCCACCAGGAGGGGGCAGTACACGCGCAGCCCTGGGGAGGAAGGGGGATTTAGGAGAGCGAGAGAGCTGAGAAGGAGAGGGAGCAGGTCCATCTGTTTGATTGTCAGAGTCGCCTCTCTTCTTCAGCTGGGCCTGACGACAGCAACAGGACATATTTAGATTTAGATTCAAACACTCGGCTTGTTCAAACGTGTTTTTAGACGTGCAAACACCGGGGGCTCACCTTTAAAGCTGAAGGGTCCATCCCGGGGAACAAGGCGACCCTCTGAGGCTGAGAGGCGACAGCAGAGGCGGCGTCAGCTCCTCTGGTCGGCTCCTCAGAGTCTGAGTCATCGTCCTTCGCCTCAACCTTTGGCTCTGTCGCAGGGAGACACACACATTACTGTCACTTGAGAAGAACTGTCATCGAGTTCAGCTGCACATTGGAGGATCATCTGATCACGAGGTTTTCACAGGTTCTGTCTTCAGTGCTTACCTGTGGAGTCTCGGAACAGCCAGTCCTCTTCCTGCACGGCGGTCTGAAGGGCTGCTCTGGAAGGGCGGGTCCGAGGGGCTCGTTTCTTCCCCAGCTGAGCTCTGGAGCGGAGAGCGCTCGTGTCCAGCAGAGAGATCTGGGCCTGGACAGTCACATACAAGGAGAAGAAACATGTAGAAATGAGGGCAGAGGTGATAAAGAGTTCATGACGCTCAGTTAGTCAACACTTACATCTGGGAAAGAAAATGACTGGCTCTCAGAGGAGGACGAGGGCGGGAGGCTGTCCACAGTGTCAGTATCAAACAGTAAAGAGGAGTCCCCTGGTGTGTCAGGGGGAGTGGGCTTCCTGGGTGAAGGGCTGAGGTTGCTCTCTGAACTGGGCGTCGCTGGAGTGAGACTGAAAAACAAGGAGAGAGAGAGATTAAGAAACAGCTCCTCAGGAAAAACAGCGCGGTTACGTCTGAGTTATAATCTCCTTTTGTTTTTGTTGAGACTGTGGGAAGACGTGATTTACAAGACAGACAAACTGAACGCCTCATTTGTCACCGTGACGACCACAAACAACATACCTATGAACCGGACTACAAATGGACGTGACTGTTAAATTTTAGTCCCATCCATCCCTGTCAGTGTTTGTCAGTTGTGTGTCTGACCACAGGGGGTCACTGACAGACCCTCCCTGTGGTCTTACTGTGCAGATCTGGAGTTTGTTTAAATAGTTATGGATTTACACGAAAAAGAAGTCGTGAGTTTATCGAACACTTGTTAACTGTGGAGCAGAAGACTCTCCATTGAAACAGACAAACAATAGCTGTGAGCAGGATTAAAGCGTGTTTAATTTGGGACTTTTCAGCGCCTCGTATTTAAATAATTCTTACGTACTCAGAGCTGTGACGGTGTATGCGACAACAACACTTTGGTCTAAAGTTTCTGCAGGTTTCAACAAGTCAAATTTAAGACCTTTAAAGACCATAATGAAAACAATTTAAGATCCATTTTACATCCATCCTGGCAAAAAAGTACAAAAGACATGAAGGGAAATCAAAACAAATAATCAATCTTTATTTGCAAGTATCAGCAATACATTTTAAGACCTTTCAAATTTGTATTTAAGACATTTTATGAGGTTTTAAGAGATTTTTTAGACATTTTAAGACTCTTTAAGACCCAGCAGAAACCCTGTTAGTCTCTTTGTTTCTTCTTCTTTACTCCATGATGTCTGATCATTTTGCTCCTGCCTCTAACAGGTTTAATATTTTACTTATTTTCCTCACAGTTTAGATCAATAAAGAGATAGAAAAATATGCCGTAGATGGAAAAGTGGACCTTTATTCTTTGACACATCTCGGCACAAATCATCTCTTTGGACACAGCGTTGTACAACCCGTCACTCCGGCCCGCTTACTTGGAGTCTCACTTTTTTAAAAGTCTCTTTTTTTAATGGTTTTATCTTTTTCCTTTATTTATTATTCCTCTTCTGTGTTTTTATCTTGTTCATAAAGTCCTACTTTTTCAGATTCTTTTATCAGCTTCTCCTGCTGTAGTTATTTTGATTTTACTCAGTTCTGATTTGTCCTGGTTCTGGAAAGCACTTATACACTTTTTTACCATTATTGATGCTTATAGGTACTGTGTGATCATAATCTCCTGTACTGCGCGCTATAGTACACACTGTGAACATGTGACCACTATTATATCTGTCTTTTTTTGTGTGTATGTGTTATTCTATGTGTATTTGATGTACTGCAGAAAATGTAGCTCTACTGTCGAAGACAAATTTCCTGCAAAGGACAATAAAGTCCATCTTGAATCTTGAATCTTGAAAACGAAACACACGTCTCTTGATATCAGAGGCTGTGATCCGGATATTTACCTGTCGTCGGTGCGCAGTCCTGTCTCCCAGGTCCCGTATTGACTGTCAGTCTCGTGGACCGGCGTCTCTGAGTCTTTCCCCTCCTCTTCGCCGCCGACAGCTTGCTTCTGCTGCTCCTGGAAGCGACACAGAGAGATAAAATCGTCAATGAACGAGGAACAGAAAGTAACAGTTAAAGTTTCATTCAGATTTTTTTTAACGGTCCATTAAAGGTTTTATTGTCGGGGCGGGATCGTAGTGTTATTGTGAACCGGCATCATCATCATGGACAGAGTTCAGTAGTAGGTGACTCAGTCAGAGAGATCCATCCTGATCTGAGCAGCCTGACTGCCACTCTACAGTCAGAGGGAGAATGAAAGGTGAGGGGATGAGTTAATGGAGAGTGGGGACAAAGACAGAGATGGGTGTGTGTGTGTTTGCTGTCTACTGAACCATGTCTCTTTTAATGAGGCTGTTACAGAGGACATACTGTCTCAAAGCCACACAGGCCCGTCTGCGCATGAACCGACAACCCTGGCCTATATAGAAGAAGAAGAAAAAAAACAATAGAAGGTCCTCCTGTCCTCTGATGGAGCCTGAGGGGTGGACACAGAAACGTGATACACCTGCCCGGCTCTGTAATCGTCCGGGTTCACTTGTGATGTTTATATGAGCGGCGACATCAGATCAGAGCGCTCGTTCTCAGAGGTCTGTGAAAGCTGTCCTTGTTTTCTTTGTGAGTGAGAGAGCGGAGAAACGACAGGAGGACGAGAAAAAGAGCGAAGGAGAGAGAGAGCAGGATGGAAAGAGGTCAGGTGAGGTGTAAATCTGGAGGAAGACAGTAGGGAGCGAGAGAGACAGAGAGAGAGGGAGAGAGAGAGAGAGCATAAAGGAAAAAAAAACAGCACAGGATGTCATTCATCAGGAAAAGCTTTCCTGAAGGGAAAACGACAACAGAGGACAGTGAGAGCGGCCCTCCCTCTATCTGACAAAGCACTTGTTCTCGAGTTTATTCTCATCTCAAGGATTTACAGAACTCCCACTTTTCAACTCGACATCACAGGGTCACACCACTTACCCTTAAATACACACACTTGAAGGAGCCCCGTTTGACTGACGGCGATGAAAAAACCCTCAAAACACTCCAAACTAAGGCGTAACTTGATAAAGTAGAGACAAGAAGAACCTTAAACTTCCATTTAGTCAAAGTACAGAAGATGCTTCTGACTATTTAAACAGATCATTAACAAATCAGGATAATTAATCGCACCTTTACTTACAGTCTCTTATTTAGCTATCAGCTTTAACATGCCGCTCTACGCCAGGACTTGCAGTGTTGCATTAGCTGCCGCCATGTTACTTATATTTCGTTTAACTTGTTTTTTTTCTTCAGTTGCTGTTTTGCATCTGCCTCGCTCGGCAAAGATAGTAAAATTGAAGCCGTCTCACTCCCCAGCTGCTGTTTACGACGGCAGGGTAACTCTGTATATAACTTTGTTTATGTCTATGTGCAGCACAATAAGAATCATAGAGCGGTTACAGACAATCAAACTCAAAAATCTCACTTTTGTGTCAATCAGCGAGTTCATCATAGAAACACTTCGTCTACAGAGTCAAAAGTGAGTTGAATCATTTACGAGAATTACTTTATTAATAGTAAATCTATTCTACAAAAGCCAAGATGATCTCCTCTCTCATAATATGTACGATGGATTACAGCCAAGAAGTTAATGCATTATACATGAGGGCCTTTTATTACAGCGCTCAAGACACCTCAGTACGCCTGAAATTTAGGACTCAAAAGAATCTCTGAGATCAGAAGTATCAGAAAAACAAAAATACTTGCTTAAAACCACTAAGTATGACTTTAAAAAGAAAAGGTTTGTTTTCATGAATTACTTAACGCCATGTATGAACAGGTAGCAGAGTTTTGTAGATGAGAACGCCAACATGAAGGTCCTGGGCACCTCCTAATTGTGGGTCATGACAAAACTTGTTATTTCTGTCAGTTTGTGTTTGTGAGGTTTACAGGTAAGTTTGGAAAACCCTCAGAATAGTGACGTTATGAAACCATCCCTCTCCCTCTCTCTCATACCTGTTGATACACACCGCTATCGCTGTTGTTGACGAACCGCCAACGAATCTCAGAACCTGACTTTGATAAATTCAGGTCATAAAAATCTCTATTGTACGTGAGCGCAGGTGTCACTCAAACTTAAACACACCCAGAACACACCCTCAGCTGATCAGCATACAGGGCGAGCTGTAACTCTGCTGAAACATGTCGAGGAGAGGCACCATTATACGGCGGCTTAAAGACAGAAAAGACGGCAGACCAAAGAGGAGAGAGAAAGAGAGAGAAAAAGAGAGAGCTCATTCACTTCACTTTACACTTTTAGGTGCAGCCTTTGAACAACACCAGGGTAGAAAAGTTGATGAAAGAAGATCGATAATAGAAGAAAATCTTAAAGCATTACAGCGGTTTAACTGCTCTGCTAAATGGACGGTCTACTATCGACCACACACACGGGGAATATGGTCAGAGAAGGAGGTCTGTGAACCAACAGGTCCAGCCGCATTGATTTATTGCTGTCAGGAGGAAGGCTTTTCCTTAATAACGTTAGCAATAGCCAGCTCGCTCGAGACAGGAAGGGTGTGTCGAGGGGGGGAAACAACATAACAAAGAGCGGATGAATGGAAGGATGAAGGAGAGAAAGGGCTGAGTGACAATCTGAGGAGGAAGGGGCAGGGATAAGGTCCTGGAAACTTGGACTTGATAACGCGCAGTGATCGCAGAGTTACTCACAGGGTGGAGAAATAGCGGCCTGCGGTTCGCTGAAATCTCCTCAGTTGAAGAGAAAGTGACTAATTGCATTGTTCACATAGCAGACGGGCTTTTCTATAAAGCGTCTAACATATGGTCTTACATCAGAGCCAGGCACACAGACGGAGCAGCTACTGCGGATATAAAAAGTTTATTCATATGAGCACAGCATCCAAGACAGGAGCTTATAACCCCGTTACAGAAGTGTGAAAGAATGTGTGTGTATGTTTCAGCGCTCAGGATGGTGCCATGAGCTCATCCAGGTTATTGAAAATGGGATCAAATGCAGAGAGCTTATTATAAGCCGTGAAAACATATTCACTCACAGCGTTATCCTTTCAGTGCAGCAACACTCTTCATTCACTTCTCATCTGCTCGGATCAATCTGACCAGGGGTGGAGTGGGAAAATATGCTCTCTGTGCACTTGTGTACACAGCAGTAATCAATATCAATATCCTGCAGATATTCAAAACAACTGCTCCCGAGAGCGCTAATCTCATGTCAACAAATGGGTATACTGGCCGCATGTCAGGGGGCTTAGATTAAGACGAACTCTGGCCGGCAAACCCAACAGTGCCGTGTTATTCTTTCATTACATAAGTGCCTCATACAGGCAGCAAGTAAGGACAAAGAAAGAATGTCAAAAACCTGACTCGCCTTAAGAGTTCAACTCAGACAACAGTGGGCTTGACTTTGAGCAGATCGACTTGATGCTTGTTTGAAGCTCTGTGGTCCAGGGTGAAAAAAACACCACCGTTACCCTGTTACTCATATTTTTGTCACTGGGTCAAAGGTCCTTAATATGACGCATAAATTGTCTCACAGTCATAAATAAACCTACCTTTAATTCTAAAACACTGTCTGGTATCTACATTTGTATATCATTGTTTTATCTGGTAGTTTTCAGTCATGTCAAAGGTAGTTTTACCTCCTGGTGGATATTTTCGGTCATGTTTTCATCGTTTAAATCGAGTCAGATTGCTAACACAGTTGTTGTGCTGTAATGACGCTACGCCACTGTGACGCCTCTGTGCTTCAATATTGATATCACAGCTGCAGTATTAGACCGCTGTCCCACTGTGTCACTGTGACACACACAGCACTAATACTGCCCTACTACCACTGAAGCCAGCAAAGAGGCGGGATGCCTTTGGGACGTTTATGTTCACGGTGAGACGTTACAGACTCATGAATACCGACCTGTGAATTGGTGATGTAACACAACCTATAGAGATGGAAAGTTGAAAGATCACTAAATCATTTATGACTCAGGGTTTCTAAGAAATAAGTGTTTGTATAACCGTGTGAGACTGCTAAGTTAAAGCTCCTATAAAGGGTGTTCATCTATCATACAACTGAAACTAATGATGACGCCTCTTTAGGACTTAAAAAAGAGAAAAAGATTATCTCTAGTGAAGTTACTTTTGCTGTTGATTTTTTTTACATTCTCTATAGCAGACTCTTGATAAGTGATATATCAAGAGTCTGCCATAGAGAGGCTGCTTGGTCTGCCAAATCGATGCAAATCAAAAGTTCTCACAGGGAATAATTCAATTATCGACTCTAATCTATATTCTTGCTCTCATACTTTATCCATATGTAACTGTCTTTTCTGTTGTCTTTTAACGTGCAAGCTGCTTAAAGCAATTGCTCCTAATAAAGAGATCAAGAAAGTAGTGTGAATTTGTAATAACTAGAGGTGATACAGCAAGAGTGCCAAATGATAAACTGGCTTTATAGTTGAAAAAAATAGATAAATCCCAATATATTGTATCACAATACTCACTGTAGTGCAAAATGTTAAAAATAGCTATAATGTTGTATCGTGGCCCAAGTATCGCGATAATAACCTATCCCAAGTATCGTGAAAATATCGTATCATGGCCCATGTATCATGATAATATCGCATTTGTGGCCCAAGTATCGCGATAATATCCTATCGTGGCCCAAGCATAGTGATAATATTGCAATGTGGCCGGAGTATCGAAATATTATCGTATCGCGGCCCAAGAATCGCAATAATATCGTGGCCCAAGTATCGTGATAATCTCGTGGCCCAAGTATCGTGATAATCTCGTATCGTGGGGCCACTAGTGATTCCCACCCCCAGTAACAACAAACTCCCAGACACACACATTCAAAATATCAAGAACGTCACAGCTCTGTTATTACAAATCAGATCTCAGTATTTTTGAGGACTCTTTTTGCTTTTACACGTCTTGATTGTGAGTCACTCTTTAGTTTACCCTCTCCTCCGTTTCTGAAGCAAGTCCGGCCAGGCTGCTGAACCCAAATAAAACACAAAATGAAATATTGAGGCTTAAATTGGACCAGAAAGAAGCACCATCCTTCCTTTCCTTTGAAATCAGCTAACCATCCCTGATAAGATGAGACCAGGCCGGTTTGTTTTTTATCATTTCCGTAATTTTGCAAGTCAGAAGTCCCAATTTCTTGAGTTTCCCTTCAGACATTTACAGGCTACTAAAAACAGCTGATCTGCATCAACCGTTAATGTTTCCTGAATGTCATTCGTCCACTCAACATCGGCCCAGTCAGAACCTCCATCACAGTGCGTGATGTTCAGACCTTTAACCATGATGTCAACACAACAGACCACCGAACTGACGCCATGAAAACAGCTCTTATCTTTAGAAACTGTGACTCATGAGGTGTAGCACAGCAGTTCAGCAAACAGGCGTAACCTAAAGATAGGAACAACTCCGCTGTAATGTATCCATATATCCCTGCATGGATTTCTAAATGTGTCCCTTACAGTGTCAGGCTGCGGGTGACTCTTAGACAGACAAACACTCAAACTTCTGTTTCCTTTAAGTCTTAAGCAACACAAACAATATAACACCTTGTGGCATCCCGGTTACTATTTGTGTCACTCGTGTCTAAAATCACAAACCGCGAGCGACGCGATGACCTGAAGAACCAGTACAACAACAGCTTGGCCAAACAAAGTCAGACAAAGAGAGGTTTACACTGTGCAAAGGACAAGATGGAGAAGCGATGAAAGCGTAGAAAGAGATGGATGAGGAGCAGCGGGGAGGCAGATGGAGAAGTTCTTGACGTGTTTGGCCGGAGACCAAATAGTTGACGGAGGAGCAGCTGTTAACACGGTGACACTACGGGCTGTATGGACATTTCTCCAAAATGACTTGAATTCCACTTGAGCTTTATTTAACTTGAGCAGATGTTTAAGTTAAGCTGCTGAGCGTACAGTTACAGTAAACAACCGTACAGCTCAGTCAGAGTCAGGATTTATAATACTTCTGATTCCTGACGCTCGCCTGGTGTTTGTGTTTGCTTTAAAATGTGTGTGTTGTCTTACAGCAGTGGGGGTGTTGGGCGCGGTGCGTCTGCGTAAGGACAGACGTTGCTGGCTACGCAGTGAGAACCTGCGGATAGACTCCCTGCTGCGGGACGCCAGTGAGCGCAGAGAGCTGGTTCTCTTGAAGTCCCCGGTCCCGTCTTCTCCCCTGGTGGACAGGAGACTGAACGCCCCGTGGAGGGAGCGGCGGACGTTTCCCACCCATCCTTGCACCTGGGAGTGGGCCACAGTCAGCTTGTCCCCCAAATACTCCATCACGAACAACCACCGGCGAGAACAGCTGAGTCAGAAACAAGTGTGATAACTGAGCTGTGACTCTTATTACCGCGGTGACGGGGAATCATTAGAGTCTGGTGATGCTGGAGGGTTAGCGGTCCAGGGACAATGTCATAGGTGTCTGCTGATGTTTGTTGCCGGGTCAATACTGCAGCAGCAGTGAGGAAGGTGACAAAAAGAAGAACAACAACAACACAGCTCAGCAAGTCCAATGTGAGGTTGTTTGTGTTGTTTACAGCACTGCAGCACAGACACGGGACACAGCCTCTCCTTAGTTTCTCTCCTAAATGGCCCGTCTGCAGTGCAGTCCCACTGGAGCCGTCAGGACTCAGTTTCAAGTCATCACTGTCAGGGCTCCAGGCTGCCGGCCTGACATGAATTGTGAAGCTTTCTTGTCTATTTCGATACACTTGAGATATCCTCGCTATGATACGCTTGGCACCCCGATCCAAGGTTATGTGAGGGCAGAACTCGCAGTTAGTAATGCAGGACAATACTCTGTTTGACAGTCTGAAGATCTACTGCGCTATGTACCAACAGGTTTCTCTGCCATGTTTCTCTGGTTCCAAGCACACAAAGTACAAAACAACTTCTCAGGTGGAGAAGTCACGAGCTGGTATATCTAAATCACATCCTCAACGTGCCATTTACGTTCGCGACAACACTCAATTATCTATTTCCAACAGAAAGATTGACAGTCCTCAAACCAACTCTGAGATAGTTGTGTCAGTTCTCCAGGTGTGATCTCAGTCTCAATTACAGCCGACCTGACAGATCTCCAAGAGCCGATGATGATAGGCTTCCTCCAAAACAAGGCCCGGGTTAAAAGTTAAACAATCCATCCATCAAACGAGGCTTCGCTCCTGCAGAGCCTCAGACTGTGCTGCTACCTTCTGGCAAAAAAAGCTGTGGGGTGAAATGCTGCAGGACAGCTGGTGGCAAAAGGAAAACTGCTGCGATCATTCGTATTCCATAAAGAAAAGCAGAGTGCCAACCAACGCTGTGGAGAGCAGAGGGAACAGGGAAGAGTCCTGAAAAATCCAGAGGAGCCGAGAGGAAATGTTTCTTCTCCCCTCGCCTTTTTCTGCAGGTACGGGCAGGTAGAGGAAAATGCGTCAGCAGCGCTGCTCTCTGCACTCAGCGCTGTAGGACTCTCCGTCAAGGAGAAACTGGGTGGAGAGAGGGAGTGTGGAGCAGAGTCAGAGAGTGAGAGACGGAGAGAATGGGAGGTCCCTGATTCAGAGCAGGAGGGAGAGGGAGGGGAGGGTGATATATGTTCTGCGGTGCTCTGTCGCTTCAGCCTGACTCAGTTGCAGGGCAGGCCGGTGAAATGACACAGGCAGGATAGAGACGCAAGAAAGAGACAGAGAAAGTGGCTCGCTTCGCCGTAACGCCGCTCTAATTCAAAGTAGGTGGAGGAAACTGGAGAGAAAGTGGAGATGGGAATGAGCACAAGTGCACGATCATCCAGGACTAAAAATAGAGGATCTGTTTGACATGCATGAAAAAGACAGGTGTGGCTCAGAAAGAGAGAGGTGAGCTCATACAACCATCAACCAGTTTGTCGGCACAAAGCACCCAGAGCCAGAATCACAACAGCCCAGTGCTTGTTTGTTTAAATCTGGTTCAGAGTCAGACTCATGCAAACACCAGAGCAGACTAAAAACACTTCCTGCTTCTACAGGCGACAGAGTCGAACAGGTCTCTGTTAGACCCCCAAAAACCCACCGTAGGCAACTCCAGAGCTCAAAGACTTAATCTGAAATAAACTGGGACAGAGGGGCTCATAAAAAGCTGAATCCCTGTCCACATATGCCCCCTATAGGTAATCTGATTAACTATTCTTTGAAGTGCTGCACTAAGAGGAGAGTCTGCTGTGCAGGTCTCAGTTTTCATGAGAACACAAGCTGACCTCTCTCACGTACTCACGTCCTCCTCAGCCTGGACGGATCGAGTGTTTTCACTTTGCATGACATCCTGGTCCTCAAGGTAAACATGTCCAGAGTGCTGCTGCGTTATTAGCTACTTCATTGTCACTGTCACGCACATGCAGAATATTTCACTTTCACACTCTTCAGTTTTCTCAAAATAACGTGATAACGACTTGAAAACTCAGACTACAGAATATATTTATCAATCTTGAATTTAAGTCAATCCTTTTAGATATTTTCTGAGGCAAAACTCCAAAACTAACTGATTGAATTTGAAGATTTCCTGATTTTATTCTTTAAATTCTTCCCTAAAAGAAGATTTCTTCACTGCACATGCTATAAAGAGAGATAAGGCAACACTTTAGGAGGTAAACTGCGCTATTTTCGATAATTTTTTACACAAAAACTATCCGCTCAACTGAGAAATAAGAAAACAATTTTAAGTATTTTAGTCAGATTAATTATGTGGTTTGTCAGACTTTTGCCGGTTCAGGCAAGTGAAAAATCACTCAAATTGAAGGATTTATTGACAATTTTATAGTAAACAAAAGAGTCTTTGGAACTTTATGTTGTTTGTACAGAAATAAGGCATTCATAGATGTCACTTTGGATTTTCAGATATCCTGATGAGCATGTTTCAAACCCTCCTTTTTCACAATTTCAACATAAAAATTTTTTTTCCTTTTTTTTATTTGCAGCCCTAACAAAGGTAGCAGTTAGATACTGTTTTATTCAAATTTCTTTAACTCAAAATCCCATCCTTATAAAATACAAAGTGTTCTTATTTCACTCACAGTGTTAGCTAAGAGCACAAATGTCAGCAGAGTTTCCTTCGAAGGAAGAGTTACCTCGACTGGTTTCTATTTATAAAAGATTAAACTGCGACACAAAAGACAGACTGACGGAGATTAAGTTATGCAATAGATACAGACTCTGACTGCTCACAATTTTCCTTAATATCCTCCTAATACTAATCATCATCTGCTGGGAAGTGACTCATGACTGCTCGTCTCTTCCCCTCCTCTGCTGACATCATCAGCCGTAACGGATTCACAGTCAGAGACCGACCAGCGTGCTCTCCAAGCCAATAACACAGAGTGAAGAAGAAACAACATGTCGGATCCTCAAACAAATAACCAACACTTACTTCTTTAACAAAAGGATCTTGTAGACACACACTGTTAGAGACAGAAACATGCTGTGACTTACCAAGATGCCATACTGAGTGAGGCAGCATGACCAGAAGTAGAGCACAGCTCTCAGAACGCTGCCCATCTCTGCTCTGCTCCTCTCTCGAGCCTCAGACTCTCACAACCCGACTATGATCTCATCTGAGAAACTGCCGAGACTCTTCCAGTAATAAAAAATCAACACGAGGTGAGGAATAATAACCGATACCTGCTCACACTCATGGATATTGGCTTCACACAAGATTTGTAATCCCTGCAAAGGACAAAGTTAAATTCTAAACCAGATTTAGACATCACGTGTTTTCTGGGATTAAGGTTGGAAGTGTCTATCTTTAAAACTTTGGACTAGATATTAAAACCTAAAAATAACCGTACACCTTTATTTAAGTGTTATGTTGTTCAGACTTTTAGAAATCTGACAAGTTCACATTAATCTCAACATGCTTTGAAATGGTGATTAAAATGATTTTAACCTCATATTTAAAAAATTTAAAGCTCCTGCAGGGAATTTTTGACATTTTCCCAGTGGACAAACCCAAACTTTTGACTTCTCTGCTGATTTTATTTTGTCCTGATTTTGTTTTTGATAAAAAATGTGAAATACTTCTTTATATAAAAGATCACATATATCACTCTGAATAGACATAAATATAATACAAGCAAAATAAAAGACCACTCTTTGCTTCCAAACATTTCATGGCACAGCGGATCATAACGCACTTCTCCATGCAGCTTTCCTTTAACATAAGGCTTTTAAAAACTAATATCTCATTCAACTAAAGATAATCTTCTTTATCAATAACTATTGCAATATTTTTTTACAAAAATTAACAAAAAACTAACAAACTAACACAGGTAGATTAATCGGCTCAAATTAGGACTTGTAGTCGTCCTCCTGTGTGTGTGCGTGACAGTCACTGATCTACTGGAGTGAACTGCAGGTCATGTTAAGTGCTCCTGTAGTTACATCAGAGTGTCACACTGAATGAAAAGCCCTCGTGTTCCAACTCTCGTGGCATTTTGAGACTTTCATCATGCACAATCATTGCACCTGCGTTGTTTGGGACCAGTGCAATGTCATGTATGTTTATATTATTTACATTTCTCCATCCAAAAATGTATGCAGTGTGTGCACTGTGAGGAAAAACTTATTATTGCAGCTTATACAGGTGTCGCATTCCTGCCAACTGTGTTTTCTGGTTGGTACTAACAGAGTCTGTAATGATCATCAGTCAGGAACTGAGAGAAAGGGGTGCAGGATGGAACTGAACCTTCAAGAACTACAGCCTCTGTTCTAACCTTTGGGCTTCACCTGTGTCCTCTCACCCTAGTTTCTTTCAGAAGTCTAATATATCACTGACTGAGGATCCCTACTGTAGAAAATGTAACCAAACACTTGTAAACTAACTCTTCTGACACATACCAAGTGGTGGATTTCTCAGGCAAACTTCTAGAAAGAAACAGTCAGTCTCGTCACAAATGTTGTTACCTTTATGGGTTCAATAGAAGCATCAGTATTTGAGTCTTTAGTGTGACTATTTAAAAACAACTCAGACGCTTGATCACAATGTTTTCACTATCAGACCAAGACTCTTAGACTGAAGGATAATGAGTGGTGCTCCATTATTATTAAAAGTGCAAAAACAACAACAACAACACTGCTGACAAAGCAACCAGGAAACACTCAGACACAGGGAAGTGAGACCTTCACATACTGAAACACAGCCACTAGGTGGTGGTAGTGATCTGGGACCGACGGTTACTTAATCTGGGCTCTATCACAGCGAGAGCTTTGCAATTATGAAACAGCATACTGAGCTTTTGTGTTCTTAGTGTAGGGTGTCAACCTGAGCCTCTGTGACAAAGAGAACTCCACCTGATTGGTCTGATCGGCACAGAGGAAGAGTGTATGTTCATGTTTGTGTGCAGCTGCAAATAAGAAAAGAATATTCAGTCTACACAACCAAAAAAACCTAAAAGAGGTCCCTCCACAGCTTTTCCAGGGTCATGCTGTGAGGTAAGTAGTGAAAAGACAAACTCGTTAACCAATCGCCTAATCCAATCCTGAATTACAGGCCTGAGAGGGTTGTTTGGTGGCCACTTATTTAGATCGTGACGTGAAATGGGCGGAGGTGAGTTTAGGGAGCCATGCCATCAACATTAGTCACCGACTCTTAACAACTTCAGCACAGCAGCAGTGAGCTGTCAACGCTCAGTCAACTAACTGCATTCCACCTCGTCTAACTACTGTCTCTCTAAAAACATGAGACGCTCAGCAAAGACACACACGTATAATGACAGAGACACAGATTCCCTCCCTGTTTCCACAAAGCAGTGTGAGAAACGGCTCAAATGAAAACAAAGAGTGCGTTACAACACTCACAGCTGAATATCAAACTGGGGCAAATATTCAGGAGGCAGTTTGAAATCTTATTAAGTCTTTCCTGGAACCAACTGTTGGTATAGTAGAGTTCACGCTGAGGCCTCACTCACCCAGCTGGAGCGGTCCTGCTCCCTGTGGGCGCTGCGACTCCTCATCCTGGACAGACTCCCCTCCAAAGCGCTGCTGGAAGGGGCCGATCGCCGAGACATGCTGCGAGACCGCATCCTGTTCAGCTCCTAATAACAAACAAGGAATCACAGTCAACTCCACAGTCTGCACCACAAAACACAGATCTCTCCTAACCGCTGTCCACCACCATGTTGGATTCAGCTGCATTTAGCTGCAGATTTACAGCTTCTTTTGTTTATGTTCCAACAAGTATTCATACTCAGTCTAACTGAGAGCTAGACTTACAGTTAAATATGTCGAACAACACTTAGAAGCCAGCAGTGCCACTAACTCAAACAGAAAAATGTATTTTATTTGACAGACTGAATTTCTAATTCATTCATTCTAGTAAATATACTGTTCATGAAGGGTACACATGATTCATAGATAAGTGACGCTGTCTACTGTTATAACTAATATTGACATTTTATTGTTAAACCCTGAATATATAAGCCAATCCCATACTTCTTATATTTGGGTCAATCCAACGTTCCAGACACAAGACTTAGTTGCTTAAAATGCTCCTATTGTACCAAAATCTACAGTTTTAAAACTCTCTTTTACTCTCCTTTATGATGGTTCAACCCTCCACCTTTTAACATGGGGACATATGTTACTTCCAGGGCTGAAAACCCTGACTTTTTCAACCAAAAATCAACTAATCGGGGGAATTTTTCTGATGGCAAACCATTCTGCCGGTTGGAGTTAGGAGATTCAGAATTGCGATAATGTTCTGTTTGATGTGCAGAGCCGACAGCCCACGCTCGGCTTGAGTGTGTGATGATGTTTCACAGCCATATGGAATAACCAATCGGAGCCCAGCTTTTCTAGCTGGAGGCGGAACCTTCCCCTGCCATCTTACGAAAAAAATATTGCCCACCGGACATTGATGAATGTGGACGCTCTTCAATCTACTTGTCTCTAGCCGGTCTCCAGTGGGTTGGGCTAATCCAAAATGGTGAAAACCAGGGGGGTGTTCTGAAACAGGCTGTCACCTGTGAAACTGGGGTGCTCGGAAAACAACCCCATAAGCACTTGGTACATTTCTCCTGATGAATCAACCATAGACTGTAAATTGGTGCGGAAAAAAAAACGAGCCGACCAATGAGAATTTTGGTTGACTCAGCACGTATCGACCAATAAGTCAACTAGGACTTTTCAGCCCTAGTTACTTTACGTTTAAAAACACTTGTGATGTATACACAGATTAATCCTAATATCATGAACACCCAGGGAATCCATCGCAGCCCAATCCAACAGCTCTACCATAAATTCAACTTTTACACATCTCCTGTATTTTTATTTTTGTAAAACTCAGATGATTATTGTTTTTTACACTCACTGTCGGAGTTGTCAATAGTTGTTGTTGGTGCTCATTTCAAGACGATTGGGATCGAAGCAACAAAACACTGAATAAGCTGTGTGATGCTAAAAACATATAACAATCAGAGGGACATCACCCGTTTGACATGGTTAATTCATTTGCCGCTGACTAATAATAACTTGACCTAGTGAAAAAATGGCCGAGTCTCTCAGAGGGAAAATAGGAAGAGGTTCACCTCCCTGTGAGAACCTGCTCAACAAGTTTTAATGATTCAGTTTCAACAGTTTTAGAATAATGCTTCTTAGTAGAAAACTGTACAGAGCTTGAGGATTTCATCTTCTCCAGAACAACATATCATAAAAGATATGATATCTCGAGAGCTCTGAGGCAGCAAAACATTGAAATCAGACATGACTCAGTAGTAAAAATCACTGCATGGGCTCAAAAACACACAGTCTGTGAACGGTTTGTCTCTACATCCCCAAATACAGTTTGAAATCTACCGTGCAAAGACAAAAACCAAAAGCAAACATGACACAGATGTGGAAGTGTAGGGGGTCTTGCATATCTGAGCGAGACAATGTCAAACCACATTCTGCAGCATCTACAACAGTACAGCTCTATACCAGAAGAGTTCAGGTGCAGCATCTAGTGCAGAGGGTAATATTTTTCTCCAGCTCTAGGCCGATCACAGCAGACTCTTACATCAGACTTAGCTATTACTGACTCTCTGACCTTAACGCACACCATGATGAGCACCAACCCTAATTAAGACCGGTCATAGATGTATCCGGTTTTATCTTATCAGAGGCATTTGAGCCAACATCCGCAGATCAGTCACAAACTTCTATCCAGTCTCCTCTCAATAAAAACACCAGCACAAGGTTGATCTATGGAGGGCACAGCCTTTTAAAAACGTAAACAAACAGTGAAATAATGAACTTTATTATATCTGTATGACCTTGAAAAGGGCGTCTGGCCTGACCTGTCTGCTCTGTCCGAGACATGAGAGTCACACCCAGGTGTAAGACAAACAGGACTTTGGTCTGACTGGTGCACAGGACTTCACTTTCAGCTCTATGGTGGACAGGAGGTTACACCCAGGGAGGGCTGGGCGATAGGTCCTCAAATCAATATCACGATATATTGATCAGTTCACCTCGATAACGATAAATAGACGATAACTACTCCACAAGCTGCTCACCCCCTCACACATTAACTTCATCTACAACTTTTGAACCGTCCTCCATCTCCTCACCTGTCTTTCCCTCTTTGTTACAGACTGGATGGGGTGGAGTCACGTCTCTGACGTAGGACAGCGTCTTAAAGGGACATGAGACCATAGCCTACCTACACACATCCAAAAACAACTTCTATTCATCTATTTTTTGACACTGAATGTACAAATGGGCAAAATAACTTTGGTTATTCTCGTAAATTTCGGTATCGGTTATTTTTTTAGTTTATTGCCCAGTCCTACACCCAGGTGTGCACCCAGCTGGTGCGTTTGGCCCTGATACTGGTCTACTTGGTTCCTAAATGTGTTTGTTAAAAAAAGAGATGATGTAGGACGATGGTGGACTTGCCTCTGCTGACATCAAAATCAAAACTAGCGTTTGTTAGTTTCATTTGAATAAAGGGTAAAAATGATTTGCAGACCCTCAGATTCTGATTTTATCAACATTTCACACAGTCTCTCACTCCTTTGGGGTTGTGGTTGTCTTACCAACGGTGTCTTACTGACTCACCTGAGCTCCATGTGATCTCCTGTGGCTGCGGCCCTCTGGCCTGCTGTCTGGAGGATGTGGCTCCCTGGGCAGCCATAACTGCTCCACAGTCGTGCTGCTGGAGACTCCACCTGCAGAGCCTCCTGTTTCGGCCTCTGTCCCGGCCAAAGGTTTCAAATGAAGCTGCTCGTCATGTCCAACAGACCAGTTCTTCCTGCTTTCCTGGAGCCTGTTGAGGACCTGCTCTGCGCCTGTTTTACTGGCGGTTTTTCTTGGATCGGCTGTGGGACTGTCCACAGACATCTCAACAGGCCGGAGCTCCCACGGGTCCTGGGGGCCCGTCGTCCACACCGGGCTTGTCAGACCAGCTGCAGGCTGTGTCGGCACCTTCCAGCTGATGTCTCTCTCAGGAGAAGGCTGCACTCGAGCTCCAAACACGGCGTCGGCGCTCTGGATACCAGAAACAGGAAACAAGTCTTTAGTGGGTGGGAGCTGAGCTTGAGATGTGAACGAGTCGATGTCAAGAATGGCGGGTTTGTAGGACTCTTCTGCTTTCAGAGAGGGCTCTTTCCATCTTGTAGCAGGATCACTACGCTGAGTGGGAGTCTTGGGAAAGGGGTCAAGCCGCAGTACAGAGTCCAGATCCACAACCTTTGGTCTGAGAGCTGCTGCCTCTAACCTCGCTCTCTCCTGTTCCTCCTTCTTCTGTTTCTCCTTCAGTCTCTGCCTTTCTGCTTCTTGCTGTTTGGCGATCAGTCTCATCTTGTCCGCCTCCTCTCTTTCCATCTTTTCTCTCAGTCGGCGTTTCTCCATCTCCATGATCTGCTGTCTCTCCCTCTCTGCTTGTTTCTGCTTCTCAAACTCCAGGAGCTGTCTCCTCTCTATCTCCTTCACTCTCTCTATCTCCTCCTTCCTCAGCCTTTCCTTCTCTTGTTCTCGTTGTCTCTGCCTCTGGTTTTCTAGTTCCTGTCTCTCGATATCGAGCTGTCTCTGTCTCTCCTTGTCCAGCTCTCTTTGTCTCTGTCTCTCCAGCTCTCTCTGCTTTTCCCTCTCCATCTCCCTCTCCATCTCCCGTTGTCTTTCCCTTTCTTTCTCAAGCTCTCTCAGTCTTAGCATTTCCTGTTCCAGCGCCATCTGTTTGACCTTCTCGGCCTCTTCTCTCTCCATTTTCTCTCTGAGTCTCTGCTTCTCCATCTCGATGATCTGCTGCCTCTCCTTTTCTTTCTGCTTTTGTTTCTGAAACTCAAGAAGCTGTTGTTTCTCTATCTCTTTCAGTCTCTCCAGCTCCTCCATCCTCTGTTTCTCCTTCTGCATCTCCATCAGTTGTCTTTCCCTGTCGAGCTCTCTCTGCCTCTCCGCCTCCCGTTTCCTCTGCCGCTCTTGTTCACGCTGTCTCTCCTTTTCTTGCTCCCTCATTTTCTCCAACTCGAGTTTTCTCTGCCTCTCCAGTTCTCGTTGTTTCTCTTTCTCGAGTTGACGTTGTCGTTCTCTCTCCTGCTTCTCTCTCTCCAGCTCTTGTATTTTCTGTTTTTCGAGCTCGATCTGTTTCTGTCTCTCCAGCGCACGCTGTTTCTCCTCAAACTCCTGCTTCTCCTTCTCGTAGGCTCTCTGTCTTTGCCTCTCAAACTCTCTCTGCCTCTCCCTCTCCTTCATCCGTTCGAACTCTATATGTGCTTCTTTCTCGAGTTCGAGCTGTCTTTGCTTTTCCCTCTCCAGCTCTTTCAATTTGGTCTTCTTTCTTTCTGCCTCTTTTATTAGTTCTCTCCTCTTTTCAACTTCCATCTTTTCTTCAGCCATCAGTCTTTCTGTAGACGGCTCTACTTGATCTTGAGAGTTTTTCCCACAGGCTTCGTCTAATGACGGGTTTCTCCTGATTGGTTGAACCTTCCCTTGAGCAGACCTCACAGCAGACAAATCATCAAAAGGCATGTTCACGTCGAAGCCTGGAGAAGCTGGTTCCTGTGCTTGTCCGGTCAAAGCGAAGTACGTCGCTCTGGGTTTGTGTTGTTCGTCCGCCGGCAGCATTTTCAAACGTTTGGGCGCTGCGGCCACTTCTCCTTGCTCCGCCTCCCTCGTGTCTGTATCCAAAGCCACTTGTCCTTCCTGCTGCGGTTCTTTACCTGCTTCTTGTCCTAAACCTGTGATGCTCCATTTAGGCAAAGCGCCAATTCTCAGATATCTCGGCTGTTGTTCTGGCATCGCTGACAAAGCTGGTTCAGGGTTCCTCTCTTCTGTTGGCTTGCTCGCCTCTGAGCGTCTGGAGCGCAGCGTCATGGCCTTATCCTCTCTGTGAGCAGATGGGACGCTCTCGCTCACCGCCCTGTTTTCATCCACCGCCTGCACAGTGTCAAAGGAATGTAGCACACGCAGAGGACTCGACGGGGAAACGGGCTCTTTGTAGACGGCGGTGACCAGAGTTCCCTCATCACTACTTTCTCTTCTTAGCAGCGGGCTGTTGAGCGAATCCTTGGCCTTGTTCTCCTCCACCATCATCACGCTGTGACGCTCCACCACATTCTCAAACAGGGATGCTCTCACTTTCTGTACCTCCCCGCTGTCCTTAAGAGCGGCTCCAACGGTCTGTTCTACAGCTGGTCCTTCTTCCGTGGAGTCCTTTATGAGCGGCTGATGAGGATCTTTTAAATCCGCAAAGGTCCTCTGCTCACTGGGAGTGACAGCTGTCTCTTCAGTCTAAGAAAGTTCACAGATACACCGAGAGTTACAAACAAGCTGAAACTTTTTATTCTCAAGATAAAAATCAAAGTAGGGCTGCACGATTTTATCCAAAAATAAAAACCAAATTTTGATTTTTTATTCAGTGACAACTTCGTCAAACTTCACTTGAATAAAAAGTTTTTCTATCATCTCTCAAAACAAAACCACTGAAAACGATGTAGTGCATATGCCAAGCCACTTCGCACGCTGTTACACTGCACAGGAAATGCACAAAAGACAGAGAAAGAGTAGAAAGCATGCCTATAAAGATAGACATCCACACGGAGATGAAATGGTCGTCGTTTACGGATTTATGCACTCTCTGACCCGTTTTCAAAAAGTACTGTTTACAGTCACTGAAACGCCAACATGACAAAAAACTTTGTTTCCGTGGTGACAGGTTGATACCGCCTTCAGACAGACTTTGCATTGGGGAGTGGTTTACTCTTTGTCAAAAACTGCAAAGCCGTACCAATTCCACACGACTGACTCACTCTTGTCCTATTTAACCACGAAATTATGGCCCCCTTTTACAAACGCCATGTTTGTTTGCAGGAAGGGGGAGCATAGGGTGGCCTGGAGGCACGAGACATGATAGAGAGGAAAATTGATTTGACGATTTCAAATTTTTTAACATCGTCATAATCAAATAATCCGATTACGAGTTAAAATCGATTAACCGTGCAGCCCTACATCAAAGATATAAAATCTTCTAAAACATGACGAAAGATCAAATCAAAGTTGGTTTGACAACAGAAGAGGACAGAACGGGACACACAAAGAAGTTGAAATGATTGGGTGTACAGCTGTCAGAGTGGAAACGGTATCTCCTTGTTCTCAGCTGGACTCACAACAGAGGGTGTGGTGCAGAGTGGGTAATCAAAGCCTCTCTGTGTCGACCTTTTCCCACTGATCTCCTCTCTGCGTGTTTCATAACTCACAGCCATCGGGGAAGAGTAATGGACCTTGGGTTTCACAGGTTTGTACGTGTGTGACAGCGACAATGCTTTTCGCTATAATGTCACATCCCCACTGGGGAAATTGTGATGTTGGTACAAAAGGGTCAAACCCGAGCGTCCTCACTCTTAGTCTTCTCTTACAGATGAGGTCATAATTGACCCATTTGTGTCTGATTTTACTCTCAGTAGCAGACTACGTCTCTGTCTTGTCAAAATCTATTTTTCTGAGCGGTTATTTTCTTAATTTTGTCTTTTCTTCTCTTTGCCAAATCCCTCGGTTTTATTTTGGCAGGAGATTACAGGAAACACACAATGGTCTGTTTAGAGAATAGCTTGTGAAAGTACTAAGCTGCGACACAATTTCTCCTTGTTTTTTTCCTCCTTTGCCTGTTAAAGATAGACTAATGAAAACTGGTTCACATGAAGCTTAGTTCCCCCTCTTACCCTTGTCTGAGGATCTCTGCTGATGTCATGGCGCTCTGTCGCCTCACTGCAAGGGTCTGGCGACCGCTCGGATGTAAACCTGAGAGACGTACATCGAATGAGACAAAAGCCATGCATGACAATGGAACACCTGGACAAAGACGGGGGACAAAACAAAAGCGAGCCGGAGACTTGGGTGCAGCTCTTACCTTTTAGTCAAGTCAAGGGGCAGGGGGCGGGGCTTCACAGGAGGTTTGTGGACAGGGCTCTGTGTTGGTGTTGTGTCCTCTGTGAGTTGCTTGATCAGCTGTTTAACACCCACTGCTGGTTCAGCCTCAGGCACTGGCGGCACTGGAGTGTGAACTTCGGACACCTGTTGGCCTGTTGTCCCGGCGACAGGAGAGGAGGACGAATCGAGCAGGAGACTGATCCGTTTCTTGATGCTGACCGCCTTCTTAGACTCATCCGGTTCCTTCGCTGTCACTTCTTCTGTCTTTTTGTTGCTTTGGTCCAGGACAGCTGGCATGGCTTCATCGAGACTCTGTGGTGGGGCGCTCTTAGGAGTTTTCTCCGTCTCTTTCTTCTGTTGCAGCGTTTTCTCCTCTGGAGTGTTTTCTTTAGTGTTCGTCTTGGGAGATCTATGATGAAGCGACAGACCGATAGATTCAAATTTGGATGTTAGATCAGCTGACAGCGGTCGTCTACCTGTCCATCGAGGGGTAGGGACCGGTGCCTCTGTCTTGTTTGGACTGTCAAGGAAAATGGCGGATACGGGTCTGGTCCTGGAGCCTCTAGGCTGGGGTCGGAGTTGTACTGCTGCCTCAGGTTTAGATTTAGCGTTTTCTTCTTCCTCTTGTCCAAGCAGATCAAGAGAACCCATCGACTTCGCTCTTGCAATGGAGGTACCTCCTTTACTGGATCCAGTCTGATCCTTCTCGTTTTCATTTTTAGTGGATCCGGACCACTCTGCTGCCGGAAGTTTTCTAAAGCTCTTGGGATAGGCTAAGCTTGGAGCTGAAGGTCTCGGTCTTGAGACTGGAACAGGAGGAGAGGGTTTACTAGGGTCTGCGGGGACGAGAGGAGGGGCTGGTTTGAACGGATGGACTACAGGCTTGGTCGTTTGTCCAGTGCTCAATGGTTTCGAAGTTCTCAAAGCAGTAGAGGTAGATCGGTTGGGGTTGGTTGACACTGGTGTGGGTTTGCCAGTGGGAGTTAGTTGTTGTGGTTTTGGACTGCTTGTGAACTCTGGTTTCTGCACAGGAAGGTGAGCGGACTCCGGTCGGGGTTTTGGTTGAGGTTTCGGAGCGAGAATCGGTTTAATGGTGGGGTTCCTCTCCACTGAGAAAGGTTTGGGGCTGAGCCTGGGCTTGGGGCCTGGTGCGGGTTTGTTAGGCTCTGAAGTGATGAGATGGGACTGGTTGATGGGAGGAATGTCAATGAGAGTCTTGTTGCTGGAGTCAGTGAGGGGACTCAAGTGAAGTCGTCCTCCCACCCCTGTCCTCCCCACCTCCCCAGCCTGAACCTCCACCTGAGCTGCCATCCTCTTCAACAGCACCTTTAAACGAGAGGGAAAACGTCTGCTCAGGAGGACAAAACAAAGAGACAGCAGCAGAGCTATTTTCTGTTGTGGTGCTCAACAACCACAGAGCTGTATCATGCAAAATCAAACGTATAATTAGCCTCAGTGAACTGCCTCTATCTTGGTATTACTGTGGACTTTGTCTTGGGAGTGGCTTGTATCGCAGCACAATTACAGAGCGGAGTGTGAAAGATATTTACTCAAGGCCATTGATCACTTCCGCACGTTAGCGCGCACGTGTTTACAGCTCAACGAGGGTTAATAATGGAGTCACAGAGATAATGGTTTTTGTCTGACACGTTTTAATCTGATACCGCACCTTGTGATTGAACAGCATCATGACTTCTGAAGGCAAGATAAACACATACAGACCGCGAAATATTCTTATTTCTACCCACCATATCTTTGACGATCAGACTGCATTTGAAGGCTTATTTTGGATATATTTACGACACCAATTCAACACAGTGGTTCTGCTGATACAACACAAAATTATCTCCTTGATCTTAGAGCTCATTTTCACATTGATCTTATCAGAATATAATATATGATAACAGAATAATCAGCATAGCGCGGGTTCATTAAAGTTCGTCAGGGTGCTTTAGGAGCCTGCAGCTGTGTAAACTAATAGGAATGCATGTAACCGTTAATGTCATTAATTCTACATGCACATGAAAAATCAGTGGAATGAAAAACTTTGCTTCAGCAGCTGCTGCATGTTGATGAACTCAAGTCAGAGTATATTTTCTGGCAGCCATTTAAATGAGTTTCCTTTGTTTTACATACACTATTTGTTTGGCTGCATACTTTGAGTACTCTTTAAGCAGATGCTTTTATTCTGAAAAGGTGTTACAACATGTTAGCACTGACTTTGTTTCAACATATATGCGCATGATATGAAAGTTTTCATACATATATGTAAGAGTGAAATCGGTTAATTTCGCATTTGCAGTGACAATCAGCTGTAATCTGCCAAAAACGATCAACTATATCTTGTTTTATTGAACTGGTTGTTGCAGTGGCGATCAGGACTCTGCACCTTTAAGGTGGATCCTGAGACAGGGGAGGGGCTGGAAAACTGTACAGTGTCATTGTTTTCTTTTCATGTTGTCACGCAGGCAAATCAGGCTTACACAGTGAATGGGGATTCCACTGCAAACACACACCAGACTGCCATTTCAATTCTAGCTCCTCCCCTGACGGACTTTCACATGTTTATCTTCAACTAAAGGAGGCAAAGTAATAAATTTAAGATAACTCAACTTTATCTGCTTCCTTTTATTTTATCCACTCTGACAATAATCAGTGTAATCAGCTGTTCCCCTCATGGGGACAAAGATGAAAACATTAAAACTCATGCACTTCTTCTTCTTCTTCTTCTGTTGGCCCTTTAAGAGGCTCTTTTTTCATGGCTGATAATGCTTTCCACATGTTGCTGTGCAGAGATACTACATAACACAGAAAAGCAGCAGTCCTTTCAGAAAAATGACACGCTCGATCACACTGCTGCAGATAATTCTGACATATCTTACCTGACCAGATGTCAACCGTCTGCCGTAGAGCCCTGGCTTTTGTTGTAACCCAGCAGCGATGTCATATCACTCAGGAGGGGGGCAGTTGAAGGAGCCTAAGTAAGAAAGCACACAAGCTTTTCACTCGTCAGGACTGCTGTGGTAGACAAAATCACGGCAGAGCTGCTCGGGGCTGTATGAATGCTTCCTCACTGCGGTGTTTGCACGCCTCCATACTGAAGCAAACAGATGATTACGTTTACTCTGACACAGACTTGAGTAAACAAAGTCACACCAAAACTAACATGCATTCTCGCTAATGAAATATGTCCACGCTGAAAAAAAAAAGGGCTGAGAAAAGTCATTAACTGATTGTTGCGGCTGCATGTTTACTTTTTCTTTCTCTTGATTTGCATGTGTCCTCTTTCACTACCACCAGTCCTCAGTCATACATTACTAAGTATATCTATGTAAATTCAATCTGGCAACACTGAAACCATAAATGTATGCAGGAGCCATTCTCCTCTGAGTCTGCCCTTGGCCAATGCATTTTATTTCATAAGACGGATAAGCTTCAAATTCTTTTAGCACATTATAAAAAGGAAAGGGAAAAGAGCAGAAACTAGAGAGACGCAGGAAGACTGAAGTAACTAAGCCAGGAGGGATTTTAAAGTTTGAGAACTTGAACTTTGGATGTTGACAGGAAACGCCTTCGCAAAGATGGAATGCTAAACATTCGCTGTGATGGTGGGTCGAGCAGCGCAGTGGGGATTAGGAAAGTGTCTGCCTTATATAGCCTTAGACATACAAGTATTCTGCATGAGATTCATTACAAAAAAGCCAATGATAACACAAATCGACAATAAACCCAGGATGTGATGTAATTCTAGCATGAGAAATTCACACTGAGCTTTGGAAAGATTCAGTTAAGCGTACCGAAGAAGTTGGTTTGGGATAAGTCACATGCACATTTTTGCAATGTTGGCAGGACTCAGACACAGAGGGAGAGTAGGGCACAGGGTAAACCTGCTCACTGTTTGTTGTTATGTATCAATCCTGTAACCTGGTTAAGCCAGTTATGCAGAGGAAACTTTTTTTTTTTTTTTTTTTTACAAAGACAATAGACGACAAGTTCACATCCGCTGATCTACTACCAGAGGAAAGAAGAAGTACATTTACTGCAGTGAGCTCTGTCACAGTGTTCAATAGTTCCAGTTCATATGTATGTAAACTGGTGCAGGAGTGATAGAGGCTGAAACTGATGTTAAGAAATGTTAGTGTACAGGATAGTCAGCTGATGTTGTTTTTAAATGTTTTTTTAAAGTCGTGATTTACTTCAATCTCAGCCAGAGACCTAATCTAATCTGTATCTTAAAGCAGTTGTTCTCAACTGGTGGGTCCTGACCCAAAAGTGGTTCACGGACACTTTATGGATGGGTTGCGAACAGCTGGTCATAAAAAAAGGATATATTTAATGTTTGACATGTCTTTTTTTTTTTAATAGCTTATTTTGAAAGGCACACGTTATGTTGTGGTCCTCCTCAGTTAAAAATACATGGGTTTTTTTAGGGGTCTTTATTTTGCGCAATTTGATGTTTGATATCTTCTGTATATGCAACTTCAGCAGTTGTCTTCCTCAGTTCTTGTGCTCTGAAATGCACTTTACTCAATAAAATGGGTATATTTACGTAAAAGATTTGAGTCTTTTAAAGTTTTTCTAATAAAACATAAATTTTCTTAGCTTGAATTCTATAAAAATGGATCACGACTTCAGGACCATGGATAAAATGTGGATCCCAGAGTGAGACCAGTTGAGAACCACTGTCTTAAAGCATGAGCAAACCAGTGCTAATCAATACACACATATTATCATTTTACATTTAAACTAGCTCAAAAAAAAAGCAGTGTAATAAAACAAAATCTAAGTGTAGCTATCATGATTATCAGCCAAAGTATCACAGTTATTGGTGTATTCATAGTGTGGAGCAGCTGTTGATATAACTAAAGCTGTCAACTGTGATTCCACCTGAAAAAGCAGATTTTTTACCTGTCTGTCTTGGTTATCAGAAAATTCATGTAAAAGGGTATGATATAGGGCTGGGCGATATGGGAACAAGTTTGTCACAACATATATATAGATATCATGATATAAAAAAATTACTTGTCAATCTTAAATGTTCCCTCTTAAATAACATTTAACAGTGTTTATTGGTCGCATGTCTTTTGCAGAACAATAAGCTACTGCTTCTGTGAGGTCTTTGTGTCTCTTTAACGTTTTGTCGTAAAGCGTTGCGCTAGAGAAAGCGGACTGAATGGTCGGTTCAGCGTGGCGAGGACCCAGAGCAACTCCCCTTTTCATTGGCTACTCAAATAGTCCAGTGTTTCCCCTAGAATTTTTTCCAGCTGTGGCTGTGGGGTTGTTACCCCCACTCTCTTGCCGCTCCAGGAGCTACGCTGTTGCATTCATGTTACGTTAACTGCGCTACTTGCTATTCAAACCGCGTATAAGCTTAACGTCACCCTTCACATTAATGGAAGAGGGTCTGACAGGATTGATGCACTCGATGACTCAAAACAAGTCGGAATCATTATATCCACAGTGAGAGTGGAATCATTAGTGGCGCATTGATAATAACGATCATGTGAAATTTCAGTAGCGGTGCACGTAATTTAGCAGCGTCGATGCACTGCTGAATGAATGTAGAGGAAACACTGCTGATGCATATGAGTCTGAGGTACAACTGTGTGAGATAATAACAATTTTTTTTTAGGTGTGGCGGCTTTTTTTTAGCCGTGCCAATGCGCCACAATCAATTGTATGTAGGGGAAACCCTGTAGTCTACCATAACATGGCAGAATGCCGACTATTGAAAAGCATATTGACCATTTTTCAAATTGATATTGAGGAAAAAATTTTTTAATATATATCATTATCGTTTTATCGCCCAGCCCTAGCATGATCAAGCATAATAAGATAAACACAACAATAATACGTCCAAAGATAACTCTCATTTAAACTGTTAATATTTCAGAGATCATGACTAATTTAATTCTTAAGTATTAACTAGATGGGATATAAATCAGGGGCTGATTTGTCTTAGGTATCCTAAATATCTTGATTTAATATCTTTTCCTGCCAAAAACTAAAATCTGCATCAACAAGTGCTAACCCCCTCTCTCCTCTCCTCTCTGCTCACCTAAACTGCCTCATCTTGTGGACGGTACCCGGTCCAAGCTCGGCGAAAAAAACGACCCTGCCTACCTTGGTGGAAAAAAAGTGGACTTCATGGACAAAATCCGTTCCTGTATTTTAATACGAGGACACATTCAGACCACATAGATTTCATTAAAGTGTCCGAAAGTCACAGAAAAGATAAAAGCATCAGCAGCAGCTAACAGCGGTTAGCTAACAACTCAAGAAGCTGAACTCCAAAATGGAAACAGACTGAGAGAACCTGAATTATTTCTCTGATACACGAACTGAAGGAAACTCACCCAACACGAAAGTCTCTTCCAGCTTTTTTCCCCGTGCCGAAACAAAACTCCAAAACAAGAATTCAAGACAATTTTATGAAGATAGTTACAAGTCGTGACAGTTCGTTAATACAGGGGCTAGCCGAGTGTGGCTAAGTTAGCAGGTTAACTCGGCTAGCCAACAGGCTGTGGTCTGTCCCGTAGTCTCAGGTTGCAGTCAGTGTTGTTGACAGGAGGCGAGACTAGACAGGAGGCGCTCAACGACCGGACCAACGAGCCGCCCGACCGACTGGTTCCGCTAAACTGTCGAGTAAACGGACGTTACATTAGAGAATTCCGGTTAGTACTTTCAAAATAAAAGAAAGAACAAATCCAACCTCGACAACACTGGAGAGGAACTCGTGAGAAATTGTGAAATTAAATGCGAACTTTATACTAAAAAGTGTATCTAAAATACATCTTATGTAATCTGTGAGACATCAAGATCACGACTCAATATAAATACTTTATTAATAATAATAATAATAAATTATTATTATTATTATTATAGTAATGACAATTTATCATCCTATACCTTGACATTTTTTAACATACTTTACTATGACTTTTTAATCATACTATTCTGAGATTTTTTGACACCTAGATTTTTAATTTTTTATCATACTTTACTTTGACTTTTTTCGACACAATTTTTTAAAATTTTATTCATCCTATACCATGACATTTTTCTCATTAAAATTTAGAATTTTTTTCTCATACTATACTTTGACAATTTTTAAACATACTATACCACTTTTTGCAAATATTTTTTGAATGTTATTTATCATATCATATTCATCCATAATAATAATAATAATGATAATAATCATTATTTTTATTATTTGTAACGGTAAGTTTAAATAAAGAATTATTTTGCTCTAAAGGCGTCCTTATTCATTGACAACAGCTTTTATGCTATTAATTTGAAAAGAAATGACCCCGACTTCCTGGCTGATGTTCAACTCAATTTATTTAACTTTATGCATCTTCAATTTCTTACTACAGACCAAGGGATTATCCCACCCAGGCCATGAGGGGTTAATTGGTTTATTATTGGGCTAAAAACATATTTAGCCCCACCTGAAAGTTGAAACGAAAACCTTTGGCCACTCTTGATCTTGATTTAGAAAACAACTTCAACAGGAACGGAAAAATCTGTAGATTTAATCATTCCGATATCCTCTTAAATATCCTCAAGAAACTTAGTCCTTTCCTTGTATTAAAGAGGTGTTCGACCTACAGAATTAGTCCTAACTTCATAAATGATGTGTACCATTAGTCAGAGCTGCCCTCATGTGGTGAAAAGTGTTAACTGCACCAGACAGATGGTGGCCAATGTCTTAATTGGATAGCGAGTTCTTGAGTTTGACCTTACCAACCCATGATCCTTTATTGTCCTTGGCATTCGTTAAATCAAGAACCAAACAGGCAGTATTTTGATTGTGCATAATTGTTTATTCATTCAACAGACTAGTTGTACTCACCAGTCTAAACTTGCTCAAAATTAAAAGTGAATTAAAGAACCCGCCAACAAAATAACATTTTTATCCACTTTTCTCGTCAGGTCTCACCGGCATCTTCTAAACGTCAGCAGTTATGTTCAGCCTCACACTTTTTCCAACACTGACATTAAACTGGGAGGTGTAATAGGTTAGTAAATATTCTACAACAGAAGGTGACACAGAGGAGAAAATGAATGAATGAATAAGAAAGTGCGTATTTATAGTTAAACCAGGTAGAATATACTGGATCTCTGTTGAACCAACAAACCTAATCTCTTAATACTGTTTTTACTTCCTCACTTTGATATAAGAACATTCTGTTTTTGTGTTGTTACAAAATACTAGGGGAGTTAGGTCAAAGCAGCACCACCCCCCAAAGTTTATCCTGATTAAAAGGCTGACACTAACCTCGGAAAAAACTACAAGAAATCTACATTTTGATCAGTTTAATCTGCTCTACACTTCAGGTCCAGATTGAATTTTTGTACTGAGTATCCTGGAAAGACTATAAGGAGCTTGTATCTGCAGCTGGCTGACTGCTATTTTATAACAAAGCACCTTACAATTATCTAATCCACATTACTCAAGGGTCCTGGATGCAGCTTCTAGAGTTAAATACAGGAAAGTGGGCAACCCCTTTAATGCAGGTCAAGTATCTATCATAAAAGCACAAAGCATATGTTAGAGCCTGCTGGTGCAGTAATCCTGATTTTGTTTAGCATCTGAACAAAATGTTCCACATGAAGCTTTCGGTATGAGTTTGTGGCAAAGCGCTGACCTAGCCGTAAATAAATGCAAATCAAACTGACGGTGTGATGACCGACTGAGGATCACACACGCAGAGGAACAATAACAAGTAGCATGAACTTTGGCTACTTTCTGCAGACTGTTTCCATCGGTTGGTTCTGGAAAATAATCTGCATGGAAGCAAAAACAAGAGAAGGAAGATCGACCAAAGAAACAGGTGGATGAAATGAACTTCAGTGTTGTCTACTTGGTGTGAACCATGGATGTGCTGAACAGAAGTTTCTGCTTTTTCTTTTTCTTCTTTCCTCCTTTCTCATCTGAAAAAGAAGACATCGAGAGTGAGTACGAGTCTCAGACTGGAAACTTCAGCGTTAGAATAAATATATTTGATCTTAAAGTACCAGACCTGGTTCAACCACAGGTTGTGGAGGAGTAGCTGGACCACTGTCCAGCTGCAGAAGTGCCTTCTCAAAAGCCTGACTGAAGGAGTTTTGGAAGCTGGGCACAGGGACGCGGTCCGACCCGTCGCTTTCTCCATCGCTGTCCGCTGCTGGAGGAGCTAACAGCTTATCTACGAGGCACAAGACACGACACTGACGTCAAAAAAGCCTCCAGGGACAGCACTGCTTGGCAGCAACAAAAACAGGTTTTACAGGAAATACACAATAATGCACAACAGTTTTACCCTCACAAACTTCATAACATGCTGTACAAACACAGCGTACAAAAGGTCAAAGCAATCTTTAAATATGGAGATGACTAACCATCTAATGGTTTAAACACTGTGTGAGAACGAAACAAGGACCTGATACAGAGAGACAGTCCTCTATTTACTTTAGTCAAAAAAATATTAATCACAACAAGCAGACTCCAACTCTAAAACAAATGAGGTCAATCAGTCCAAGATTCAGTTAAAGCCATTAACCGACGACCACTCAGCGACCTCCACATGGAGAATATGTCAGTGATGAACTATTACACGCTCCCTGGTCATCTGTTCTGAATAGTTTGGGTTATTTTTCTTAGATCTGATAACAAAGTAGACTGACAGTGTCTGCAGCTCAGCAATCGTGCATTTAACCCTTTTTGGTGTGAATTCATTTTAATCAGGTAGGGACTACAATCTAAAAAACCAAAACAACATCCTCTATCCAACACCTGCAGAGTGAGATGGATGGAAAAAAATGTTCAATTCTGAAGGGCGGCGACGTTGGAACAAAATGTGAATTAGCTGTTCACATTTTCCTGCAAGCACAACCAGTTTCTGAATCAATACAGCCAAAGAGCTTTCAGCTGTTCAAATGTTGACATACTGCTTTTGTGTCATCTTGTTCTACCTTTCTTTGGGGTGATCCTGGGCCCAGCATCAACTCTGGCTTTCCCGTCTCTTAACATCTGCACAGAACACAAAAACAGTAGCATCACGTCACGTAAACCAGGTTAACAATTCAGACTTAGGATTATTATTATACTGGACTTCCTTTTGTGTTCGCCGTACTCACCTGTGCAAAAGACATACAGTGGGAGTCGTCCTCCACACTACCCACGATGGGTGAAGAGCTTTGTCCGTTCGGACCCGGGAATTTCATTCCATCTAAGAAACAAACAAAATGAGACTCAGCTAACAGCATTTAGGTGTCGAAGATTGAGGTGACAGCACCGAACAGAAAACCTGCAGAGAAAGAAGAAGTTGTTCTCACCTGCAGAAGGGCTGCTGCTGAGGGGAGAGGGCGGGTTGAACGTGAAATCAGGCTGAACTGGGGGGCTGCTGTAAAACGGCGGAGACCCAAATGCTGGAAAATGGTGAAGGTTCTCCAACCCGATATGCACCTCTGGATCTGTGTACGGATACAAATGAATAAAGTTACACATCTGTTTGTTATATTTGTCTTCATCTTTATCTTCCCCATCCAGCAGTACTTACATTTACCCTGCTTCTTGTTCTCCTCGATTTCAATCCGTCTTTCTCGGCGCTTCTCATCCCTCACTTTTTTCTGCCTCAGGCGCTTCCTCTTCTCCAAATCATCTGTAAAGGAATGAGAATTGGACCTGAAGTCTCTGTCCTTCAACTTTAAATTAACATGTTAAAAGTATGAAAATAAAAAGATTCCAACCTGCAAAGGTGTCGAGAGTTTCTTTGGACAGGATCGGAGGCTGAAGAGCCAACTCACAGATGCTGAACTCACATGTGAGCGGAAGGTGAGCTAGGTAGCGATGTCGACGACGGATGTCCTGCAGGAAGTTAATGCACAAAAATAATCAAAGTGTAAGCTGTCTGAAACTAGACGAGTTATGATTAGTTTTCTGACCAGTTCAGACATTTGACTCTTTTGTTCGCTGACCTCAGTGACTGTGTGTCCCACGATCTCCACCACTTTGGCAGTGATGGAGTCAGGACTGGCCTCCAAGCTGCCGTATTCCCGTAACAAACAGCGTACATTCACAGGGTGCAGGAACATCTGCTGGCAGTCGTCAGCTGGTGAGAGAAATACAGAAAGAAAGGTTAAGATGTAAAGTAAGAAAGTTTGATTCTTACTCTGAAGACAGCTAAGAGAACGGTCAAGACAAACAGTCTGTCTGCGCTGTTCCTCGTTTCTCTGATAAAAGTTATAACTCCCACGTTTATTTTTGCTTTGATTCATCTGTTTGTTTTGGGTTTTACCTTCCCAAGGCAGGACCATGAAAAAATAATCTTTACTAATTAAGAGCTCCTCTGAGGTTATTTGTTTAATGTTCAGCTTTGTGTGCATCACTGTCAGCTCCACATGAGTTTAAACTGTGTGATTCTGTCGTTGAAAACTCAAAGGTTAGGCTGTAAGAGTGGGGAGTAACAAACCTTGGTAGAAGTAGTAGTAAGGTCCGTGCACTGCACTGGTTGAGGGACGGCCCTCTGCCTGGTTAGGAGGACTCTCTTCATCAGGCTCTGGTTCTGGAGCTTCATCCATCACAGCCTCTGGAGGCTCCTCCAGGACACACTCCAAAATGTCTTCAGGGGGGCCTGGCAGCTCTACAGTGGCAGCCTCAGGGGCCTCTGGGACCTCCTCAACCTCTGCAACCTCCTCCACTTCATCATCGAACGCAGAGGAGTATTGCAGCACAGGCTAGAAAAAGGAACAGACGAATCTTAGTGATCACAAACATAACCACAGTACCATATAAAGTTTAACACTGAGGCAGAGCATGACACTCAAAGGATTTAATCCCATCATCAGCAAATACAAAAATCTCAAACCAGGAAAGATGTAAAGATGTTTCTGAGACTGACCTTAGAGCTGCTGGTGTGAGTGACCACTTCCTCCTCAGGAGGAGTCGTCTCCTCCAGGGTCAGACAGGACATGTCCAGGCCGTCACCCACATTCACCTTCTGCTCCTTCAGCAGCAGTTCCTCTTGCTCCTAAACGACACAGAAAGTTTGAAATGTTTGAGACATAAGATGAAAAATGTGAAGTTTACGCTGCAGTTTAAAGCATTCATCTCATAATGTTACCATTTATTTAGCACACGCTTCTGTCCTGAGCAACATTTATTTGTGAAATTGCAAGATGACATATAGACTTGTCCTCTAAGGTTCACCGTCTATTACTCTATTCATAAAGCTGATATGTGTGTAAATTCACTCACTTGCAGAAGACAAAGAGCGCTCTGGATGAAGCACCCTTGGGTGTCCTCCTCTAGGCTGAGTTTGGCCTGCAGGACTGCTTTCTCCTCCATCACGAGGCTCAGGACCTGTGCAGGGGAGGCCAGCAGCAGCTTGGAGTACTGGCTGAGACTCGCATCTGCAACACAATGACAGAGTTAGCTTCTAGTTTATATTGATGTGCTTGTAAAACTAAAAATAAGATGGTTTTGTTGTTGACAGGAGACGACAATTAAGAGAAGAATTGGATCCAACAAATAAAGAGAACAAGAGAAAAATTCTTCAGTCCTTCACCTCCAAAGCGAACAGGCTCTGCCACCTTCACCCACTGAGAGCTGGGCATGGCCACCAGAGCCCCTTTCTCCCTCCGCATCAGACGCATGGTGATAACATCACCGACCACATACTGCCTGGTCTCCATAGCAACAACGCTGCACAAAATATAAAGGAAAACTGTCAAGAAACCCGACCATTCAAGAAGTGTTTAAATGTCTCGCAGTGACGCTTTTGAGGTGTGTGAAGGTGTGAACTCGTGTGTGCAGAGAGTATTTGTTTTATTCAAGCTTTTTTGATTCCCACTTACCTCTTCAGGTCAGCAGTTTGAACGGCCTCGTAGCAGATGGGGCACTTGGACCAGCTCTTGTCGCTCAGAGAGAGGTAGTGCAGCATGCACGGCCAGCAGAAGATGTGTCCACACCGGGTGATGCGGGCTGTCACAGGAGGGTAGAGGCAGATTGGACAAGATGGCACCTCATGACTGTAGATGCGCTGGAGGAGTACACAAAGAGAGTGTCCATAAATACAAAAGTAGTCAGTGTGGCACTCATTTCTCACATTTCAACAAAGGATAAACACTCACCACTTGTTGCACACAGTCCCAGTTCACCAGAGTGTCCGGATCAGTGAAGTGAGCCTTGTAGTCCTGATCATCAGTCACCACAAACTGGCAGCTGAAACACACAAACTTAGTCAGCTCCCACGCATTTGTGCTTTCCACTTCACATCATGTGACGTACAGAGAGGCTGCTTACTTGGCCTGCAGAAAAAGCTCCTTGTTGAAGGGCTTGTGCTTGTGGCCCCATTTATTTCGGCGGCCCCAACAGGCATGGCCGCCGTCTCCGACGCCACCATTTCCTCCACGTGGTTCAAAGGTGAAGTTCAGAAGGTGGTTTAAGCTTATTTTCTTCGGTCCAGCAAACTGAGCCGGGCTAAACTCGGCCCGGCGTGTCTCTGCTACCTAAAAGTGGAGAGGTAGACAACCATCTGTTAGGTACTTCCTAAAAGCGACAGTCAGAGTCTTGAATAAAAAGATAACACCAACCTCCTCACGTCGTCCTCCACCTGCAACACCGAACTGCCGTCCTCCACCTCTCTGGGGGGGTCTCTTGTCAAAATTCTTGCTTTTCTGTGGATTGGGGCGGCGAGTACCTGGGAAACTATCGGTTTTGGGAAAGGATGGCTCACGCTTGCGGTTGTAGCGCTTGGAGCCTCCATTGTTTTTACTCTCTGAAACACAAAATATTCACACAAATACACAAAATTAAATCACGACCACATGCTGTTGTCTGATTTCTGTTTTATGACAGAATCAAGAACAGTCATCTGAAGTCTGAAGTGTCATTTTGCGCCTGTAAACAAAATGTTAAATAATATCGTCTTGATTATTGCAATAAACTTAATTATGGTACCAGCCAAACCTCTCTTAATCGTTTACAGCTCGTTCAAAATACCGCAACTTGTGTTTTATCTGGTCGCTGTAATTATGACCACAATTTCCCCCTATAGCCTCTCTTCACTGGCTTCCTGTGCGTTTTAGGATTGAGTTTAAAATTTTGTTATTAACTTATAAATCTTTTAAACGGGCTTGCTCCTTTTCATCTCTCTGACCTTTTAAAACCCTATATTTCATCTCAGACTCTCGGATCCTCTGTCCGGCGCCATCTGACTGTCCCTAGGTCAAGATTAAAGTTCAGAGGTGACCGTGCTTTTCCTATTGCTGCGCCTCAGCTCTGAAATGCTCTCCCTCTTCATGTCTAACTGTCCCCCTCACAGCCTGTTTTTGAATCAAACTTGAAAACACACTTTTACTCCTGAGAACTTGGCCTTCAGCGTCTCCACCCCCACCCTCTGGAACCCCCTCCCTAAACACATCCGTGAATGCCCGGACCTATACAGCTTCAAATCCGCCCTCAAAACCCACCTTTTCACACTCGCTTTTATTACCTGACCCCCCTGACTCATCATAATCCCACCTTTCACATCTGCCCTTCCCACTTGTGCTCTTTTTATTATATTTTACCTTATTTTTAGCTTGTTACTATTAATCTTTGCCTCATTGTATTTTTGTTATGTTTTTGTAAAGTGTCTTTGAGTTCCTGTAAAAGCGCTATACAAATAAAATGCATTATTATTATTATTATTATATTGTTACTGAACCATCTATGTCCCCCTGTTTTTGTTTTATTGTTCGTGTAAATTGTCTGTTTATTATTGTTTTTTAATTTTCACTGTACAGCACTTTGGTCATGTTTTGTTGTTTTAAAATGTGCTTTTTAATAAACATGGATTAGATTGGATTGGAATATCACTATGGCTGGTAAATAATACACATTCATTACAAATAACTGACATAAGTTCTTCCTGCACACCCTCTTAATCGTTGTTATTATACTCCTGTAACTGTCAAGTGTCTGTTAAAATGGCTGTTAAACGTTGTCAGTGTCTATGCATATTAATGTACAGTTCTGGTATTATTAGACATACAAATATAGTGCAGCGTGCAGCGACCATCAGCTGCAGGACTGACAGTTCAGAGGGTCAGATATTTTGTCAGCGACGTCAGCCCTATCAGATAAACAACGCTGCGCTACTGCTAGGCCCAAACAGGCCTTATCAGGGCTTAGAGAGGCGTTTAACCAGGGGAACAGCTTTATAACTTTAAGCGATATTAATGTTATTAAGTAAATGAATTCACCTGTTTTGGGTTTAGATTCGCCCGGTGTAGGGCCTGTAGAGCTTGAACGGGGCGGAACCTTGGTGCTGGTGTTGCTGTTGGGGTTTTTCTCCATGTTTGTCTCCGTGCGGTGAGCAGAAGTGAGGCCGAGCTCCGGGCAGAGAGCCGCCGAGCTCTCTAGCATCAAACTGAAAAACTGAATAGGAAAGCGGGCTGCAGTGAGTGCGGGTAAGGCGACGAAGGCCCTGATTCATTTCTGTCAAACGCGGAGACCCCATCACGGCGACATCTTGACAACAAAACAAACCGAGAAAAAATAGAGACACGATTTCGGCGTCTCAAGTTATGGAAGCTGTTAGAAGAGAGGACGAAAACTCGCCACGCGGGGCCAAGACCCCACGAATTTAAGGTTTAAACTCGTCGGGGAGAACAAATTGCCCTTAACAAGGCGGCAAGTGTTTTCCAAAAACTGGAAAACGTGCCAATGTCGAGGTTTTTGGTCAAAATATAAGTCCGTTTCAAAGCGCTTGCACTAATGGCGACGGGTCGCCAAGCAGGAACCTGAGAGACCCGGATGTTTCTTGTACCGTCCAAAACATGTTTAGTGCGGAGGCCCCGCGAGGCATTGTGGGACATGTAGTAGCAAAGATCCATTTGTTTTTTTTTTCTTGCAACGGCTGTTCGAAGGTTTAAAGTACTCGGTGTACCATTGACTGTATATAAAGTCTATGTTGTGAACAATACAGCCAAAGTCTCGCCGTTAATACTACTACTACTGATAATAATAACTTTATTTTTATAGCACTTTTAAAAACAGAAGTTTACAAAGTGCTTTGACAAACAGTCACAGAAAAAAGCACAGAAAATGCACATGGAAATAAAAACAAATAAAAAAACTAAGGCTCAGTTAAAAACAAGGCCTCCGAATTGAAGAACAATATCAATTTTCATAAGAAACCCCAAACAATACAACAATCCTACAACATAAATGAGACCATGCGGACCAAAATAAAAACATAAAATAGCTAAGAAAAAGAAATGTAATAAAAGAGGGGGCATAAAGACGATAAGAAGACGATAAAGACGATATTAATAAAGATAATAAAATCATAATAAAACAATAATGACGGTAATAGTAATAATAAAATGGAATAACAAAAATTTTTTCAAGTAAGCTTTAAAAAAAGCCATATTGATGATTTGACCACAAAGTTTCTATAAGTGTGCATGGTCAACCAAAATGTATGCAAAAGTTATTCTAGGACACAAATTACAGTATAGTTTCTTGGATGTAGTACTTTAATATGTGAACAGATTATGTGTACAAAAATAAAATAAAAGCATTCAGAAACAAAAAAAACTCTTCCTTCAGATTAAAATGGACTAAAGGGACTCTGTCATTTTTGAACCAGGAGAAACAAGGTTGGAAAATCAATTTTATTCTGTACACTTTGTACTATGTAACTATGTACAATTAATCAATAAGTCTGACGTTCACTTTCAATTTTGTAATTATAAAGAGGCATTAATAATAATAATAATAATTAGAGTCTGTTTCATAAACAGCTCAAAACTCCTCCCGCAAGAAAACAAAACTGAAGGATAATAACATATCAGTGTTCACTCTCATGACCTTCTTTAATTCATTTTCATCCTGACCAGCAGGCCCCTCTGCCAGCTTACATATTTATGTGATAAAGTGTGATAAACCACATGTAATATCTCTGTCTGATGAAGAATGCATCATGTGATGTCTCCCTCTAATATAGACATGTATACGTCTGGATATTTCCTTTCTTATTATCCTCTTTCCTGTCAGTTTCAGGCCAAATTTCAGTCAGAAACAGGAATCATATGATGGCTCCACAGCTGCTTTTCATTTACTGCATTCTCTGCAGTCACTGCTCTTCATCGTCCTCGCTGTCAGATTCTTCTCCAAATTCTTGCTTGTTTCCTCTTGTAAGGCAGCATTTGAGAATAGCTTCACGAACCTGGGATCTTTCTTCTGTGAAGAAACAGAAATTGAAATTGGGATCAATCAGTTTTCTCTTTGTCATATCAATTCAAAGTTTTGTATTGAGAGTTACAGTTTGCTGTAAACTTCAGGCTGTGACAATCAAACTTAAGAATGCTGGCTCACATTTCAGGTCAAAACAGGAATCTTATTCATGAAAAAAAACGAATGCTCAACATCTGGTTCAGCCTAATAAAAATGCTTGGTATAATATTACAATTTCCTTACCTTCACTTTTACATTTAGGAAGCATTCGGTGAAGTTGCTGGGTGTTATACTTGACCAGAAACTTCTGACATGTTCTGATTGTTCCTAGAAAACACAACATATTTTATTATTGTCTGGTTAGTATTTAATGTTATTTTCAATGTCTGATTTATGGTGTAAAGGCGGTTTATTTTCTTACCTCCTACATGCAAACAGTTGAGAAAACATTCGATTTTCTGCCCTCGTGTTTCTATACAGGTGATGAAAGGTAATGCAGACCAGAGGAGTCTGTAACACTTTTTGGGGAAACGCAGGAACACTATTCCAGTGTGAGCGTTCAGATATTTTACTGGAAGACAAAATAAAAAGAGAGACCATGAAGCAGTTGGTTGAGCTGTATTAATAGGCAAAGAACAGGAAGAGATTTGGGATCCTGACACTAACTGTTTCTCATGAGATGCCACCAGTGTGTCTACTATCGATTATGAGACGAAGAGCTGGGGCGTGAACTTACATTTTTTTAATATTTGATATTTCTTACTGCTGCTTTTTTTTGGCCTTGATTGACTGTAGTGTTTTTTAGCATATGTGTACATCATCTTAGTACCATCACTCTCTGACTAATGTTACCCATCAAGCTCTGAAGTTTATTACAAACCCTTAAATCTGTTTCCCCTTTCAGACATGCATAAAGTTCTTGAAAATTCATAATTCCTCCAGCTAAAGTTGGCCAACAATTTCTACCCACAAAATAAATTAATCATAGGCCTGTTTTTAATTGTAAAGCCATTTTCTGCTCGCTTACTTTTTATTTGTGTGATCTAATTAATTTGGAAACAACTAGAAACTGTTAAATCAGGGGCTTCCACCTAAGTTTCACCAAAACTTAGGTAAACTTGCTGACTACTGAAGTATGGCTAAATTATCAAGAGTGCAAAAATGTTCGATTAAAAATGTAGTATCATAAAACTTGAACCACAACTAACCTGAGAATCTGATGCTACAGAGAGCCGCCCCGTAGTCCCCATGCATGCGGGCGACAGCTGCCTTCACTGCCGCTGCAACAGCTCTGTCATCCAGCAGAAACAGACGGCTCCTGTCCGGTACATTGATCTCACACAGCAAGTACCTACAGATTACAAATGAATTTAAGTCAGGGATTAACGACTAAATCAAAGTTTGATGAAAATGGTACGTGATGGGCACATTTTACCTCGATTTCACACGCACCATGGCTGCCTCCTTCTCTGGGAACTTCCGTCAACTAGCGTTGTGTCGTTCGCGAACGATTCGTTCAAAAGAACTGAATCTGTTAAACTAACGTACTGAACAGAATGAGCTCCTCAAGTGATTCATTCATTTCTCACCAGTTGAGCTGTCAGCAGCGCAGCTGGTATGGTACGGAGCATATGACTGCATGCACCGATGCCTGAATCACTTGCTAAACAAATCATGCATTGTACTACACTCTCTGAAATCACTTTTTTGGGCATAGCTAACTTTGCCACCGCAACAACTTGCATACAATAGGACACAGCATGTAACAAGTAGTGCATAAAAGCTGCAGCATCATATCATTGCAGCGGTATGCGAAGGAACAATGTATGTTCAGTATGAATTCTTCCAAACGTTCACTGAACGAACATTTGGCAACATTTAGTTTCCCTTTGGAGTTAAGTTATATTGTTGTGTAACAAAGCGGATGTTGTGCAGCCGCTCCCTTGTTGTTTGAAGGTTGTCTTGGGGCAAAGATGTGACGTGTGTTTCATTCATGAGCGGGTTTGTTGACGATAACCTGAGCACACAATTCATTCATGGATTTATTTACGCTCCTTGGAGAGCGCAGCGAGTTATGGGCAAAATGTTTTAATATTGTTAAGTTTAAGAATATACCGTGGGATTGTATTTGATGTTTATTTGTATGTGTTTTAAAAAATAGTTTCACAGTGCTGTGAAGATCATGAAGTGAAGAAATAAATAAGGACCTTACACATCAATTGTTCTCACGCATTGTCATTCCAAGGGCTGTAACACTGAACATTCAGCTGTGTTTCAGTTCAGGAGGTCGGATTCGCAGGCTCCTCCTGCAAAGCTGAATGATTTGGTGATTTGGTGAACGAATCTTTTTAGTGAACCGATTCTAGTGATTCAGTACATCTAAAAGAACTGCCCTGCCCATCACTACCGTCAACAAAGTTTGACGCTGTGTGGAGATTTGTTCTGGCGCCATCTGCTGGACGGTAATGGCAATGCCGGCTGCACTTTTCATTACATCCTGTACAGCACGGACGTACTTTAATATTCCTCAACACGGCTAAACTACAAGGTGTGGAGCTGTTTCCCTCCTTTCAAACTCCTCTACACAAATTCAACAAAAAGTACCGGTAAAAATGAGCTTCGATTTGGAGCTTTCAGATTTAACAAAAGAATCTTAATTCTCTTTATGTTTTAAATCTGTTAAACTAGTTAATACACTAAACTAATGAAGAAACGGGATGTCTTGAGCTGTAAACCATTCATACCCCTTTGGTAACTATGACAATCTTCATCGTCCTCAGCCAATCACAGCCTGACTTTCCTGTCTCTTATGCACGTTTTACGCCATCTTGAATACACCCGCAGTTTGTTAAGTCGCCTTCAGATAAAGAGGCTCAGCAGCTCTTTTAATCATTTCCTTAGTGGCCGTAATGAACGGTTCACGAAACAAAACGGCACCGATACTGAACATAAGTCACACGGACACAGACTCCTGCTCGGAACCGACCCACAGAGAGCGAAAGAGTGTCGGAGGAGGAAGAGGAGGAGGAATGCTGAAGAAACTGAAGTCGAGGCGCAGTCAGACGGAGAAGTGGCCTGTGGTCACCGAGGATGAGCTCCGGGCTCTGGGAGGAGATATCACCCCGGACCATGTCCTGGGGCTCCGGGCTGTCACGGAGGGTGAGTACCAGGAGTGTTTAACAGGGTTTATTTCATCTAAGTTAATAAAACCGCTCATTATTGTCAAAGGCTAAATGTGGCTAAGTTTGAAAACGACTTCTAAGATAACTACATCACACACTTTTCATAATAAGGTTAAAATATTAAACTGCTGAAGCTGTTTGTGTTACTATAACCTAAATTAGACATTCTCTGCTTTTGGTGGCAAGAAAGAAGATGCACCAGGGTCGTACCCAGCAATCCGGATCACCTATATAATCCTATTAAACTCAAGCCCCCCTTTCTTTAGAACTACATTAAAACAAGACATCCACTAAAGACTCTATGGGGATTTTTTATACTAAAAATAGACTGAAATTAACATTTATGCCTGTCTGTGATATAAAAGAACAAATAATACCATCAAGGACAAGATTGACCACATTTATATTGTACGTTTTGATTCATGAAACTGGTGCAAGAGGGTAGATGTGAGCCAAAAACCTGAGGAGACACCTCTGTTTCTACCTTTTCCAATTAAAGGGATATTCTGGTGTAAAATTAAGTTAGGGTCAAACACACCATAACACCGAGTTAGACACCCCGTCGAGAGATGAATGTTGCAGACCGCTACCTTCACTATTTATACCAACTTTAATAATGACTGCACGATAGCAATATACAGTGGTCTGAGGAGACACACACAAACCTCAACCAAAACGCCACTCTATAGCCACAAGTAATGCTCAGAACAGCACTTAACTTCATCAACAGGACATATAGGGTCACAGACATAGTACTAGCCACCAAACATCTTTTTAACTTTGCCTGATTTCTTTAGCAAAGAGACTAAACACAACTCACCCACTCTCTTCCAGCAGCCGCTTGTTTGAAGCGAGACCTCGAACAGTCTATTACAAACTGCAGTGGGGTGTCTAACACAGTGTTACGGTGTGTTTGACCCTAAATTAAATGAATTTTATGCTGGAATATCCCTTTAAACTATTCTCAATAACTGATAGATTCGATATTTGTCAGAAAATGTGACTGAAACATGTAGATGTCAAGCTGGGCAAAGAATGAAAGTTCCTCACATGTGCTTTAAAGTTTTCCACAGACTCAACTTTTTGTTCCTGTAATTTTAAAGATAGATTTCAATTAATAAATCGAACATTTCCAGAAAGTCTGTGAGTGTTTCCAGTCATTTCACCAGCAGTTTAAGACCTTGTTTTGCTTACTAGATGAAAGAATTCAGTCATAATGCTGCGGATCATCATGAGGTTTTAAATTATTCGAGACACAAAGTGAGCCAATGTTGGTGCCTGCTTGGCGTGGAGTCTTCAAGGCCTAGAGATAAGAGCATGGGATTTGCAACATGAAACGGTCTTATTCTGCCTAAACACCTCGAGGTTTGTTTTGAAATAGTGCAGCACTGATAGAACTTAACTATATCTCCAGATGTATATGATCTTGAAAAGTAAGATCCAAGTTTATGTTGAAACCTGACATTTGACCCAACATCGTATTGAAACATGAATTAAAACCTGAATTATAAGGCAGCCCTGGTTCATAGTGTATAAACCTTCCTCTGAGTACAGCTTTTATCGGTGATTGTAGATGTTTTTGCCGTCTGGATTTGTCATGGTCTTCCACCCCACAAGTATTCTCCTCTTTGCTCCTGCCTCTGAGTCAGACCTCAGGGTCTGTCATCAGACACCCAGCCTACCACAGTAGCAGCCGATTCTTAAGCCTCCCATTGTCTTTGTCGTTTTCCCGGACCAGACAACAATGGCTGAACTTCCCTTCTCTCTCACCACTCTGTTGAAAACTTTGGGGTCCTGGTTACAGCATTACTCACCACTACTGCAAGGTGCAGCGGCCAGGAACAGATACTGAAACCCTAGCTGCTCCTGGAGCGCTCTCTTAGCTTTTTAAGTGAGGGTCAGCCTCTGTACTCAAAGGTATTTCGACACAGAATTGCTCATTCTTCTGACTCTGTGTGAATAAGGAAAGAGGAGCCTCTGTTTGCTATCAGGTACTTAATTGCTGCACAATAACTGACTCAGCTCTTTAATGTTTGTCCTAATAACAAACTTCCTCTGTCGTTCCAGACTATCTTTGCAAACCTGAAGACAACATCTTCAACATTGACTTTACACGTTTCAAAATCAGAGATCTGGAGACAGGAACGGTACTATTTGAGATCGCCAAACCTCCTCAAGCCGGTAAGTCACATTTTACCTTTTGCTGCCGCATAAATCTAAACAGTCCTATAGAGGAGGAACAGTTTACATGAGAGAAAAATCCTGCACAGCTTTGATGATATGTTGTTTTTTCTGTTCAGGTCCTGTGGAGGGTGAGGATGAGATTGGAGAAGTAGACACCAGCGCAGGGCGCTTTGTTCGATATCAGTTTACACCAGCCTTCCTTAAACTGTGTACTGTTGGTGCCACGTAAGTAAATAAAACACAACTTTCTGAAAAACACAGCTAAAGCTCTTTAGATTTATACGTTTGTCTCCTAAATCTAAGGTCCTGCTATTGATGAGGAAAACTTCACGTCTCGTCTCATTTAGTTGCATCACAGGAAATTGTGCAAAGACATGTCCTGTTGTAAGCAAGTGAAAGATTAATAATTTCTAAATGGTTATTATAGTTTTTTAAGTTGAATTGATTGGCTTTTATGCCTTTATTCATAGAGGACAGGGCAGTGGATAGTGCAGGAAACGGGAAGAAAGAGTGGGGAGTGACATGCAGGAAAGGTGCCGCCTGTTCGAGGACCATGCCTTGTACATAAGGTGTGCAGCTTCACCACAAGGCCACATCAGCTTCGCTTCATAGTTATTTTTAATACTGCTGTCGAGGGTGGAGGGGGAGGTGTCAGACAAAGTGAGTGACACTGTGCTGACTAAAGAGCCTCGTTTTAAGTTTTCAAAGGCAAAAAATCTCAATAACGTGCAGGATTTTACTCAGGATGTCGGTTTAGAAGCATTTCTTACAAATGCACGAGACTAAACCAGCTAAAAGATCAGAGGAGACTCTATATGGGACACAAATACGCATCTGTTAATGTGCCTGTGTTTTCATTTTGTCTCTATTCTTTCAGTGTGGAGTTCACAGTAGGCGACCGACCCATCAACAGCTTTCGTATGATTGAGAGGCACTACTTCCAGGGACGCCTCCTCAAGAACTTTGACTTTGACTTCGGATTTTGCATTCCCAACAGCCGCAACACGTGTGAACACATTTATGAGTTTCCGCAGCTTTCAGACGACACCAGTGAGTTCCAGTCTGTTTTTATCCGTTATTACATGGTTTAACTAAATTAACTTTGCTTTGCTCATGTTCTTCTACCTCTTTTTTTCTCCCCTTCCAGTTCGCCAAATGGTTGCACACCCTTATGAGACCAGATCGGACAGTTTCTACTTTGTGGACAACAAACTTATCATGCACAATAAGGCGGATTATGCCTACAACGGTGGTTTGTAATACCTGAGAGGAAAAATGTGCAATACTTCACAGGGGATATAATTTGGTGGATTCCAACGATCCTGAAGTTTCATTTTGGGGGACAGGAAGTATCCCCTCCTTCATGGACCTCCATATTTACATATTCATCAGAATGATCGGACCACATCTGCCTTCATATAAAATCATGGATCCATTCATCTGTACCTCATGGAGCTCAGATTCTTGGACTTTTCTGTCAAACATTGCTTTGTTTAATCAGATGGAAACTTTTTGTCGTGAGTTTCATGTTACTGCTTGAAAACTTTTGCCTTACTTATCTCTGCTGGAAAGGGAAACTTTGGTTCCAGACCTCTCACGGCAAAGCCTTTAGATTTACATAAATATGAATTAACTTACTAAGTGCGTAGTTTCTTTTTTCGATATATATATTGTTTGAACTACCTTTTTTGCAAGAGACAATTGTGTTTCCTGTATGGAAACACAGCGAGCGTAAACTAGACGTTTTATAGCAGTGTTAGCCTTAGACGATCATGTAGCATTAGAGGACTTTGTTTGAGTCTCATTAACTTTCTCCTGTCTGTTGTAGGTCTTTGGGATTGTTCATTTCACACATTAAGTTTGGTCTTAACATGAGGTGGGCGCATCTGGACATACTTTATATAAACACAGCATGAGCTTTCTGAGCTTTATTGTGGGGTTTCATTTGTGGCGTCTTACATTTCACAATTATTTATTGTTTGCAGCATTTGGAGCTTTTGTGAGAGTCTTTTTCCTGTCAAACTGCGACATAAACACACTTGAATACAAAAGGAGAAACTAGCACAGACTCTTCAGTTACTGACCCGTGGTTATTTGATCCCTTGAGGTTTGTCTTCTTGGTTATTTGCCACACAAACACTGTGAATCCCCTACTGTAGGAAGACGTGTGGCACACAGTTTGGCTTACTTATTAAAGTGACGGCTAAATTTATCTCTCGCTGCTCTGCTCTCAGGTTTTTGGTCTACCAATGAAATACCCCAGTAGCACACAATATTGCAGCACAAAGTGATGTCTTGTTATTTGATCTATTTCTTATGAGTCATGAGGCTAAACTCATCTTTTTCTATTCTTAGAAGCCCTGTTTTAAGGACAGTGGTATTGACTTTGCACACAAATTTGTCATTTTTCAATTAAACATAGGATTTCAGTCGACTGTAAGTTTGTTCTGCGCTCATCTTTTCATAAATAAAGATGTTTTTTTTTCCGTTGAGGTTGGTTTGAGTGGGTGGTCAAACAGCTCTTGTGCTGTTGAAATGTTTCCGTGCACAGACAGGTGTTTCTGACAGGATCGAGCACACGGACAGTGAAGAGTTTGGAAGTGCCTCTTACTCTCGTAATGATTTCCAGGCTTGTTTAGTTTGGTCAGTTAAAGGTAAACTAAAGTTAGCATCAGGCTGAAAGGCACAACAGATTTTAAAACCTTGTGAATGACCAGCAGAGCTTCGCCATCTGTGCTTCCCTGACTGTTCTTTGTCAAACCGACTCTGTGTGCCTCAAACCCAAGTGATCTTTAATTTAATTTAATGCTATCAATGATGTCCATCATCCACCTGAAATACAACTGTGAGCTAATAATTGGTCAAATATTCCACAAGGTGTGATATCCTCTTTGTGGCATTTGCTCTTTGACCCAAACAAACTTGAATTTTGGCCGACTTCATAAATCAATATCTTCATCAGACCTCTGATTATAGCGCTACTGCTGTGTTGTTGTTCCGCCATCAATTTTTTCCCCTTCTCTATGTCTGTTTTTGTCATTTCAGGTTGTTAAAAGAACTGTATATCTGCACAAAAAGACCATGTGATTGACCCGACAATGTCTGAAACCATCCTGTAAACTCTTTCATTGACTCCTCTTTTTCTACTGGCTGATTTTTACAAATGAAACTTTAATGTTGTGTCATTTGAATTGTAAATAAAAATGAATGACTGCAAAACAAACTCACACTCAAGACACTACACACCCTCTAAGTAGTTTCTCTTCAGTTTTTAGGAGAAATGCTGATTTATTTTCCAGCAGGCAACACAAGCTGTTGACTGAAAACTCAGGAGGTGATCAGAAATGTGTTCTGCATCCTTACACAGTCACAGGGTGCACAAAAATATTGTGAAAAAATAATTGATAATTGTTGAAAATCAAATCATTTAACAAGAAACTCTCGTTGCTGTTTAATTTTCTCAGCTAGCCTACTTTTGATTACTGTTTATTTGTCTATTTTTTAGGAATATTCAAACATCAGATAACGATAATGTAAAACTATTTAATTATTTTCCCATTTCATGTTTATCTCAGTCTTTAACAGTTTTTGTCCCTAATTTGTAAAAAAAAAAAAAATGGAAAAAAAGAAAGAAAGAAAGAAACGGCGGACAGTCCAGTAGAAGGTATCTGAGTTTGAGAAAAGCCATTATATTACCGCTGTTTTCTTTGACTGATATACTACATTACCCACAATCCCCCGGGTCAAAACAGACAGCTCTGGCGGCACATGTTTCCATCATGGCGGCCCCCTCCAGAAAGATGGTCGGTGTTTCTGAAGACTCCAGCAGCAGCGACGATGAGGTGCTGAGAAGATGTCAGGAGGCAGTTTGGGAGACAAAGACAGAGAAAAACAAAGGTGACGGAAGTTTTCTTGATATTTTAGGGCGAAGTGAAGATTTCTGCACAGGCTCATGAACGCTGCTAATAATGTTACATTAGTATGGAGAGAATTACGGAGTTAGTAAATGGGAAACAAACTCTGGATAATGTTGTAAAACTGTATGAAATTTTCCTTTTTATGGGTTAGTTTAACTTAATGGACACAATGGTTATGTTGTCTGTTGTGAATTCTTACTGTGTTGTAGTTTAAACTTGTAAGTAGGCTTATTGGACCTTTAGGCTCATTTGCAGAAATAGGGGAGAGTGGGGTAAGTTGAGCCGTTTTTCATGTTTCAGATCACTGCATCAAGTCAATCATAGTTTTGTCTCTAACTGGTGTATCTGCATATATTTCAAGATGTTGTTCATCCCTGCAAACCAACAGAACTCTCCACCCCAGCCCTCCCTCACCTTCTCTCTCCCTAAATAACAGTCACTTCTTCACATTCATGTGTATTTTTATCTATTATACACTGTTCAACTGGTACAATAATAATAATTGCATATAACTGCTAAAAAGCTGTTTTGTAACAGAACATTCACAGATCGATGCCCATCTCCTAAATATTTGGTCACATGATCAATTTCTTTGACCATTTCCAAGCAACAGGGGGTGGCTCAACTTACCCCACCGTCCCCTATATCTAATTCATTTATCCTGTTAATGACATCTGCATTTATTTTTGTTGTAGATGGAGACACTACTGTACCACCATCAAAGCGGTAAGACTTTTCTCAATATAATAACTAACTTCAAATCTTTAAGTCATAATATCTGCATCCTAAAACGTTTAAAAAATCCAGTACAATCTAACTATTTGCCTCCCATAAGGAAATTTAAGCACCAATCTGTATGTCATTAAGACTTTGTAGTCTCTGAAACAACGTCATCCAAATCTGTCTAATCTGGGTGTGGTAGTTTTGGATCAGAACCTGGTCTAATGTAATCAAGGGGTGGGGAAAAAAGCAGGGATTCTTCATTTTGCATTTTCATAGATAAAATGAAGGTTTGACAAATCCATAAGTGTGTTTTATCAGCCTATGAGTCTCTGTCTGTGCTGTAGTGTTGTTGTGGCTGAACATGAACATGACGGAAATGAGCTCCAGGTCACTAAAGGGTTTCAAACACACGTGGCTAAAAAGTTGGGAAATTATCTTGACAGGTGAGCAGAAACATAATTTTACCTGAATTTGTCTGGAAATTTATCCAATGACGGACTTAAAAAGAAATACCTGTTTTTGTCAGTTATATAACAGAAATGCGGACTGAACAATCGACCTGTGTTGACTCTGCAAAATGTGATGAAGAGGAGGATGATGATGATGAAGGTAAGCTTTATTTTATCTGTGGTGTTTGATGCTTTTTTGATGATTTTTCCCTGTTTTTAACTGTATTCCTGTTTTTCTGTATTTTATAGGATTTCGGCTGTTTTCTTCATCAGTCCCAGGTCAAAAGGCTGATGATCCTCCAGCCCCTGTGAGGCGTCGGCCTGCACCCAGTTCAAGGTTTTAAAGATTTTTATGTACCTTTTAAAACAACAACTTATCTAGTCTACACTTAACTGTGTTTTACAAATGTTCACAAACATTTCTCTGTTGGTTCCAGTGACAGTGACAGCGAAATGGAAATGAGGCTGAAGGAGGTGGCGGTGTCCGTCAAAGATTTGTTACCCTCAACGTCTCCGTCTTCTTCGCTCCAAACTCCCTCTGAAGAGCCTCCCTGCACAGAAAAAGTAAAGAAAAAGAAGAAGAAGAAAGCGACAGAAGGAGAGGAGAGCGATGTTAAGAAGAAGAAGAAGGAAAAGAGGAAAAAGAATCAAGAAGAAAGTGACTGTGCAGCGTCTCCTGTTAGTGCTCAAAACAACGGTGAGCACGGGAACTCTGAGCAGGAACACGCGGGAGTAAAAGTGAAAAAGAAAAAGAAGAAACAAGCAAACACAACAGACTGAAAAACTCAGGACCTGGATCAGTTTTTAGGATCTTTGTGGATCCTGTCTGCCACAGGACAATGGAAGGGTTGCAGGGTTTTTTTTACACATTTTTGTACATTTTCAGAAACTTCAGCGAATGGAGAATTTTTCCAGTAAAAAAAAACTTCTCATGCATATTTTTGAAATAGTCTTTTTGAAATATACACATTTTGAATGTGAAAAACATTTCAAGGAAGTGACATAAAAAATAAAGATAACACGTGTACAAGTTTCAACTCGGTTTACAATTTCTAAACATTACAGAACATCGTAAGAAAATATGTTTGGTTTTGATTTTCCGATGATTGTTTTCTCAAAGCGAATCTTCTCTCATGTTGATCCTTGTTCGTATTACAGTGGTCTCAGAGGGTCTTTGACTCATCAAAGCTGAGTCCTCCTCTCCAAGTTTTTCTGGAGGTTTACACCCGGAGGTAGCTGACCGTCCCGAACACAGTCACACTCCAGCTGATAATAAAGAGGAGGAGCTGTGCTGACAGACAGAGCCGTCTTACTGCGCCGTAGACACCATTTGTGAAGGGATATATGAGATTTCTGTAGGTGAAGGTGAGAGCAGGTGAGACTGATGACTCTCTGTGGACTGAGAAGTGGGATACAGCTCGAGGCTCTCAGAGGAAGCTGTGTTCAAGAAAACAGAAAAGTATTATATAGACAGCTCAAATACTGCATTTTGGTTTGTATTATTATTATAATGTGTCGTGCAATTAATTTACTTTACTGTAAGAATAATGCAAAAATGCACAAAAGGGGGAAATATGTTCTTGACCAGAGCTGGATTAATTCTGCTTTTACTGAGTATATTTGAAACTGCAGCCAAGACATCTATTGACAGAAACTGCCTAACTTGGTATTAAAATTAAGAAGAGGGGTGACAGAATTATCGCCAAGTCAAAGGTGATACAGCTCTATCAAAAGTAGGGGTGTCCAAATACAACTTTTTTACTTTCGGTACAATACCGATATTGTAGCCTTTAATATTGGATATCACACAAACTTGTGCATGACAAGTTTTGCACTCAGCTGCAACATCTTTTTGGAAGTAAACAAAAATACCGCCACAAGGCTAAAATCACTCTTTCTCCTTGCTACTTTGTTAGTACCTTAGTACACACTGTTGTAGTGATTATGTGGGCTCTGCATGCTGAATCTGGGCGCTGCTAGATAGAGGTGCCGGAGCGGAGTCTGGAATGGACTGCTGATATCTGAGATTTTAGATGCAGGCCGATATAATCCGATTTTTGTTATTTGGCTGATATCAGACCGATATCCGATGTCAATATCGCATTGGGACACCCCTAATCAAAAGTGCTTTATTATTTATTCAACATGTAGAATTATCAGTGTGTAACTACAACTGTTTGTCGATCTACCTGGCACAGGTGTGTGCGGTTGCAGGTGCAGAGAGTCTTCTTGTAAGGGCGGGTCGCTCTGTTCCTCCGGGTCTGCTGTTAATATCTGCCAGAGAGAAACATAAGGGACTGTTGTTTTTGTTGTTACTGTGCCAGAATAAGTAAAAATGTTTCATACAGATCAACAAACCACAGAGGTCGAGTTACCTGTCGGACAGCAGTGAGGCTGGTCAGCGTCCCGAGGCTGCTGCTGTCAGTGATGACCATGGCCTGAGACAGCAGGCTGGATGGATGGTACTGGGGCGAGTCCGACTTGTTGTACACTACGACGACATACAGTAATTAATCTTCATAGTTGAATGAAACTCATGTCATTATGTTTCTGAAGTCTTACTGTGACACGGCAGCTGGGCCATTGTTGCCATGAATGGACTGGCCCCCATGTGACTGTGGAGCTGCTGTGATAACGGCTGCTGAGGCGAGCCGTGGAGCTGCTGCTGGAATGAAATGGGCTGTAGGGTGGTGAAACCGGCACCGACGTTGTTGATAACAGGCACCGTTTGAGGCTGCGCTGAGGCCAAACCTGTCAATCAGTCAGTAAAGGTGATTTCGTTGATATTTGATTTTAAGAAAAACAGGAAAATAATGAGTCAAGTTACCGATGAGGAGCGAGGACTCCCCCAGGCTCATGACGCTTGGCAGGGACGCCATGATGAGGCTCTGTGAGGAGGCGGGGGAGGCAGACAGGCTGTGCAGGGAGGTCAGGGTGCTGACGGGGGGCAGCGGTCCACTGCCGGACACCTTAAATCACAGGACATCATACTCAGGATGTCAGCAGTAAATAAAGATAGCTGGACACTAAAAATCAGATTTTGGGACCGGGGCGTGTTTACAGTTGAGTTGCATCAATTCTTTTGTCAACAACACTCTGTAAACATTTACGAAACCAGGAGACAGGGGGACGTGTCAGAACTAAAGACAGGTCCAGCTGCAGGACTCTTCTACTACTGAGCCATACTGTTGTTGTAGATGTAGTTTGGTAACTCTTTGCTATATTATATAATAGGGCTGGGCAGTAAACCAAAAATTTACTGGTACCAAAATTTACAACAATAACCAACGTCATTTTGCCCGTATCGGTATATTCGGTGTTGAAAAAATAAATAAATCAAAGTTTGTTTTTGGATGTGTGTAGGTAGGCTATGGTCTCATGTCGCTTTAAGACGCTGTCCTACGTCAGAGACGTGACTCCACCCCATCCAGTCCGTAACAAAGAGGGAAAGACAGGTGAGGAGATGGAGGACGAGTCAATAGTTGTAGCGGCTGAAGTAGACGAAGTTAATGTGGGAGGGGGTGAGCAGCTTGTGGAGTAGTTATCGTCCATTTATCGTTATCGAGGTGAACTGATCAATATATCCTGATATTGATTTGAGGCCATATCGCCCAGCCCTATTATACAAGCTCTTCCTGAAAAAAGGTTATCATCTAGATGTCATCATCTAGTAAACCTGTGTTATAATGTTCAATGTGAACTCTAATTAAGGATAACAGTGTTTTTTTCTGTATTGGTGCAAATATACTCTTATACTTTGTCAATTTTAACTCCATTTAAATTCTACTTTTTCAGGACAATCCCTGTAACCTTCATTTGTTGATGAACTATTTTTATTTAACCACAATTTTAACTAAAATATTATATAACCTGCAAATGTAACGGTCAATCAAAAACTCTACTAATATATTTTAAATTAGATACTTAAAACTCAGACCCTCATGGTCTGCAGTGCCCTTTTTCTACCTCATCATGTGACTAATGTGTTAAAAGTTTAAAGATGCTCCTTCAGATGTTAGTGCTCAACTCTTTCAGCTTTTTGTTGCTTCTTGCATTTTATAAGATGATAAAATTTTGTGATGTTGTTAATCAAATATTGTGTTTGAATATTTTGAAAACTACCAGAATCTGTTACTGAACTGAGGTCGTATGAACAAGTGTTGTATTGTGTTGCTGTACATGCTCGTCTCACCTGTTTGTGCGTCTCGAGGAGTGTGTGGCTCGGCTCCAGTTGGACGGGGCTGACCACGAGACGTCCCACTCTCTCTCCTCCACCGCCTCGGCCTGAGCTCATGGTGTCACACAGGATCTGCTGGCTGTACTTAACACCTGGAGAATAAAGACATACACTATATCGAGGCCAGAACTAGTGAGGTCATGTCTGTTTAAGTCTGCGTTTTTACAAAGACCAGTATAAAGATCCAGGGTCAGTTTTATCTCAGCAGTAAGACTTTTACCATGCTCTGGACTTGGTGGCAGGTTGGCGTGAGAGGAGGAGGAGGCAGATTGGCTTCCATAAGGCGTGTCGAGGGCCAGTTTGTGTCTGAAGGCCTCCTCTTTGCGGCGGTTCGCAAACCAGTTGTATACCCTCACTTCGGTGACGAGATTGGAGCCCAGTCCAGCCAGCTGTGAGGGAGACACCCCCCTCTGCAGACACTCGGCCCTGGATGGAAAAGTCAGGTTTATGAATCATTTTGTCAGAAGATCATCAAAGTCATCAGGAGTTAGTATCTGCACCTGCAAGAGCTGCATCTCTGGGATTGTGCATGAACTGTTATTGCATTTTGAATGATATTAATAGAAATCAAACAGCTATATTAGGGTAATAAGTTAAAGTCTGTGTGTCTGTGTCTCACCTGTTGCACTCCTCCACTAACCCCTCTCTCTCCTCCTTGCTGGGGTTCTTCTGTCGCTCGTAGGCGTGGAAGAGGATTTGCAGGGACGCCGGACCCCACTTGAACCTGTTCCTCCGTCCTTTCCTGTTTTCCTCTCCCTGTTCCTCTGCGGCTGTGAGCCCATGTTTGGCGTTGGTGAACTCTGAAAAGGTAAATGTGTGTTTTTTAAGTTTTCTCTTTGCGCGTCACGGTCCAGCAGAAACGCTCCTCAGCTGCTTGTATACTCACGCTGGCTGATCTCGCCCTGCTTCTTGACATACCAGGTGTACAGGGCGGCTCTCTTTTGGTTCTTCATGGGCGTGCCTTTGTTGAGGTGCTGGGAGAGATGGGACTGGTTTAGTCCTGTGGACTCCACCACCTCCCTCTGAGGGAGGTTGTGCTGCTGCATGTAGCTCTTCACCATTTTTGCTACGTGCCAAGGATCCCCTCTGTCCAACAGAAACATATATTTTACCTTAAACTTTTCTTGCCTTTACAGTTTTTATTTCTGTTTTTTTTCTGTTTTCCTAAAAGTTAAACTCAGCCACAGTTTGTCACATCAGGCATAAAGCATGGCCACTGAGAGGGAAGTAAAGAGAGCGTATTGACTGAAAGAGATAAGAGAGAGCACACAGGGGCAAAGTCCAGCCCTTTTAGATCAGTGGAGGGGAAAAAACCTGTGAAAGGTTTATGAGGCCTAATTTAACGCTCTTAACAGCCATGTTGAAAACTGAAAAAATACACAACAGCTCAAAAATCTGTGATTTTACCGCCTTTTTAGTCAGCACAGAGGCAGATTTAGACATGATTTTGAGAAAAGAAATGTATGTGAATGTGATTTTTAACAAATTCACACTTTTATTAAACTATAATTCACTAAAAATTCTTGGTAAAATGTGACAAAGTGAATCCAAATATGATGAAACAGACCTAAAACTTCCAGGTGAATATATCACTCATGCATTATGTAAACACAGCCGCACATGTCCAGCCCTGCTCCATTAATCTTCACCTCTGCATGTCGCTTATTTATTAAGAAATGGCCACAGAATAATGATGGGGTCGGGTAATTAGTAACCAGCAAAGGAGGAACCCTCTTTAAATTCGCCTCAGAGGCCAGATTGCAGTGAGAGAGACAAGCAGAGACGCAAGAGAAGGAGGGAGGATTTGGTGAGGAGAGAGGGGGATTGAAGCTTAAGGAGAATAAAGGTAAAGAGGGGATGTTATCAGGTGAAGAGTTTGAGAGCAGAGAGGTTTATTTTGGTCCTATTTTCTGGAAAAAGACAGTCAGTAGTCAGAGATTTAGGTTCTTTTTTCTGTTGATCTTGTTTGGATCTACTCACTGCAGTAGTTGATCAACTTCAGCCCTCATTTTGGCCGCCTCCTCGGGGGAAAGCTTCTCCAGCTCTCGGAATATGGGCGGTGGGAAATCCATTTCTCCCTCCTCGGAGCTCTCTCCATCCCCCCTCTCCACCCTCTCGGCGCCGGCGCTCGCCCTGTCTCGCTCTAGCTCCCCCAAGGCTTGGACCAGGACATCTCGAGACAGTCCTGATCCCAGCAGAGCCCAGATCAGCTGCTCCTGCAGGGCGGTCAGACGGCTGGGTCTGGACTTGGCCCTCTCTTCCACCCTGTCCTCCATGACTCTGGTGGCTTACCTTGCTGCTGCTGCTGTCTGGCAAACAGACACTGCTCTCTGTGCACTTAGTCACTCAGACGATTGCTGGACGGGGAGCATTTGGCCTCACTGCTCCTGTAGTCCCTCTTCAGCTGAGGAGAACATTTACTTTCATTTTTCCTGTGTTGAATTTCCTCTCGATGTGTCCTGAGCTGCCTGGTTTTTGTTCTCCACCTGCTGTTTTGCTTTCAAAGGTCAATTTTTCTTTTTTTTTTTTTCCCTCTCCCTCCTGTTCACCCCCTCCTCCTTACATGAGCCCTGTGAACTTTGTCCCCTCTCCCTCAGTCCCCAACAGGGACCAAAGTGCAACTTAAAAACAATACGTTCAAGTGGAGGGATGTTACTGTTGACTGAAGGGCTGCAGAGATCTCAAAGAAGAAGTAAAAAAACACATCAGAGAGTCGGGCTTCATAGACGGGAACATTTCTGATTTCAACTTAAAACAAACACAAACATCCTCTAAAAGCTCCTTTTACTCTTTCATTAAAGTTCTAGTTATTTAAGTGTAAATACTCGAGTGTGTTACCTTGAATCTCATAAAGGAAATGATCAATATTAGATCAGCTGAACCGAAACAGAATCTGTATTTTAATGTCTCCTTTGTGCCACTAGGGAGCGCCGCTGCTTCATGTTATCATCTCAACATCTCAGGAACAGGAAAACCAAACTTGAAAACTTGCTGGGAACTAAAAATTAACACATCAGTTTTGGTGTATAAGTTTCTGCATGCAGGTTAGTGTATCGGCAGAAACCGATGTTTCCATATTTCATCAATTTAATCGTTTTTTCATCAATCAGTGCTGTTTATCTCTCCTTGAGGCTCCTTTACATCTGCAGTGGCCAAAGAAACACACGTGTAAATACACTAATACTCAAAACACAAGTAAAAGTCCTGAATTTATCATTTAAAAGTAATCGATTAGATATCTGGATTTTCTTTAAAACAAGATTTTCACAGTCCAAAGGTCGTAACCGGCCCTGCTAGAGGACCTCATGCTGCAGTCAGGCTCATGGAGAGTTAAAGGGTCCTAGTTAAAGGCTGGATCTTGGCTATTTAAGGCTTTAAAAACTTGCGATAAAATCTTTAAAGTCAATTTCTAACTGAGGGAGCCAGTTAAGGGCAGTGAGCACAGGCGTTACGTGTTAAGAGCCTCGCAGCAGCAGCCTTTTGAATTAATTGCTGTCTTTGGATATCTTGCTTGCTGATGCAGGAAAAAAAAGTGCAATAACAGAAATTCAGTTTTAAAGGAATAAATGCTCGACTGACTGTGGTTTAAGTCAGCAGAGGAAAGGGATGACCTGACTGTAGTTCAGTCTCTAAGTTTGGTCACCTGGGTGTCGGAGGAAAAGTTGGATTCAAGAAGGACCTGAGGTTTCAGACCGCCTCACAAACAACCAGACTAGAGGAGAGATTATTGATGTAGCTAGAGCTACAACCAGAAGAGTTAACGATAATAACTTCAGATTTGGAGTCATTCAGCTGTAGGTTTCAGTCATCCGGTTTGGATTTCGGTCATAAAAGTGAGAAAGGAGAGAAATGAATGTCATCTGCGTAACAGCGAAAGTTTATACCATACCTTTGCAGGATTAGGCAAAGAGGAAACATGGAAACAGTAAATTAGAGGAGACCAAAACTAGAGCCCTGATGCATTACAGGAGCTTCTTGTCCTCTAAGGGTATCTAGGGGTGAGCAAGAAAACGTTTTTCAATCGAGAATCTGTCTGGAGTTACTAAATATTCTCGTTTCCATTGACTGAACCTTTGAGCAAATAAACTGATATTTAGTTATCATAAAACAAATTTAGTTTTAAGTAGTTTAATATTATAGAAGTGAAAACAGAAACTGTTTCACAGGGCTCGACAGTGCAACCGTTTCACTCACATTTGTAACTAAAAATAGATGTGTGCGAATTGTAAAATGCATTTAGGGGCATATGTGCGCATAAAAAAATCAGCCGTTCAGAGAAATCAATTATTTTTTTCATGTAAATACCGCAGTGAAGTTAGTTTTAGGTTGGATATTCGACGGACATTCACAGCGGATCTACCGGTGTCTTCTCACTCTTTATAACCGGGAATTGCAACAGCATCGCAGTTAAATCTACTCGGCACCCTCGCTGTCAACGTCGGGTTTTGAATAAGGGACCATCAATAAATTACTGGTTGATGTTCTCAAAAAAGTCTGTTTTCCTTCAATAGCTTCCATGTCATGTGACCAATTGACCTAAAATTGATTTCAAATAATAGTACTTAAGTCGACCAATAAGACACACATTATTTGATCAATTTTTATTGTGCCCCTAAAGTTCTTTGTGTGCTCCTTACTTTTTCAACAAGTTTTTCAAAAGTTAGTGTCAAGTCCTGATAAAACATTTTGTTTTAAGAGGAAAGTAGTTTGATATTATAAAAGTGTAAAAACAGAAACTGTTTTAAGTCTTTTGAGCCAAAACTAAAAAAGATGCATCAGAGTTTTCAAAGTTGTCTGAGTTTTAGAAAGTTCAGAGGAAGTATAGGTCATGGTAAGCGGAGTGAAAAAGGAAAGAGGGCAGACTGAATGGGAGAAAACCTTTGAGAGTTAATGTAGTCCTTTATCTTTTCTCCCCCTTTCAGTGTAAAACGCTCACTTTCTCTGCCGGGATCACCTTATACCATTCTCAGGTTCAGCCTATCAGCACCTTTTTGTGTGGGGCTCTTGTTACCCCGCCCCACCCTTGGGAAGATGGCATTATACTGTATTTGGACGCGTAACAGAGCTCTCTCTATCTCCCTGAGACATGCCACTGACCTGTAATTAAGTCCCATTGTACTATTCAGAGAAAACTCCTCACCAAAACGGACAGAGGGCAATGTGTGCGGGTTTCCAGCAGCTCAGATACGGCCGTGACTAATGCTGCAGCACACAGGCTGGGTTTATCAAAATGGACCACATGCATTTCCCCTCTCCGGAGAACTCAAAGCTGTGTTGATTGGTAATGAGATACAATCCACACTGTCCATGTCTCATTAGTGAGCCATTGCTGTCTGTGTTCTCGCCGCTCACTCGCCCTCTGTCTCTGCCTCGGCCTGGTGTCCCCCATCCCCGTCCACGCCATTCAACCCCATTGATCATGCATGCAGAAATTTAACACACCCCTTAATTCCTGTCCAAATAGCCCCCCGTCCCACTTCTAGAGCTTCATCTTCTCGTCTGTAGAGGATATAGAGGAGGCCTGTGTGCACGCAGTGACCATAAAGTACCTCAAGAAAACTATCCCAAAATCACACTTCAAGTTTAGAGTTAGTTTGCACAAAAAAATAAACTTTTCCCTCAACTTCACAGCCCAAAAAGTTTGCATCAAACTCCAGCCTGTGGTGGGCCGGTGTCCATTTTACACCCACTGTAAGTCAAAGCTGTCATTGTCTTTGAGCAGCTCGGGCTATTGATTGGCCTTCACGTTGGTTACCAGGTCACATGTTGAGTCAGTGTTGAGAAGATTAGCCGGAGCTGGCTTTGGTACTAATTAAATACTTAAACCCTCAGCAATGAATGAGCACACAAACCTCCTGTTTTAACACAATGCATGAGCTGCTTTAAAATACGTGAGGGGAGTTTAGACAGAAAAATACATTGTAAGAGGTAAAACACAGAAGAAAGTCACAAAAGAAGCAACTTAAAGTTGGTGGAAGTGGAAAAATCAGGAGACAAAGTGCTGAAAAACTAGAAGCTGTCATCTAGAAACCTTAAGAGTGATTATGATATTAGCAGTAAGGAAAAAAAAACACTTTTTATTCAGTTTACAACAAATCCTGATTCTGTTGTTACCAGCTGTGTCTTTTGTGTTAACTTTCCAAACAGCACAAGACTTAAGTAACATGATAATTAACTTGTATTGAACCCTTTCCACAAATTTAAAGTTAAAACTGACGATAAAATCTTCTTAAAACCAATGAAGAGATCCATTAAAATGTGTCATTGTCTCTAAAATGTGTTCCTTTCACACTTTTCTTAACTTAAACAGAAATTCTGTCAAGTTTCTTATCTGTAGGGAGAAAACTCCGGAAGTGTAAACGTTTTACCTTCAAAATAAAAGTGCAGTAACTTAGAAAAAAAGTGAGAAACTTGGTTTAAGTCGCTTTTGGTGCCTCTAATGTTAAACTCTAACAATACAGTGTTTAACGATAAAGTACAGTTCAGTTTAGTAGCAGTATATTGAGTAATATTTCTTTATTTGTAGCTTTAATATGAAAGTTGGGCTTTCTTAATTTATTATGTAACTTACCCCAAAAAGTGTGTACCTTAAAAACCCTTTAATGCATTTTGTATCATATGTGATATATACTTTTATATACTTATATAAACTTCTGTCAAACAATATGATCAACAAATTATTTAAAAAAAAAACAAAAAAACCTGAATACAGTCCAATAAATGATAAAAATGTCCTCTTTTAGTTTGTTAGATTCTAAAAACATCTGATGTATCAAAAGAGATGAATAAATATATTTGTTAAATTTTAAGGACATTTCGATTGTTTTGGTTTGCAGTAGTAAGTGAAATGAACATTTCAGCTAAAAAAATGAATTTTCTGGTCCTAACCTGTGGTTTGAGGCATTAAAGGATTACAACAGGACTGAAAAAGTGGATTTTGTTTTGCACACTAAGAGCCATGGATGGATCCTTTAGCATCTGGAAAAACTGAGGGGCCCAAAAACTAAAAAGTGCACCTGCTTTTTGCCATGGATCACTAGTGCACAAAAGATGTGATCAATCATGATCAGCTCCCAGCAAACTTTTGAAGACCATCTTATAAGCTGTTTCTTTGGGATTCTGTATTTAAAGTCGCACAGGCCTGATTTTAGTCTGTTAAAATTGTGGATTGGCTGATAACTTAATATTGGCAACCTGGACACAATTAAAGTAGCATATTCAATTTGTTAATACAGGAAAGCTGAATTTACAGAGGCACAAGTAACATGAGGCTTTTATTTTGGCTATATTAAGCAGCTAAAGCTTAATGCATTAATGATGTTAGTCATAAATTTTGCTGGAGATATTGCTTTGGAGAAGGAAAACACAAACTTACCAATCCAAAACCAAAATATCGATAACATGTATGCCAACTGATTCAACACCTGATCTCGTGGGACTTAAAGTAAATTTTCAAATTAGTTAAAAAAGTCTGAAAGCTCCTGTGAGGAGTTTTTTTTCACAAGTTTGAAACTTCTATCGACACTTTTACTTGATATCAGTTGTCAACCCCGACAGGTGCTTCTAATTCTTGACTGTTTTATTTTGAAAGGGTAGAGCGGAAGCTCTGCGGTTACCGGCTGTTTCTTTCCCCCTGGAGCCTCCTCGTGTCTCCTCCTCGGTGGTGGTGGTGGGATGAGAGAGGGACAGCAGCGGGTCCTGACTGACTGACTGGAGGAGGAGGTGGAGGAGGAGGTGGAGTCTGTCCCAGCCTGCATCTGGCCCGCTCCCCTCTCTGTCACCCCGGGCCAAACCCGCCCAGCTCCCCTCTCTCTCTCTCTCTCTCTCCGCCTCACGGCTCGGCTCGGCTCGGACACACACCGCAGCAGTCACACGCAGACTCACTCACACACTCACACACACACGGCGAGGACGCGGAATGGAGACGGAAGGGAGCCAGAGCAGCCTGTCCAGCACGGACTCCCCTCACGACCCCTGGTAAGGAAAACTTTTGCTTTTTTTACTTTTTCCTACCTCTCTAAAAAACACACACACTCTCACACACACTCACCTCAGGAACAAACCTGGTATTCTGCACTGGGACACACACACACACACACACCTCCACACTGGCAGCCTTCATGTAAAATCAGATACACTCTCTAACTCTCCTCCTAACTCCTTTAAAAGCTCAATAAGAAGGTTTTTACAGCATATTAACTCATTTTAAAGTACATTTATTCACCTTCACTTTAATTTTCCTCTTTTTTTCACAGCAAAATGTTCATAGGTGGACTCAGCTGGCAAACCACACAAGGTAAATCTGTTTTCTACAACTATTTCACACTCCTAAAAATCGCCCATGTGTGTTGAAAAGTCCAGACATGAACCAGAGGGACTGATTTATAACTTATTTGTGAAAAAGCTAATTTTGTTTACACAAAATTTGTTTATTTGTTTTGGCTTTTTTAGAGATTTGAATATGAAACCTGCTCCAGAATGAATGCAGCCATTCAGAACCGCTATATGATGAATGAGTGATTCTTTTAAACTTGATTAATAATCCAGAAATAACAGAATAAATCATGTATTTATTATTGTTGTTATAACCAAGAATGATTGATTTATATTGAGCTCCAATCAGTGAGTATTTCACGTGTTAATTTGGTAGAAAAGTGTGTGAACTCTTGTGCGGGAAATCACAGCAGAGTGAAAAAGTTGGAGTTGTGAGTTTCCGTCTACAAAGTTGTTATTTCTTGTTTATTAATGTTTCATCTGTCTGTGTTTTCCTCTCCAGAGGGTCTGAAGGAGTACTTCTGCAAATACGGCGAGGTGAAGGAGTGTATGGTGATGCGAGATCCGGTTACTAAGCGCTCGAGGTGAGGGGATCTGCCTGGCTCCTCCGCTGGAGCTGAAAGTTTATCTGACCTCCGTGATTCCTCTCTGCTCATAACGTATCATTACATGTCAACATCAGTTTCTCTGTCATTAATACTCTCTCTCTCTCTCTCTCTCTCTCTCTTCTGCTCATCCCGGTGCCTGCAGAGGGTTTGGATTCGTTACCTTTGTTGATCAGGCTGGCGTGGATAAAGTTCTGGCCCAAACCAGGCACGAGTTGGACTCAAAAACAGTGAGTTCTCTGTATTTACTTCCCACCAGCGGCTAATCCCATTGCTCAGTGTTTGATTAGTGGATTTTCCGATAATCCGCCAGAGAGGTGTAACATTGCTGCATTTTTTTTTTTGTATATTTACTGAGGTTCCACTTTACTGATGTTTTCTGAAACCGCCGCCACACATGATGGGAGCACTTTCGTGACCTCTCTTTTCGGCTCAAGAAAACGCTCGCCAGTGTCGTTTTCCATAGAAACAAGGGGAACCGGATGAGGGTGGCTCTCACTGACACCCTCTGATTTTGTCTCTGAACTAAAGCCCTCTTACTGCTTCTTTTCCGCTCGGTCCCAAGAGGCAGAATCGTCCCCTTAAAAAAGAAAAAAAGTTTTCTCAGTTGGAGGCAGAAAATGCAACCTGAAACCGCGAAGGTGTGAAAGCAGCAACAAACCGACTCAGGGAGAGGAGCGCTGAGATTTTAGACGGCGATGACACATTCAGCCTCTTTCACCTGTGCGAATATCCTAACTTGAAATGTATTAATCGCCTGTGTTGCAGTGTGTGTGTGTGCGTGTGTGTGTGTGTGTGTGTCTTTTTGTCAGTAATGAATGTGGGCCGGTCTGGGAACAATGTGGCCCGTTGGTCGCCATAGGGACCACTGCCCCCGCCTCCCTCCTCTGTGGGAGTGGTGATGGCTGCGGGTTAGTCACTGTATTGAAATGAGGGGAGGCTATTTCTTCTTCTTCTCCCCTTTTGTGCACTTTTCTCGAGTCTTTGGAGGGTGAATGGAGGTGCGGGAGACCAAAAAAAATCTTGAGCCAACTTGTAAGGAAATGAGATTTTCTTTCTCTTATTATAAAATCCAAAATTAGCAGCCGTTTGATGGAGGAGTCAAACTAAATTTAGTTTTTTCTTTCTTGGTTTCCCCCACTGCCCCACTGCTGCAGTGTCACTTGCAGGCACGACAGCTATGACAAGTAGCACCATCATGGTTGGACGCCACTAACTCGCCATGGGGTTTGTTTCCATAGTGACCCCCCCTCCTCAACAGTTGAAGAATGGCTCTGTCACAGAAAATAAAAAGGAGATAACAATGCACATCGTTTACAATCATTTCTTGGATACTAGAAGTGAAGACAGTGGGGGTCATGATTCTGACATGTACAGGCTGTAAAGCGGCGATTCGGTTGTATCAACACAAGAATAGATGAAACACAATCAAACTGAAAGTGGAGCGGACGTTTTAAGGTGCGAAAATACAGTTTTGGTTTGAAGTCACTGATTGGTGACGCTCACTTATCTTATTTTACCTGCACATAAACATACCAAGGATACACGGTATTATCAAAAGTATCAAAAGATTATTATCGTAGAAATATCAGCAGAAATTTGCACAGTTTGCAACGCAACGACAGCTTATATGCACAAACTTCAACATGGAAGTATGTTGAAGTTTCTGAAACAGACAGCAGGCACATAACTGAGTGTGTTTTAGTTAAAGTTTAGTTATCATTTGAGTTTTCTTCTTTCTCAAACAAATAGACAGTCACAAATAAAGTAACAGGTGAATTCTTGCAAAGGAGTGCTTTACAATCAGATATCATGCTGCAAAACTTCCAAATCTGTCAAAATAAAAGCATGAATTAGTCTTTAACACCAATGATTTCAGACTAGACATGTTTTTATGGCCATTTATATTCCTTTGACCAGATTTAACAAATGAAAGGTCCAAACTGCATAAAACTAATAGTAGGCACGGTGCATCCCTCACGATATCAGTGTGTGATGATTGATTATTTGCAGGACGATAATTTAGTGATTCATCAGGATATCTAATTAACTGATCGATACAAAATGAGCCCAAAAATTCACTTTTTCAATGACAATTTTAACAGTCAGAACGGCGTTTGTTACATCATCCAAATATGTTCTCCCTCCCTCCCTCCGTGTAAACACAGACAGGTCGCCCTTTCTGGCCGCTATCTTATGGAAAAACGAAGCGGTGATGACTCCATCTCTCTAGTTTTGGTTCGAGTTAAATCGGGCTCTTTGTGGCCTCCGCTGGGGTGTGTCAGTGGCGTTTTGTGCAGGCCTCAGAGTGTGTTTCTTGTCGTGGAGAGGGCTCACTGATCATCCACAGGGGTTGGATGGTGAGTTGAGTAGAGGCCTTTATAGACGACTCACCCAGCCCCCGTCTCCCCCCTCTCTCTCTCCCATACAGACAGGTTATCCTGTTTGAGAGAAAAAGTTCTCCAGTGGCAACAGAAAGAATGTGCCATGCTGTGACCGACTGAACCGCTCCGGCACTGGAATTAACAGAGCTTTGCACAGCCGAGAGGCTAAAGAGCAAATACAGTGCTGCTGCGGAGGAATTTATTGGTACTTATTGTGCTGAAGGACAGATGCGTTCAGGTTTTGACCGGTGTAGGAAAGGCCGTTTTTTTACTGTGATTTATGTCGCTGCTGCTGCTGCTGCGTTAGTCGCCCCTCTGGGTGCCCTCCCGGCTTCCTGCTATCTGTAAAGTCTGTGACGGCCGATGCAAACTGCACCTTTGTGGGACAAAGTTTCCATTCAATGGCAGCTCTAAGGTGCACAGCGGAGAGTTTTACAACAAAGTCACACAGCTCTTTTCGCAGAGTGCTTTAACCGTTTCCACGCCGACCTGAAGAGGGAAAAATAAAGTGGGGGAGGAAGATAACCCCGTCCGTGATTAGTTTGGCTCTTCTGACTAATAGGATTGAAGTCAACAAGCTTGAGTTGTTCCTCTGAGATGGCGAGCGCGGCCCAATCGGCACGTTGGGTTAAGTGTGCTCCCAGCTCAGGGCTGTGACAGGCAGCGCGCTCGGCCAACTGTTGCGTAGCCTGGATGGAGTTGGTCAAAGGGGATTGCCCTGATTTCATAAACCTCTCTTGGAATTACGCTCAGCCTCTTCTTCCCCTGTTGCCTCGCTGTGAGCGCAGAGGGGGGGTTTAGGCCCCGCGCACCTTAAAATAACAGCACCTGTCCTTAAGTGTGTTTTTAAGTAACACAGATCCCCTATAGGCGTGTTTAAAGTGCCCTGATACCTGATAAAAAATCACTTATAGTGCTTTTAAAAAGGATTCTCATTTGATTTTGTACTTCATTCATGTTTGATTTTCAGTGCGCCACATTCAGCCACATGAATTATCTGTTTAACGTCCACATTTCCTCCCCTCGGATGCTGCTGTGTGCTTCCATGTGTTTGATTCTGTTTGTTTGTGTGTGTGTGTCTGTTTGTTTTTGAATGTGCACAGGAAGTTTTTGGACATCAGGATGGGTTGGTGATGACCGGAGGTGACTATCAGAGTAGTCTTAGCCACCATAGACACTAAAAACTAGTAGAGACTCTGCATCTGATCCTCCAGTCTTAGCCTCTAGTCTTCTCACTCTGCTCTCTAGAAAAAAAAAAAAAAGAGATAAAAAGAAAAAAAAAAAAGAGAGACTAGATTTGCGGTGAACTTTTATATTCGAGTAGAAACGACACCGTTAGCCTACCTGTGGTAAACGCATGTGTTTTACCATAGAGGCTCTAGCTCTCTACTGTAGTTGAACTCTACCCTCTCATGGTTACGGACTAATCTTAGCGCTGTACTGTCTCACCATCTGTTAGTGTAACTGCAGTACAGTGTGGTGTAGTCTAGTTGTTCTTTAGCTCTGTTAGAGATCAGTTTAGACTAATATAGAGGTCTCAAATTCCAATTTTACAGCCTGTCTATGATTGCATCCTCAAAGCATGGTGTGGTTCTCTCTCCAATCTTAACCTCCTCGGCCTCCAGTTTCGGCCAAATTCTGTCTTTTTTTGTTGTAATTTTTTTAGAGCGAGGATTTACATTAACGGAGGTTAAGTTAAGCTGATTCTTCTTCTCGGGTGTAAACATCAGGAGCAGCAGGGTAGAGGAAGATCCGGATCAACCTTAAAGCGTCCGGATGACGCACGCTCCCTGTTGTTTGGCATCACCTCCATCACAAAAAAAAGAGCGGAGGGAGGCAGAAACAAACACACACAAACAAACAAAAAAAGTGGGTGGATCTGCTGTCGGTGTGTGGTTTGATTGACAGCTCCCTCTCTCTCTCCCCCTCTCTCTCTCTCTCTCTCCTCCCTCGTGGACTCGCTCGTCCTCCCCTCTTTTTCCCTGAGGTGAAGCGTGTTTGTGATTGTAGAGCCCGTGTGAGATTCCAGGAGATCACATGTCACACGGTGGTGACGAGAGAGGCAGGGGTTCGCCGGACAGTCCCGTGCATTCCACCTGCGCACAGCTGCACCGACACACACATAACACACACACATATAACGCACACACACACAGGCGCATCCTTTTTATCCTCATATAGGCATTTGTGATAAAACTTTGAAGACAAGAGGATTTCGAGTCTTCTCATCCTGTCTTTGCATTTGCATATTTGAGTAATTACTGAGGCAGGTACTTATCAAGACTTTTACTGCTTTTTTTCTCCGATTTCAGCCTTCACATCAGAACAATTAAACTGAATATAAAAGTCTATTCTAAAAGCTGAAAGGCAGCGTTTCTTCTTTCCAGTAAATTATGATGGAAAAAACTTTTTGTTCAACCAATAAAAAGTTCCTGTAAGAACCTCGGCAGCTCCGTTTGTGACAAATCCTGCCGAACAGCCGTGATGACTTTTTCCACTGAGAAATGAGTGACTGCAGATCTTTGAAGACCCTGAAAAACTCTACCAAAACAATCTTGAGAAGAGTTTTCTCTCTCTTATATCCGGATCTGGCCCTTTGTGCATGTCATGATTGTTCTGTTTCCAAGCACAGTGAGGGATAAAACTTTAGACGCACAGCTGTTTTGGAGTTTGATGCTTTGATTTTGATTCAGGAAGAAGATTCAGTCTTTTCAGAATAAAAGATGAGACAGTGAGGTGGAGGACATGTATTTCATCGCACAGCTCTAACCGTCTCCTTTCTGTTTCTGTATTTTCTCCCGCAGATCGACCCAAAGGTTGCATTCCCTCGCAGAGCTCAGCCCAAGGTGAGTCGAACCGCCTCCTGCAGGTCGGTGTGAGTTGAACGTTTCAGTCTCTTATCTGGGCTAATGCCTCGTAATCTGATGAACACGATCAGTGTTGACATCTCTGAACTGTTACGTGACGGCGCGTTAACAAAAAGCTTCACAACTTTTAGAGAGAGAGAGAGTCGCCATTGTTGAGACAACCTTAACACGTGTATTAAATTTCCAGTATGCTCTGTGCCGATCTAAGCCGCTCTGTCTCGTTCAATAACAACAACAAGACGACGAGGAGGAGGAAGAGGGAAAGAAAGGCGAGTTTAATTCAGCCTGCAGGAGGACTGGGAGTGAAAACATGGAGATCAACGTGTGTGTAGTCTCATAACTCCGCAGATTTGGAGAAGAAGCTGCTGAATTAGTTTTCAGGACGCATAAAGTGCAAAAAAAAGTTTTCAGGACGATAAGATAAACTACGCAAACTTTAAATTCAACGTTTTTAATTTTAATGTCAATCAGGACGATGTTTCTACAACAGTTCAGCGTTAATAAATGTAAATCCGATTTGATTCCTCTTTAAGAAACTGATTAAAAAACACACAATGACATATTTAGGTGATGCAAAAACTACAGTATCACTAACATTACGCAGCAGCTGAATGAAAACTAAGTGAGCTGTAGTCCTGCGCCAAAATGTCTAGCATGAGTCTGGTCCTGCTCAAGGTTTCTGCCTGTTAAAAGTTTTTCCTCGCCACTGTCACTCATGTTAGATAAGATGGGTCAAATCTCTCCCGTCTTAAGGGTCTTGGTAATTCATCAAAAAATGAGCGCGGTCTAGACCTGCTCTTTTCTGGAAATCGTCTGTTGTGATTTGATGCTGTACATATAAACATAAATAAAAATTGATTTTTTTAATTAGGGATGCTCAATATCAGTATCGGCTGATATGCAGATTTCTACACATGTAATTATCGTTAAAAACAGTGATGCATTGAGTGACCTTAAAAAGAGTTTGTATACAAATCAATATTAGCCGAAATATGAGTTTGAAAATATCGGCAAAGATTCAATTTTGGGCCTAACTACGAAGTATTTTGTCTTATCATCAGACGTTTGACTGAAAAGTGGGAGAAGCAAAAAAAATTAGCTGCCAAGAGTTTATCATAATTTATTTTTAACACAGTAAACAACTTTTAACTCTGATATGACTCCAAATAGAGATGCAGTGATTTGAGATGACAGCATGAATTATAATCACACACAGATTTATTAAACTCACAGCATTACTAATGTTAAAAATCACATCAGCGGTCTTTATAAAATGTTGGTCTGCTGATCATTGATTCGTTTTGAGACGGAAATAACACGGTAATATAATCAGACGGTACAAAATAATAAATAAAGATGAACTGAAATACTATCTCTCTCCTTTGATTTCTAAACATGGTGGAAAACATTCAGTTGGCCTAAATCCCTGCTGCCGACTCATGATGTGACTTTCCACTTACATAATGTCACTTAGTTATTATGTATCACCCTCACTTGTGTGTGTGTGAAGTTTTATTAGTTTGACCTCTTAAATCGTAACGGTTTTGCGGTCGGTCTTGCAGACGGTGATCTCTGAATAACTCCGTGGTCATTCTCGGTCTACCTGAGATGTTCCCTCACTGCCGTTTTTACTTATTCTCTTATGTTGGAAAGTACAACAGGTTGCTGCTGCTCAGTCCTTCAGCCATAGTTAAGCTAATATCGTGTAAGACATAATCCGGAGTTAGGCATAATCATCTTTGGTCGGTTACAACTCTTAAAATGGTTCTGCAATCTCTTGAGCGCCCATGAAGCACGTGTTCGAGATAATTAGTGCGACGAAAACTTGTTTTTATGTTTAAATGCTTTAAAAAAGTTTATAAAATTTCACATTTTTACGTCTTTCTCACTCTGTTCTTTCTAAATATTGATATCCTTGGAGTTAAAGTTAAAAATCATTCACCTATGACAGGATTAAAACCTAAACTGATAGAAACAAGTATATCCTTATATGCAGACGATGCAACGTTTTATTGCAGGTGTAGAAATTCTCACTTATTGAACATTATTTAAACTTTTGAAGATATTCTGGTTTAAAGCCAAATAAGCTGGACTTTTAAAAGGTACAAACTTCCAAATTAGTGGAGGTAAATGTTTCAGGAATACAAACCTCAAAGATTTAGTCGCGAAAAATCGAATTTCAGGACTTGAGATGTGTCGAGATTTTTTAATGTTTGTATAAAAGGGATAACAGAATAGTTCACATAACTATCATCTTTTGTTGTAAACTAAACAAAAGAGCAATATTATTATATTAACAGTCACTATTAAATAGTGTTTTTGCTTTTAATGCTCAAACCCTCCAGGGGAGAGGAGGGGGTTAAAGACTGGTCGATTTTCTGTTATCGTCGCTCCTCCACAGACTCGTCTTTCTCCTCAGATTATTTATGGAGAAACTTTTTAAAACTTGTTGAACTGATGGTTAATGATCAAAAACAGTCAAAACTTCCTTAATTTCTACTTTTTTAACTCTCAGAAAAGTTTTTTGCTCTTTTAAAAGTTTATTTCTCCGAAGAGACAGAAAGATTTTTTTGTTGTTCCTCATCAAACCAAACCTTCGGAGAGAAAAAACGGACGTTTAACTGGTGATTTTGGTGGAAGTGGTGAGAAACGTAACGACTAGTTTTGTCTTTAAAATCTGTGATTTGAGTGAAGTAATAATTAAAGCAACAGTCAAACCTACCTACTTTTACCGCTCAAACTATAGTTTTCATCGAGTGTTTGTCCTTAAATCCACTTTCAGCTCTCGTGACTGAAATGAGGAGCTTTTCTACGTTTTCTTTTTGGGATTTTTATCCATTTTTACCCAGAAACAGACAGCTGGTTCAAAAATGTGCTCATGAGTTTCTTTCTTCTTTTTTTTAGCTGGTGACTCGAACCAAGAAGATCTTTGTAGGAGGCCTGTCAGTGAACACCACCATCGAGGACGTCAAGCAGTACTTTGACCAGTTTGGGAAGGTGAGTGATGTTTGAAAGCGCGCCGACAGGATGTCACTCTGCGGCGCGAAGGTTCAGCATTATATCTGCGAGGCTGCTCAGAGTGTAAATCAGGATGATTTCTCAGAAGTTGGCGTCGGCGCGGAGAGAAATCAACAGCTCGGAAACTTGTAGTACCACGTCCCACCAGCTCGATCGAGACTGATTCACTGCAATTTCTTTTCGAGAAAAACTTCACTTGGAGTCGAGCGAGCGAGCGTCCTGAAGTGAAGGGGTTACAGCGAAGAAGAGGAGGAGGAGGAGGAGGGCGAGAAAAAGAAGGGAGAGGAGAGGAGAGGGAAAAATAATGAGGCAGAGAGGCTTCGAAAGCAGCAGGCGAAGTTAGGGGGACTCGAGGAGGGAGGGGAGGGAGAGAGAGGAAGGGGGAGAAAAGTTTTGTAGTGAGTGTGTGGTGATGGTGAGGAAGGAGGAGGGATTATCAGAATCTGAATTAATCTGATGTAACAGCTGCTCCTACCCACAACCCCCTCCTCGCTCGTTACCGTGGTGACCTGGCTTGCCCATTGTCCCCAAGTAATTCTGCGGGTAAGGGGGTTTTGTTCTGAAGGAGGAGGGACGAGGTGGTGTTCGGGGGTGTTTGCATGAGTGTGTGTGTTGGGTGGGGGGGTCAGCTCAGGAGTTCACAAACTAAAAATACAAGTCGATTAAAACCCCCCCAAAAAAAAAACCTGCGATCCGAACCTTCAGACCTGATTTTTATGATGAATTACTTTGTGTTTTTTTAATTTTTCCGTATAAAGTTCGCTCGGGTCGCTTTATTGGGAAAGACGTGCGGTGGGTAATGGATGACGGGCTGACAAAGACCCCGACCAGGGAGGAGGAAGGGAGGGGGGGCTGATTGAGAGAGGTTTGCGGAGGCGTAAGAGGGGGAACTGGGGCAAAGATGGGGTGTGTGTTGGGGGGTTTACGAGAGCCATTATGCCGGGGTACAAAGCTAGGCAAATATTTTGTTAGTTTGCTCAGAACTTATCTGCATAATGGAAGTTTCTGGATTGTTTGAAACGTCCTCTGAAAAGTACGATGAGATTAAACCTTTATAAGTTTATAAGGAAACTTTCAGGTGGGCATCCTCAACCTAAAGGCCTCAAACTTTTTCAGTAGACTCCGATTTCTGCGCCTCTATTTTCTCGTACCGAAGCTCTGGCCTCGAGTTTCCCCTCACGCTCCCTCCTCAATCATAACGTCGAGATGAATTTCGCGGACAGAGATATCGAGGGATGGACGGTGAAATGTGGGCTCCAGCCATCCATGGAAGTTCCTGATTAGACTGCCTCACTGGACCTTTTGTGTCCCGTCCTGGTGAGGACAAAGGAGCGCGGAGAGGGATGGGCAGGGGATAACAGGGAAGATGAGAGGTGGAGAAAAACGGGGATAAGAGGGAATATTGTCCAGCAGTGCGCCATCAAACGCCCGGTCTTTGAAATATGGACTAATGATGTGGATTTATCCCAGTTTGTGGTTCGTAAACAGAAACCGGGGGCGTTGTTGTGAAGTCTTGATCGCATCCTCGAGGGCGACTCTGTTGTGGTTTTAAAGTTAGTTTTATGGTTTTATTCCAGTCTGTGGAGTTTTTATAAAAGTCACTTTGTTGCCGAGTTAGAGATCTGAACATGTGTCAGCCGCTGAGCAAATGTCAGGCTGGCAGGAAGCAGTGACTTGAGAGGCATCGGAGTAACAGGTCCCCTTTCACGCTGACACTCCTCCTTCACCTTTGACCTTTCTGTAGGCAAACTGCCCTTGGGGGTCCGCGCACACACACACACAAGAGCACACTATGTGCTAGCGCTAAGTGAGTGTGAGTATGTGAGTATGACAAATTGTTCAGTGGACCGAATCCAGTAAACTTATTATAGACCGAGAGCGCAGATTCGTTTACCAAATGTTTGTTTGGACGTCTGCGGGACGACTGACCAGAGTGGAGACACGAACAGAGAGCGAGGAAGAAGAGCACGTCAACTTTGACATAAACTCTGTGTGTGTGTGTGTGTGTGTGTGTGTGTATAGAATAGACACCTGTGTCTTGGCTCCATAAAGGGAGGCCGGGCCGGAGGGAGAGGTCAAAGGAAGAAGAGGAGGAGGTGGAGGAGGAATTATGGCTGACTGTGCCAACAAACAAAGCCTCCAGGCCTCTTTGTTCTCCCTCTGCCTTTGTCTCTTCTTTCTCCTCCCTTTCCACTTTGACCCAATCTCTTTTTTCTCTCTCTCTTCTCCTTCCTCTCTCTTCCAGGACTCTCTGTGCTCTCTCTCTCTCTCTCTCTCTTTCTCTATATCTCCACCTGTCGCTTTTCCTCTTCGCTATCAGCTCTCCCCTCTCATCGAGTCTCCACCTGCCCACAGGATTCACCTTTCCGCCTGTGACTGGCTAAACAGTTTCTCTGTCTCTGCGCGGCCGCTCGCCCGCCTTTGTCTCTCTCGCTCACTATTCATAAAAGCATATTTGATGTTGGCTCGAGCTCTTTTAGACGGACTTTTTGTACCGTTGCCATGGGAATGTCAAACTTTGGAGGAGAGAAAGGCGGCGGATTATGGCCTGTCTGAGAGAAGGATTGTGACCGGGGCAGTTCAGCAGCAAACAGACTCCAACTTTTAATGCCACCCATTATGTCGACCCACTTGGTCCACTGTGGGGGCTTGTCGTACAGTGTTCCCTCACATTTTTCTGTCTTTTGCCCCCCTCGGCCTCCTCTTTGTAACCTGTCGCTCCTCTCCAGTCACCCCCCCCCCCTCCTCTCTGTCCATCTGTTGCTGAGCCTCCCTGCAGAACTTGAGAAGGGCTGAGGTCAGGCAATATGCCGCGTGGCGAGCGAGTGAGAGAGAAAGAGAGAGAGAGAGAGAGACTCTGTTGCTGAAAAAACGGTGTTGTTTGTGTCCCCGCAGGTCGACGATGCCATGCTCATGTTCGACAAGACCACCAACAGACACAGAGGTGAGACACACTGACCCCTCTCCGTACCCGTTTATTTCCTACATCCCTCCGTCGATTCGCTCCTCTTCCTCCAGTCTCCTCCCTGGTGTCTATCGATCCCCCCTCTCCGCCACCCCACCAACCCCCCACTGGTCCTCCTTCCTGTGGGCTGATCTGAAGGAGACGAACAGGGCTAGTCTAATTAGCCAGTCCGTTAATCTGGATCAGGATAAAACCTCCTTAAGCACCTCCTCCCCACCCTGGGACTGATCGATTATGACAGCCTACCAGCTTTGCCCGGGCCTTCTGGTCAGGAAGGGAGGGAAGAAAAGGATGAGTGCAGAAGAGCGGCGTTGGACGGGGGGGAAGGGGGGCAAATGTGTTAAGCGGCTATTACAGCACTGATTACTGGAGACTATTAGCTATACTGCTGCACACACACACACAAACACACACACACACACACACACACACACACAGAGAGGCCTACTGTCTCCATGTGAAACTCACCAAACATTTCCTCGCCAGGCTTTGGTTTCGTGACGTTCGAGAACGAGGACGTGGTGGAGAAAGTCTGCGAGATCCACTTCCACGAGATCAACAACAAAATGGTGATCACTTCATCAGCTCTATAACACGACCGCTTCATCACCAAACCACACGCACTCATACATGTTTTATCTGGGAACAGGTGGAGTGCAAGAAAGCCCAGCCCAAGGAGGTGATGTCCCCCACAGGCTCAGCCAGGGGGCGCTCTCGTGTGATGCCCTATGGAATGGATGCATTCATGCTGGGCATTGGTATGCTGGGTAAGGTTTAATCGATCAATACAGGAAGGATGTTTGTGTGAGAAAGGGTTAAACCGGAGATCACTTCTCCTGCGTTAAAGCCACAGCTGTTTTAGAGGTCAGAGCAGTGACCGCTCAGCACGACTCAGAGAGCGCCAGGAAACACAAAAACGACTTTTCCGAAACCGTCCTCAGCTAGAGTGTAACTTTAACATCTTTGTACCTGCAACAAAAACACAGTCAGACCCTGAATTAACCAGAAACAAGACAGACAACTCCTGCTATTTAGTATTTTAAGCATTTGCCAAATTGTCTCCCAAGTCTGAATTTGTCATTTTATCTCCACGAAGCACGCCATATTATCTCAGCTGATCCTGGAGAAACACTGCGGCGCCCTGCGGATCACAAGTTGCTTCACAGAGCTGAGATAGTCATTTCTCAGTCTCCACAGATGTTCAAAATAAACTCCTGAATATTCATCCTGTTTTAAAAAAGTTTGGGTTACCCTATTTTGCGAGCTCCCACTACCTCCACGTGTCCCAACAATTATACCTCAAAGCTCAGATAATGAGGCTAAATTTATGGATTAGCCCTTTAAAACAGTTCTGATCCTCTCATTGGCCTGAACTCCACCCTCTGCGGTGAGGCCGCTCATTAACAGGTTTTAATGTTCCTGTTGTGGAGTTGAGAAGGAAAGCTAATCTGACTAAAGTGATGCTACCACCTGCTGTTCAGAGTCAGAATGACACGCTCTGATCAGAATAACTTCATCTCGGAGTGGATTTGTTGTCGTTTGGTTGACATTTAGCTGTGACGTGAGTTCCTCAGGTGTCGGGTTGTAACAAAGGAAATCTCGGTGTAATGAGCACGGCTGAGAGTGAAACAGAAGACAAAGACAGTAAGCCGCTCAGTCCTGTTCCTCCCTGAGAGGAAATCCAGACCTCAGGTGTCGAGTAACACCCACCTGTGTGTCACTGACTCTGTGCTAGAGGGCAGCACTCCTCTCTGTCTCTGTTTCACTCTTTCCTCTAATTTCCTCCCCCCTTCGCTGTCCGCAGGTTATCCAGGCTTCCAGACCGCCACCTACACCAGCCGGAGTTACGCTGGCATCACTCCTGGATACACCTACCAGTTCCCTGGTAATCACTCCACATTTTCTGCTCCTGAATCAGTGGGATGTTAAAAAGCGAGATAATACACAGCCATAGTCGTCTAGTGAGCAGGTCTGAGTGTTTTAGAGTCAGACACAGAGCAGTATTTAGGGGAAGCACTGACGCTAAAATCATCCTTGTGTCAGAAACCTTTTAGACCGGTCTGGTCCGGTCCATCATCCCTAAACGTACAACAAAAAAAAGGAAAAATGAAGAAAATGTTCCCTGTGATACCAAAAGATCCAGAACCTTTTACCAAAGTCTCATCCTGTTGGTTTAAATGTCTCAGTGGTTATGAGTCTCTGACATGAAAAGGTTAAAAACCCTGCAGCAGAGGTGTCGGCCTTTTTATGGAGGTATCAGTTTTAATCGAAGTCTGTTTCATTACCAGACAAAAACTTTTCAAACAATCGCTTTAAAACACATTCCTGCGAGCAACAATGAAATATGTTTCTTGCTTTAGGAATGATCACTTGATCCCGCTGGTTAAATCAACAAGGATCACAGTTGAAATGAGCATGAACGGCCGTCCACGGCCTTTACGCACTCTGTTGACACGCAAATCATCATTCACGGGAATAAAGCGAGTAAATACTTCTCATTTAGCGTCTAGATACACGCGAATTAAACGAATAGATGATTTTACTCACACCCTATTAAAAGTCATAAATCTAAAAGTTTGCAGGAATGTTAGCATGATGCTTTTAAGCCCAGTATGGTGGTATTAATGAGTAGATGATTAAAGTGATTTTTTTGACAACATCTCTTCCATTGAAGCTCCTATAAGGAGTTTTTTTTATATTTCTGGAAGAGACTGAAAACTTGGATGACCATATTCTGACTTCCCAAAAAGAGGACACAACTACGTGGGGGCGGAGTAACAGAGTCACACAAAGTGTCCCTTACACACTTCTAACTCAGTTAATCCACATGACACAAAATCGAAACTTACGTACAAAACTGCAGACATTTGAAGGATTTTATAGACTCTCCCGGACAAACCTGGACAGCCATGAAAGCCCCCAAAAAAGAGGACTAATGGTCACCCTACTGAAAACTACTCTGATATCCAAAAGTAAACAAGACCGTCAGTGTCAAGATTGTTAATTTGGTATCCTACTTTTTTTTATTCCTGAAAGCGGTGTGAGGGGTCAGTCCTTTCTTTGCAAAGAGCTGTCGTATTTTTCGCACTGTAAGGCGCACCTGATTATAAAGCGCATTAAAACAAACAAAACAGTCAGATAAGTCAATCTCAAAAGAATCAAAAGAAAAAGTCAGGAGGATGAATTTTTATGTGAAAAGTCACGACACAAATACGTAAGATAAACAAACAGAGATTGCCTAAATGAACTGAAAATCGCTCACAGATGCTTTAAGTGTTCAATAATGATAAGTAATTTTGATGAGTCTAGCGTGTTGGATCTTTTTAGTTCCTTTTATTAACTTATTTATTAAATTTTTATGAGCTATCTCGAGATCAGACGGCAGAAAAACTAGAAAAAGAAATGTTAGGCGACAGGTTAGATCCAAACACTTTAGGGACTCTAGACCCTGTTCAGGAGGCGTAAATAAGAATCTAAGTCTGAAGTAAAGTCATGTAGCTTGGTGCTCATTTATGAAAACATAATTTTTAAAACAAAAACTTGTTTTTATTTAATAAAGGGATGATGTTGGTGTCAGTGCTCCTGTGATATGAATAGACACACTGTCACAAATACAAACATGTTTCCATCGAAGCACGTGGAACACTGCGAGTATTATTGGCTGCTTGTAAATATCAGGGAGTGGAATTGCATCTGCTTAGCTTGTAAGTGTGTGTGTGTGTGTGTGTGAGTGCGAACGTTAGCATCTCAGCGTGTTTTATCAGAGTGTGTGACGTTAATTTGGCAGTTTAGGTTTTTTTTACATGTTGATGAAATTAAAGTTGATTTAAAGTTTGATGACAAAACTGTAATTTCTTGCTACTCAACAATAATTTTTAACACTTTGACACTCTTCCATCCTTTAACTCCTGTTTGAAGTCCTTCAACCTTGTGTTTTTAAACATGTGCTCTCCATACCTGTCCTCCTCTCAGGTGTTCCCCGCCTGTATGTGTGTGAGTGTGTGCTGACGGTGGTGGTGTTGTGTTGGTGTTGGTGTGTGTCTCACAGCACTCTGATGTTTCTGTTTTAGAGTTCCACTTAGAGAGGACTCCCCTTCTGACTTCACCCCACCCCCCTGAGCTCACAGGTCAGTCCGTCCCTCCTCTGGACTTTACAAGCAGCATGTTGTCAGTCTGCTACACCACACCTTAGCATCAACACCTGATCAGACTTTGGTTTGCATGTTTGTGTTTGTCGGTCCTCCTCCGTGTCTATCTGGAGGCAGGGTTGCTGACAGTAACAAGGACGTTTTTAAGCCTCCCTCCAGTGACCACGTCAACATTTATATTTGAATTAACAGAATAAAAACTCTCATAAATGTTCGTTAAGTTCCTGAGTTCACTGGAGTGAGGCTTAAACTGATGTTTTAATTTGGTTTCTATGATCAGACGTTTCTTTTCTGTCTCTTCAGCCATTCCTCTCACAGCGTACGGACCAATGGCAGCAGCGGCTGCAGCAGCAGCAGTAGTTAGAGGTAAGAGCAACGAGAAGAACACTCATTCTCCTCCATCACAGGAAAACTAATGCTCTACTGACCATTTGCAATAACAGGGAACGACTTGGTCACATCCAAAATTGATCAAACCTTTTTATTCTTCGGCTTTTTAAAAACACGGCTCTAGTAAGATGCTTTATTTTGACTCTGTCCCTGCAGGGAAAAGCAGAAAAGAGTTACAAGTTTTAGGAGAAATAAGTGAATCCTGCAGTAGCTAATTTTGACCACTTGGAGGCAGCAGAATACAACTTTAGAAAAGACAGATTGTCACCTTTACAAGTTGACTTTGGCGAAAATATTCTGTAAACTTTGACTTTTTTACTCTGAACGCATATAAAGAGAGACATGTGAAATGATAACACACGTAATAAATATCTTCCACTAACTCCTGAGGTAAATGTCCTGAAAATGCTTCAGAAGTTTCCAAGCTTTGTTTAAAAACTCTTTGTTCACAGTATCAGCTGAATATATTTTGGTCTTCTTTTAGTTTCTTGGACCTTAGCAGCTCAGAACAACTCTTTTAAGAGCTTTAGGAGATGTATGGAGTCACATAGCAAGTCTCAGAAGATCAATTTTGATAATGAAAAATGTAAAATGACGACAGATGATTTGATAAGAGGAGTAGATGTAGATGCCAATCACTCACTTTCTTCCTTCTAGTTCTCTTGTAATTAAGATAAATATGTAAATTCAGTGTTTTAAATTAAACAAAAAGCTTTTTCTTGGTCTGTCTTTACATCGGTTTGTCTCTTTTCTCCTTTAGGCTCCACCCCCTCTCGCTCAGCTGGATTTTTAGGTACGAGCAGCCCGGGTCCGATGGCAGATCTTTATGGAACGGCCGGTCAGGAGTCAGCGGTCAGCAGTTACCTCAGCGCTGCGAGTCCCGCCCCGAGCACTGGATTCAGCCACAGTCTGGGGGTGAGACAACAACACATGAACTATTTTATAACACAGTGCTCTCCTCTGAGTTTAAAACTTTGTCAGATGAAACTACTACTACTGTGTTTGGATGTAAACTTAAACTATTACCAGAGTCTAAACTTGTACACAAAGGTAGATTTTGTATGTAACTGAAACTGAGTCAGCCTTGTGCACAACTTGTTGACTTGTGGATCTGAAGTCAATTCAATTAAATTAGAAAAAATAAAAAACAGAGAAGGAAACTGCAGATTGAGCAAAAATCGAACATTGCTTACATCTGTTCCCAGTCACTTCATGTTCATAACTGAGTGTAAAAACTTCATATTTAGCAGGTTTATTTGATTTTAAAATCTGTGATCCTTCCATTGTGTCTGCAGTTATTCCTGAGGAAATCTGTGAGGATATTTAACCTGAAAAATCTCAATAATTTAAGTTAATAATGAACTTTTCTTTCTCCCTCACAGGGCCCTTTGATTGCCACGGCCTTTACTAACGGCTACCACTGAGAGAGTGAGTGATTTTTTTTCACATTATAACAAATCAGAGGGTTTTAATCCAACCTAACCTGTGAGTAATCGTGTACATATGTGTGTGTTTTATTCAGTGCAGAGCTGTAGACTGAGAGCTGGAAGGAGTTGAAGCTGTTTCGGAGCTGATCTGGTCCGTCTCGGTCCGGCCCTCCTCTCCTACCAGGGCAGCTGAACCTTCACCCCCCTCCCTTGCACCCTGGTGTCAGCCTGAACCCCACCCGCCGCGCTGACGCCTCACTAAACTCCTGCGAAAAATGAAGAAAACGTTCGTAGACGGAGCGAAATTGTTTCACTACATGTAATAGCAGAACACACAGACACACACACACGCTGTATTTTTAGTCCTTTTTCTGTCGTTATGTTTCACTCGGCTGTTTTTAATTTGTGATGGTTGCATTATTTCTGTTTCTTGTTTTTATCGGGTCGTTCGACCTGAAGAGAAAGAGTCTCGGGGTCGTTTGGCGCTCTGGGGTTGTAATTTGTACTGGAAAAACTGTATATTTGTCAGTAGTTCATACTGAATTTTAACAAACCATCTGTGATTAATACTATTTCTTTAAAACGTGTCACAAAGTGTATATCTTGTTAGGGTTTTTTAACAGAACCTTGTTGAACACTAATAATGGTCATTAGCCACAGTTACAGAGTAGGCCAACATGAGCTGTACAATTTTGTAAGATATTGTAAATATGACTCTGGTTTCTGGGGAGGGGGCGGGTTTTTGTGTGCGGGAGGATTTGAAAAAAAAAAAGGGTACGCCTGATTCTTTAATCAAATTTCATGTGTTGGAAAGTCTGATCGGGGTAAATCCTCGTTTCACGTGGAGGTCGAGAACATTTCAGAGCGATGGATGTCAAATTCAGACCAGCTGTTTTCCTCTGCAGACATTTGTTACGTGTTTCTTTAAATTTTGCATTTCTCATGCAGAGGAAAGAGGCTGCGTCTGAAAAGAAAGGAAAAAAAAAACACAAAAAAACTTTATTTGGTGTTAAAAGCTCCTCATGCTGTTTTCTTACTTTGTCATATTGTTGTTTTAACTGTGATTTTCGATACGTGCTGTTTGTTTATGAAGGAAAATGAAGGAGTGGCGTGCAGCAGGAGCGGTCACGCACAGTGACTGATGAACTCTGCAGGTTGTGTTGATGTTTGCGTGAGCGTGTCATGTGGTTTTCACACATGTGCTGTCTTTTTTTCGGGGGGTTGGTACCTCATTTGCAAATGTGAACTTTTAATCGGACGGTTTTTTTTTGTTTTTATGATATTAACATCTTTGTCAAAGTGTGATGGTTTCAAAACGGAGGGGTCTTATTAACTCGTGTTTACCTGTCGCCCCCCCACCTCTCCATCCCATCGCTGTGTATCCACTGGAGGTCACAGACTGTAGCAACGTGACCCATATTTTTAGACCAAAACGACGATCTTCAGAGCTACTAGGATGTTGCACTGGCCGATGACGTTAAATATGTTTCTCGAATGTTAACTAAGAACAAACGAAGCACTCTCCACCCACAGAGCACCGGGTTTTACATTTTATACATACATACACACACACACACACACACACACACACTGCTGCGGGCTACGACGGTAGTTCAAACTTTGATGCTGTTTTCACTGAGAAGTAACAATCTTGTCGACACTGTAACATTTTCTGATTTTATTTTCCTGTAATGTTTATTCCTTTGAAAAAAAAAAAACTTTTTAAAATTCCTAATAAATTATTTTAAAACATTCCATTTAAGTGTCCTGATTGACTTTTTTTTCTTTATTATTTAAATTAGACACTAAGAAGAAAAACAAGTTTAATCGTGGGTTTGAAGCGTGGGTCTCCCACACAGAAGGCACAAAACCGCTGAAAACTATTACTCCAAATCATGTCATTGCTACACAGAGCCTCAATGGGGCCCTACGCAAAATTAGATTTGGGGGCCCTCTATTTCTGCCAATAATATTGATTGTTGATCATTCACACACCTTTACAAATCTCTTTAACATTTCATGACATGCAAACATCTTGACATTTCTTCTCCTCTTCCTCTTTCTTTTCTCGGCTCCTGAAGGTCATTTTTTGCGACCACATTGCACAGCAGGAGGCACGTAACGATAGCAGAGCTTTGACATGTCGGCACTAAGAATCAGACCTACATCAGCAGCAGCACTGAAATGTTTTTACTCTTTTTTATTTTTACAATCATATATATTTGATCACACAGAAAGTATCACTCATACATGCAAAAAATAAAAAATATTATAAAAATTTTTCTGGATTGCTCATGGGGGCCCCCTATTGGCCGCAGGGCCCTAAGCGGGCGCTTAGTTCGCGGGGTGACACAGCTCAAGGAAGAACATTTACGATCATTACTTCATGGAAATACAATCAGACCAGAACTACCGCATCTGCAGTGCAAAACAATCAATATGGTGATTATTACTTCAAGGAAATGATAAATAAATGATCACAAATGTTCTTCCTTGAGCTGCGTCACCCCGCTGTAGTCTGTAATGGACTGGTCTGAGGTCTCGCTACAAACAAGCAGCTGTAATGTTGATAAAGTTAGGTGCTGTTCTGAGCATTATTGGTGGCTATAGAGTGGTGTTTTGGTTGAGCACATGGCTCTCTGTGTTGCTATCCTGCGGTCGTTACTAAACTAGAGAAGCAAGCGGTTGTCAATATTTATCTCTGGAGGGGGTGTCTAACTTGGTGTTACGGTGTGTTTGACCCTGAATTAATTTTACGCCAAATATCCCTTTAAATTCATGCAAAACTTCAACATATTTTCTTGATACTGAACAGTTGTAGGATCACCAGGGGTACGGCTCAAAGTGATGTGAAAATGTCCCCTAAAGCTCTCCTGTCCCTTCTGTGCAGCGTTCTTCTTCATGTCTCTCTGCTGCCTGATTGTTCTCCTTCATCATCACTGCTCTGCTGCCTCCTCTCCCTCACCTCTGCTTCCTCTGTCCCAGAGTCTCAGCCCTGCCATCGCCTCTCCGCCTTCACCGCCCTGAGAATTGGTCATGAACATCGAGTTTTTGCCAGACCAGAACCATCTGGTGGACCCAGGAGACCCTCCCACAGATGGATAACCTCTGTGTCACCTTGTCCGCCGGCTTCTGTCTGGCGTGTGCTGGTATTCCAGTGTCTGAACTTTTGATGCAACTGTTGTGAAGCTTAAGGTTGACCTTTCATTCACCCCGTCGGCCCTAAGTTCACCAAGTGGATAACTTCTTTTGTTTTCAGTCTTGAGATCATCACAGCAAACGCCACTGTGCACATGAGTGCAGGACGAGTGCAACAGAAACATGATGCAAACTCAAACAAACATTGGGTTGTCCTCTGCAGCGTGTTATGTAACCTGCTGGAGGTGAAGACGAGGTGAAAGTGTCCTGCAGAGATTAGCCCAGAGAGGGAGAAGCAGCTCTGCTGAGCTCCAGGATTTAGGGACTCAGTCCAGAGGTTTTTAAAAAAGCTGTTGAGTCTCATTTTACTGTCAAACACGTCTGTGAGTCAGCTTTTGTTTGAAAATTTACTCTCTGTGATTGCAAAAAGAAAGGCCGACAGCAGAGCGAAAATAATGGATTTAGTGAAACACTCCTTTGTTCAAGTCCAATTCAATTATCAACAGCAGAAGTGCTCCAACTGTTACTGTCAATAATCAATTATAAGGTTGGTGATTGTAAGCATTTAAATGTCTCCAAAACAGGCCTCTCATTTCATGTTGTAGGGAATTAACGACCAGAAACTGACTGTATGTGTTTGGAAAGAGAGCGACATTCGAGGAGGGGTTTTCAGAAATGTAAAATGAATGTTTCTGGGGTTTCATTGCAGAACTTTGAAAAACTTAGATAGCTGAAAACACACATTCAGTACAAGTGAGTGTGACTACAACAATAAGGTAAAATCAGGAACATGTTCAATCATGCCCTACGCCTCATTAGATAGCATTAGTCCACATGTTTGGGTTTCTTCTGCATTTAAAAAGGTTAAGATAAGTTCACATGGAAACAAAACTAGAAATGACTCCGTGTGTGACCAACGTTTCCTCTGTTTTTAACTTTTGGTCCTACAAAAACAGCCAAAATACCCAGATTTTAAGTGTAAATGTCAGGCTGGAGTACATACCTGCAGGATAATCCGCTTGTCTAGAATTAATCAGTCTTACATTTTGAAAGACGGCTCAAAAATCCTGTGTGTCCTGTATTTCAGAAACAGGAGTGGTGACTCGAGCGTGCACACAGGGATCAGTATCAGTTTCATGATCCGTTAAAAACTCCTCATGGAGGCTTTGACAGACAGGAAAATACAAAATAAGCTGTTTCTGTTACAATGAATGTAAGATAAGGGTGATGTTCTCTGATAGTGTAAAACTGATGACTCTATTCTTTTAATGTGAGGACGTTTGCAGACTCGAGACGTGTGAAACAAGAGACCTGTGAGAACAACCAGAGAGATCAGGTGAGATAGGAACTAAGGACGGTGTTTTTCTGAACTGCTGTGTGGACTGGAGGCCAATACAAATGCAATCTAGACTCATGACCTGTTGTGTTAGTGGATAAGGAACCGGTCATCTTTAATCTCCTGTGAGTGTTTGTGATATTTAGGAAACAGGCTGAAATTCAAGTTGATGCTTATTTGTGATGTGCAAAAGCAAAAAGACCCCTCACTTCGCTTTCAGGCGTTAAAAACCAGGATATAAAAATCTGAAGTCTTGTTTGCTTTTAGATATCATGAAAAAGCATCAATGTGAATTTTAGTCTAATCCACAAACATAAACTTAACTCAACTTTATTTATAGAGCACTTTGAATACAAGCAAAGCTGACACAAAGTGCTGTACATGACACAAAAACATAAAACAATAATAAATAGATGTTTTAAAATATAATAAAAAGCAGTGCTGGGACAAAAGCCAAGGAATAAAAGTGGGTTTTTAGACGGGTTTTAAAAATGGACAGTGAGGGAGCTTTAAAGAATAGAAACAAAGGCTAATTTGTCCACAGGGGGCGCTAAAATTCCTACAAACTGAAAGTTTCTCACAGGAGCTTTAAAGTAGAAATGTAAGCACAGGCCTGAGGATGTTGTATTATATAGAATAGATGTGCACAAGAAAAATAACTTTACAGGAAAATTCTAAAAGAGAAAGTCTTTTTGTTTAATATTGGGATCACCTGAAGGACATCTAGGCTGCTATACAACTTAATGTTAACAGTGTTTCTGCATGTTTTCCTTTTGTGTTGAATCAATTTTACCTGATTGATTGATCGATTGATTGAAGTATATTTTGAACAGATTAAAAATAATGATAATAAAAAAGTAAAGAATACAACAACAAATGACAAAAAGTTATTCATGTTCACCCCTTCTTCTACAATAATGGTTTAAATATATCGTAATATTAGATAATAATATTAATCATTAATAGCAATAAAAATGATCACCACAGTGAAAATAACAAAGCAACAACAAAACAATGATAATTATAGTTACTATGATTGAACATCCCTGTAGCCCATGAAAAAATATTCTTTATATTTTGTTTTAAACTGTTTTATGTTTGTACATTATTTTAACTCCTCACTCCTCTACCACTCCACTGTCTCACCCATAGACTGTATATACTATTACTATTATTATAATATTGTATATATATTGTGTATTATATTATATATTGTATATTATTATTATATCACTATTCTATATACAGTCTATGGTCTCACCCCACAGAATTCTTGTTGAATTCTTCTTGTGTGGATTTTATTAATTTTGGAGTTATACTTCCCTCTTAATTGATAACCCTCCTCTCCATCCCCAAACAAATTCTGTATATTTTGTGGTAGAAGGTTATTTTTTAGCTTTATGCATAATTTGTGCTGTTTGGAATTTCACAATGTCTGTAAATTTAAATAATTTTGACTGTAAGAAGAGTGAGTGAGATCCAGATAACTGATATTATGAATTACCCCTATTTCCCTTTTATTTTATTTTATTTTATTTTATTTTTAATTAATTTTCTAGTCCACACATATTCATCTTGAAACTAAAATACTTTGTCATAAAAGTTGTGTTGGAAATGCTGTTTTATATTAAATCCAGTCCTCTGTTATGGTTGTTGAGTATTTGGCGTCAATCGGGTTAAATTTTAACTCTGAGCTCGAGGACAGGAGGCGGAAGAGGTGTGTTTTCTTCACGAGACACATACAAGTCGCCTCCAAATGGAGAAAAGGAGCACGATAGTCTGAGTTTAGAGGGGAAAAAGAAGAGAAAGGGTGAAGAAGAGCGAGAAATGATAGAGCGGTGAAGAGTTTAGAGCCTGTTTTTAGAGTTTTTATTGTGTTTGACGGTGAAATTTGCTCCGCCTCCGCGAGGAAAAACTTGTCCGGTTCAAAGACGGAAACAAACAAGAACAGAAGGAGCACGAGACAGATGTGCGTGAAAACAGAGCTGTGTTTGAGCAGACTGCACCTTTAAACCGCTGCTGGAAACACTAAGGTGGGTCTATTTAGGGTTAAGTTATACCTCCTCATACAGATGTAAGTGTTTTTTATTCTATTATGTTCATTCGGACCCGCTGAATAGGGGAGAGTGGGGCCAGTTGAGTCAAAGGGTAAGTTGATCCACCTCCTGCTGCTTGGAAATGGTCAAAGAAATTGGTCATGTGACCACATATTTAGGAGATGGGCATCAATTCATGGAGTCTGTGAAGGTTAGAAGCACATGGCTGAAAAGGTTGGACATTTATAGTAGGGATACGGCTCAACTTACCCCGCTCCTATGGTCAACTTACCCCATACACGGGGTAAGTTGACCATAGGAGACCTTTTTTTTTTAGCATGCTGTATTGTCAAAACAGTTCTGTTTACACTCATTCTGTTGGCTTGCAGGGATGAACAACATCTTGAAATATATGCAGATACACTAGTTAGAGACAAAACTAGGATTGACTTGATGTAGTGATCAGAAACAGATGCTGATTCGACCCTGTTGTGTGTGTCTGTACAGCCAGTAGGAGCAGGATGGGGAACAGCAGCAGTGACCGAGGGTCCGGTGGGAGTCAGCAGGGTGGGAAAGAGGCTCGACCCAACATCTTGTTGGACAGCACAGAAGACGCAGACCTTTTCCAGAGAGAAGATCAAAAGGTGAGACATGAAGCTCATGATAAGAGGGCTGGATGTTGTCAAACCAGATCGTCCTGCAGCAGCTGACACGACCCATATTTTGGACTGTCCATTTTCAAAAGCAGATCATCCTAAAAATGTGCAGAAAAAATCAAAGTCATGGTGATTAAGATGGGCATCTGATGGAAAAAGTATGATTGGTTATTCACTGGTGACATCTGATCAAACAGTCGCCCCCGTACAGGAACTCTCTGATATAGCTTTAGTTTTAAATCTCACTGAACCAAACCTGATTCACCCGCAGCCAGCATATGTAATTTCACCTTCTGTTATTAACTGGTGGATTAAAAAAACAGGTTTCAGCCACCATGAGGCAGTGTAACTGATCCCTCTAAAAATAATGGTGAAAATATTTATTTTTACTATTTATAAGGTCAACTCTTTCTTTTCTGTACTTTAAGTTTCTTAAGTTTTAAAATTTGACCCATCTTAAAAGCTCCTGTGAGGAAATTTGGTATCCACTGTGGACAATGTTTTTACTTGTATCTCTCTCCATCTTGGCCTGAACGATATGTATGTTAAATAATTGTTTTGATGTATTGTGACAGTCAAACATATCACTTATTGTGTCACTTACTGCTTTAGAAGATATATTAAAGGCTGTCCATGCAATTGCATCGTCTCAAATCTACACAGTGGCAATGGACATTAATTGTAACGGCATAATCAGCTTTGACATGGATTCATTTTTTACTGTTGGAGGTCAAAAGGAGACATCAGAACTAGTTTCAGTCTTTTTTTAAACAATATAAAACCTCACAGGAGCTTTAAACGTACAAGGTGAAGTTTGGACTATTTTGTTTCTGCATTATTAAGCTGCTTCGATGATAAGTCACCTAAACTTTGACAGAAATGTTAAAAAAATATAACCTCTTCTGTAGATGGAGAACATGAGTTGGTGATAATCTAACTCAAGGAAGTTTTAAGTCTGTGCTAATTGATGTATGTGTACTGAGAAGTCCACCAAGGCGACCTGGAGGGAAGTCTTTACACCTTAAAATCAGTCAGCAGTAATTCTTTAAAAGAGTAAAACGAGCAGAAACACAGGTACGGTCCATTCAGTCTTTTATCTAAAACCTTTCAAGTGCAGATAAATCTTTGCATAGCAGGCTGGTCTATAACTTTTAGATATTTCTTAGATTTCTTTATCCAGGAGAGAATATTTAAAATGTGTGTGTTATCGACATAAAATAGGAGCGACCAAAGAGTGACATTCATTAAGGGTATATTGACCACTTTTATTTACAGGTGGGGTTGTGCTTTTACCTAATGCACAGAAAAGCTTAAAACATTATAATAAAACCAGTTAACATCCGAGGAGCTCATGCATTTTGTCTGTGAAAGAAGAAAACTCTGCTCATACCCTCTCATGAAGCCTTGAAACGGTCCACACTCCTGGCTGGCCTCTCGCTCAGGAAGTGTTGCCCTGGGTAACAGAGACCGAAGCGGAGTGTGTTCTTATTAACACGGCAACAACATTGATATCACTGTGTCCCTCCAGGCTCCACAGGAAATACAGGAGTTTCTGGCCTGGCAGCAGGACCTGGAGAGCGACAGCAAGAGCCCGACGCAGGGCAGACCCACTGTGTTCAGGTGGGCGGGGGCGGCGAAAGAAGTGTTTGTGTCCGGGTCTTTCAACAACTGGGCAACCAAGATCCCCCTCAACAGAAGGTAGTGAGACACACGCAGAATACTAAACATGAGACTGTAGGAGCTTTAATCAGAGAGTGTGTTGATAAAAATAAGATTTCTCTGAACCGCAGTCAGAAAAACTTCGTGGCGATCGTGGATTTGCCAGAAGGAGAGCACCAGTACAAGTTCTGTGTGGATGGTCTGTGGACGCTGGATCCTACAGGGGTTAGTCAAGGATTTACAAATTTAGAAAACTACAAACTTTTACTGTTTTTACAAATATGTGCCGTACTCTTACAGACTCTAACTCTGTGCTCTCTCTTAGGCTGTGATGACGGCTAAAACTGGAACCATAAACAACGTCATCAACGTGAAGAGGACTGACTTTGAGGTTTTTGATGCCCTCAGGATTGACTCACAGGATTCTGCAGACATCTCAGGTAATACACAGGCATAACTATTTGGTATTTAAATGCTTAAATCTACCTTAAATAAAACTTAAGGAAGATATTGATGACTGTTTTGTGCTTGTAACACTGTCTAAATAATTGAATCATATCACCTGCTAATGTGACGTCTCTTAGATCTGTCCAGTTCCCCTCCCGGCCCGTACCAACAGGACGCTTACGTCATTAAACCGGAGGACAAGATCAAAAATCCTCCCATCCTACCTCCACACCTGCTGCAGGTGCTGCTCAATAAGGACACAGGTGTCTCTGTAAGTGAAGCCACGCCCCCTAAAGTAACCGTTTTAATGGCGTACAACTAAGTGACGTTAATCATCTCTCTTTAAATCCTCACAGTGTGACCCCACGCTGCTCCCAGAGCCAAACCATGTGATGCTCAATCACCTGTATGCTCTCTCCATCAAGGTAACACACCTCATCGTATAAAAAAGGAGATCTGCATAAAGAGAAGTTCTGTTTGTTTAATTTTATCCTGTCTTTGTCTTTCAGGATGGAGTGATGGTTCTCAGTGCGACACACCGATACAAAAAGAAGTACGTCACAACACTTCTCTACAAGCCGATATAACCTTCACAGCCACCATCCAGACTCTTATTTTGAAAGTTTTTTTTCATCTGTTGTCGTTCACAGCTGCTATTTGGATGTGTTTAGCTTTTATTCAATCATTTGTAAACTGAAATCTTTCAAACCTTTCTCTTATTTTAGAAGAACACACAGTGTTTGTTTATGTAGAATTTCATTTTAAAGTTAAATAAGAGGAAAACTCTAAATGACGTAACAGCAGGTGGATTTTTAGGATATTTCTATTTTACCTCCTTTAAGATTTTTAGTTTGCGCCTCTGAAAACATGACTATGAAAGCGTTCATGTTGTGTTCAAAGCCGAGTGAGCTGCAGTTTTCAGAGACAGTGAGTGGAAAACTGGTGAGACGAGCACAGCTGCTGCTCTGCTGCATGAGCAAACAAACGCAAGGACACAGCGACTGAAATTCAACAATCTCACTTGCCTTAGTTTTATTACATCGTTGCTTCTTACTTTAAAATCAAACTATTTAAAATCCAGTTTTGTTGAAGAAAATTATGAAGAAATTAAAGTTTTAAAAGGATTAGAAATCGAAACATCCTCTCCTGTGTTTTTTCTCTCTTTTTTAGATTGTTGTGTAACTCAGTTGACACAGTGGACTTTGGGATCCACGTTCTTGTGTTCAGGGTTGTATGTTTTCTGAGCGAAACAGTGAGCTGCCACACGATCGCACTCACACACGGCGGCCTGGCACCTGTTGTTAGTGGCTGCAGAGACAGATGGAGGCAGGAAATAAAGAGATTAGTCTCATAATGACAAAACACAGAGCACACTTTCATCTCAGAGAGCATTTTTGTCCACTGACTTTGCAAAACCCATATAAAGATGTTTAAAAAGAGGCAATGTACGAGGCAGCGTGGTTTGGATATTCACCAGTGAGAGTAAAATCATTAGTTTGGTCTTACCTGAGCAGGTGACCTCCTGACTGGAGCAGGTGAAATCATAAACAAGGACATAAGGGAGATCGGAGATTGCCGTGCACCCAGGAGCCTTCCTGCTTGCCTCATAGCACTTATCGTGGACTCGACAGCACCTACAAAACACAAAGCTGCCTGTTTCAGAAAGTCCTTTTTTTTCCCCAAAACTTACAGCCGTGAAATCAGATTTGAAAGAAAATCAGTTTCCTACTCGTCGACTTCATCCAGAGGGGTTCCAGTTCCTCCGAAGCCGCACCAACAGCCGTAGTTGTTGTACTTCAGGGAGCTGATACCTGGCTGAGCACACTCGATCATTTTCCCAAACTGCCACAAGGCTTTTGGCAGCAGGGCGCCGCTCGCCACACAAGCTGATGAGGCAGAGGGATATTTTAAAAAAGGTAGAAAACATCCAAGTTAAAAATAGTAAATATAACTATCAGCACATAAACAAGTTAAAATCAGATTTAAGAGTATAGTAAAGTTGGGGTAGTAAACGTTGAGTCTTACCGGTGAGAAGCAGCAGGGACAGACGACCTGTGAGATTCATGGCTCCAGTCAGAAAGGCAGAAACTGAATCTGCTGCTCCTATAAGAGGCGATAGAACAACAGAGATAAGGCGGAAAGTGGAGGGTAGCAGCTGAAATTGAAGGTTTCTGTCTGAGCGTCGAGAGTTTGCCTCATCCTATTTAAGGCTTTGAAATACAAAAGCAAGAACTGTTTATGAAAAAACAACCAGTTAGAATAGAAAGAGGAGAAAATGAGCAAACCTAATTATGTTTTACAAAATACCTGAAATGTGACTTTTTAAGTTTTCTTTTAAAGTATGATACCAAAAAAGGAAAACAAAGAAATACTTATATCTCATATTAACTTACTGTACCATCACACCATCCTAATGTATCTCATCATATCATATCATATGTCCTATTATAGCTTTGCACCCCTTGTATAATAATGCATCATCATTTCCTATAAGACAGAGTGCTTAGAAAGTTATTCACCATATAATACAGTTTTTATGGATCATATCATCAGTATTTATCACATTGCATCCATACATGATATATGATATTGTACAGCACAGTGTTTTATCATATAGTGTAGTGTGTTGTATTCTAGCAAATCTAATTCTATGATATGGTAGCGAGTTATAAGACAGTATCATACCGTTTTATCCTGCCATATCACCATAAAATGTCATATTGTATCTTATATAATTTTTTATTGTTTTATCATTTATATCATTTTTTAAATCATATTGCATCATTTATCATAGACAGTACAGTATGGTGTGGATATCATACAACTGTACGTTATATTCATGTTGTATCATGTGATATTTTTAAATGTCATATTAGATTTTGGTCTGAATGATAATTTATTCGTTTTCTCAGTCTTTAGCGGTGCTGCTTGTCATCTCTCTGCTAGACTTGGTGCATCAAATTTTGTTTGAAAGCTATAAAATACAAAAAAATAGACTGATGTTTGAAAACTTTTAATCCTCAGTCAAGTTAAAGTTTTAAATCTTTTAAATCACATTATTTGATTACAATTTCATTACTTTCTACAGACAAAAAGGAAAGTTGTGACTTCAGTCTGATCTCCTATTGTCGCCTCATTTACACCAAACAGACAGGTTCTACCATATTAATCTGCTCAAATATACTTTAAATTTCCCTGATGAAATACGTTTAAATGCTGTTTCCTTTGCTGTGAACTCGGTTGTTTTTGCTTGTGGATAGACTTTGCATTTTAAATCAGTTACAACACAACACACAGCTGTGCAAATAACCTGCCAGAGTTCCCACGACTTTCCCTCCGCTCACGTCTAAGGGCGGGTGAATGGCGCTGAAATTAAACTCGGATCATCACACTTGTCCCAATTAATGTCCATTTAGATATTTATGGGAAAATCATTAGTTTATGCTTTTATGTACATTTACAGAATATGTTTGTTTGGTGTTTGTGTGCATGTATGTGTGAGTGATACATGTTTGTGTGCATACCTGTTGCATAAGTTGACCTATAGGGTTAGAGATAGCACGACTTGTGGCAATTGGCCAGAAAAAGGTCACCTGTTGAGGTCAGTGGTCAATAAAACCCTTCAGCTTTACGCCTGACACCAGCGCCTTCACCATGCGTCTCACCTTTTCCCTCCTCATCCTCTTCATCAGCCTCCCAGCATGTGAGTACTCATCAAACCGCCTCCTGGTTGAGGATAACTGAGGGTTTTCCTCATCTGATCTTGATTTCATGTGATGTTGGGTTGTGTTTCACAGTGCTGGGTAACCGAGCTGTGTGGCAGTTCAGGTCCATGATCCTCTGCACTGTACCTGACAGCTGGCCCATTCTGGATTACGCTGACTACGGCTGCTACTGTGGGTTAGGAGGATCAGGCACACCTGTGGATGAGCTGGACAGGTAACATCTTTAGTGAATCAAAGATGGGTCAATAGGGTTTAATCGGTTCCTTTAAATAACTGAAACTGTCACTTTTCACAAAAGGGAAAGGACCCAAAATGCAAACAAAAAAGGGATTTATTTTATAAAGAACCAAAGGAAAAGCAACAAAAACTTCCTTTAAAATGTCCAACCAAAAAAATCCAACTAAAGCCACTGAGGACACAAGCATACGCACACAAATCGACATACAAGGACCCAACAAGGACAGAGGGGAAGACAGGGACTTTATACACACTGGAAAACGAGCAACAGGTGAGGCAGACGAGACACAGGTGAAACTTATATGTGATTAACGAAGGAGGGAAAACTAGACTACAAACACAAGGAATCAACTACTACAAAATAAAACAGGAAACACTGAAAACTGATTTAAAGAATAAAACACAGAGAGCAGGAGGGAAACAGGAAGGAGGGAAACAGGATCAAAACACAAACTGAAATCTCACAAGACAGGACAACAGGGGAACAGAAACACAAGGGAAAATACACAAAATGCACTCAAATTAAATAAACAGAACATATCATGACAGAAACTGCTTTAAAAGTTTAAATATTTTATTGTCCGTTCATAAAAAATCTTCTTTTTTAAAAAACAGCTGATCAGGATACTTTCAAAAGGCGTCCCACAGGGCTCTGTGCCGGGTCCTTTCACGATTTACACTCAAAATAGATTGGAGGTGTCAGCGATTATTATCTAACACTGTTTCCTTTGTCCTGCTGTTCATGCAGATGCTGTTACATCCACGATAAGTGTTACACCGAGGCCAAGCAGCACGATGACTGCTGGCCGATCTTTGACAACCCGTACACTGAATCCTACAGCTACAGGTGTGACAAGGCCAGCAAGACCATCACCTGCATGAGTGAGTGTCCAAAGAAGCTCCCAAACACTGCAGCCCTAAACTATTATCATTATCACTACTTTAATCTCTGTTCTGCTTTCGTCCTTTTAGGTCACAACGATCCCTGTGAGAGTTTCATCTGCGAGTGTGACAGGCAGGCGGCCATGTGCTTCGCAGAGGCTGGTTACAACGAAGAAAACGCTCATCTACCCGGTCGCTTCTGCAGATGAGCTGAAGATGAAACGTCATTGTCATCACAGTTAATGTTTTATTGTCAAGTAAAAGACTTTTTAAAAACATCTGTGGTGTCCCAGGTGGGGCACTGATTTATCCAGGGTTGATATAAAGTCTGTGTGCACAATTAAAAACACATGAATATATATTATTTACAACTCACTCTGTCTCCACTGATCATATGACTTGTACAAAACAAGATTAGGGCCACAGTAATGAGGAAAAAGGGAAAGATTTCATGAATAAAGTAAGTAAATAAGGCTTAAAGTTACAGGAATCAAGTTGAAAGTTATACATTAATGAGGATTAAGTCATACTTGGGACAATAGAGTCGTAGTTTCATGGGATACAAGTCTTAATAACAGACTCGGTTTCTTACATAATCACAATACTGTGGCGCTGATCTGCTAACAGACTGAGTATTCAGGTATTTATGACATCTATATTGAAGTATACTCAGAAGCTGCTTCACCTTCCTTATTGTAGTTTAAAGCTGCAGGCTGTTCTTATGATCTGTCCTTTCAAAATAAGATACAGCTAATAGACTAAAAGACTCAATATAGACCCTTAGACTTTGTGAAATATTGATAAACAGTCTGTGTATAGATCATAGGCTCAAATACTCACTTTATTACCATTAATGTACAACTTTATTTAATAGATCATCACTGTGCTTTCATTGCTGACATTAAAGAAAACAAAAATATGAATGTTGCATGTTTTATTTATTTATTCAAGAGTCACAATTTCAATAATTAAACTTCTTTACCAACTTTGATACTGAATTATAGATTATAAATGTCTTAAATGTATTTAAATGTCTGATTTCTTTCTTTCAAACCTGTCAAATAAAATGAAAATGATCCAAATACTTTTCTACAGTTTTGAGAACCAACAAAAGAAAATGGACAAAGCCACTATTAGTTTGTTGTAACTCTGATAAATGAATAGATTTTTTTATTTTGATTAGCGAGGTAAAAAGCCAATCATATTCCAGGGGTGGCCGGTCAGATTTAAAGGGCCCATGCCACCCTTGACCACCTCTCCTGAAGCGCCCCTGTGCAAAAGCATCTCTGTATCAGTAACTTTAACTAAAATGTACTTGAGTTGATATAAAAAGTCGTCTTCTCCTTTCCTTCAGTTTAAATTTGACCTGTTTTAACAAACACATGTTCGGACCTGTTCCTGTCAGTGACGCTCAGCGGCTCTGTTGGATCTCTCACAGCTCCTCACACTGATCTCTCACAGATGTATCTGTACTGCAGGCCGCAGTCCGCGTCGTTCCACCGCTTGCGTTTACGTGTCAGGGAGGCGTGAAGCTGCCCGCAGTCCTCTCCGTTCTCCCTGAAGTCCCAGTTGTCGGGCTGACCCTCATCCCAGAAACTGAACACATACAGAGAGAGAATTCATCAGTCTGTGTTCACATTAGTTTATGATCTTGTTGCCTTAATCTGTCTTACGCTTGTGTTGAATTAAAGAAGGTTCCATCCACCCAGGTCCAGTGGTCCTCTTCTCTCTCCACGAGTCCGATCCAGTAGTTGAACCTGAGCTCAACTATCTGGGAAATGTAGTCCTAAGAATAAACAACACCATCAGTGCTTTTCTCTGTATTTTTCTCTTTGTATTGGTTCTTCATACAGAGCCTATCAAACTTTAAAATAAGTGTCGCTGGTGCAAACTTAAAGCTCACCAGCTCCTCCATGCTGTTCAGGACCAACAGGTGCCCCCCGTGTGTCCGGCACTGCTGATCTGCTTGGTGCCAGACAAGACCTGAGGTGGAGAGCAGGTAGCAGCTTCTCTGATAGGACGACCATCCCTCCCTGCACAATCCTGATTGGATTACGATTAAGAAAAGGTGAATTATTCTGCTGGGAGGAAACACAAACTCTTGATTTTGAGAGGATTGATTGTTGAGTTTTTCACCTTTCACTGGCGCAACTGACTTTAAAGGAACGTCCTGCACTATTGGGCCTTGGAACGATAAGAAAGAGAAGCTGCATGAATAAAATGAAGTGGAGAGCTACATCTGTATATCCAGATGTGAAAACCCATAAACTGACTTGAATGTGAGCCTGAGGTGGATCCTGCCTTGTTGATACTCTGGAGCTGAAGCTTCACATCACTGATGTCCTTGTTTAGCTGTGAGACTTTCACACACACATACAAATATATATTTATTAAAAGACAAAGAGTGTAACTTCTAATATATATGTAAACTGGAGTGTTAAAAGTACATTTTATCCCAGTAACCATCAGCAGAATCAACAGCAGCAGCACCAGGACTCCATAAAGGAAATAAGCCACCACACTCTTCAAGCCTGTAAATATAACATTCAGTTTAATTTGATATTAAAGTCGAGTCAAAATAAAGTCCGGTGTGTGTTTTACCTTTTGGTGCAGGCATGCTGTGCTCTCTCTCGTACACAGGGGTGCTGTCAGACGACCTAAACTGCCGGTATTCAGTTTCCATCACTGACATCAAACTGAGTCTTTAAACAGATTTAAGTTTATTTTAGACTTTTCATGCATTGATAGGGAAGAATACTTTTAACTGTGCAGCTGTCTTTTGCAGTTTAAAATAAGAAAAAATCGTCAAGTCTTTGTCAGCGTGTTTGGGTCATTGGAGTCAATCTGAGATCTCAGAGTGCATCGACAAATCAGTGGAAGTACAGATCCTCATGTTTGTTTTCAAGCCAAATATGTTAACTATTAACAGCTCCATATATACCGGACAACTATGACCCCATAAACTGTACAATATAGATGTTATATTTCTAAATTTACTCAACAAATCTATCAAAATAGCCCATAATATTGATGATATTTTAACGTTATGCTGTATAATACTGAAGAAACTCAGAGTAAGATCTCTGGTGTCATTTTGATACAAGTATTAATTCATCTATCTACACATTAATACACATCTTAAATGACGATTATACACAGGTTTATAATAGTCAAGAGCAGCTAATGCATTTAACAATATGAAGTTTTCATCCCTCACCTTCATCAGCCGGATTATCTCTGAATTTCTCTGGTTGGACTCTGACCATGTCATCACAGAAAGTCCTCCCCTTTAAAGAGAAACACATTTTTTGTTGTTTTAATTTAACTTTTACTCAGATATTATTTATCAACTGCAACATTTGCATTTTGGCCCCATGTAAATCTGGAATTTTAACAATACTTATTGTTTGTTAAAATTACGGATTTTTCTTAATTAAATTATAACGCAAAACTTAACATGTCTCATTTTTTTTTGACAGATACAGGTCTATCTCCGGGGGTCCTCAGGACTCCAGCAGCCATTTAAGGCTGAGTTTAGGGATCAGGGCAGAGGGAGGAGAGGGGTTAGAGGGGATATTTTGTTAGTTTTGACCTGTTTAGGTTATTAGTTATAGTATATAACTCATATCATAGTACATAAGTTACTTGTATTGTGTTTGTTACTTGTACATATTACAAATAATGTTGTAAATATGTTTTAAAGTAAAGGCCATTTCACTGGTGAGAGAGGAGACTTGAGGTAGAGAGGCCAGGCCAGGCCTGCCTGCCTATCTATCTATCTATCTATCTATCTATCTATCTATCTATCTATCTATCTATCTATCTATCTATCTATCTATCTATCTATCTATCTATCTATCTATCTATCTATCTATCTATCTATCTATCTATCTATCTATCTACCCTGTAGCTCACCGTTTGTCCGCTTGGTGGCACTGTAGCTTAAGCTCTTGTTTGCCCACGTGACTCCTCCTGTACAAATCTCTTCCGGTCGCTGCTGTGTCTCTCAGAAAGGAAAATGGCGGCTCTCGGACGGCTCACTCAGGCGCTGCTTCGGTCTTCTTTGACCCAAAACAGGCGTCAGCTCTCGGCTGCTGCTGCTGGACACGGCGAACAAGCAGGTAATAAACTTTGTTATTTTCGTTCACAGGGTTTGATTTGTGTCAATTATCGTTAGAACAGCGTGGTAAACGGTGAGACTGTGACCTTGTTGAGCTGGACATCCTTGAGAGGAGAAGACGGTGAAGATTCAAACACACCAGCTTTAAAAAACTGTAGATTGTATCAGTGAGTTTAGGCTGTTATACACTTAACTAAACATTAGATAGATAGTTTTCTGTCTTTTGCTGAGTTTTAAAGTGTCACAGCGAGGAGGAGAGGGTCACTTCAGGTCAGTAAACTTGAGCTCAGAGTTTCACCTGAAGGATTATACTTACGTTTTTTTCAGGTAATATTAAACTATCCTTTTAACTAGTACGGTTTACATGTAAAAATGAAATACTGGAGTACAGGAAACCCTCCATTACATCTCTGAAAGCAGAAACTTCAACTTAATTGACATTTGCATAGGGTCCCAGCCACAGTACTACCTACTCTCTTCCAACAGCCGCTTGTTTGTAGAGAGACCTCAGGCCAGTCCATTAAGGACTACAGCGGGGTAACGCAGCTCAAGGAAGAACATTTATGATAATTTCTTGGACTGGTCTGAAGTCTTGCTACAAACAAATGGCTGCTAGAAGAGAGTAGGTGAGTTGTGTTCAGTCTCTTTGTTAAAGAAATCAGGAAAAGCTAAATAAAATTTTGGTGGCTGGGACCCTATATGTCCTGTTGATGAAGTTAGGTGCTGCTCTGAGCATTATTTTGGTTGAGGTTTGTTTATGGCTCCTCAGACTGCTGTCTATTGCTATGGTGCGGCTGTTACTAAGGTTGGTAAACTAGAGAAGCAAGCAGTCGGCATCATTCATCTCTCAAGGGGGTGTCTAACTCAGTGTTTGACCCTTAATTTTACGCCAGAATATCCCTTTTTAATGAGATTTGCTCTCAGATAAACACCACCCGGTCAGAACATCTGGACAACCTAAAGTGATGGAATCCACCTTTTTATATGATAGAAAAACTGGATTTTTACAGCAATATGTGGCAAACAGACTCTAAATTGAAATGCCCCACTACTCACCCCTTTCAGTGAAGCAATGGTGGCCTTTAAGGACAAGAAGCTCCTATTACAAGAGGTGGTGATTATGTTCATTAACATGTTAGATGCAGATCAGTAATGTTACCCGGTTCAATTAAGTATCCACAAAACTGGAGTGCATGATTAATGTCATTGATGATAAAGGCTGAGGCTGTTGAAACTGTTAGGAGTGCAGTATGATTTTTTAAAACTGAGTATCAGACTAATGACACAGAGCTGTGTTGTTACTTTATCCCAACGCTACAGAGAGGTGTAATGATCCTTCAGTTGGATATCACCTATGTGTAGAGTGCTGTACATTCTGTTCTATCAAAGCACTCTCAAATAAACCCTAGTATAATATGACCTCAGTACAAACACCTGACTAAGATCCCTGAGCAGCACATCTACAGAGTTTTAATAAATGTTTTTTGTTTCTTATTAAACTTTTGTTCTCATTAATTCCCCCATTTGTTCCTTTGCTAATTAATCCACTAGAAAAAAACAAAGTTGCTGGTGTAACTAGGATTTTTATCCCAAGCACAAATTAAATCATACAAATACAACAAACAGCCTTTAATTAACCCTTAATTTATGTTAACACAAAGTTGGTTAGAGGCACTTTCACAGCCCCACGACACTTTGACAAACACAAATACACTGTTGTAAGTCAGGTAAACGTGCGTAATATGAGAAAAGCAATAGCTTAAGATCTTTTAAACATTAATTTTGAATAATTGCAAACGTATATGCGGGTTTCATTCAGCTCTTGTGTTATCATTGGCTGTTTGCTAAAAGAGCTGACAAGAGATGATATGAAACGATAAAATAATGATGCATTTCTCACAGAGATGTTTGGTTCAAAGATTTGATGTTTTTGTCCTGAGTTGTGTGTCGTACTGTCATTGAGAAATTAAATCTCTAGGTTTTGTTGAGTCTGATTATGTCTTTTTTTGTGAAGCTCATCATGAATATGTTTCTGTTCCAGCAAAAACATGGAAGATCCTCAGCTTCGTGGTTGCCCTCCCTGGTGTGGCTGTGTGCATGTTGAACATGTACCTGAAGGAACAGAGTCACACCCATGAGCAGCCAGAGTTCGTCCCTTATTCTCACCTTCGCATTCGCAGCAAGGTCTGACTCTTAAATCACCTCTCTGTTTTGTAAAATACTGTGTAAATCTGTATTTTCTAAATTATGATTTGTTTTCCTCTCTCAGCGTTTCCCTTGGGGAGATGGCTCCAAAAGTCTTTTCCACAACCCACATGTGAACGCCCTCCCTGATGGCTATGAGGGTCACGACGAATGAACCCCCTTCCTCCAGACCTCAACACTTGAACAGGGACCAGTTCTCCTTCAGCATCTGTTACTGGACCACACTCCCATTTACAGTTTACCTTTATTATTTTATTCCACGTTTACCTCTGTGCTCTCTACATGAGGCACCTGAACAAACCGTTCCGTTACTCTGGACCATTAAACAAAACCTCTGAGACTGAGTCAACATTAATAAAGTAAACTATTATTACCTTGATACTCGTCTGCTCTGGTTGTTGTTGTGTAACTGTTTTTTCACCTTCAAATGAGAGAGATTTTCCCAGAAACATTGATTAGAGGTGCAGGAATAAATCTAGAAAAGGTCTTTTTATTCAGTTGCTGCTTTCACTCATTATTTACAGGGTTTACTCTAACAGTACGGGTATTGTTAATGTTTTTAATAAGTGATCTTTGAACTGTGGCAAGTCAGAATATAATCTGTGAAAAGTCTCTGAAATAGAGGGTTACTTAAGATTTATTAGATTGAGTAATCTTAATTTCTGCATGATGTAGTTGATATTTACAGACCCATGAGGAGCTTTGGTACAGGTGTATTCCTGATCAAACCTCTCCAGTGGGTGTAGGATTGGTCTAAGAAGGGGGACACTTAGGGATGGGAGATATAGGAAAAAGTTTATCATGATATATTTTTTCATATCATTCGATACTGATATGTATCCCGATTTAAAAAATGAAATTTAACAGAGCTTATTGGTAGCATGTCTTCTGCAATACAACAAGCTACTGCATCTGTGAGGTCTTCGTGTCTCTTCAATGTTTTGCGCTAGAGAAAGTGGGCTGAATGGCTGTTTCAGCTGCACAGGTGCCACGGGCTCCTTGCTCTGCTCGGGGTTTGTAACCTTTTGCATTGTGCATGCTCTGCCGTGTGGCGCTGCTTCAGGTGGTGAAAAAGATTTGAGGTATTCCTCAACTTTGCAAGAACTTGTACTTGATATAACTTGCAGTACACATTACAGTCATAATGTTTTTTTCATTTTCTTTTTTCTCCCCCACATTGCTGTTGGTTTCACGTGTTAAAGTGCTATGGTTGCATGTAGCTGCTGTCTGCTACTACGCAGTTGTTTGCTACTTGGCTCTTATTCAGGACATGATTGGTTCAGCGCGAAGCAGACCTGGAGCAGCTCCTGTTTTCATTGGCTATTCGTACAGTCTACCAAAACATGGCAGAACGCCAACTATCGAATAGCATATTGACCATGTTTTGTATTGATATTGAGCAAAATCATTGTTGTTTACTTCTGCTTCATCCGGGTCAGGGTCGTAGGGGAAGCAGCTTCAGGAGGGAAGCCCAGACGGCCCTCACCCCAGCCACTTCCACCTGCTCCTCCGGGGGGATTCCCAGGCGCTCCCAGGACAGGCGAGAGATATAATCCCTCCACCTGGTCCTGGGCCGGCAACAAGGTCTCCTCCTGGTGGGACGTGTCTGAAACACCTGTAACAGGAGGCGTCCAGAAGGCATCCTAACCAGACACCCGAGCCACCTCAGCTGACTCCTCTCGACGTGGAGGCGCAGCGGTTCTACTCTGAGTGCCTCACCCTATCTCTGAGGCTGAGCCCGGCCACCCTGAGGAGGAATTGAGGGAAACTAATTTTTGATATATATCGTTATTGTTTTATCGCCCAGCCCTACAGACACTAAAAATAACCAACAACACACCCATGTTTTTGGTCTCTTTCTGTGGAAATGTGGAGGCAAAGGGATGGGAAATGAGGAAAATTCATTGGATTGGGATGAAGAGTCAAACACAAAGAAGTGAGCCGATTTCAGGATAGTTTATCTCACACTAATCCCTTTCTCATCATAACAAACATAATTAAAGTTGAATCAGGTTTGAAAAAAGCTCCAACATAAACATTCAGAGCACATGTTTTGACCCTAACAGGATAGATGTTCACATTTATCCGGATATGATCAATAATGGCGTTAGTTCAGTGCTCCTCTTCTCTGTGTTTTCGTCTGTTTTTGCAGGAAAATCACGTTTTATTTCATCTCCATGAAAAGTGGAGCAATGGTTAATAAGATCTGACATGACGCGCTAATCCAGTCACGTGACGCGCTCTTTGTTTCGGACTCCACCTCTGTCACATGAACGCGCTTTAAGCCGAATTAGAAAAGCCTGGGTTAACAAAGCTCGCTGAAATATTCCGCAATTTAACGGATTTTCTCCTCTCTGTTTTCGTCGCTTGGACAGGAAACGGCAGTGAGGTTAGTGTCGTAACTTACCGTCGCGTGGATTTTATCGGGGATAATTGCGTGTCCAGATCGTAGGTTACGATTTGATTAGTAAATCTAGCATTGAAACATCTCGGATATCTGCGCGCCACCGCTCCAACACTAAGGGGAGAGCAATCGATCGTCGAAGTTTGGATCCCAGTCAATGAACCTAGACAGAGGTATGGAGACGTCAAATAATCAATAATCACTAAGAGAAACACAAGAATTTAAATGCACATCTGATGTTTTATAACATGTTATTTTTAAAATAGATTTTCACATCATGAGGAAGAACGAGAGAGCTCACTTTTTCAGCTCTAAAGAGCAGGAGCTCATTTTAAAGTTGTATGAAGAAGAGAGAGAAATCCTGACAGCCAAATCCAACACGACCAGCGCCTCCAGACTGAGAGAAGAAGCCTGGCAGAGAATTGCTGATAAAATCAACACGTGAGAACACTTAAAGAAAAAAAACAATTTATAGTATAAAAAGTCCAATATCTGTGCTAAAATGTGCTTGTAATGTCATAACAAACGCTAAAAGAGTTTTGTTTTTCTTTACTATATCTGATTACTTAACTTTACTATACTTCTGTTTCAGGGTGTCAGACAGTGGCTACAAAAGGACGTGGCAGCAGGTGAAAGTCAAACACAAAAATATTGTCCAAACAGGTAACTGTATTTAATTAAAGGGATATTCCGGCGTAAAATTAATTTAGAGTCAAACAACTGTACTCCAAGTTAGACACCCCCTCCAGAGATGAATGTTGCAGACCGCTTACTTCTCTAGTTATACCAACTTTAGCAACGACCGCAGGATAGTAATACACAAACCTCGCCATAAACAAACCTCAACCAAAACGCCGCTCTATAGCCACAAATAATGCTAAGAACAGTACCTAACTTCATCAACAGGACACATCAACAGTGTTGCTATCATGCGGTTGTTACTAAAGTTGGTATAACTAGAGAAGCAAGCGGTCGGAAACATTCATCTCTGGAGGGGGTGTCTAACTCGGTGGTACAGTGTGTTTGCCCCTTAATTAATTTTAGGCCAGAATATCTCTTTAAATCAGTGATATTATTGAACCTTTGTTTGACAGTAGCAGCACTTTCACCTCTTACATGTCTCCTCTGCAGCGAAAAGAAGACGGCTGGAGGTGATGAGGTTGAAGAATGAGACCGGGTCAGCCACCCCGTCTCTGACCTCTGCAGAGGAAGACGTACTTTTGCACAAAGACAACAGACTGAGAGACGACATCCTCCCTGTAGGGGCCTGTATCGAACCCCTGAGTGAATCTGAAAGTTCATTCATCAGTGGTGGGTTTATTTAACTTCTGCTCCACACCAGTTTCTTTTCATGTTCCTGCTCAGTTTTTAAACAGTTTGTATCTTTTTTTGTTGTTTGTTTAAATGTAATTATCAAGATTGCGTTTCTCAATTCTCAGGCCATCCTGTCCTCCTCCTGCCTGTGCCAAAGACTGAACCAGAGAGCCTGAGCAGTGACGAGACAGACGTCAGTGACACACATGTTGAAGCGGTAAGTACTGTTAATGGTGACAAACTTTGTTAACGAAGTGCTTTTCTTTAATCAAAAAAGGTTGGGCATGCACTACAAAATTCAGATCAGCTTTCAGCTCAAGTATAGCATATTATCAGGTAAATGATAAGATAAAGTTTACAAGATTATGGTGATATGTTGGACTTCAGTGCTACATGTACAAAAGTGTCAAATTACACTTGCATGTCAGCGCATTTTCAGAAAGTATCAGGACAGCCTGCAGGAGTTGGACCTTGTTTGACAGGATGAGTGAGGTCTAAGAGGCAGGACAAAATGTAGAAAAGTTCAAATTTAGAGTTAAATATAAGCTGAGGGTTTTTGGATCAGTTAAAGAGGACTTTTTTCTTTAACTATTTTACATGTCTGTTCCATTTGCTTCATAGGACGTTCAGTGCAGCAGCTTCCAGGATCAAGTAAACCCAACGTGTGCGACAACCGACGGCAGAAGTGCAGGGGTGAGTCTTAATTCCTGATTAAAGCTCTGATTCATAAAAGAGATTAAGATCGATTCAAACACATTTGACTTTGATTTCTTTCACAGAGGCAGAAAGAGGATGTACGGGCGCTTTACTGCAGCTACCTCAGAAAGGAGATGGAGAACCGAGACCAGCAGATGGCTTTCAGAGCGCTCAAAATGAAGAAGTTGGAGAAAGAAATCTTACTCCTGGATAAACAGCTGATGTGACTGTATGAATAAATGCCTTTTTTATCTTACTGTTATCAGTTCAAGCACTTCATGAAGTATTGATCTATCAGCTCTTATCATTGGAGGGGAGGATGAAACACACATTCAAAAGCACACTTAGTATCTTCAATCCCATACTTCTGCATCGGGTTAAACACTGAACCTGAATCACCTCTGTAGGGTTAGCTGCTGGGGTTTGAAATGTTGTCGTGAATGTAGCACTGACGTAGAGGGCTCAGAGTTTGTGAAAGTACAGATGCAGAAAAGGAGAACAGGCAGTACCTCAGAGAACAATCACTGAGGTAGAAAACATTTTTTTAAAGAAGTAAAACACTAACAGAAAAGATGTGGGAGGATTTCATTGTCTGGGTTTCCAGTTATTCTTTGTAGAAGTCAGATAAACTGTGATTAAACTTAGTATTCAGACACGTTACGTCCTTTAGACTCATGCGAGAGTGATTGGCATTTTAGGGATGATCCACAGATTTGCAGCAGCTGCGTTGCTGTTTTACAGTTTACTACTTTGCAGCTGCACACATGCAACCGTCTCCATGCAAATTCTCTGCATTGTTACCCTCAGGCAGAACAGTCTAAGAGGCTTCACTTCAGCACCTATAGGTCTTTCCGGTCTCATCATCGTCCTGGTAAAAGCATGAAGTTCACTGAAGGTTCAGGATAGGTGCTTCTGTGCACTAAAAGAGTATATAACACATGACTTGAAGCACACTGGGAAACTCTGGTCTGTGTTTGCTGCGATTAAATGAAGGAAACAATTGATGTATTTAATAAGAGGTTAAAAGGTCAGTTTCACCCATAAAGATAAGTGTTGTACAGACTGTTGCCCTTTTAAAGATAATCCCAGAAGCATAGTGAATAAACAGACGGTTTTCCAAACTGAAAGGCACGTATTTCATATTAAAGGGATATTCTGGCGTAAAATTGGTTTAGGTGCTGTTCTGAGCATTATTTGTGGCTATAGAGTGGCGTTGGTTGAGATTTGTTTATGGCTCCTCAGACCGCTGTGTATTACTATCCTGCGATCATTAATTAAGTTGGTATAACTAGAGAAGCAAGCGGTCAGCAACATTTATCTCTTGAGGGGTTGTCGAACTCAGTGTTACGGTCTGTTTGACCCTAAATTAACTTTATGTCGGAGTATCCCTTTAAGTGACTCTTGAACCTCATTGCTCTGATTTCATGTGCTGCAGAAGGTCTTCGTGTCCCTTAAAATGCCAAAAGAAAATGTCATTTGTTCACATTCATTTCTTTATGTATTAGTAAAAACGGAATTTAGTTTGTTATCACTTCTTTTTCTTATTTAGTTCTCGTCTTTATTTCATACTTTGTTGTATTTTCATGTGTGAAGTCCATGTCAGTCCATAGTCCAGTCTGTGTAGAAACTTATTTATTCTCAGTTTAATTTATCATTTTTGAACATTAGAGTTTATTAATTTTACTTTTTTAATTAAAAAAATCTTGTTCAAACTCTGTAAGATTGGATCTCTTCGTGTTTCTTTGTGTCGGTTTTAAAGTCCCCCCCTACGGCAGCTGCAGGTCCGGATCCTCTCAAGGTTCTGGACTTCATCCACAGATTTGCAGCTCGTGCACGGCGGTCACAGACAAGTCAAAATGGCGGACTGGTTACGACTTAAGAGGATCATAATCGTCCCTCCAACTATTACGGCTGAACCAAGAATGATACTAAAGACCTGTTTTCTGAGTATCCGTGATTTCCTCGCAGGATTTCCCTCTGGACCGACTGGTTCTGGTTCGGTCTAGCTTTAATCCTGCTATTGGTTGAAAGGGCTGTGCGCGTTCACGGTCTGCCCCTGAAGGCAGCATCAGTCGAGCGCTGATAAAATGATTCACACGTCTTTTAACATTATTTTCCACCAAATTCATCCATTATTCTTACATTGAAATTCATGTTAAAATAAACTGATCATCTGATAATCACAATTAAAAATAAAAACAACTGACATCTAAATTGCTCACGGTTATATCCGCAAGAGAATCGTCCTAAAAATTAAAACAGTTTGATCAGAAACAAATTTGTTCCCATTTGATATAATAAATCAGTTATTTCTCCTGTATTTTTGTTTGAATCTCGCCTTAACCTTGAAGTTGCTTTAATACAGTTTCCTGAAGTTTTTACAGACAGCCTAATGAAAGCAGCAGCTCAGTTCAGAAGTTTCAGAAAAGCTTTTTTAAGCCTGAAGCCAATTCATTTGGTCATGGGCTAAAAATACTCATGTTGTTATGACTGTCCAGTGTCACAGATATTTTTTCACATCTTAGTGGTAAAATAAGGAACTTTAGTTAAATATTGCAGCTATAGCAGCAATAAGAGGTATCAAATAGGTTATATTCAGGCATATTTTCTTTAACTAAGTGTTTAAATTTAAGCAGCAGTATTTATGTGAAGTTATTTTGGTCCAATAGATGAACTGAACTTTTTTTCATCTTTAAGACGGTCTCTGCACACTGAAGTCAGGGCTGGCTGTGCAGAGAAGTTTGTTATTATGAGTCTAAAATCATTAATGTGGACAGCAAAAGGCCTGCAGATGCACCAAGCAAATTTTTCTTGAGATCAGATGTAATACTGATAAAAAAAAGAAAACGTATTATGAATATTTTGAATCGAACTGCCTTAAAATAAGATTTATGTTCTGGTCTGTCAATGTAGCACAAATTAAGTATAATAAGATATTTTGTTGGAAATTAGACATGATCAGGAGGTAAGATTTGAGTTTTTGCATTATCATTATTAATGACAAATAATAATAATAATAATAATAATAATAATAACAACAACAACAACAACAACAACAACAACAACAACAATAATAATAATATTAAAAATAATAATAAATGTTATTATTATTTGAAATAATAATGTGTTTATTAAAAAATATTATTATTATTATTATTATTATTATTATTATTGTTGTTGTTGTTGTTGTCATTATAAAATAATATTTTATAAAAATTATAAAAACATTATTATCATCATTATTATTTTATTTGTCATTATTATTATTATTATTATTATTATTATTATTACTTTATTATCATATAATTTTGCTTAGTCACGAATGGAGTATGAAATGTTTCTGATTCTAAAAGCTTCTCAAAAGTCCAATTGAACAACACAAAAACCTTCTCAGCCACAGTAACGTGAGTAAATATAATTTATTTCAACTCTTGAACATGTCAGGAACACAATATTGAGGTTAAACGTTGAAAACATGTTTGAGCTTCAAGTTTAAATTCTGCCCATTTTTAAATAATATTATTTTACCCCTAAGTTTCTGAGTATTTCCCCTCATCTGTAATGTTTTGGTTCTTTCGCGGTTATGAATGGAGCAGAGGTTTGTCCCTGCGCGCTCGCCGTACGTTCACATGACTCCCCCTGCGTGTGACCCGCATTCCTCAGGTGGCAGCAGCAGAAACAGCAGAAACAGCAGCTCCTCATTGAGACTGACTGTTTTTTTTACAGGAAAATAAACAGAGAAACAAAAAAACTCTCTTCACCGCGGCGCTCATGTCACTTCACTTCAGTTTTTGTCCTTTTCTCTGAACGCCGGACTCTCTGAGGTGTTTCGGAGGATTTTGTTACCTAACATTTCCTCGGAGGCGCTGCTCAAACATCCTCTTTTACTGCTTTTTTTCTCCAGCATCTTAATCCTGTGAAATCGGACATACATGGGCACAAAGTTAACCGATGACTGAGGAACATTTGGCTTTTTCTGGGCAGCAGTTTGTCGGTGATGGCTGAACTGATGCCGTCGGACTCCAGAAGGTGAGACCAAAACAGAGATAAAAGTCAGGTTTTTAAGACTGAAATCAGGTTTACTGGAGAGAGAGCTAAAGACACAGCCTGAGTGAAAACCAACACTCTGATCCCTCCATATGCAATTTGAGTTAATACCTCCAACAGCCCATAATAAGCTTGAATTAAACTCATTATACTGGAGAAAACTCGATTTAGAGAGGAGCCTGCTGCAAAAACACAAGTTTTACTGACATTCAGAGAGTCATTCGAAGAGTTATTTATCATTATTTCTAAGTATCTATTATAGATCTGAGTCCACATTTTATTGCATCTAGTAAGAATAAAAAAACTATCCCTATGTTGGACCAATAACACAAAAGCTTTAAAAAAATGTATGTATTCCTGTCTAGTGTTTTTCAAAGTAAAGTAAAAGGCAGAAAAGCTCTCCTTTTTCAAGGTTCGAGATTTGTTTATTTGTCATGTGCATGTTAAACAAGAGTGACAGTGCAATGAAACGCCCTGGATGAGAGGATAAAACACACAATAAGTACTGAAAGGAATACAATAAAATAAGGATACAAAAATATTTAAGCCGAATAAAAGTATAAGAGAAATATTTACAAAGTTTACAAATGCAGTAGGTTCTGAGTGTGAATGCATGAAATGGAGGATAAGTCGGGGGGATAGATATGAAAATTGTCATATTGCACATGATAAATGATGGTGAAAGAGTTGCTGTATTGCACATGGTATTAGATGGTATTCAGGCCTTTTGCTGTTAAAAAAAAAAGTGGTGCATCAAAACAAAAGTGTTTTTATTCTGCGGGGGAATTCAGTCACGTTAATCTGACGCCAGTATCAGCTGCTGTCTCTGCTGTAAAATCCTTAAATTTAGATGTTTCTTTGTGTGTTTTCTCGCAGGTGTACTTATTTCTTCCTCTACGATGGATCAAAGGTCAAAGGTGAAGGCGACCCGACAAGACAGGGAATCTGCTACTTCTACCCTGAAGAGGTCTGACCCTCAGATTATGCCGTATCACAGATTGACTTGAGCGTGTTTTCATGGGTGTCTGTGTTCCTGTCAGACCTCCTTAGATAAGCAGGAGCTGCTCTGCGGTCAGCTGGCTGGCGTGGGCCGCTGCGTCTCTGAGCTGTCCTTCTCTCCGGTCCGGATACTGAGGCTGCGCCGCAACAAGTTTGCGATACGCATGAAGGATGACTTCTTCTGGGTGAGTGGGCTCAGATTTGTGTTTACTTCAGAGTATTTTCCTCCCCTGAGTTTACCAAAGTTATTTCAGGGTTGTGTTGTTTTTGTTTAATCTCTCAGGCTCTCGGCTGCTCAGTGGAAGTCCCCACCGTGAGTGTGTGTGAGCTCCTGGATCAGCTCATAAACCTCTTTTGTTTCTACAACGGATCTGTCAGACGGAGCTACCAGGTGCAGAGTTGTTGTTGTTGTGTAACAGTCATGCACTTCAGACTTTTTGAGGTCTGAGTTTCGTTTTTAAGAGAACATAATTTCAGGTGTTTTTTCACATCTTTGTTTTGCGCTGCAGCTCAACAGCAGGGGGGCTTTGGCCGCTCGATGGGCGCAGTACCTCTCACACCTGCAGTCCGGATGCTCAGAGCTTCACTATATCTTCAGCTGCTTGAAGACTCTGGACTCGACTAATGTGAGCACACAAACCGTTGACTTCTTCATTCAGCCTTTAGTGGATTTCAGCGCTGCTGCTTCAGATGTTTTCAGACAGGATATGACTGTTTCATAACGTCTCTGGTCTTGTGAAAGAGCACACGCTGTGAAGAGGCAGATTTAATCTTCGGTTCATTTGTAGCTGCTGGAAAGGTTAATTAAAAAATTATTCTGTTAATGCCTTTTCTGATCTCAGTAAAACACAAAGGGACGTGCAGAAATAAAACAGTTCACACAAAATGTAAAAACTTTATATTCACACAACCTCAAAAGGATTTTCATGCAGGACAGATTCTTTATTTATCTTGATTTATGAACTTTTTAAGTAATTAGTTTTTCTCTTCCGGACTCTCAGGTCGACCCGTTACTCCTGCTCAAAGCCGCCCTCATCCTGCAGGCCTGTCAGCGCTGCCCTCTAGTGTTGGCAGGCTGTATTCTCTTCAGAGGAAGGTGAGCTGATGTTTCAGTCATACTCCTCCTCCTCCTCCTCACAGCTCGACACTTTTAATGAACGGCAGGTTTTTATTTTTTAAAGCTGATTTTTTCTTCACAGAGTGGTGAGCACACAGATGAGTCCACAGCTCACCATGAAGGTCATGGTTCAGGAGAACGAGACGTACAACAAGGTAGGTAACGGGTGAGGGGGGGATAACAGGATGATGTCTGAAAGATCTACTCTGTCTCTACTTTCCTCCCTCCTTCTCTTCTTCCTTTTCTCCTTCTCCCCTCTCTCCTTTCCTCCATCCTTCCTTTCCTCCTTCTATCCTTCTCTCCTTTATTTCTTTCTTCCTTTTCTCCTTCTCTCCCTCCCTCCCTCCCTCTCTTTTTTCCTCCCTCTCACCTTTCCTCACTCCTTCTCTCCTTTCCTCCCTCCTTCTCTCCTTTCTTTTCGTCCTTCTCTCCTTTCCTCCCTCCTTCTCTCCTTCTTTCCTTTCCTTCTTCTCTCCTTTCGTCCTTCCTTCCTTTCCTCCTTCTATCCTTCTCTCCTTTATTTCTTCATTTCTTTCCTACTGCTCTCTCTTTCCTCTCCCTCTCCTTCCCTCCCTCCTTCTCTCTTTCCTGTCCTCTTTCCCTTCCTCCTTTCCTCCCTCCCTCTCTCCTTTCCTCCCTCTCTACTTTTCTCTCTCCTTCTCTCCTTTCCTCCCTCCTTCCTTTCCTGGCTCCTTCTCTCCTTCTTTTCTTTCCTCCTTTTCTCTTTTCCTCCCTCCTTTCTTTCCTCCTTCTATCCTTTTCTCCTTTATTTCTTCCTTCCTTTCCTACTGCTCTCCCTTCCTCCTTTTCGCCTTTCCTCCGTCTCTCCTTTCCTTGTCCTTCCTTTCCTCCTTCCCTCCCTCCTTCTCTCCTTCCTTTCCTCCTTCTATCCCTCTCTTTTTTCCTGTCTCTCCAAACAGATCAGAGAAACCAGAGTGATGAAAAGATGAAATGAAGACATGAAAAACGTATTTTTATTAAACTAATCTTTGTGGATTAATGAGCAGGAGGCCTTTAACGAGGGAAGTGAAGTGAATAAGAGCTAATGTATGAATGAAGTAATGAGGTATATATATATATATATATATATGTCTGTAAGTATAAGTTCAAAATGAAAACAGAAAAGAAGATAAAGAGCCCAGGAAGAGGAGTTACTGCGTATCCTGTTACTGATGATGGATCCAAAACAAAACAAAGTGATTTTGTTGCTGCTGCAGCAGCTCCAGGACAGAGTTATTGAATATCTTTGCAGCACGTCTCAGTGTTACGCTCTCTTACAATCACAGAAAGGTGAAGGAAAGTTGTTCAGCTTGCAGGACGGCCTGTTCTTGTTGTTTTTAGCTCTTTGTTCATGTCACAGAGGAGCTGGATTTGTCTTTCATGTTGTCATTTGAGCGTGAGCTTTGTCCTCTCTCTCTCTCTCTCTCTCTGTCTCTCTCTCTGTCTCTCTGTCTCTCTGTCTCTGTCTCTCTCTCTCTCTCTCTCTCTCTCTCTTGTTGGTTGACCTGATCGTCAGGTGGTAGACGTCATCATCTCTTTTAGCTTTTTACTGTAATTTTATCACCTGGTTCTGCTCAGTAAAAAACTTCTCAGTCACAGAAATGTGATTAAATGTCAGTTTTTATTTCCACTCATGGTCCTAAGAAGCTGTTTCCCTCTTGATTCAGGCGCAGAGGTTAAACGGCGAGAGAACCTCCAGCCCGTTTGGCGGCGACGTCTGCTACACGACGGTCTACCTGACCATGTCGGAGCTTCAGTTCCTGCAGTCGGTCCCTGCGGACAAAGACTTCAGGTAACCTCTCCTCTCATTAGTTCTTGTCTTACCGAAGCTTTTGTTCAATAACGTGTGAGAAAGTTCAAACTCGTCTTCTCCCCTCCAGCTCTCATTCAACGCCTCACAAAGACACGCCCCCAACGAGGACCCGCCTGTCCAGGACTTTGTCTGACATGTCCGAGTCCGAGAACTCAGACCCGGGTTGCTCCCAGTCTTACCTGAAGGTTTCGTTCAGCCCTCATTTGTCAGACTGCTCAGTTTTTAGTCCGTCTACGTCACAGAGCACCGGCGACCCCGCCAGCCCCCCGCCACAGCTGCTGGAGTCGTCTTTGTCCAATGGAAACCCGTCCGATGAAGCCGAGGAGCTGGAGGAGGAGGAGGAGGCGCTGGAAGTGTCATATTACCACAGTTTCAACAGCAACGAAGGCGGGGGCGGCCAGAAACATCAGGAAGGAGACAATTCGGTGTCTGAAGAAAGTCCACGATTAAATGGAGGCAGGGAGGATGGCGACGCAGCGGGTGGGGCGGCGTTTGACTTCAGAGGGGCTGAATGTGGACACGAAGGAGCCAGTCGAGGAGGGAGTCCTCAAGACCACAAAGCAGAGATGAGCGGACCTTCTCCTTCCTCGAGCTCTTTTGACAAATCAGAGGACAGCCCTCTGATTCCCATGATGCTCTACCTGCACCGGGTCAAAGGTCTGGTCCTGGCTCTGCTGGCGGAGCCTCACTTCCTGAGTGACAGCTCGTCTATGGAGGAAGTGGTGAGAACGATGTCTGTACCCGTGATTGTACGTGCTCATGAGTTTGTCTTTGAGATGTTAATGTGGATGTTGGTTTGTCTTCAGTATCACAGCAGTCTGGCGTCTCTGAACGGACTGGAGGCTCATCTGAGGAACGTGTCTCCGGTGGTTCCAGGAGCTCCAGGACCGTACGTCTTCGCCCATTTCGACTGTATTCAGAGCACACTGACAGGTGAGACTCATGCAGATCCGTTTATTCCTCATCTCAGGGATCTCACCTGTTTTCTCCCACCTTTTTAACCACAACAATACAGAGTATACCTCTATATATCATCATCAATATAAAACATTTCTTTTCCTTTTTCCAGCTGTATGTGTATTTTTACAAACATCCACAGATAATGTAGGAATAAATCAAAGAGAATAATCATCGCAAATAAACAAAGTCCACTCCGAAGTTCAGATTTATAGGTGCAGATTCTAGTCAGAGGCAGGATGACAGTATTTTGATCTGGACAGGAAGTTCTTACACCATTAACATAAACTGTTATTGCATCAATAAAGGGACCACAAGTTCCCATCTTTCATTAAAGGAGGCCCTCCGAAGCCTGAGTGAAACTGTGATCTGCTCTGTTTGATAAATATCCCAGACTTTTTGAATCCAGATATCGTTTGAGGGATGTTCTGATGGTTATAGACTCAATAATATGTTTTAAGATGTTTTTTTTTCTGACCTCCTGTTCAAACCTTCAGGTATTTCTCCCAGTATTTCCACCTTGAGGTCTTGTGGGATATTCATTTTAAAAACCTCCTTCAGGGCGTTGAAAACCTCCGTCCAAAACACACTTAATTTAGGACAATTTAGCTTTTTTCCCACGTTACTTTTATTTCTCCTCTCCTCTACGTTTCTCGTGTCTTAGTTCTGTACCTGTGATACTCAAAAGTCTGAATCTCTTCTGAAACTCATGAATCTCCTGTCCTCTTTCATATCTAGTATCTCATCCCTCCTTGCCTCTGCAGTCTTGTCTTTAATCGCTCTCACTTATCTCTGATAATTCTCTCTTTTCCAGCCTCTCATTTTTCACTTTTCCCCTAACGTGAGTATTTCCTGCTTCTCTGTTTCTCCCTTCTTCGTATTTATCTTTTCATGAGTTTAGACTAAAAGACTGTGGCCCAATCCCAAACCGCCCCCTACACACTCGGCCTTCGAGTGTCACTTGTAATGAGTGCATCTGAATTGAAACAGGAGGGTATAAACAAGATGGGCGGGTACGGGACGCCCTCCTCACTCCACCGGAAAACAGAAAGATGTATCGCCATAGCAACACAAAGATGCGTCCTGTGCGAAGAAGCGTTTATTTTCTTAGTAAACGGACATCATGTTCGGTTCTGAGCGGCACCAGCTGCCTCGTTTCTTCATCCTCCCAGTAAAATCATAAATCCAATAACTATTACAGCGACAGAAGCTGAATTATACCTCTGATTGTTAGTGATTCCACTCGTCTTTGAACCTCTTTACTATTTGACGTGTGCCTGACCAATCAAAACAAACGTCAGCACAGAGTAAGATTTCAGAGTTTCATTTGATCTTTCCAAAACACGTCTTTTGTGATTTTTTTTTGTCAGTAAGACAAAGGTGGACACATACGGAACTTAGATTTGTATGATTTAGGGCTGATTGATCCACTCACCCTCCTCACTCTGCGGTTTGGGACGGCCTCCAATATGGCCGAGCCTCTGCAGGGGCGTGCAAATGGAGGGAGAGTGTGTAGGGCGAGTGTTTAGGGGGCGGTTTGGGATTGGGACTTAGAGACTTCGACTTTCTTTATTTGTCAGTTCACAGAATAAAACAAAGCAGTAATTTCTCTCTGCGATGAAACGTCGCTGCTCGGCTTCCATATCACAGCATGATGGTGTTTTATTTAATATACATTAAAAAATAAAAACAGTAAAAACTAAAGGTAAAATAGCAGCATGGTGAGTGATATCGCACTTTCTGGAGGTAGAGTAATAGTGGAATAAAAACCAAATAAAGAAAAGTATATATAAATAGATATATGTTCTTATTTACAGATAATAAATAGTAAAAACAGGAACACAGTGCAGCAGGGTGTGAGTGGGAAGTTATATGTGGGGTCATTTGACATTTATGCATACGATATTTGTGTTGTTTATAGTGTAAATACTTGTAAATTATCTCTATATGTTTACTTATTTTATCTATTTATCTCTATATTTTTTACTTATTTTTACTTATTATATCTATTATTTATCTCCTCTTTTTACTGTATTTGCACTGGAGTAATTTCCCCCTGGGGATTATTGATTTAGCAGTCTGACAGTGAGGGGGAAGAAACTGTTTGTGAATTTTGGCTGTTCTGCAGCTCATTACTAAGCCTGGGGTCGGTGTTGTTGTTTTGTGCAGCAGGCGTGTCCGTCCAGGTAAACACGCCGCCGCCGGCCGCTGACGTACTGACTCTCTTACTGTTATTGTGTACCTCTGCAGCCAACCTGTCTGGTCGACCAGGGGGAGCCCCGGAGCGTCCCTTTGTGAGAGCCACATCACTGCTCCACTCGCATTTCTATAACACTGAAACTCTGCAGGAGGCTATTATCAGGTCGGTATGGCAGTGACATGATGGGTTGGGTGTGGGGAGGGGTCTTAACCTTTTCATGGCTCTGCAAGTAAAAGTTGGGGGTTGGGATTGTTTCTGTCATCTCTATCATCTCATTTCTGCAGAGTTAGTTTCTGTTTCTGTACGTGCACGGATCAAACTTCAACGTGTGTCATTTACTAAAAAAGAAGAAGAGCAGTCGTATCGTCTTATTTCTTCCTCACATCACTCGCTCTTCATCCTTTCACATGCGTCATTGTTCGACGTGCTTGAAATGTAAATGCGTGGGACATTTTCCCCGCAGGAGTGCTGGTGCTGCGGTGTATGGAACCCGCAGCGTGGCCCAGGAGACTTACTTCCAGCAGCACGGGGGATCTGTAAGGAACTCTGGGATCCCTAACCACCAGGACAGTGCGTTCTCGCTGCCCAGCAAGGCCCGACACAGGCTCCTCAAACACGGGGTCAACCTGCTCTGAAGGAACGGCCTCATCGTGTTTGTGTTTCAGAGGAGCTGTTGATTAGGAAAAAAAGGTTCTGTGAGTATTCTTTCAAACTCGAGGAAATCTTGAAAGTACGAATTCGAGCTTTTCTTTAAATGTAGCTGCTGTAGTTGTTCTCTAAAATAGATTTCAACCTGCGTTGTTATAAAACTTATTGCACTTGTTCAGAAGAGAGCTTTTTCTCCGTAAGTTAGTAAGATTAACTCTGAGTTTGTACGACGATAGTAGGAATGTTAGCTCATGTTTACAGAGAGGTTTTCGCTCCTTTGAATGCAGAGTTTTCTAAATATCCGTACTTTTGTATCATGAATCACAAACCGGCCGTGTTGAGCTTCTGTTTACGCAGTTTGTGACCTTTTCACTTTTTGCATATATATTGGGGAGAGTGGGGTAAGATGAGCCATTTTTCATATTTCGTATCACTATGTTAAGTCAATCATAGTTTTGTCTCTATTTAAACATGTTGTTCATCCCTGCAAACCAACAGAATGAGTGTAAACAGAACTCTCTTGATAATATAGCATGCTGAAAAAAGTGGGTCTCCTATGGTCAACTTACCCCGTGTATGGGGTGAGAACTACTACCCAGAACTACTATGATGACTTTATTAGTCCTCTAAGATAAAACGGTGGACTTTTAGGTTCATGTTGTCGCTCATAGATTCCACAGTTGATGTATAAAACAAATTTAAAATGATCTTTTTTGGTCTAAAATAACATTGACATTGAAATAAATGTCTAACCCCTTCACCCGTGTGCTTCTAACCTTCACAGACTCCATGAATTGATGCCCATCTCCTAAATATTTGGTCACATGATCAATTTCTTTTACAGGGGGTGGCTCATCTTACCCCACTCTCCCCTACTGTCTGTTCTGTCACATCCTCCTGTTTTTATTAACTCCATAGGAAACATTTACTAAAACCTCTGAATCTTTACACAATCACGTCGTTTTTTCACACATCTGTTCGATCTGAAGTAGTTTGTTTTTAAATGTCTATTTATTTCAAATCAACTGTTTGTTTTTTTTATTATTATTATTGAACTGTTCTTCTTTTTACCCTCTTTAAAAGCTTCATTTGTGTTTGTTTAAGCTGAGGAGAGATGCACTGTGATGATTGTCTCTGTAGTGTTTAGATATTAAACAAATACACAATCCCTCACTTTTGACTTCAGTGTGTGTGTGAGCTTCTGTTCTACACGGGTCATCAGCGGCCCGCATGTGACCCTCCAATCCGGCCCCATTGTTTCAACCTCGGGCCTCGAGCCTTTGTCTGCGCGAGCCTATCTGTAAGGCCAAACACGAGCTCACCATAAAAAAAAAGAAAACCTTCTTATTCATGTGTGTGGGAATGTTTTCTGTGCGCATGTGTTGTAAATAAGATGGTTCTTGATGATCCAAATATGGAGTCATTAGAGTCATTAGCTAAGTGGGTGAATGTGAATAGAAGGGGTCGGCGCTCTTCGGGGCGCCTCATTATGCACGCGCATTAAAAGAAAGCAGCGGGGGGCAAATGGGTGGTTAAGGGTGCGAACAAAAAGAGGGGCAGGGTCTGTGAGGAGGGTCAGGATTCAAATTCTAAGTGGTGAGATGTTCCCATTGTCAGTGGGGTATATAGCAGGTAGGGAGAACTCGCCGCAGGCAGATTTGGAGACTTTGGCACCACAGAGGAGCGGACGAGGATCACCATGGCGTACACGCGCTGTTTCTGGATTGCTTTAGTTGTCGTTCTGTCTGTTCTGACAAATGACAGTGGAGTACTCGGTCGTGCAGTCGACACGCTTGGATTTATGTCAAAATCTGCAGAGGAGTCATCCGGAACAACTTTACGCACGGACGCGTCGAGGCGGTGGAGGCGTGGAGCGCACAGACACGAGCAGTGCGCGGAGCTCGCGGCCCCTTGGCTGGAAAACACGCATCAAACTCCGGAGGATAATCCGACTGTGCTGCAGCTCCGGCTTCGACCCTTTTCTCCGGGAGCCTCTCGGGGTCTGGTTTTCCCCGGGAAGCATCTTTTCGGCTTTGTTCGGAGGATTTACCGCTGCTGTCAGGAGGGACCGAGCTGCAGGAGCGTCAAAGGAATACAAGGGCGCCTGAGAGGAGGTAAGACTGAAGAGATCAAGCTCAGCATTAAGTCCTCTTTTGACTGAAGTTACGTTTTACACAGTGGACCTAAAATATGCTGAAGTAACAGCAGGTAAAACTCGTAAAGACACATGATGAGCTGCAGAGATTATAGTCTGAGAAATCATGCAGCTTGTGAGAGCATGTGTCTCCAAATCAGGACAACCCTTAAAGTTCCTCCATGACTAACTAGGATGAACTCGGAGAACAGCTGAAGACAACATGGAGCTGTTTTTGGGAAAGATTCAGCCAAAGTTTAGGAGATGAACAAGAAACCTCATCCAGAGAGCATGCTGCTAATGTTAGTATAAAATGAGTCCTTTAACCCTTTATTGCCTTTTGTATCATATTAGATACTTTTATAAAGTTCTATCTAATCAATATGATCAACAAACTGCTAAAAAAAAACATCTGGATACAGTCCAATAAATGATAAAAAAAACGTCCTCTTGTGGTTTATCAGTTTCCAAAAACATCAAATGTCAATTTTAAGGACATTTAGATTTTTTGTTTTTTTTTCTGTAGTAAATAAACTTTTCAGCTCCAAAAAAATCTATTTTCTGGCCTTAATTTGAGGTTTCAGGCATTAAAAAGTTAAGAGATGATCCATAGTGAACAGTACAACACACAGTATTGTTATGGTGACACTGCAGGAGTGTCATGAGACGTTAAAGTGAAAGCTGCTGATCTTCATTTAGGGCCTGATTCCTGCAGCTGTAGAGAGGACCGTGTTTTCTGCATACAAATAGGCCTCAGCTGGCTTAATGTCTCTTCAGAGTGTCGTAGAGAAATCCTGCTGACAGATTAACAAGGTATTAGGAGTGAAGACGTCCCCTATGTGGCAGAGATATTACTCTGATCCCCGGGATTTATCACAATGTAGCTCGACTCCCGGGTCTGTGCCACTGTGTTTGAGACGTAAACAGCTCTCTGACGAACTTTTCCTCTCCTCCTCCTCCTCCTCTGCAGATACAGATGTGGAGTTTCTCCTCACCAGGGACAATTTATCGTTGGCAGTAACGAGAGCTGAGCTCCATCTCCAACTTTCCAACCCACAACATCTGGAAATCCATCCTGTGATCTCATCTTTGGCGAAGCAGGGCCTTCCAACAAGGTAAACACTCGACTCCTGATTGGATCTTGACTCAGACGAGAACGGTTAAAGACACAAAAAGATGGTGGTCTAATCTAATTCCTCTCTAACCTCCTTCTTCAGGTACAGCTTGTGGTCTTGGGGCGACACCGTAGAGCTGAGGGTGGATCTGCTCCTCCTCTTCCAGAGTCTGCAGGAGGCGGCAGGTAGTGCGAGGAGGACTCCCAGCTTGGCGAACATGCGGCGAGCGGTCTTCTCTCCCGGGGAGGATCCATCCGGAGAGAAGGCCGCTACTCTGGGGGCTCTGAAGGACTCTGACGGAGACGTGTGGGGGGATGGGGTCGCTAACACGCTGCCTCCTCTCTTGGAGCTGGGTTTGGTCCTCAGCTGCAGTCAGGCCGGATCAGCGGCGTCCTGCAGAGCTGGTGGCGTTCACCTCTCACACACACCTTTTATCGCTCTGTACTTCAGGTGAAATCAACCTGACGCTGGACTCACATGTCTCTCAAAGCCTACAACGCACTTCTATGTAAAGTCTATTAATTTATACGTGTTATTTCTTGTTAAATATATAAACCCTGAATGTAAATAGTGAATATGATATACTCTCTCCTTCATGATTAAATCTCAATCTAACAGTGAGCAGCTGTGACTCGAAGGATTTCTGTTTCTGAGTGGACTTTGCTCAGCTGTTCCTCTTTTGGATATTCTGGTCCAAATACCTCTAAACCTCTGAGATATGTGGTCCTATTTAAAGCGGTTTTCACAGTTGGTGAGAGAAACGACACCTGGACAAGCAAACGGCTGCCGTGACCCTGTTGAACTTTGACTTTAAGTTTGTCCAGACAGATTTTTTAAACACGTCACAGTTTGCAAAAGTCGTGCACAAAACACCGGACAGCGACAGGGTTTTGATAAAATAGCACATTTATTAAAAAGAGACAGCATTTATCAGCATTTCCCATTTTTTTGCAGATATATGCCACATCTGAGTAAGATCAGGGGTCTCTCCGATACTTTTTCAGTCCACCTGCTGCCGCCTACAGCCCTCAGAGAAGCATTTCTATCTCCAACACGTTTATTATCTCTACAGTAGGACTCGTGTTCAAGCACACACTCACACTCTGCAACCTCTGTGTGTGTGCGTCTGTGTGTGTGTGTGTGTGGTCTGCTGCCTTGACGATGTTTCGCTGTTCGAATTTGTCTCCGTTTAAATTCACCTCTCGCACGTTCGGTTTCTTTGAGAATGAAACAAGAGCGACAAGAGGGGACGATGGCCGTCTTCAACAAACGTACAGTAAATTAATTACAGAGAAAAAATTTAATGTGACAACAAATCTGAGGACAAGACATGACATTTTGAAATCCTCCCTGGTTTATATTCACAGCTTCACCAGGAGAAGAGCCTTGAGCATGTTCGGACGCTGTGTTGAAGTAGTTTAAGTGGAGTTGAGGCGATTCTTTGGTTCTCGCGTGAAAACTAAAAAAGAAAACCCGAGAGCAGATCTTCATTCCGCTCCAGTTTCAACCAGCTTTAGGGTGTTTGGATGATAGAAGAGGTCGTCAGTAAGCTCAAAGATCGAGCCTGAAACAAGAGCTCGATGTAAACATCCTCTCTGCATTTTGTTTTGGACTGGCTTGGTTCCCAGAAAAGTGTAACAACAGACTGAAGATGTGTTCATAATTAAACCAACAGACGTCCTTTACTTCTATCGAGATCTGCGGAGCGGAAAATCAAGAAAAAAAGTGACTCTGACCGAGCAGGAAAAAGAAAAAGAGACTTAATCTGATACCAATCAACAGAAGAGCGACCTCAAGGCGAATGATGGTAAAGCACAATGTATTCAAAATTTCAAGGCAACAAAAGACAAAACACACAAACAAACAAACAAATGATTTTTAAAATACATGAGGCAGTGCAAAATGTCACACCAATAAAATATCACGTTTTAAAAACTCAAAAAAAACAAAAAAACAGATCCTGAGGAAAAAATTTCAAACATACAAATCCAAGCGTTATTAAAAATATCTCCAGATCAGCCCCTCTCTGATTTAAATTATATATAATAGAATGGAAGATCCCACATTTTCAGATATAATCTCATTTATTTGACGTTTCCAGCAGTCGGTTCAGTTCATCTAACCGCCTGTTTTATTTATTCTCTGTACCAACAACCGTTCCTCCCCCGAGAAGAAAGGCCACAAAGTCTTCCTCAGGAGAAAATGAAAAAACAGAAAAGAAACACACCTCAGCTACAACTCAAGAGTGAAGAGGACGAAACCGTCGCCACACGATAAAAAAGTGTGATCTTGTACCTTATATACACACGCAGCTGTGTAGGCTCACAGAGGAACAGAACACGGTGACTTTGGTGCTGAATTCAACGATTTTTTGCATCTTTTTCAGAGGAAAGAAAAAAAAAAAGGTGCTTAAATGTCTTAAATATGATTTGAATTTCAAAATAAAAGAAGGAAAGAAAAAAAACAAACCTTTAAAACTGATCAAATATTTTCTGGCGCAAACTTTATCACCCATTTTCAATCAAGGAGCGAGGAAGGATCCACAACACCTGAATTATTGACCGTTTCTTTTTTTGTTTTCAAGTACTGCGACGGGTAACAGCAATACTGGTGAGGGGAGCGGGAGTCAGGGGACGCTTAAGACGCATTAGTGAAACAGGCAAAGTTACAAAATCTGTCTTGGAGTTGAGCGAAGCACTTGAGGGAGGTAACGAGATACATAAATAGGAGGGTTCACGGGGACGCGACTTTAGTAATCATGAAGAACAAAGCTGCTTTTCAGTCTGAGAGGAGAGACGAAAATGATATCTGACTGAGACTTAATCACACAAAGCAGACTCTATGTAAAAAAAGAAGAAGAAGGCAAACACCATGAGAAAAAAAAAAGGCTTAATGATCGAATTTTCTCCCTGGTATGGGGCTCGACTGCACTGAAACGGTACAGTCCACATCGTAAACTTTTAAGACAACTGATTCGAAAAGGCGAAGGGACAAAAATAAACGTAGTAAACATGAATTTTTCAGTCGCAGAAACTTTGAAGATGTCTGGCGCTGATACCGAGCTGAAGCGGCCCGTTGTCCAAGTTTAAAACCACACGGAGGACTAAAAGAGTCCACATTAAAGTGAAACAAAAACTAGAACAGCTTTGTGAACACAGAACCTTTAAATGAATCGAATTCTGACCCGGGAGGGCAGCGTAGGTCCAAATACACCGAAATCATGTTTGCTTTTTAAGGTATCTGTAAAATTAAAACAGGCCACTAAACTTTCCTTTCCTGACAAAATAAAAAAAGACGTTCTTTGGCGAAATAAAAAGGCAGGCATGCATAATTAATCGAAAAGGCAAAGGTCGGAGGAAACACAGAGAGCTGAAGCGCCTCGCAGCATCAACTTTGCCTCTCACTAAATGCAGTTTTGTGAAAAATGGCTGCTGAGATAAAGCGCTGAATGTTCAGCAGTGTAACCTTGTATTTCCAAAGTGAAATCCTCCTGTTGAGGACTCTTTTCAAAGCCCTGGAGCTGAACTTGTGAGGTCTGCGAAAAACTTATGGCGAATAAACGATGGCACGTTAACAAAAGGACTCACTAGAACATAAAACGTGACGACGAGTTGAGAAAACGTGAACCTCTTCAAAGAAAACTGTAACTCGCTAACCCTCTGAATCAGTCAGAGCAGCACCATTTCCAATTTTGAGGGTAACCTTTTTGACCAGATGCTGAGCAGGGGCGTCACAGAGCGTGTGCATCCTCCTCCAGCAAAACACCGAGTACAAACGAAGCTTTGAGTTTATAAAACAGGCCCAGACTAAATCACTCCTGAGCATCCTCCTAGCTGCTGAAATATGGTTTCGAAACCGCACCGACTGGCACCTGTAAACCCCGCCCCGTCTCAGAGTGGAAATGACTAACATTGTTCAAAGGGGTCGGCAGAGGTGGATGTAAAACACATTCACAAAGAAGCGCCGCAGAGAACACTTCCTACACCTCCCTTTCCCCCCCGAATATGACAGCAGCGTTCGCTTCGTCCCCTCGCTGCTTCCTGAAAGTTATTGTCTCTTTTTGTCCTCCATCGTCGTCATCGTCATGGTTTTCTCCAAGCTCTCCTCTGTGTGTATGCTTCTACCTGTGCTGCTATTGTCACCTTGACCCCCTCCCCCCTCCCTGTCTCTCTCTCTTCATAGTCACTCACGTCACTTTGACGTCTCCTCCGTCACTGGTTGTGGCTCACAGCCGACAGAGGCAGAACAACGTGGGGATGAAAACCCCAAATGCCACTAAGATGGGAAACATTAGGCTGCTGTTGTCGGCGGCGTACGGGTTTGGTGTTCGCGGGCCGGACTGGACCCTGTTCTTTGAACCTGCAGGGACCTTTTTCTTCCCGCCTTCCTCGGTTTCCTCAGTTTCCTCCTCTTCTTCCTCCCCATCATCTGCTTTTTCCAAGCCAGGGTGGGGCTGAAGTTTGGGAACATCTGTCGAGTCAAAAAAGAGAGAGATGAGTCTGGATCACATGATGTTCTTATCAACTCATTAAACTGGGTTTTCATGCATAATGCCAAAGGGTATGTTTGCGGTGGAGGGGCTCACCTTCTGAAGTCCCCTTCATTACATAGAGGGCGCAGACCTTGGGGTTGTCATAATAACCCTGCAACAAAAAAAAAAAACACACATCAGGTAAATGAAAAAGCTCAGACAACAGAAGAAGAAAACAGGAAGGCAACCCTTTCACACATTTATCCAAAAACGCCTTTCACCCACGTTTTATTCAGAATTCATAAAACTGTGAGAAGAAATAAAGGAGCCAACACACGGTGCAGCAGGTGGATTCATGTTTAAACTAAAATATCTGAACTTGGCAGATTTCTTCACTTTGTCCTGAGAATAAAAAGAGCGACTTTGGGACCGGAGATCTAGAGAAAACCCCAAAAGAAAAAAAGAGGTCATTGTGGGAAAACTTTTTTGAAGTATGTCGCCCCGCAGATCGAGCCAACGGGCACGAGGTCCTTCATTTGGAGCTTAAAAGAGAATACTAATTAAGTCAGAAGGAAAAGGGCAACAAAACACAAACCAGCCTTATGACCTGCAGCTAAATCACAAAAACTCGAGGCAACTGGAGTTAAAGGTCTTGGATTTATCTCGGTCAAGGGTGTTTTTGCCAAATTTTGCAGCTTTAAGATTAAATTACACCCACATAAAAGTCATGCCAATAGTCAAAGAAGTGCAGCTGTATCGTTTTACTCGTATAGTACCGCTTTGGAGTGTATTGATTGCAAGGAGGGAAAAAAAAGGAAGTGTAACACACACTAGGTCGGAGGAAGTGTTTGTGGAGTACAGAGTGGATGTTGGATAATGTGAGGGGAGATACTCGAACCAAAAATTTCTAACACTAGTGCAGCTGAACGCCTACAGCAGGAAGGACCAAATGTATAACTGGAGAGTAAAAAATCCCACCAGGAAAGGATTGACAGGATTATTCAATATCCTCACAAAGATATCTCAGTTAGAGCCGGGCAACAGACTCGTCTGAATCACAGCAACAAGCAATCATATCTATTAAATCCAGAAACAAGGGTGAGTGATGACTAACAAGCAGAAACAGTTCACAGCAGGGAGGAGACAGAAAATGGATTTACAGACTGACTGGAGCTCCTCTGATGAGAGCAAAACCGATCGCTCGCTACGCAACGATCAAAAGAGGACGATGAAAGGCGGACGGATGAGGGACTAATGTCAGACATTTGCATGGCCAACACCTCACCTCACTGCCCGTCAGCAAACTCGCTCAGACGTGGCGTTCATTATGGAAATGTGCGGCTGAGTTTACCTGTCAGTCCCGTGTTTGAATAAGTCAACAGATGAAGGCAAATCCTGTTTGAGTCGACTCAGAAACAAACGAACCGTACTCTTATCTCCCCTGATCACCAATCCCTTCAGGTGAAATTTGGGAGAATTTGAGAGTAAACCTGCCACTCCCTGATGACAATGACTTCAAGAGATTTAAAAGGTGAAAAAAAAAAAAAAAGAAAACAGCTCACCTTTACAAATTCCACCGTGAGCTTGCCGTTGAAAGTCGACACCTCTCCCTGCACGCTCAGTTTGCCACGTCTGATAGAAAAGGGGACTATCTCATCGTGGGCCGTGCTGTGGCCAACTCGTTCGAAGATATCCAGGTCCTTCACCACCACGTGACCGTTTAGACGGACGTCAAACACCTTGAAAAACAAACAGAAGAAAAAAAATACATACACTGAGGTTATACTCCTGTTGTAATCTGTCGAGTTAGTTAAACAGCTCTGAGAGTACGGGACAAACACGAGACAAAAGGACAACAATAGACCTCTAGTCTAGTCAAGATTCACAGTGTTGGAGTTTCTCGGATCATTTTTTTGGCAGAAAACATTTTGGATGCAACAAAAAAGCCTTTCTCAAGACTCTGAAGACTTCTCTCTCCACAAAAGAACTTTACCCATGAAATATGTCACATTATTATTCAATGTTACCATGGCTACTGCGGCCAACTGTCTCCTCAGCTGTGATGCTGTTGCTCTATGGCTGCAGACTTTGCAGTGAGTATTGTCAGTTATGGAGTAATATCATGTCATGTTGGATAAACTACCCAATGACGCCGTTTTAAAATCAACTCAAGCTTTACTTTCTGCAGCGAGAGCCAAATGTTTCTGGTATACATCGTAAATTTCACCTCCACATGTGAAAAAGTTCCCTTCATGACATAAACACACCCGAGCGAAAAGACTATTTGATTTACAGCTTTACCTTTTGCTGTGACTGGGCAAAGTACACCTCAGCGTACTTCATGACTAGGATGTAGTCCCCCTCCTCTCGAATGGGGACGTCATATCCAAAAGTGTCCTCATTGTAGCGCTCTGTCTGATACAGGATCTGGTCCTCTGGACTCGAGCGCAGTATTGGCAGCCGTGTGCCATAATCAGACGCTGGATAAAAACAACAGCATCAGGTTAAGTGTGCACTTAACTCACCACATCACATTAATACCAGCATAAGTGTTAAAGGGATATTCTGGTGTAAAATTAATTTAGAGTCAAACACACCGTAACGTCGAGTTAGACACCCCCTGAGAGATGAATGTTGCCGACCGCTTGCTTCTCTAGTTTTACCAACTTTAGTAACGACCGCAGGATAGCAATACACAGTGGTCTGAGGAGCCATAAACAAACCTCAACCAAAACGCCACTCTATAGCCACAAATAATGCTCAGAACAGCACCTAACTTCATCAACAGGACATATAGGGTCCCAGCCATAGTACTAGACACCAAACATCTTTTTAACTTTGACTCATTTCTTTAGCAAAGAGACGAAACATAACTCACCTACTCTCTTCCAGCAGCCGCTTGTTTGTAGCGAGACCTCGAACCAGTCCATCACGGACTACAGCGGGGGGACCCAGCTCAAGGAAGAACATTTACGCTAATTTCTTTATCATCTCCTTGAAGTAATAATCATCATATTAATCATTTTTCACTGCAGACGTGGTAGTTCTTCTGCCTTAGCGTCTCGGTCTTATTGTATTTCCATGAAGAAATTATCATAAATATTCTTCCTTGAGCTGCGACACCCCGCTGTAGTCTGTAATGGACAGGCCTGAGGTCTCACTACAAACAAGCGGCTTCTGGAAGAGAGTGGGTGAGCTGTGTTTAGTCTCTTTGCTAAAGAAATTAGGCAAAGCTAAAAAGATGTTTGGTGGCTAGTGCTGTGGCTGGAACCCTATATGTAGGGTAGAGTGGGGTAAGTTGAGCCACCCCCTGTTGCTTGGAAATGGTAAAACAAATTGATCATGTGACCAAATATTTAGGAGATGATCATCAATTCATTGAGTCTGTGAAGGTTAGAAGCATATGGGTGAAGAGGTTAGACATTTATTTACAAAAAAAAATCATTTTTCACTCTTGAGAGTGAATTTAGTCTGATATAAGTTTGATTAGAATTGTGTTCAGAGAAATATATGCAGATACACTAGTTAGAGACAAAACTATGATTGACTTAATGTAGGGATCAGATATATGAAAAATGGCTCATCTTACCCCACTCTCCCCTACTACACTTCACATTACACAAGCCTTGACCTTTTCCTGCACTCACTGCAATACAGAGCCCCTCTGTCTCAAACGGCAACTTACTGCACTGAGCTCACTCCAGCTTTGCAATTACAGACTCTTATCCTCATCATAAGTATCGGCGTGAATGACTCCCTACAGTCATTCCGATCCGATCATCACCTGCTTCCTCCACTGTCTGAGAGGGGGCGGAGCTGCGCGCGGCTTTATGCTGACTCCTCATTAAGTTTATGATTACATGCGGAAGCTGAAGACTGAAAAAAACGGTTTCTGTCACAATAAGGAAACATGTTGTAGTGGAAAAAGCACCGACTCACCTTTGCCAACCTTCCCTTCCAGCGGGTCCTTCTTAAAGTGGATACCGTGCACGTCTACATGTGCTTCACCTCCGGCATTTACAGCCCAGATGACCCGCTCGGAGAGGCTGGGGCCCCCGCTGTCCGCACAGCACTGGTCCGCCAGCAGCAGCAGCGACAGAACCGCTGCGACCAACCCGACGACGAGCTGCGCCGTGACCCGCTGCATTGCCCCACACAGCCCGGTCCTGGACACAGACACAGACACACAGACAGCGTCGGTATCTGTCACCCTGCAGCACTCACTCACACACACTCATAATGTGGTGTACGGTGGCAGCTTCTCCAAATGTAACACAAACCACAGGAGGGTTAGCTAGCTGCTGCTGCTGCTGCTCCTCTGGGTGACATGATATCTGAGGTTAGCATGAGTGCTAACACACCGGCTCACACTCACTCACAATACGGCTTTAATCTTATGTAAGTACAGTTTATTATCAACGTGGCATCTCCAGATTAAAGAGGCAAATAAGATCAGATAATGAGAAATTAAGAGCTAGGTTTAGCAGGCTAACTACCTGTCTAACCAGAAATACTTGGTCTCTCAGATAGAGCCTTTGCTAACCTTCATACACACACATTTTCTTACCTTCCCCTTCCACAAAAATCTCCAACCCGTCTTCTTCCCAGTGCGTGGATGTGTCTCCAGTGAAACAGCCTCAGCAGGTGTCTAAATACAGTCAGATAAGTTTACAGACTGCAGATATTCTCAGTTTCTGCTGCTGCTGCTGCTCACAGCTGCACTGACTTTCATTCAATGTGTTCATCCACACTAACATTCACTGGATCGGCGCTACCTAACATGACTAACCGATACCCGATGATTGACAGGTACGCTGTCCAATCATATTCTCGCTTTGAGAATCCAGAACCGTTAAAACCATTTAATATCGGAGATTAATCATAAATAAAAATATGTAAACTTAAAAATACAATATTTTTTACTAATCTTTATTAGTTGTGAAAGATTAATGCACATTTTTAACTGTAATGGATTAAACCAGGAACACTGAGAGCCTTCATCCACGTCAAGTTTTAACTGTGTGAATTTTATACCCTCGGTTTAGCCTCGCAGGCACAAATCAGAGCTGTGCACACCCCTATTATTTATTAGAAAGGAAGCTGTGACATTAAAAACCAATAAGAATAAAAGAAAACGTTTTTAAAAGAAATATGATTTTAATAGGATGATAAGAGGTGAATAAATGTACTGAAATATAACCCTCAGTTTGTGATAGAAAGAGTAGACCTACCTAAAGTTTTATACTTGCTACTTTAACTTTAATTATTCACAATTTGGTTTAACTATTTTTCACTGCATGGCTCGGACCACGGTTATATCCAATAATCCATATCGACAAGTTTAAAATTGTTTTAATCCAGTCAGAACTAAAGCCACTCAAATAGAGTTAACATTGACGTATCTCTAACATTAAACCTTTTTCATTTCACTCCATTAGCCCGATCAGTTGGCATGAATATCACCCGAATTAAACATTTCTAAACGTGTTCCTTAAAGACGCCTCTCACCCCCTTTCCTGTCTGTATGGTACGGTCCGGGGTTTGTCCAATCAGGGGAGTCCAACGCAGCGCGCACACCACGCACCGGAGAGCGGAAAGGAATGAATGAAGATAGTTGCCATGGCAACAGCAATACCTTTTTCGGATAGCAGGTATTTTATGACTTCTTTTCTTCAAACCTGGCGCAGAGTTGGATAACGGAGCATGTTCCTCCTCTCTCAGAGAAGGAAATCATCTCACCTGGTGTTGATAAAAAATGAAGTTGTGTCAGTTTACAGCAAACACTTGGAAAGTCCTGTTTTCTCCCAGTGCTTCAAACAGTTGCCCACCTTGTTGCTCCTACATTCCAGAGGCCCAGAGGCAGCATGTAGTAGTGCAGTGTTACCGTGGGTGTAGCAGTGCACACTACAATCTCCTCTTTTCAGTCTGGATAAAAACTAGTTCCTGCTCTGAAAAAAATAAGTCTATTTACATCTTTTTATTTCATTTTGGATATAATAAACTGAGCTACTGCGGTCTGGTATGAAGGAAATGGATGTAAACACAGTCACCAAGAACTCTGTGGATGTTTCAGCTGCTTAAAAAAGTGATGCTACCAAATCCAAATGAGTCAAAAGCCACAGGGTCTCTGCAGGCACACTGATGGTTCTGTAGGTTATGCTCACCCGGCCTGCAGTCGTATCAGCCAAGTGATGCGCATGAATAATAGATGTTATAAGAAGGCGTGCCCTCAAGACATGCAGTGACAGCGCAGAGTGCTACACACTGATATATCGATAATGGCATTTTGATACTGGCCTCGCAGCTAAGAAATAAAGATTAGCCACCACGGCATGAAATATGAGTCTGAGATGTTGGCAGCATGTTATCAAATCATTTCTCAATTTTCAGTTTCTATTTCAGTGCATCTGCAACACAACATCATCACCGACGAGGAACAACTCAAATGTAAACACCTTTTATTGTTCTACAGTTAACTTGGCAAATTATTTTGTTTACTCTGTAAGACAAAAAAATGCAAATGTGCATACTGAATTCAATAAATTTCTCTCTTTGGCATGCATAAAAATTGCTTCGACAACACAGATGTGTGGAATGATACCACAACTACAATCATATTGACATTGACATACAGTACAGATACAACATAATCACAGGTACTGCAAATACAAATCAAACATGTTATTTCTGCAGGAATATCTCACACAGGGCAAGCGGCTTTTATCAGTCAGCACATTAGTTCTCAAATTTAACCTTGTTTTAACTCACCCTGATATCAGACATCAGTGGATAACATGTGTGAGTTGTATTTATGGTGGCCGAGAACTGCCACTGCTGCAAATAACAAAAGAAGGCAAAAGAAGTCACAACGGATGTGACGGATGCAAAAAAAAAGGAAATGAAGCTTGCTGGAAAAAAAAGAAACGGTGCAGGAAAAAAAAAAAAACAACCACAACATAAGTTAATGACGCAAAAAAAAAAAAAAAGTGGCGATGGAAAAAAAGTTACTTATTGTGAAAATAAAAGGATGCAAATTAAAAAAGCCACAATAAAAGTTCACGTTGCAAAAAAAAGTGGCAATGGAAAGAAAAAAAAGTTACTTACAGCGAAAATAAAAGGATGCAAATTTTAAAAAAAACAACAATGGAATTTAACGTCACAAAAAAAGTGGTAATGCAAAAAAAAGAAAAAGTTACTGCGAAAATGAAAGGATGCAAATTAAAAAATCCACAACGGTAGTTAACGACAAGAAATAAAGTGGTGATGGAAAATTAAATTACTTACTCTGAAAATAAATGGATGCAAACAAAAATAGCCACAACGGAAGTTAGCTGCCAGGGACTAATAATAACGATGCACTATTTTTTTTATGATCCAAGCACAGAAGACGGCGGCGAAAAAAGGAAAGGTTATTGTTTAATTTTGCTTCATGTGTTTTTCAATGTCATTTGGATAGGCCTCATAGAGCCTAAGCTTTTTTAATTTGCATCTTTTTATTTTTGCAGTAACTAACTTTTTTTTTTTGCATCACCACTTTTTTTGTGTCATTAACTTCCGTTGTGGCTTTTTAAAATCTGCACCGTTTCTTTTTTGTTGCATCGGTTACTTCCGTTGTGGTCTCCTTTTTACACATTCTTATTATTTGCAGCAGTGGCGGTTCTGGGCCACCGTAGAATTTTACACCGCTCTGTTCCTCATTAATGACAGAGATCTGCTCCAGGGTTGCAGTGATTCTTTTAGAGACTGGACTGGCACAGTGAAGAATCACAGATGGTCACACAGTTACAATACAGGTGTTATATTGCCACATGGGTCCCTGGTAGGAGCACCAATGTCACACGAAGGACAATCCACAGTTTCTAAATAATAACACATAGTGAAATGTTTGACAACACACCCATCTTTGACATCTTTCCTACAGAAAACCGCTCTGTCGTTCTAACACTGATGCACATTAAAAGGGACATTTTTGTGAGACACTTTAAGAGGACGAGACAAGACGCCAGCGATCTATCCACACAGGAAGTTATTTAGTGAGAATTAAAGTGCAAAAATGAAAAATTGGACAATCATCAGCTAGGCTACAGCAAATTCTGCCTCAGTTGAACTGGAGACTTTTTCAGGAAGAACACTTATTGATTGAAAGTGTGAGGTGACTCCTCGCTCCTTAACATTCATGGAGTTTAAATTCCAGTGTCATTCAGAGTTGGGTGGCTCAGAGATAAAAAAGCGTGTCTTCTGATGTACTCGAGTCAAGTAACGAGAAGGACACAGCTTCACATTCAGGACAGATCATCTGATGATCTTAGCGAGACATCATTCGAACAAACTCTGCAGAAAAAGAGAGAGAGGAGAGGAGAGTGAGACGGTGCAATAACACATCTGAGAAGGATAGGTAGTTTGTTAAAAGTAGGTTACCTTCAAAGTCGACAAGCCCGTCACCGTTCAAGTCAACATCCCTTATGATATCTTCTACCTCTTTAAGACCAACCTGGGCACAAAAAGTTGAGATATTGAAACTGTATTCAAGGTTGTAAATTGTATAAATTTAAGATATTTGTCGTAGGTGTAATAATTTTAACACTCCTTTACAGATTAGCAGCTTCAAACTAAATCAAACTGTCGGTGAGCTCTGATCTAAAGCCCACCTGTTGGCCCAGCAGCTTCCTCATCGCATCTCTGAGCTCAGACGTGCTTATGGCGCCATCTCCATTCGTGTCAAACTGAGAAAAAAAGAGAGAAAGCATTAATTTATAGACATGGACACACCTAAAGAATAAACGTTTTTAAAACTTAACAGACCCTCACCTCTCTAAACGCATCTTTTAACTCTTTTATTCCGATCATATCTGCGGTTTCAGCGAGGAGTTTTGGGCCCATCAACTCCACAAAGTCTTCAAAATCAACATGACCTCCCACTGAGAGAAGAGAGGAATCCAAACACAACACACATGAATGATACACCTACAGTATTCATGGAATTTAAAGGCATAAACCAGTGACGTCCTCACAGTTCATGTTGATCTGTTGACTCAGCTCGATCAGCTCCATCTCTGTGGGCATGTATCCCATCGTTCTCATACAGTTCCCGAGGTCTTTGCAGCTTATGAAACCATCCTTGTCCTTGTCAAACTCCTTAAAAGCATCTCGCAACTCTGTTGAGAAATAACAGAAGTCTTATAGTTCCTGAATCGTCGAGTTGTCTGACATTTATTAGTTAGCAGAAGTGAAGTACATGGAGTCCAGTTAGGAAAAACAGAGTGTCAAAGAAAGAGAAACTTACCGTCCATCTCTTCTGGCCGCAGCTCTCTGTCCTATCGGGAAAATGACATAAAAGAAATATGTGAAAAAACATAAAACTGTATGAATGCACTTTCTGTGTGTGTGAGTGACATACAAACACACACCGCAGCTGACAGCGCTCTGACTCTGATGATGCCCAAACCTAAACCAGCGATCCTCTCCATAACACTCCTCTGCGCTCTAATAAACACACACTTCAGGGAGACGAACGTGAAAAGACGCAAACAAAATCTCCAAGTAAAAACAGGCTGATTCCCATCACACAAGCCTGGAGTTCACTGAAGAATGCGCCTGTTTCTGTTTTTTCACTCCTTGCTTACAATGAACGCAACCTTTAAAGGGCAGAGAAAGAGGCAGACATATCCCAGAACCCTTAGGGGTTAACGGCAGGAGCAGCGAGATGTCTAAATACGAGGCTGGGTGTTGACGTCAGGCCTGAACGACTGTCTGACCGGAACCACTGACATGGAAAAACAGGGACACATGAGCATAATGAAGCGTCAAAACACAGGCCAATCAAACGTGTGCGAACATCAGCGCTTCAAGTCATCCATCCATCAACAATCATCAGTTTCACTCACAAACGTCACTCCACATCCAATCAAGACTCTGCTACTGACATGTGAAATCTTTAGTGTTTGTCTGTGTACATGTACAGATGGTCAAATGACAAGATTAAGAAATGTCTGAGGTTTAGGTGCCAAAGAAAAGTCCACCAAGTATGAGACCTGACTCATAATAAAAGAGTCTAAAAAATACCTTTAAAGAGTGTTTGATTGAGTTGAGTTAGTTTATTTATTTATTTCATTTATCGAGCATAAAAACCAAAATAAAACTCACAGAAAAAGACAATACTGTAACTCTTAAATGAAAGGGGGCAGACAGAAGTGAAGTTATACTGTCTACCCTTGTTACAAGAAATTAATTCACAAATTAGATAACATGCATCCACGCAAACAACAAAAAACGTCTACAGCAAAAGTGGCATATAATAATAATAATAATTATAAATTGTAGTGTATCTGCAAAGTCTGAGCCATAATCACAGTATTTTCATGGCTGGTTTTGCTTCAACAGCCTGCAGCCCCTGTTGTTTTGCTGTAAATTGTGACCCAGATAATTGGTGACCTTTGATGGAAAATGCCCTTTGGTTTTCCATTAAACTTTTATCTACTGGGATGCATTTTTGAGGAATCTTTTAGTATCTAAATCGCTGTTATAACCACAAGAACTGTCACCGGTGAACGGGGTCACTCTTAAAACCAAAACAGCAGATCTTTTTTTTTTTTCAAATTTAAGAATAAATCTTCAAAACTGACTTACATGTGATGTGTACTTTTTGGGTTAATGTGGTTCTTGGGATAATCAGTAGATAATCATAATAATCCAACTGTTTCACTGGTGTTAAAAATGAATAAATCTTAAAAACTGACTTATATGTGATGTGTACTTTTTGGGTAAATATTTAAACCAGCATCCAAAAAATCGTAGAATCGGGAGAAAAGCATATCGTCCCAGTCCTAATAACAACCAGATATTCTGATACTAGTATTATGTAAAAATGTTGCATCTGTTTCCAAAATGTACACAAACATTTTAGAGACAAACAGTCTGCTGCTCCTGGTCCCAGCTGTTTACGTACAGCCTGTCTGTTTGTGGACACACAGGTTAGGTTAGTTTTTCTTGATTTCTTAAGACCAAAGATCCACCTCTTGAACCTCCTCATGGTCAGTTTCAGACCCTCAGAGCAGCACTGACCGTCTAACAGACTTTGTACATTGTGGAAAATAATCTTCTTCCTTCCACTTCTTTGTTAGTTAGTTATGTGTTTGTGTCTCTTAAAGGTAAATGCAACAAGAAAACAGCAGGCTGCCAACTTTCCGCTCATCACTCACGACAGTTTACTTGCCACACTGGAGAGGACTGGCACCTCGCACCTATGCAGTGTCACAGGAACAGTAAACACACCAGCTAAATCACCAGGCCACACGCTATATGTTGTGAATTCACCAAAGACACAATACACCCCGACAACATTACGCAACTTTTTCCCCCTGTGGGACATCCTGTACTTTAAAATAAATAAGGGCCTGTTGCACATCAAAGGTCTGCCAAAATCTGACGCCAAACATCTGACATGTTTAATAAAATAAACTCCGGAGCCAACAACAAGCAGAGCGGTCCAGGAACAGTTTAAATCGGAGACGTAACCATCTGTATTATACAACACGCATGTTAAAAAGTTTTATCATTTTAAGTGACGCCCCACAGTTTTAAGAGTGAATCTATTTTTTGTTGTTAAAGTACAAAAATAAAAACCATCAGAGTGAAATCCTACCGTACTCAGAGGCCAGTCTAAGCAGTTTCCCATCCCGAAGGAGAGAAAAGGCATTAAAAAGGACCATGAGGACCTCTTCTCTCTCAAGCCTGCCGATTGGATTCTATGAGGAGTGCAAACTCTGGTTACTGATAGACCCATCAAGACCATTAAGAGTGCTGAACCCAAAGTTGAAAAAGAAAAACGCAAAATCGTTCTGTCCTGAAGTGTCTGGAGTAAAGTATGAAGCGGCAGCAAGAGTGACACTGACACTAAAAAAGAAAGAAAGAGAGAGAGAGAGAGAGGACATGAGAGAGAGGCTGTGGGACAGGGAGGGATGCCTATTAAAGGAGAGGAGGGTGATGCGCTGTCTGTGAGATATTTCACCCGACTGTCACACTGACCAAACTGTTATGTTCGCTCTGTAAACAACACAGACACTTCAACACGGACTGACCAACACCAAACAACGGGAGCCAGGAACAAACACGAATAAGAAGCGAAAGAAAAACTGCACCTGACATTCCTCGTCCGGATACGTCAACGACATTTTCTGATTGTGTTTGCTCTTTCTTTGCTCCCCAGAAATCTGCACCAGGCAAGTTTACAAGAACACTCTGTGATGACCTATTTCCACTCACCTGCACTCTGTGTTCATCTGCAACCTAAAGATTTCCTTGAATGCACGTGTTGCACTGAACACTGCATGCATAGTCTTTTTTTTTTTACACCCCCGCCCCCATCACACAATCTTCTGCCCTCTGCAGGGAAGCACAAGGTCACTCCGACCTACAACAGCCACACGAGCTGCACGTCAAGATCATGATAAGGTGTGCAGTGCAGTTTCTGTGATGCACATCTGCAGATAGATAGTGAAGTAACCTCTGAACCGGATTAATTAGAGAAGATATGAATCCCTCTGTGACAGGACTCAAACAAATCCTCCCCCCCAGGTACCCTTTACCATCTGCTCACATGTATTCCCGTTCCTACATGAAGCCAGATCTGCAAAAATCCATTTCTCAGAGGAAGATGCCAAAAGCAGAATTTGAATCTCTGCAGCCATGTGTTTCATTGAACTCCTCTCCATCCAGCTTGCTCATCAAAGACCTTTTTCAGGTCACGCTAATGTTTTCATGGAGCAGCAGCTCGCAGACTGACTCACAGGTTATTTGCAGACCGGGCTTTCATACTATAAGCACTAGAAGATTTTTCTCCTGGAGTCACAAAGGAAGATCTCCATGTCCTGATGCTGAGCCTATTTACAGCCGAGAGCTTCCTAGTTCAGCAACATCCGTGAATGACTTCCTGATTCAGGATTAGAATAAAAAAAGCAGCCTACAGGGCGAGAAGTGAGGTCTGATTTCTCAGGAAGTGACTAAAACTCTTCCTGTTAGACGAGATCTAATCAGGAGTCATACAGCGAGATAAAAAAACCGCTTGATTGAAGAGACTTTTCTGCAGAATCACATCGCTAAGGAGTGTTATTCTCGGCTCTTTTCTTTATTTAGACCTCCATCACAAAGAGGAGCATCACCTCACACACACACAACAATCACTGCAGTGTCTCTAATTGGACGGTACAGGATCCTGAATACGAATCTTTGTCTCTGACCAAACGCACATCAGCACATCAGAGATTTCTATCTCTCTGCAGCAGAGCATTTCATCTGCCCCAGCACATCCACTTCAAAGAGACAGGACTGCTGATTGAGGAGGTCTGTAGGAGGTACTGCTGGATTTACAAATTACATAAGGAGTGAATGTGTAGAGAGGAAGCTTCTCTCTCTCTCCCTCTCTTTCTCTATAGTCTGTCCAGAAATGACAGTGTTTGTTTGCAGGCTGCATCACAGAGCACATTAGAGTATATTGATTGTAAACAAGACGTCAGTGGAGCCAGAAATCACATTTAACCACTTCATATCTGCAATTTAGTGGGAAACGACACAGTGATGATTTCAGTTTAAATAAGTGACTAAAGCAGCGTCATAGATTTAACCCCAGAACATTATCGCCAAACATGTTTATGTGATTTTCATGATGTTGCGTTTGTCTGTGTATCATGGGTCCCTGGGTAGCTTCAGCATTTCCTTTGACATCTTTGAAGGCAGATTTGTTTCCCTGATCCAAAACCTGTTTTTTCCTACAGACACGTGTTCACAGGGTGATTTTAGTGATGGAGGGTAAAGTAAGTTTGGGTGGATTTGATAGCTGCATGTAGGCGAATAAGGTCAGTAAGAGCGGTCCTGGAATTTGCATGTTATCTTTATTTAGCGCAGTGGTTATGAATAAATACCACAAAGTAGTGATCTTATGGGAATTCATATGGTGATAAGAAATATTTTAGTCAGCTGGTCATTTTTACTCACTCAAAATCTGCCATATTTTGGTTCTCTCGCCTGTTATTGTGCCGAGGACCCTGAGTCTTCACCAGGGAAGACTTGCATGTCTCAGGAATGGGTGGACAAGAAACTAAGTTTACAGTTTCTATCTATTTTTTATTTTTTATTTTTTTAGGAATTTTTTGTTTCAGTAATTTTATATGGTCCCCTCATGGCACTTTTCCCCCTCCCTTTGGACATTGCACAGTCAAAAATAAAAGAAAACTACTTTAGTTTGTCATGTTTTGATATATTTTGATGAAAACTACTTTTTCTAAGGTATATTATTTCAGGTAAGGCGATAGTGATGGTGTTACTAATTTTAGTGACAGTGCTCTCGGGTTAATAAGGGACTAAAGCAGCGTCTTAAATTCAATATAATCTGTTTAAATGTCACATCTCTTTCATTAGTATTAGTAGGTTTTATAAAATGAGTTTCACTTTATTAGCAGGTTTAGATTGGAGTTTTTCTGGCTGCTCAGACTTTTCAAACCTGCTCATCCTGACTCTTTAAATACTTTAATTAATAATAATAATAATAATAATAATGATATATTTTATCTGTAGTGCCCTTTACATCAAGTGATTTTAAAGGGCTACAAAAGCAAAGAAATTTCACAATAAGGGAATATAAGAACAGGATATTGTTTAATAAAAAACAAGAGAGACATCTCATTAATAGAGTAAAAGCAAGATAAGCAACATTTATGAGGAGGGACCAAAAGTTCTGCTTAAAAGGAAAGTTTTGAGTCCTTTTTAAAACTGTTATCTGTTAATTGATCAGCTGTAGGTCTGATCATTAGGATCAGTATGTGTGGGGGGTCTACATGGACTGTTTTGGGCCTTACCTGTCCAAACAGGGAGTTGAGGATGGTGCGTAAATTAATCTCGGATGCAGATGAAGCAGCGCTGGACCTCCTGGACCGCCGAGACGACCTGCTGGACAGCGGGACCAGAGAGCAGGAGGACGGGGATGGACTGCTGACCTGACCCCCAATGTTGGTCCTTTTGTGGTCCCTGGGCTCGCACAGAGGAGCCCTTTCGTCGGTGCTGTCCGACAGAGAGGGCACTCTGGGGACCGGGCGGCTGTGCGTGTGTGAACGCCGGGGATGCTCGGGTTCAGGTGGTCCGGCTCCCGTCGCGGGGGGTCGGTCCTCCCGGTGGTGCTTCCTGCGGTGGTGGTGCCGGTGTGCGGACTTGGATGACCTGCAGCGCTCCCTCACCCCTCGGCCCGCCTCGCCGTTCGGCTCCGGAGGGTCGGGAACTTGGCTGTGAGGGGCGTGTGACTTGCACTTGCTCCGCGTGGCTGCATTGTTACTACTGTCCTTGCTGCCCACGAGGGACGGGTGGCACAGGGGTCTCCGGGCGCTGACGTCGCCCTCGGCCGGCCAGAAGGACTCGGACTCGGTTTTGCTGCTGCTGCTGCTCTGGACTGCTGCGGCGGGACGGTGGTGATGCTGGTGCTGATGGTGATGCTGACTTCTCCGGCTCTCTGCGGTGCGGTCAGGAAGGTGTGTTGGTCTCCTCGCAGCCGAGGACGATTTCAGCAGGGAGGTCGTGGATTCAGATTTGGGGAAGGAAGAGCTCATCGCTGCGGATCTGGTCTGCTCGGTGTCGGTGTGGTCTGGTCGTCGACATCACGCACCGTTTCCTCCCCATTGTCGTCCCATATTAGCATTTAGCAGAGCCTGCCGCCGCGGTAAGTTCGGCTTCATTTCACCACCTGATTGCTGTGCGGCAGCGCGCGCAGGCAGCGCAACACAACACAGGGGCACACGCGTCGCTGCAGCGCGCGTCACCTTTCATTGATGCGCCGAGCTCCTGCTGCACCGTGGCAGTGACGTAGGTGTGGACGGTAGTATGATAGGCTAAACAACCCACGGGTGGACCAGGTTCGGTGGACGGTAAACTCTTCACCAGAAACACAGAAAACAACACACTGGAGATAAATATGGCGCAAAAACTCCACATTAATGCACATTTTATGGAGCTGTTGTGAATATTACTGTGTTATAATGATGCTCACAAGACCATGCAGGTGCAGTTCGGTCAGATATCAGTCATATCTGTGGAAACACTGGTATGGGTGCCTTTTAAGACTCTCGTGAATAAGCGTATGTTTTTATGGGTTTATGTGTCCATGTATCTGTTTTTTTCTTTATTTCTTTTTATATATTGTCTGTTTCTCTTAATGTTGTGGTGTATGTCATGCTATTGGGATTTGAGCCTGTAATAAAATTCACAATACTCTCAGGAATATTAGATAAAACTCAAAAATACAATCATTCTGGGTATAAACACAACATCCAACACCGAATCCAACAAACTGCAGCACCGTGTTTAACACCTTTCTAGTGCACCAAACAGCAAAGATATGACACTATTCTATCCATATTGAGACCCTGGACAAAAATGACTATTTGACCCCTAAATCCATCTTTCCCTGTTCAAAACACTCATTAGTAATTCAATTCTGCATTACATCATCAGGAGGGTAGAGTTGGGTATGATGACATGTTTTTCATATTTGGGATCACTACATCAAGTCAATCCTAGTTTTGTCTCTAACTAGTGTATCTGCATATATTTCAGGATGTTGTTCATCCCTGCAAACTAACAGAATGAGTGTAAACAGAACTGTCTTGATAATATAGCATGACAAAAAAGTGGTCTTCTATGGTCAACTTACCCCGTGTATGGGGTAAGTTGACCATATGAACGGGGTAAGTTGAGCCGTATCCCTACTACTCCTCCCTCACCTTCTCTCTCCCTAAATAACAGTCACTTCTTCACATTCATGTGTATTTTTATCTATTATACACTACTCAACTGGTACAATAATTCTTTTTATTATTGCATATAACTGCTAAAAAGCTGTTTTTTAAACATAAGAATGTCTTTAAGTGATTCAGAACATTCACAGATCTGTATTTTAGAAAAGACAAAGTAAAACATTTCAACAATCTGAACTGAAACTCTGATCCTCTCATCAGACTCCTTTACTTTCTCTGTTACCCCTGAACTACTATGATGACTTTATTAGTCCTCTAAGATAAAATGGTGGACTTTTATGTTTTTGACCTCATGTTGTAGCTCATAGATACCACAGTTGATGTATAAAACAAGTTTAAAATGATCTTTTTTGGTCTGAACACAATTCTAATTAAACTTATGACAGAGGCTCAACTTACCCCACTCTCCCTTGGGCTTTTTTAGTCTGGGGCTCTTTGGCCTTCTCTTCTGGCCGGAAGCGGTACTAAGGGCCTCATCTTGGATTTCAAAGTTCCAGGATGTCCTCTGTATACATCATCCATAAGGCCCAGTTTGGTCTGGGTTCAACATGGGGGATCCTCAGTTTTGGTGCAGTCCATTTACCTGGTAAGAAGCAGTGTCCACTCAGATGTTTTTATGTACAGGTAGCACTCATAATCTCATTTTCAGGACCCTTCTTACAGGTGTTTACTGTCGCTGCGTAAGGAAAGTTGTCCCGCGGCACTTCCGCTTCCTCTTAAGTGTGTTTTACTCGCTCTGAAGCTTCATATTTGCTTTTAAACGACGGATTTTTACAGAGGAAGCCTATAACAATATATAGAAGTTGTCATAAGCATCAGCAGTCGTTAGACCCGGAAATTATGCCTGAATGAAAACGTGTACGATCACTTTTTCTCCGGTACTCCGCCATTTTTGTTGACCAAGAAGTTATCAGAAGTCCCGCCTCCTCTTGATTGTGATTGGCCAGTGATCAAAAAGCGATATTTATGAACGCATAGGCGTTCAAAAACTTAAGTAGTTTTCAATTTAGAGAGCTTTGTTGATTGCGTTATGTTAAGGTGTTATTTATGCTTCGTTCGAGTTACCTCAGAAGTCAGATGTCTGGGCTGGGAATGAAGTTGCACCCGAATTACCAGCGTTTCAGTTACAAAATCGGAGGCAGAAACAAGATGGCTACCGCTACGAAATTTATTTCAACGGCTCTTATTTTAGTTATTTTAAGTTATTTTAGCATCCCCTTTTGTTGATGTAGCCATCTTGTTTCCACCTCTGATTTTGCTTTTTCCGACTTGTTAACTGAAGCGCTGGTAACTTGGGTGTGACGTCATTCCCAGCTCTGACATCTGACTTCTGACGAAACGTGAACGCAGCACAATATTTGTAGTTGTTAGCATCCTTAGCTAATTCCAGACCATAACAACATAGTATATGATGTCTTGCATGTAAAAGCAGCATAACAACAGGTCTGCAAGTAGAACTTGCATAATACATTTGGTGTGAATGATTTTAAAATTCAAAACTAGAGTTGGGCGGACATCATTTTGCCAAAGATGAGACAAAATCAGCAACAGTATGAGGGAATTTTTTGTCCACAGGGGGCGTCAAAGTCAACACATACAAAGACAGTTCCTCACAGAAGCTTTAAAGCAATAATAAAAGAAAATGTTCCACATAGAAATTTAAATAAGCAGCCTGTTGAAACAGCTCATACAGTTGATTTTAACATATGTAATGCTTCTAAGGCAAATAGTGGCCAATCAGATTCCAGAGGTAGCCATGACTACTCCTACTGGAAATCATGCGTCAGACTGACTAATTGAGTTATTTTTTAGTCGATTAAAGATGTGAGCCCAGCGAGTTCAACAACAAAAGGAATATTAATTCATATTTTGACACAGGTGCTTGACATTTGGGGAACATGCAGAGTGATTGAGCTCTGATTAATCAACAATAAGGCCACGTAATAACAGCTGATCATCACACTGTCCTTCTTCAGTGTTCATTTTCTGCGTACTGCTCATCTGCACTCCTCGCTTTGTCTGTGATGCTCTTAACACCACACCAGCTACACCTAGAGGTCCCTGGAGCCCACTGCAGCTCCTCATCCCACTGGCTCATATAAAAGAGACTCATTTTGTTATGTTTCTACCCCCCTGTGCCTGTCTTATTATGTAAGATTCTTTGAGTTGCTCATAGAAATGCAAACTGCACAAAAGACAACCCTTTGTGCATACAAATGTTGGGCATATGTGCATGAGCTCTAACCGTTCTCGCCTCCCACTGTGCTGCACTATCCTGCTCTCCCTCAACAGTTTGGCCTGCTGTAATAATTCAAGAGCTGAGACACTGGAACAAAACATATCTGTGCCATAAAACACTCAGCGTATAAATAACAGTACCCAAGCATTTCTAAATGAATTTGGTGTTAATACAGGCGTCAGCGTCACATCAACATGTGCTCTTCCCACCAGAGCTGCAGTCCGACTTATTTAATGTGTTAAAATGTGGCCAGAGGAGGCGAAGACTTTGTCAGCGATGGATATTTCAGGAATCATTTGTCTCCTCTGAGGACACAGGTGTAAGGCCGGAGCCTGAGACAGCTCTGTGCTGTTAATATGGTGTCAGGATTACCTAAGCATTTAGTGCCTCTGGCTTCATTTCCCCCTGAGACACTGCAAGTTTGACAACAATGCGGAGAAAACACGGCAGCCTACGCCTCCCTGTGACCCTACTATAAAACTGCATCTATCTGGAAACAGGCAACATGTTCTATTAAAGTCTCCATGTTTTATTTTTATGTGAAGAATCGATACCAAAGTGGCATTTCTGCAGAAGACTCTCTACCGTCTGACCAGCAGGTTCTTATCAGTGTTTCCAGTCTAGTGTGAGACTCTGCAGTTTAATTAATGAATTGATTCATTGATTCAGCAGGATGAACTCCAGAGCATGCATGCATTTGTGCTAACGTACAAAAGTAAAACTTCTGACAACAGCTGGTTAAATAAGATACTAGTCCATTTATTAAATGTACAGAAATACTGTTCAAAATCCACACAAGAGAATGTGTTAAAGGACAAGTCTTCATTCAAATGTAAACAAAACGGTAGCCCCACCATGTACTGTGCATATAAAGCAAATGCTTTGGGAATGATTCGTCCTCTCGTCGACAGCACTCTTGATTTTAAACCTAATTCTGGACAGCTCAATGTGAGTGTCGGTCTCTTCTGATGTAAACAGCTTGTAAATAATCATACTTTTGTAAACATTAGAATTGGATGGATGGGATCTTGAATTGCGATGGACCTTTTAAAGCTGCAGAGGATTATTTGCATTACCGTTTACACTTTGTGGCGCTGCAAAACCAAAAAGAAATACGTCACAGAACAACAGAGATAGTACTTCATAAACAGTTTACAGAATCTACAAATTGTAACCTATCAAAATGAGTTCATGGTTGGCTTATTTATTTATTCTTTTTTTTTTCAGAAATGCACTCTCTTTAGCTGCAAATCAAGACCACACAATAGTTATAGCATTGAGGACAATCATGTCGAACATCTCAGATCATTCTTTTTTGAGCCTCTACCCTATGTACAGAAATACAAACCTGATATCAAATGCAACCAAATAACAAGAGTTTAGTAAATTTACCAAAAACACTTCTTCATCTCCAGTGTCACACAGCACAGGCCGACTCACACGACTGGACCTAAAAATGTGCTTTTCTAACCATGTCTCTGAAAGCAGGATTGGTTTTCTCTTATTTTTTGAACGGGGAGCACGATAAACTACCACACCAGCAGCAGCAGCAGGAGTCAAAACAGAGAGAGATCAGCTGCGTCTGTAAACATTCATATCATGATCGACATTGGACCTCAGTTATTAAAACACGCCTGGTTGTCTTTTTGAAAATGTAAAGGAGACATGCATGAATCATTAATTTCCTTTTTTAAAAACTAACAGGCAAATTCACTTCGGATTATTCCGACAGAACGATCTTGCGTTTGTTTACCATTAAAGCCACTATGCAGCTATTGCTCATTCTTGGCTTCTTTATGTGGGCTTTGAACAGGAGGCCTCAAACTGACCTGCCTTGTAGCTGTGATCGAACGTAAACATGAACTACAATCCTTAGAAATGTGTCACAAATTTACAAGAAAGACATTTTTACACCCATTCATAAAAACCCAGGCGGCTGATTCGTCTCAAATCTAAACTGGGATTCTCTTCCTCCTGAAATATGCAAACAAACCGACCGTTACGTCGAGCGTGACGAGCGTATGATTGAGTATGCGGAGTGAAAGTTGAATGATCAGATTTCTTAGCCCTTGTGGAAATGTATGTGAGTAATTATAAAACAATTGGTGATAATCCTCAGAGGTTAAGTGTTAAATCACATCACCGGTACTTCATACAAACAGTCTAGAGGCATAAATGCTTCGTCTGTGGCTCCAGTTCATGTTTAGTTAACAGAGTAGGCTTGCCAATGGAAATATGAATGTTCTGAAGCAAAACAGAGAGACAGAAAGACATTATTATTTTTCATGCTGGGAGCCGTTTGTCATATTACAGTACTTTAAAGTGGCAAAAAGGAAGAGGGATGGAAATCTACATGCACAACCAGCATTTACTGATTTGACTGTCCTTTTTTTTTAAGATTATAAGTTGTCTCAAAGTTGTGAATCTGCAGTTTTTTTGAGCTCAAATTGGCTTCTTTTGCTAATCAAACTAGATCCTTATAAACAAGATGACAAATCAACAAACACTTTCATTTAAGACGACAGAACTTTAAGTCAAAACAGTTAATTTACAATCAAAATATCCAACATTTTATCAGCTGAAAGTTTAGCTTTAAGCTTTACATTAAATGTCCAAGCCCTCGCTCAAATATAAATCCCATAACTGTCTACCTACATGGTAAGTATTTTCTAGGTGTGGTTACTCTATCGCAGCTTTACAGACACAACAGCATGTCTAATAAAAGAGGCCCAATGTTTGATCATCAGTTCTAAGAGTTATGAGAGATATCGTATGAGACGGAGAATATGTACACAGTGAATATGAACGCTGGTCTGGAGGCAGAAAAAGAAGTTGCTCCCCCAATCCTACAAACACTTCCCTCAAATCAATCCGTCTCGTGGTCAGACATGGTTTCTCTCACTCACACCTATTTCCCTTCTCTGTCTTCTAAGCGGCCCGGAGTAAAAATGTAATCCAAGGCTTGTCTCTCGGCGGCGGCCACGTTGGGGTGCCAAAGGTCCACCATGAAGACCACTCTGGGGCCGTCCTCGGCGCCGCCTGGAAAAATGAAAACAGAGAAAAACGGTAAGATTCAAACACTTTTTGTTTCAAGCTGAGAGATTTCCTTGGTGATGCTGATGTGGGCCATTTTAAGGCCAATCCTTCAAGGAATAAATAAATAAAAGGGGAAGGAGTGAACACAGGATTAGGTTTTAATCCCCTCTTACCCTCGTGGAAGGCCCTGTGGAGGAAGGAGTCATCGAAAAGCAGACAGCTGCCCTCAGACCAGCACTGTGGCTCTCCACCGACCACGAGCTCACAGGAAGGGGGCACTCTGAGACCTGCCAGACACACACAGAACAAGTCCATCCATGTGTTATTATGGGACCGACGGATTGAGTGCATTTAAAGCAGTTTGTGTTGCTTAGCAACCTGCCAGGTAGACTAAAAAACCTTCACTTAGAGCATCCTGTTTTATTACAATACGCCGTCTGAAAGCTCCTCAAAAACAGTGATGCCTGCACAACAATTAAATCTCTATTCATAGACATCACACAGGACACAGTGTGGAAATAGAATCAAAGCTAAGGTGCAGCAAAAACAGACAAATTTGAGCAGAAGACACAAATTCTCCTCCATGTGGTGTCCTGCTCTAAGAGGACGCAGATTTTCAGTCAAAACACGACAGCAGCTGATTCCCTGAGCTGAACCGCTCCAGTTAAATATGCTCATTACTGTAATCAACTGCTGTCGTGTCAGGATGAATACACACCGAGCCATCAGACATCACACGCCTGATTCAGTTTCAACTCCCCGAACAGCTCGCTCTCTTACCCAGGTGGCAGCGCAGTCTGACATTAGTTGGACCGTAGTGCTCAGAGATGAGGGCGCCGGGCGTCAGCACAGAGAAGCAGGCGTTTCCGAACACGTTGTTGGCGATGAAGGTGCGCAGTTGGCCCAGCACCCTCCAGGCCCTGGGACACCTCCTCACATTCAGAACCAGGGGGGTGCCTTGGTTGACCAGGTAGTAGGTCCACCACTGCCCACGAGGAGTGCTGTTCGCTTTCCACCCAGGTGGGAGGGAGGAGCCGCTGCGGGCCGGAGGCTGGTGGTAGATGCTCTCAAACTCGGCCAGGAGGGCGGGGAAGCTCTGCTCCAGCAGCTCCACGTCATGCCTCTGGATCTCTCTGGAGAAGAAGGGGGCTGAGGGCAGGTCCGGGAGGAAGAAGACTTCTGGTCGCTGAATCGTGGGTCGGCTGTTCAGGTACCTGCCTTGATCTCGGACTCCTTTGTGCACCCGGCCCATACCTGACCAGGTGTACCTCTTGGCGTAATCCTGCAGGCTGTGGTAGAGTCTCTGGTTCAGACTCTCTCCTGCGCTGGTGCAGCGAAAGCACTCGGAGGACTGGCAGAAAGCGAAGCCATTCTGCTCCTCCAGCAAAGACCCGTGCTTCCCTTTGCCCCGGCCACGGCAGTCTGAACTCATGAAGCCCCCAACCACCCCTCCAATCCGGCCGGGCCCTGACAGGTACCTCCCACGCAGAGGGCTGGACCCGTGCTCCCGGCCCACCCTGTAACAATACCACATAAAGAGAAGCAGCACGCACATGCCTATGGCGAAAGCACAGACCTCGCACTCCCTTATAGACTGCATCCCTCCCGCCACCATCTCCCTCACATTCTCTAGTGACCACTCCATCTCTGCTCGCCGCGGGAACGCTGAATCTGACAGAAGAACAGAAAGTGCTGATGAGAGATCAGTTAACGCGTCTCCCCTCGATGGTGATTGAAAGGGGCCTTAAACCACACGCAGGGCGTTAGGGAGTCTAGTGTCAGGCAGCTCTTATCGCCGCCCCTAATGTACACAGTCTGCTGATTTGATCTGACACTCTTGCTCTTCTGTGCTAACATTTCAGCACTCTGCAGCGAGGGAAGCTTTCTCCGTGCATGATGTGCGGCTGTGCGGTATTTGTGCTGCTGCTGCTCCCTCTCTTGCTCTTTTAGACAAAAGCAGACAGTCACCGCGCCTTAGGGTGATCTGCTCTCTGAAAAACAAAGACAGAAGGAGAAACAGGATGATCAGAAGAGACAGCGGACTGTACCTCACAAGAAGAGGATGCTGCTGTTGATAATGATGCTCTTTTTAAGTGTTCGTTTGCAGAGAGTTGGAGCGATGCAGGAACTGATGTCAGACTTTTCACCGGTCAAACTCATCCTCCTCTTTAACCTTCCTCCTGTGTTAGCTTTTACTACGCACCCACCATGTTAAGGATCGGTTTTGACCTGTGTCTTAAATCAGCTGTAAATTACACTAAAAACAATTCTCTATCATCCAGTTTGATTCTCATCTCTAGGTTATCTTGTTCGGCTTCATTATCCATGAAAATATTGCTTATGATAGTTTTTGTTGTGGGCCTTTCTTTGTCAGTATACCCCTCATACAGACATCTATACTGAATTAATCTCACGTGCTGTAATTTTAGTTTCTATTTAGTGGTTTATGTATCAAGTCCTGCATACACAGCATCTGTTACTCTTTAATCAGATGCAACAATGCCTGATGTACTGTCCCTGTCAGATAAACGAATGTCTGGACATGCCTGACGTTGTTTTTTTGTGCAGAGAAAAATACGGAAAAATGAGAATTTCCTAAATCTCAAATGATTGGAAGAGGATCTGACTGTCAGTGCGGTGCCTGACAGTGCTTTTATGATTTCAGTTTTGGCTCTAATTATTAGATATTGATCAGACCGGGTCAACAGCGATCCTAACACGACAAGTGCCATAAGAGCATTTTATAATTAAGTCGATTTTGTTGTTTTATTTTTATTTTGTTGACATAGAGCAGAGGTGGACAACCATGTGAGAGCTGAGAGCCAAAACTCCACCAGGTGATTTCACTGATTACCTCCAAGCAGAGAGCAGGGACTAATCAGTGAAATCACCTGGTGGAGTTTTGGCTCTCGGCTCTCCATGGCACATGGTCGTCCACCCCTGACATAGAGGTTCCTGACAAAGTCATAAAGTCTTGATGCAAAAAAGCTCATTTAAGTGTTTCTTTTAAGCCTTTAAAATCAAAAACCTCGTTGGTGCAGACCTGAACACATGAGGAGGGTTAAAAACTGGACAGAAAATCCTCATCTTGTATGAACCTCATGTAAAACACACCTGCTTGAACTCACTCACCCACACACACACCGTGGACTTCAAAATGACTGCACCTCACATCCTCTCTCACACACTTTGAACACATTTCAGGGACTCACACACACACTCTCACACACACACACCTTGTGGAGCACACTATAAAACCCATGAGTCATGGGCACATTGCTGCATTTAACCAAAATCTCCCCCTTTTCTGTGTTTGAGCGCACCACGCACACTCTGAGGGCTCCCCAAACAGAATTATGTAAACTTGAACACTGTTGATGCCCACCCACATTTATAATTGGCATTCAGAGGTTGCTCAGCGGGAGAGCTGCATAAATGGATCCTTGGGGGGAGGGAGGGGGCGACGGTACTCTCTGTAACCGTATGCTGTTGAAGAAAAAAGGAAAAGGCTCGATTACATGAGTCTGATTATATAATTATTACAGACCAGCAGCCAAAACGCGAGGAGTGCAATGCGTCAACTGTGATCAGAAGTCCACGATGCTCTCTCACCAAAAATGGTCGGGTAATCCTGCTCCAATAGATCCTCCCCTACATCCTGTCTGACAGCACCAAGACGTCCCCCACCTCCCCCACTCTCTGCTTTAAGGAAAGACCGGCCAACAAACAAACCCGAACCATGAACCCATCTTTAACCCTTCATCATCACCACCATCATCATCATCATCATCTCTCAAACGCTCCTCTGCCTCCGCGCAGAGGCCGAGCTGCCATCCAAAGTGACGGTCTGTAACCATCAATAATGAGCCACCGTAAACAACCACAGACCGCAGACACGGACCTCATGCACTCCGTGGATGTTTGCTGCGTGGGCTCGTGCTCAGGTGCTGGATCCGTACCTACTCAACATTCATGACTGTGGCCGTTGGAGAGGAGAGGCGCACAGGTGTTTCTCCAGGCGAAGCTGCGCACCACTGCAGTGCACACACAGTAGACGGATGTCAGTCGCCAACATTATAGGAAACGTCTCCAAAAAGGTTCAGAAGAAGTCCAAACACGAGGAGGAGGCGACACGCGACACGAACCGGATCAACATGATAAAGGTGTCTCACTGACCGTCTGTGTCTCTGTCTGTCCGTGACGGACACGAACCCCGGACAGGCTTCTGATAATATTGTTGTAAATACTGAAGCTCCACCAGGGAAGACACCCAACGTCAAGAGCGCAGAGGCAAGAGAAGGAGTATTTCCGGTTAGACCTACCAGAATAAAGGTCCCAGAGTATTTAACAGTCTTCTCTTCTGGATAAACAGAGTAGGAGTGAAGGAAGCCCCTTAGTTTATTTAACCTGAACTGGTGCCTAGTCCGTAAAAACTACTGCGCACACACTCTGTCCACTAATCATGGTCATTATAGAATATTTACTGTATATATGTATATATATATATATATATATATATATATATAACTTCATCAACAGTACATAAAGGGTCCCAGCCATAGTACTAGCCACCAAACATCTTTTAACTTTGACTCATTTCTGTAGTAAAGAGACTAAACACAACTCGCCTACTCTCTTCCAGCAGCCGCTTGTTTGTAGCGAGACCTCAGGCCAGTCCATTACAGACTACAGCAGGGTGATGCAGCTCAAGGAAGAACATTTATGATCATCACTTTATCATTTCCTTGAAGTAATAATCACCATATTAATCATTTTGCATGGCAGATGTGGTAGTTCTGCGTTAGCGTCTCGATTTGATTGCATTTCCATGAAGAAATGATAATAAATGTTCTTTCTTCTATAAGTTCTGTATCATAACTCCCTCAATCAAACTTTAATTGGCTAACTGATAACCAAATAAAAACACTAAAACTTTTTTAAATCTGAAAATTGAATGTCAAGTACAACACTCAAACGTGACTCCTGTCAGTCACTGAAGTGGGAAAAATGTGCACAACCAAGTTTCTTTAATGTATGAACTAAATGTATTTATTTTATAACAAACACAAATACAGTGTTTCATTAACGATGCAAACAGGTTTTAAAGTTTATTAAAAAATAAATTGACTTTATTATGACAAACGTTTTATTTTGAAGGCATACTGCTCCCATATCCGGTATTGATCTCCTAATGTCCGTCTGACTTGACTCTAACCAGAGCCTCCCTCCTCTTCCGTGTGTTTTATGGCTCGTCCATCGACTGCTGCTCGATATGTCTCTGCAGACATCAAATCCCAGGATGCACTGCGTCTTTTGCCTCGATAGCGCTCGTGAGCCCCAGGACGGTTGTTGTTTGATGGTGATAGTTTGAGACAAAAAAGGACAAAAAGGTCAACAAGTTTTCAACAAGAACAAAGTCCATCTGCAGATCTCAGTCCTGGGGGTGAAAGTCTGCAGGTCTGGACTGAAGGAAAGAGTCAAAACTAAAGAATGAAGAAGAATAAAAATGTAAATATGTGAGTGATGATGGCTGATATAAGATCATACTGGGATCAAACCAGTCTGACTGGTCCTAACCGGTCTGATCTGATTTGCCTTTATTCAACACAACAAGGTAACACATCAGATTATTAACAACATTCAGTTCTGCAATAAACTCACAAAGTGTAAACATTTACCAGGATGACTGAGGGGCAAGTTAAAGGGCCTCTACTGGGGGGTTAAAGGTCAGCAGTAAAGTTGGTGACTGGACCTTTAAAGAGACATTGGGACACAGGGTTAGTATGACAGTAAAACAAGTCAAAGGATTTTTCTTTTCCATATAAATATGTTTATAAGGTAACACTTTACAACAACCATAACTTACAAATGGTGAATAGACCATTTATAAATGGTAAGCAGATAGTTTATTAATATTTAATCATCATTTATAAATAGCATATAGACCAATAATAAATTGTAAATTTTACTATTTTAAGAACCTAACCCTAACTTTACAATAACCATCTAAGTAATGTTTATAGGTGTTTTAAAAACCAAATATTAACCATTTACAAAGTGCTACTGAGACACATTTTAATCATGGTGAGACAAAGACATGTTTGATCACGACGAAGCATGAAAACACCAGAGCGGAATAATTACAGGTGTGCTGTTGTCTCCTGTCCACCAGGTGGCGATCTATGATAAGAACCTATGCACATCAGCCAGAGAGGCTTTCTTCATCCTGATGAGGAACATGGTGAGGCGAGGATATTCCCTGAGTCTTAGACTTGATCACTGGCTAAACAGCTGATTGACGGAGTTTCTGTGTCAGATCAGCTGAAAGCAAAATTAATTTAATCTGGAGACAAAGAGCTATCACCACCACAGGGTAGATACAAAAGATAGATACAAGCAGCATAGTATAGATACAAAAAAGTCAAAAATTAGTAAATAAAGAAACTTGTAAATACTAATACCCTGCCTGAAGTATCACCTCTTCAGACTCTCTGATTGGTCTCATTCATGTTATGCTCAAATCATGCCTATCAGTATTTAAGGAACTTGATCCAAACTTTCTGCGTCCTGCTCCTCACTTTGCTCCCACTGCTGCAGGATAACCACCCAAAAGCGTTTGGATTTTCTCTGATTCACTTTGTGATTAAGACTGTGACTGTTTAGGTCTGTTGAACAGAACACTCTGACTCTACTAAACCAGTGTAACATGATGTTTGATCAGCGTTTACCATGACCCAGGTTTCTTATCGATCACCCAGCTGTTTTAATTACTTCACTCTGATTGGTCAAAACCCCATAACAGTGGGTATAAGTTCAGAAAAGCAAAGGCCAGTCTGCTCATGAGAGGTCAGAATAATTCATCATTCATCTATTAAGTGTTAATTATTGCTTTAAGTTATCTTTTATCATGATATTACTTTGAAAATCAATATTCTGAACCAGAGTTAGTCCACAGTGAGGTTAACGACTTAAAAGGAAACCAAAGCATCAATGAGGAGCCTGTGCGTGTGTCTCCATCCATCCATCCATCCATCCATCCAAAAACCGTCCCTGCTGCACTGATGTCTGTCCTCGGTCCTCTTAATCAGCTAAGTCAGTGGACGGGTGTCAGCCCGACAAAACAAGGAGATGGGGAAGTCCTTGTTTTTGCAATCCCTGTTGGAGAGAGGGCTGACTGAGTCCACTTTGAGGGGTTAAGTGGCCGCCATATCTGTTCGTCACATCCCTATTGAAGGTAGGACGTTGGGCCCGCAACCCCTATTGGCCAGTTTTTGAAGGGGGCTAGGCATATCAGGCCATTGCGGTCCCCCATGGTCCCGTCATGGGATTTGCAGCTGGTGTTGCCGGCTCTGTCGGAGTCTCCTTTTAAGCCTTTGTCCAGTTTGGGGCTGGAGCTCCTTTACCTCAAGGCTGACCAGCTTTTCGTCTGCTATGGGGGGCAGCAAGCTGGGCCATGCGCTGTCCAAGCATTGGTTAGCCCGCTGGGTGGTCCAGGCCATAGCTCGGGCCTATGATGGTGCTTGAGTCCACTCCACCAGAGGCATGTCCACCTCTTGGGCGCTCTTCACGGAGGATGTCTGTGTGGCGGCCGGTTGGGCCTCTTCTGGGACCTTTGCAAGGTTTTACAGACGAAATGTTGGTTCATCCGCAGAAAAGGAACAGAAGAGGTGGCCAGTATTTTCTTTTGCAGCAGGTGACCTTGTCGGTCTTCGGCTCTTGTGCCCCATGTCTTTATTTGTTTATTATTTCCTCAATAAAGTGTATTATGATCAGTGAACGACTCTCCTGAGTGTCTTTCAGCCTCACTTCCCCTCCTGCCTGACCTTATTTGCTTTACTGTTGACCCATATGGTGGCGTGTTGACCTGATATGAAGTAGAACGGATGGTTACAGAAAGTAACCAAGGTTCTATGAATAAAGGTCAACACGCCAGCTTGGTTTGTCAGTCAGTAGGCTGGTTCGACCTCAGTCGGCGAAAAGAGACTGGGCAGGTGATCACGCAGCTGTATTTGTACGCTCTGATTGTGCTCAAAGGGCGGAGGTGTTAATTTTCTAATCGTCTCCTGAAACAGGTCACCCTCGGAGAGAGCGACCCACATGGTGGCGTGTTGACCTTTATTCATAGAGCCTTGGTTACCTTCTGTAACCGTCCGATTTAGTAGTGAGCTATAAAAAAACTTACAGACACTGATAAAGAGCGAAACATTCACTGTGATAAAACTTTAACATTCTGATTCTTTATTACTGCCTTAATGTGAAATACATAAAAAGAGTCCTCAGAATTAAGAAGTGAAGGAAGGAATAGAAGTATTTGAAGAGAAGGATGACCTAAAAGTCTTCTTTAGTGAGAGAAAAGCTTTCAGAAAACTGGTTCATGTGCAAGACAACTGTTGGTGTGTGAAATAGAAAGTGTTAGTAAACGCTTTTACAGATTTATAGAGTTTATCTTTGTGCTTAGAACGTTTGTATACTGAATTAGAGCCGGGCCAATCAGAGCCGAGGATTTGAATAGTGGGCGGGGCTTCATAATCAGAGTAAAAACATTGGGAGCAGCGGGAGCTGTGAAAGAGGAGAGTGAGGAGAGGAGAGGAGAGCGAAGAGGGAACTGAACCTCCAGACAGAACAGGAGGATCCAGAGTCCTCCCTCAAACTGACCAGGAACTTCAGGGTCAGGGGGGGCAGAGGGTCTGACCCATCAAGTCTGAGGATCGTCCCGGTCTGAGGACTGGTCCTCTCGGTCCGGATCATGCCGGTCAGACGGGGCCATGTGGCTCCACAGAACACCTTTCTGGACACCATCATCCGCAAGTTCGAGGGTCAGAGTAAGTACGGGAGACCGGGTCAGGGTTAAACATGGTTGGTTTGGACTGTGCAGAGTTTTCTGCAGGGACACTGGGTCTGTTGGACACAGGTAATCTGGATGGGTTAAAATCTGTGCAGACTCTGTGTTTGTTAGTTTGTTCTGTCTGCAGTCAGATCACATGAGGGTTTAGTATAAATGTTTGCTGCAGGACTTCAGACCTGTGCAGACTCTAATTCTTGTTCTCAGCATTAGTTTGCAGCTGGTCTGCTGGTTTGAGGGTTGTTGGGTTTTGTCTGGTTGAGCACATTCACCTGCATACAGATGTTGGAGTTAAAAGTCAATTCTTCTTTAGGAAACATGAAGAGCAGGAAGAGTGTACGCCTCACTGTAGTTGACCAATTACAGAGTAATGCCACGGCAACCTGTTTTTGATAACTGAGAAAATATATAAAAATAAAGACAGATAAATATTGGATTACAATACAAAGAGAGAGTCATGGTAAGATATATTTTTCCACACTCATGAAACTAAAAATTCCCCAGTTACAATATTTCACTCAGAAAAATATTTGTCTGTTCTGTCGAGGTCAGGTATCTTGTTTCTAACTTAAGATAAGAAGCACTTTATTTTTCTCAGAGGGGAAATTCAATTCAATAGTTGTATTTGATCAAATTCAAAAATAAATAAACTAATAAAAATCTGTATGGAAGTGAATCTGTGACATCTGATTTTGAATTTCAAATCCATCGGATTTTGATGCAAAAAAAAAATCAGCTTCAGAAATTCAAATCTAAAATCAGATGGCACAGATGTACTTCCATAAATCTGTGATATGAAGATGTTCAGGGAATACTATCAAGAATGCTATGAACAGCCTCACACACCTAACCCTCATTAAACACCAACTCCAAAAAATGACTTTGAGCTGCATTTGACTCTGAATTCATGTAGTTGTTAAAATGATCATCACTGTTGGACAGCATCAGCACCAACCTGCTGAACTGAAAGGAAGAGAGATCACTGTATCAACATTGAGACTGCCAGAGCTTACAGGCTGAGTTACTGTGTTCCTGTGTGAATTTGTCTGTTATTCACTGATTGAAGACTTGAGTGGGATTTCCACAGAGGCAGACAGGAGTGTTTCATATTTCTACTGACAAAACCTTTAGAGGCATAAACAGTCTTAAATAATGTGAGAGGTCTATGGGAACAAAACTCTGAACACTTTCGGTCACAGTTTTATCCTGTAATTTCAGAGGGATGATCGGAAACCAAGTTTCTATTTATGGTCGTTAAAACGATTCATCAAAGTTGAATCATTTCACAGTGAAGCATAATTCTGTTTGTGAGCGTGTCTTGTGACCTGTGTGTGTGTTCTTGATTTTCGTAGTTGTGTCATTAGTCAGTCCGTTCTCTCTCTCTCTCTCTCTCTCTCTCTCTCTCTCTCTTTCTCTCTCTCCCTCTCTCTCTCTGCAGACCGTAAGTTTATCATCGCCAACGCTCAGGTGGAGAACTGTGCCATCATCTTCTGTAATGACGCGTTCTGCGGGATGTGCGGCTACAGCCGGGCAGAGGTGATGCAGAAACCGTGTACCTGCAGCTTCCTGTACGGGCCGCATACCAAGCGGCCGGCGGTCGCTCAAATGGCGAAGGCCCTGCTGGGAGCCGAGGAGAGGAAGGTGGAGATCTCGCTCTACACTAAAGATGGTACCGTGCCCCACACTCACTCTTTCACACGTTCAGATATCAGCTGTGTTTCTGTGATGATTGATGAAGGTCTGGTTTTACTCTGACCTGTTCACCTAAACACAGGGTGAAGACTCCCTGAAACTCTGATTAAGTTAAAAGTATTGATCTCTGTAAAAGGCAGGAATAGTTTATTAATCGCTGTTACAACACTCCTCAGTCTGTCATACCTGAGCGCTGCAATAAGGACAGGAAAACTCTCCTATAAGTCGGTGAGTTTGAAGAGAGTGGTGGCTGTCAGAGGAACAGAGACTCGCCGGCTGCAGAGCAGACAGTATGGATATGAAGGATAATAATAATTATCAAATGACTGATTAAATTTAGACATCAAACCTTCACAAAGTGGGTCATTGTCTAAAAACGTCTGAGAGAAGCTTGCTGATACAGACTGAAGAGGGGTGTACAGAGTCCTGACAGAGCTGCAGCCAGGGCCTCAACTTCAGCTTTTAGGTGTTAGGGCTCACTTTGTGGACTTAAGTCTGAAGTGAGTTGCCATGGTTGCGTCGATGCTCTGTGTCTGTAAACATCCTCACTATCCAGAATTAAACCAAACCCATGTTCAGTCAAATCAATGAAAGAGGACATCTTCATCTGTGGATTGATCTGTCTGATGACCTGTGTCAGAGAAATTCATCAAACTCTGAATCATGATTTGAGGTCTGTCACTTTAAAGTCCTCTCCCTCTGTCAGCCAATCAGAGTCAGCTTTATTTCAGTTTACTATGAAGTTCACTGTTGAATGGTCTCTGAGGTTGGTGTTGTCTCCTCACAAACTGACTGAGGATGAATAGTTACTGTTAGAAATGTTTAAATGAGCCTCACAGAGATCTTTTCTGCGTCATAGTAACACGCCAGTCTAAACATTCATTTAAGTTCATCGATACACAGCTCCAGTTTTCAGTTACATCCAAGCTTCCTGCTGTTTTCTGGAGTCTTTGTCTTTGAGGGGAGGAAATAGCTGATCTCTAGACAGTGCTAGACTGAGCAGTGAGCCCAGGCTTCATCTGTGGGCTCAGTTTTGACCGGCCAGTTTAACTAAAGCTAACAACTGGTCGCCTCTTCAGTCAAGAGGGATTGACAGCTAAAACTTCACCATCTTTCTGAACATGAGTTGAGCCCTTCATCATCACTGAGGACTCCTCTGTGCCTGTGGTTCAAGCATGGAGGACCATCAGTACAGAATTTAAGTTTGGTCCTAAAAACCTCTGAGCTTTTACTTCAGTGTTTCCTCCATGTTCTGTCAGGGTTCCTGTATTATCCAGTACTTCTGTTAAGGATAGGCGGTCATCCCTTTGACAGAGCGAAGGTGTTTTTCTGAGTGTTTTTGATGATTTACCTTTAAAAGTCTTCAGGATAAGATTTGGTCAGAGTTATCACCCCCTCTTTGTCTCTTTTTGTGGAGCGATGTCGCATGAATCCTGAGGATGTAAACACTCACAAATCTAACATGGAAACTCAGCATGAACGTGATCACTCTGTTGGCGCCCATTTCTGATAGTTTCATGTATAATTAATCTCCTGGGCTCAGGTTGCCCTGCCATGTTGGCGTTTTAGATGTGGTTGATCAATACTGGGTTAATAATAGCTGCTCCTAATGTCTGAGATTACCCACAGGTCAGATCTGAGCCGTCCTCTGAGGGACGCTCTCTGGGTTAGAGAGCCTGTGGACTCATTATGGGCTTTGAAATCATCTTTCTGAAGCAGTCAGAGGAGCTGTGAGACGCAACGTCTTCACCTCCGTTTGATTTCCATGAATGAAACTGGTTATATGAAAGATGTAAACGTGAAACTTTAAAACTTTTAAAAGCTGCCTTACTCTCGTTAAACAGCTGAAGTTCTAGAAAGTTATTTGATCCAGGAAATGGACAGCACATAGAGCGCACATGGTATAAACAGAGACCCTCTCCTCTGTGTGTGTGTGTGTGTGTGTGTGTGTGTGTGTGTGTGTGTGTGTGTGTGTGTGTGCAGCTCTGCAGAGTAATAAGAAGGTCACTAAGCGAGCTGTGAACATAATCCTTATGCTCCTACAGGACTGGAACACTGATATGTAATAAGCTGGTCCCGGAGATATCACATGCTAATTTCATGCTAATCATGAGTGCTAATTGACTATAATGTTCAGAGCTGGTTTATCCTACACATGGCAGCTCTGATCAGCCACATCCCACAGAGGGAGATATTTGACAGGAGTCACTGACATGGTGAGGACAGACTGTCTTTGGAAAAGAACCTTTGAGTAGATGTAGAAGTAACTAGAGCTACAACAACCCCAATTTAAAATGAGATTTTGATGGTTTATAGATCGGGGTCATGTTTCTTATTGCAGGTCCTTAGCTCTTATTCTACCATCATGCTTCAAACCTAAGTGGACCCAGGAGAACAGTTTCTGGAGTTAATTTTCAGTGTCCTCAGGGCTAAAAGACACACATAGCTGGATATCATCAGCGTAAAGGTGATAAGAAATGCCTCTGAATTTGCTGATTGATACGACTTAAGGGCAGCAAATACACAGCAAATAATTAAGGGTTCAACACAGAACCCTGAGGGACACCACAGGAGAGGGCAGCTGTTTCAAACATATATGGACCATGTGACACAGAAAAACTCCTGTCAGAAAGATAGGAGGAGAACCAATCCAGGGCAATCCCAGAGACAGTGGTCAACCGTATCAAAGCAGCACCAAAACAGCATTCACCAACATCAGAGGACATGGTCTCAGGTCCAGAGATGTCCCTGGTGTTTCTGGATCATCTTTCCATCTGGTTTCCTCTTTGAATTGTTCAGTTTTAACCTTATTTGTGAACTGAAGTGATTCTGAGCTTATGCAGTGATTTTCACTCCAGAGTCCTGCCTGAGGGTCTGAAGACCAGGACCATCCAGTGTGGGTTTTAGTACAGAGATTTCTCCAGATTGTTTGAATCTTTTAATGATTTGTTAAAGAACATTTAAATTCTCAACATTTAGGGTTAAGAAACGAGTTAAAAATAAATATTGTTTATGAACAGAGGAGATCTCTTCCTGCGACTCCTGCTCTGTGTCTCATGAGGAGGAACATGTTAATATTATTCATGATGTTTGTGCTTCGGATAGACAGATCACAGAGCGAACGTGTAGGAATAACAGGAAGGAACAGTGTGTGTAAATGTGTGTGTGTGTGGATTATCTGTTCTCACTCTTTCCGTTAATCTCTAATCCGTTAGTTTATCATTTCTCTTGGTTGATTCGCTTCTTCTGCTCTAATAAAAAAACTCTGATCCTATTTCCCCCCCAGAGTCCCTGAAGAGCTGCAGAGACCTTCACTGTGACCTCTCCTTCTCTGTTACACACACACACACACACACACACACACACACACACACACACACACACACACACACACACACACACACACGGTAACTGAACTAATGTTTACAAAACAGATGAGTGTATTTTTCTGTCCTACCCTGTCGTTGATGCTGCAGTATATTTATATATTTCATGAGTTATGTTCAGGGATTGTCAAAATAGCCTGTACTTGTCTGTTTCTATCTGTATTTAAGAGAGTTTGATGACGGTCTCAGTCTGATGAAGAAATTTTTGTGTCTTTTGTGTTTAATATGTTCCAGTTTAATCTGAATCTGCAGTTAGTGTTGATGTGTGAATTGAGCTTCAGTTTATGCAAAAATTGAGTCCCATCAGTGAGTCTGACCCCTTACCTGTCCGAACTCATCAGATGTTCCTGTTCGTCTCACCTGGGTACCGTCTGCTCCTCCTCACCTGCTTTAAATCCAGACAAGAGAACTTTAATATCAGTTCATGATCGTCACTGTTAATCCAAACAGTCTGTCTTTTCAGTCAGAGCTCACCTGCAGACCCCAAACTCTGATTAAACTCACCTAACTCTACAGACAGAGGTCACTACAGGTCACCGCAGGGTGGGACTTAGTGTCTATATCAGCAAGTGAAATGAAGTGTGTGTGTGTGTGTGTGTGTGCTCTACAGCAGATGGTCCCCTATTAAAGTGAAATAAGTTAGCATGTAGCTACGGTAATCCAGTCTAGCTGTCACAGAGACTGACAGAGAGAGAGAGAGAGAGAGAGACGGTATGATGGAGCTCAGCAACTCCCAGAAAAGACTGTGTATCAGTGACTCTAATGGGCCGTGATCAGTCAAAGTTTATGACACAGACAGAAGGAAGATGGAGAAGGAGGAGAGCTCAAACTATGAGCTCTATTAAAGAGGAACGATGTAAAACCCTCTGTACCTCACCTTAACTTTATGTTAAACGGCACATTATTAATCCTTTTTGCAATAAATAACAAGTTTTACATCACTTAACCAATACTGATTTCCTCGAGCATCAAACAGAGACACAGAAGTCCAGTTTCTGCCTGTTACAGAGGGGAGGGACAGAGGTATCACCTGACTTGCAGATCACCTACAGACAGCTCTACACCTCTGTATGTCTATGAACCAGTAAGAAACCTCAAAGGATCTGTTTGAGTCGAGCTGTTTTTGTTGTTACTTTCAGAGGTATCACGTATATTCATCCTTTTATTAGTGTTGGTTTCATATCACCATGAAAACTCTGGGATCATTATCAACTATCAGATTAATCACTTTTCTCTCCACACCTTTAAAAGGTAACAGAGTCCAGGAGCGACTCTCCTCCTGGTGGCTCCATCAGGTTGAAACGTCCAGAACAACATGAACCTTCTCCTTCAACAGAAACTGCTCTGACATAAACCTGAGTCTGTGTGTATGTTTGTGTGTGCAGGAGTGTGTTTCCACTGCGTGATCGACGTGGTTCCTGTGAAGAACGAGGACGGTCTGGTCATCATGTTCATCCTGAACTTCGAGCTGCCCTCAGACCCTCGACCCCCCAGCAGCTCCCCATCCAGAGAGCTGAGCACAGTGCTGAGGATCCCCTGGCTAACCCTGGGTATGATTCATTACTGTGAGCTCAGTTTATCACTCTGATGGCCAGGGCTGGACTGGGAAAGAAATTCAGGCCGGGAGATTCCTAGTCAGCCAGGCCACTTCCGCCACCGCGAGGGTATTGTTATGTGGGGTGATGCGCTGAAATTTGTTTGTTTTTTTTCCTCCAAAAAACCAGCCTTTTACAGTTATGTTACAGCAATTACAACAACACTATTAAACTGACAGTAAAGTAACACAACACCACCCTATTATTAAACACAACCAGGACGACAGCTCCACACAGTCCAGGACTCTTCTCTTCTCTAATCTCTTCACTACCCTCATAAATGTTTCCTTTGGTCCTTTTTTTAAATATAATATATGGAAATAAACAAAACGTCGGTATTATTTTTTCTGCAAATCATTAAGATGTCTGCTGGTCATAGCTGATAGTACATGCTAACACCAATATTCATTGTAAAACTGAAAATTGTTGGTCAACAGCCTATCTTACCTGAAGAGGGGGTCTTAAACGTTTTAGGGCTTCCTGCAACCCACCTGACACCTGTGGAGTTTTTTGGGCCAGACTCTCGCCTCGCTCTCGTATCATCTCGGCTCGGCGCTCTGTGTTTGTTTTCCTGTTCACGTTGTGAAGGGGCGGGCCATAAAGCACCTGACCAATCACGACATTTCGACGAATTCCAACCCCTCTGATCCCAGCGCTCAGAGCGCGTGCTTTGTGTGAGTGGCACAAGCAGACCAACTTTTTTTTTATTGGCCTGCCAGTGCAGCCAGGCAGGCAAATAAGGAGGCAGGTCACCGGGAATAGTCCCGCCTCTCCCTGTTGCCAGTCCGGGCCTAGTCCGGGTGTACGAAGATTGCGTAGATCACCGGGGGGGGGGATACGCTGTTTGAGCCGAGCGTCATCACAGCAACTCTCGGCGACTCTATCGCCAAATGCGTACAATGCTACTGCACAATGTTGGTTTCAGGAAGCGGAGAAAAATCGTGGAAATACCGAGGGCTTTTCGGCTTCAAATCAGTACACAGGCGGAAGGCAGAACCAAGTCGTCCATGGTCTATGGTTACTTATATGTCTTCATGATTCAAACATTCAGTCTCACTCAGGTTTCGAGTTCAGATCCCTACCTTATCCTAACTCCTTTGCCTCCCCAAGCTCGACGGCAGCGTCTGCGCCTCCTTCTCCGCTCCCTAAGCCCCGCTTCCAGCGTCCTGTCAGCGGACACAGAGCTTGGCGCCCCCCTGCCTCCTCTGGGACACGAGTCTGTGGCTCTGGACAAACTGCTGACCCTTCCCGAGAGACAGCAGCTGGAGGAGGCTGGAGCTGGACTGCTGCTGTGGGACAGAGAGGAGGAGGAAGAGGAGGAAGAGGAGGACGAGGAGGAGAAGAAAGCAGAGACGGATGGCCTGGTGGAGTTCAGGAGGAGGAGTGAAGGTGACAGGAGGAGAGGAGGAGGTGTGCTGCTGATGGACACAGGTACAGGAGGAGGAGGGAGAGGAAGAGGGAGAAGAGGAAGGGAGAGGCCTTCAACTCCAACCTCTGCTCCTCCGACACTGACCCTGAGCCTGACCTCCTCAAATCTCCTGAGCAGGTTAGTCACTGAAAGCTGATGTTCATATGAATCTGCTCAGTCTGCAGCTGCTCTACAAACAATCATTGTTACTGTGAACTCTAAGGTGGTCTTAGTCTCGTTGTCTTTTACACAGAGAGGAGAGAGGAAGAGGAGACGATGAAGAGGGCTGCCTCCTCTACATCAGTCCTCCACAGAGCAGGCTGGACGGCAGCTGTGTCAGTCTGAAGCACTCGTCCTCAGTGGACGACATCCAGAGTGGAAAAATGAACACGGACAGGAGGCTGCAGCTCAGACACAGCTGTGCAGGTGAGACACAGACGAGTCCTTTTAATTGGTCCGTTAGCTTGTTATGGTGTGTGTGTGTGTGTGTGTGTGTGTGTGTGTGTGTGTGTGGGTGGGTGTGTGTGTGTGTTATGTTGTAGAAACATTGAAACTGATTGTAGTCATGTGACTTTTTGTATATTTTATGAACATGTTTTAATCCAGAATAGAAAGAGAGAAACTAAAAACAGAGATGAGGAATAATCTCAAACTTTTAATGATTGTACTTCATCAGTCTGAGCAGCAGAGGGCGCTGGTATACATATGTAATCAGAGTAAGAGCACCTTACAGTGTATCAGTCTGAGGAGAAGGTTAACCTAAAATTAAACAGCTGTTAACCAGTATCCCAGAGATGTTGACCAAGTGCAACAAAAACAAGGAGATTAAAAAAAATGTTTGTGAGGAATAAAACCGGCCCAAAAGGAAAAACTCCGACCATTTCTAAAGTTTATTCAGATGACAAAAACATTTCATTTGATCTCATTTAGTTTCATTATCTCTGTAAGAAATGATTAAACTGTTCTCCTCTTAACTTCAGGTATGCTGACCATCAGGAAGAGCAGCATACCTGTGGAGACATCAGACACTGACATCCGCTGCCGGACCAACAGCCAGGTAACACACACAGACACACACACACTTACACACACACACACTCTCTCGCATGTAAATCCTATGGTTGTGCAGTAAAGCATCTATTTTTGCTTCTTGCAGCAGATGGCGCTAAGCGTCTTGGACTTGAAGACAGATGCGTTTGTGGCGTTACCTCCAGGGGAAATCAGACCTCCCAGCAAACTGATGGACAGAACTCACCACGTGACGGAGAAAGTCACCCAGGTGTGTACTTCAGAAACCTTCTTTAGATGATGGTGGCTGCACATTTCTCTCTCCCCTCTTTTCTGTCCTCTGTCCTCTATAAAAGATGAGGTCTGATCATGTCTTTATAATGTAAAGCAATGACACAGTTGGCTTGTATTGAACATAATACTATGTATGTGTGTGTGTACATTTATAAATATATATATATATATATATATATATATATATATATATATATGTATATATGTATATATATGTGTGTGTACATTTATGAATATATTTGTATGTGTATATATATATATATATATGTATATATGTATATATATGTGTGTGTACATTTATAAATATATTTGTATATATATATATATATATGTATATATGTATATATATGTGTGTGTACATTTATAAATATATTTGTATATATATATATATAATATATATATATGTGTGTGTACATTTATAAATATATTTGTATGTGTATATATGTGAGTGTGTGCATATATAGTAATATATTTGTATATATATATATATATATATATATATATATATATATATAGATGTGTGTATATGTATATATATGTATATGTGTGTATATATATATGTGTGTGTATATATATATATATATACATACACACATATATGTGTATATCTATCTATCTATCCATCTATCTATCTCTCTCTCTCTCTCTATATATATATATATATATATATGTATATATATGTATATTTAAAATGTGTGCATGTAAGCCTGCTGAGAGAGTCCAGGTGATGACATGAGGTCAGACAGGTAGAGGTCGGTTTACTGTTAAGTGTGACGCAATGTGTTCACAGGTTGTCTTAGATGAGTTTGAGTGATCTTACAACTCACATAATATGTGTGTGTGTGTGTGTGTGTGTGTGTGTGTGTGTGTGTGTGTGTGTGTGTGTGTGTGTGTGTGTGTGTGTGTGTGTGTGTGTGTTGGTTGGGAGATGAGTTGTTTCTTGCTGCAGCCTGTCATGTGACCTCCTAAAGCACAGCACTGAAATAAAAACACAACAGAGGGTTATACACTAACCCCCCCCCCCACTCCCTGTCTGTTTTGAGGACGAAGACGGTGAGGACGGTTATTTCTCTGCATGCATGGGTGGGGGTGTTGGTGGTGATTAATGGGGGTCACCTGCTGATCTCAGTTAATTTAGCAGGCACAGCAGGTTGCATGTGAGTCGTCCTTGCTCTGCGTGAGGACGCCTGGATTGTCCTCTGACATTATCTCTGGATGTTTCCTCTGATGCTCATCAAACACAAACTGTCCTCCGTCACTCAGACCTGTGTCACCTCCAAACACCGAACCCTTCCACATAAAACCACAGGAAGAGGAGATCAACACGGCTATACTCATGATTTTAACACAAACACAGACCCTAAACTGACTGTCACGACCCTGGCTGTCTGTGCAATAAAGTGGTGTATGAACTTAATCAGGTCTTTAACAAACCTGTTTATTGTCCTAACACCCAGAAATGACAAAAAATGAAAGCATTTTATCCAAGGTTAACATCCCTGTGATTGGAGGATGAGGAGGGATGGAGAGAAGGTGAGAGAAGTGGGTGAGAAGAGAGGGGAGGGTGGGGAGAGAGGGTGAGGCTCTGAGAGCTGCACAGAGGATCATAAACTGGTGCACAGAGCAGACAGAGTAAAGAGACCAGAAACTATTCAGCAGAAGTTCACTGTGGAGTCTTCGTTTTTATGACTTAATTTCTGTTGTAATGGTCCTTTTAAACAAACAGAGACAGCTGAGTGGACCACAGGACCAGCTCTACCTGCAGCCTCATCTGGATCCACTCTGTGTCTCTCTCAGGATCCTGTGGATTTATTTTGAAGGAGCTCAGAGGTTTAAAACTTTTTCTTTGATTCTTATTCAGACATCCGCTTCACTCTGACTCTAAAAAAAGGAGGATAACTAAGACTACAGGAGGAGAAACTTTATCTGGAGTCTGTCTGCCTTGAATGAAGGCTGTGGTATCAGATGCTGTGGATGGAGAGGTGGATAGAGGGACAGACAGACAAATTTAGAGATGAAGGAGGTAGAGATGAAAAAGGTGAAACAGTGAGAGTGATGGAGGAGGAGAGAGAGGACGCAGAAAAGAAGAACAACCTCCAAAACACAGAGAAAGAGAATGAAACATCTCAAAGTTTGAGAGGAGAAGTAGATGAAATAAAACAAGAAGAAGAAGAAGAATCGACCTGGACGCAGGGTGAAGGACAGACGTGTCCCTGATGTCCTCAGTCAGCGTGGTGGACAGCAGCGGGGTGTCTCAGGACAGCAGTGACCACAGAAACAGAGAGAAGAAGAGAGGGACAACTGCGTCCTCAACAGTCGCTCATCAAGTGAGAACACCTGTGTGTGTGTGTGTGTGTGTGTGTTAGTGCACTGTCCTACCTATCCAAGAGGGGAACCTGGTGTCGTAACACTTTCACCAAGAGGGGACCGCGTAGCCAACAGGGGACATATTTTAGGACCCCTCTTGGTCATGTTTTAAATCATGCTAAAATCATGTGAAACACTCTGGGGACGTTTTTTTTATTTTAGCAAAGTGGAAACCTGAAGGTGTGTGAGTGTTTAAGTCCATGCGAGTCTCACAGAATCACCTTTGTGTGGTCCGTCACTCAGGTGCTGCTGTGGAGGACATGTGAATGTAAGAGCTCAGGTGAAGTTCAGACCTGCAGCTCATTAATCACAGCTCGTCTCTGGGGTTTACAGGTCTGTGTGTGTGTTTAAAATGATATATGATCTCAGTCCACAGTAAAGCTGTTCGTGATGAGTCAACCGTTCACACCAGTAATGAGGTTTCCACTGACCTCATTACAGACGGGACCTGATGAATCCACTGAGTGTGGAGAAAAACCAGCTCTCAGAGGACTGAAGTCAGACCAACATCTTCGACATTCAAAGAAAAGATGATTTATCAACATTATTCTATAAATTCAATCCTCTGAACATCATGTTTCAGTCACTGAATTCTACAGGAGGTAAAGAAGTTATCTGTCAGGGCTGTTGTACCAAACAGGGAGGTGTGGTTTTCACCTGAGACCACGAGTCCAGAGGGCGGCTGAAGCAGCACTGACTGGTCTCTGTCTCTGATGGTCATTTCTCTCAAATCTGTCCTGGATGTGGATCCTGTGGACGCTGTAGGAGGACGGTCTGTCAGACTGAAACTGGTTTAAGGTTAACGTTAGCTGACAGTAACTGTGATCAAAACCTTCATCCTGCTCTGTGATTGGTTAGCTTATCTCTCAAAAGATCACCTCATACCTGGTTCAGGTGGAGTTGATGGATGAACTGATGAAACTTGCTGACTGTGAAAGAACTATTACCTCCCTTGTGTAATGACCTGAATATGGGGAGGGGTCTATATTAGGAGTTAATGTATGTTCTGTTTGTGGGGCTGGGGGCGAATAAAGTGTCCCTCCCTCATGATAAAGAGCGGACAGTCACACCTGGTTCAGGTGTTGCAGGGTCAGAGGACTTTTTAACCTCCATGTTTTCTGGATGTTATTTTGCTCTTTGGTTTGGTTTTATTTTCAGTAACATGCTTTTATTTTGTAGGAGCCAGGGCTATTTAAACTCTTTTCAGGAAGATTTATGAATAACATTATGATGTTTTCATCTTTGCTGTGATATGAAGTCTATGCATCATTTTTTCAATGTTGGACCGTAGATGTTGAAATCCCGAAATTCCTTGCAATTGTACTTTTAGAAATGTTGTTCTTAAACTGTTCGCCTATTTGCTCACGCAGTTGTTCTCAAAGTGGTGAACCTCGCCCCATCCTTGCTTGTGAATGACTGAGAATTTTTGGTGAAGCTGCTTTTATACCCAATCATAGCGTCCACCTGTTCCCCATTAGCCTGCTCACCTGTGGGATGTTCCAAATAGGTGTTTTCCCAACAACAATTTCCCACTTTAGTGGAATTGTGTTTTGTATATTAATAAAGATCAATTAACAGAGGCCATCGTCTCTGCCTCTGTCTGTCCATCTGTCTTCTCATTCTGTTTGTCCTTACTGTCTCAGGTGCTGTCTCTGGGCGCCGATGTGTTACCTGAGTACAAGCTGCAGACCCCCAGGATCCAGAAGTGGACCATCCTCCACTACAGTCCCTTTAAGGCGGTGTGGGACTGGGTCATCCTGCTGCTGGTCATCTATACGGCCATCTTCACTCCGTACTCGGCCACTTTCCTGCTCAGGTGAGTGGACACTCACACCTATAAGACTGACGAACATGTCAACTCATAAACATATTAGCAACACTCACATAGAGGTGATTTTATATGTTTTATGATTATTACAGGATTTATTTTATTTTATTCTTTGAGCTGCTCTTGGTCCCTGTAGCCCCTGAGCGGTTATGAATATTCGACTTGTGTTTCCCTCAGTGACCAGGAGGAGGCGGCCATGCAGACCTGCGGGTACTCCTGCTCCCCCCTGAACGTGGTCGACCTGATTGTGGACATCATGTTCATCGTGGATATCATCATCAACTTCAGAACCACCTACGTGAACTCCAACGATGAGGTGACGTGAAATCTTACTGTGTAGAGACGGGTCGATCAGTGTGTCCTTAGACAGGACAGGTAGACCGGAGAGGACAGGTGGAAGTGCTCTACTGTACGGGGCACACTAACTTCCTGTTCGTACCTTAAAAACAGCCAAAAACACAAGATATTAAAATATACGTTTAAATGTTGTCGTTCACTCACACTGACCTTCTGTCTGTGCTCTGAGCAGGTTTGTGTTGTCTGTCTTGTTGTGTGTCCTCAGGTGGTGAGTCAGTCCCTGAAAATCGCCGTCCACTACTTTAAAGGCTGGTTCCTCATCGACATGGTGGCCGCCATCCCCTTTGACCTCCTCATCTACCGCTCAGGAGAGGAGGTGGTCCGAGGAGGAGGAGAAGGAGAGGTAGGGTCGGGAGAGACGCTGTTCTTCCTGTGACACTTTTATCACATGACTTGGTCACGTGGTCTCATCGCCGCTGTCCTCCTCTGAACAGACCACCACTCTGATTGGCTTACTGAAGACGGCTCGGTTACTGCGATTGGTCCGTGTGGCGAGGAAGTTGGACCGTTACTCAGAGTACGGGGCGGCCGTCCTCTTCCTCCTCATGTGCACCTTCGCCCTCATCGCCCACTGGCTCGCCTGCATCTGGTACTCCACTCTGCTTCATATATTCTTGTCCTCGAACTTTCTGCCATGTGACCATCGCCAACAAAGTTATTCTTTTCATTGTTATCATTTATCTATATTGTTTCTGCACTCTGTAATGCAAACTTTCTCAGTAAAGAGTTTTAAAGAAGGAGCACTAATCATGTTCTTGTCTCAGGTATGCCATAGGAAACGTGGAGCGGACCACCTCAGCGGGGATCGGCTGGTTGGCTACTTTGAGCAAAGAGCTGGGAAAGCCGTACAACGAGTCTTTCCCAGGCTCCGGTCCTTCCATCAGAGATAAATATGTCACCGCTCTGTACTTCACCTTCAGCAGTCTGACCAGTGTGGGCTTTGGAAACGTCTCCCCAAACACCAACTCTGAGAAGATCTTCTCCATCTGCGTCATGCTGATTGGGGGTGAGCTCATGAAGACTCTGAACACAAAAACCCTGAACTGTTGACCAGTTCCGAACTCCAGAAACTGGTCTGCTGGGTTCACTCACATTTACAGTGCTGGGAAAAGACGAGCTGATGGATTTCATTTCTTGTCGATCTAAAGGTCAATGTTACAGCTCGTTCTCTCTCTATGTTCCAGCTCTGATGTATGCCAGTATCTTCGGTAACGTGTCGGCCATCATCCAGCGGCTGTACTCGGGTACAGCTCGATACCACGCTCAGATGATGAGGGTCCGAGAGTTCATTCGCTTCCACCAGATCCCCAACCCTCTGAGGCAGAGACTGGAGGAGTACTTCCAACACGCCTGGTCTTACACCAACGGCATCGACATGAACGCTGTGAGTTTCTGTCAGTTTGTTTACTTTATTTCCAGGACTCATCGTCGTTGTTTTCTTCCGCTTCATCCGGGTCCGGATCGCGGGGTTAGCAGCTTCAGGAGGGAAGCCCAGACAGCCCTCACCCCAGCCACTTCCACCAGCTCCTCCGACCCCCCTGTCGATCTCCCACTCCATCCTTCCCTCCCGAGATACATGAACTCTTCCACTTCCAGTATTTCCAGTTCTGCTTTTAGTTAATCTAGGTGTCCTGTCTTTCTGCTGCAGGTTTTAAAAGGTTTCCCAGAGTGTCTGCAGGCGGACATTTGCCTCCACCTGAACAGAACACTGCTGCAGAACTGTAAGGCTTTCAAAGGTAACTCAGGCCGCCGTCACACACTCTGAGTGTCGGATCAATCACAGCTTTAAGACCACGACTGTTCATACTGTTCAGGACTCACTGGTACACTCAGATGTCTGCCCTGTTTGCTGTTGTGTGTAGGGTCCACTAAAGGCTGCCTCAGGGCTCTGGCCATGAGGTTTAAGACCACCCATGCACCCCCAGGTGACACACTGGTCCACGCCGGAGACCTGATCACAGCGCTGTACTTCATCTCCAGAGGCTCCATCGAGATCCTCAAAGGAGACGTGGTGGTGGCCATACTGGGTAAGTGATCACATGATACTGCACATACATGTACACAAAGGTATACACAGATACCGTGTGTCTGCTCTCACCTGTCCATCTTTATTAATTTTGTGCCGAACTTCTGATGAAGGGAAGAACGATATCTTCGGTGAGCCCATAAACCTGCACGCTCTGCCGGGGAAATCCAGAGCTGATGTTCGAGCGCTGACCTACTGTGACCTACACAAAATCTACAGAGATGAGATGATGGAGGTACGGTCACCTGAGACCTGACGAGGCGACGACTGAGCCAGTCTCACCAGCTCATCATTAAAAATACGTGTGTGTGTGTGTGTGTGTGTGTGTGTGTGTGTGTGTGTGCAGGTTCTGGACATGTATCCTGAGTTCAGTAAATACTTCTGGTCAAACTTGGAGATCACCTTCAACCTCAGAGACGTGAGTAAACTAGTGTCCCAAATCGCATACTTCCATACTAAACACTTAAAATTTTGAGTATACTCAACTCAAAATGGAAAAAAAATTGATAATATGCTAAATTTGAATATGCAAACTCAAATCGGTCAAAATTGACAGTGATTGACCCTGTTCTTACCTGTGTGCAGGTAAACAGTGAATCCGTGGGTCGGCTGAGCGGAGAGGATTCCGACTGTGAGGGCGTCGGCCGACTTAGGAGTAAACACAAACTGTCCTCCACACACACAGGTAGATCTCCACCCAGGCACACAGCAGGTGAGAGCTGGTAGCACCTGAAATACACAGTGACCGGGGCTGAAAGTGGCTGATTCACTGCAGGCCTCTAGTGGATTCTGGTGGAACTGCAGTGTTTGGGACTTGAGTGTCACAGAGCAGAAATGATCAGATATCACAAATCCACATCTACTTCTGTTCCTGTAACCTCACTGGGTTATATCTGCTTGTGTTTACCTGTCAGGTGATACAGCGTCAGTGAGCAGACTCAAAGCTGCCTACAGGTGCAGAAGAAAGAGGAAGGATCAGCGTGACGTCCTCAACAAAGACGATCACAAACACACACTGTGAGGAGATATCAAACACACCCTCATTCAGCCAGCCTGCACTCTGTACACAACACAGCTCTGACCTCTGCGTGTGTGTGTGTGTGTGTGTGTGTGTGTGTGTGTGTGTGTGTGTGTGTGTGTGTGTGTGTGTGTGTGTGTGTGTGTGTGTGTGTGTGCGCAGGTATGGCCCTGTGTTCTCCAGTGAGGATGAGGAGGAGGATCCAGAGATGACGGGTCACGCTCACACCTCCAGACCTTATCCTGCTGCTGCTGCTGCAAACACAGAGAGGAGCTGCAACCCTCTGACAGGCAGGTGGACAGGTGACAGGAGGATACACCTGAGTGTGGTTTTGTGTGTGTAGTTGTGTGTGTGTGTCTGGCTCTGTGTCTAATTGTGTCTCTGTGTAAACGGTCTAGATGCTTTGTCGGGAGTGTCTGACATCTTCACGTTCTGGGGCTCAGAGAGTCGGCGGGAGCAGCGATACCAGGAGGTGCCGTGTTCCTCACCACCTCCTCCCCCACCTCCTCCCCCCCAGGTGATCTCCAGGAGGCAGAGGGAGGAGCTAGAGAAGAGGTTGGAGGGTCTGCAGAGTCAGATCAGCAGGTGGGTCACAGCTCACAGCACAACTAGGGACTTGATCGCTGCGTCCTGCACCTCACTTAGCATCCAGATCTTTGTCAGGCCAAATGTGGTCACAACATAGCGAAGTGTTAGAGATGTCACCTGGAGCGTGTATCGCCTGCTGCTGGTGAATCTGTGAACAGCTCCTCTCTGTAAACTGTGTTTCCAGGTTGGAGTCGAGCATGTCTGCAGACATCAGCACCATCATGCAGCTGCTGCAGAGACAAACACCCATGATCCCACCCTCCTACAGCACACTGACGGCAACATCCAACGCACCCTCCTCCCCTATCCTGTCCCCTACCAGCACACCAACCTTCAACTCCCCTACAAACACCGAACAAGTGACCAACAGCCAATAGAAACAGAGAGCGCACCAGCACCACCCAGTAAGACTATTCACCACGAAGCATCCACCTCAGAGCTCTGACAAGATCACACCTGGATCAGGTCTTTACTGTCAGCTGTTATTCCAGAGTGGCTCAGATAAATGATCTTATTCTGAAAAAGAAGTGTTGATAAACAGTCATAGTTCGGGGACATCTCGACCAGTTAGCTCAGCTCTGACCCCGTGACCTGGACAGTGATAAACAAAGCCAGGGATTGGTCGGTTCAAACACCTACACAATCGCAGAGATCCCAAAGAAAAGTAAAGCAGTTATACAGAAAGAAAGTGTGTAATGTCCCTTTAACACTGAAACAGCGTCACTATGCTGTTTACATTTACAGGAAGCTCTACGGACGATCTCTTTGGACAGAAAAGGTTCATGAGTAACATGTCAAAGGAGAAAAAACCCTGATTAGAGGAGGATTAATCTCTGACATGGATCTGACTGAGTGTAGACAGTGAGGGTGAAGGAGAAACCTCAGGATTTATTTGTAATTATTAACGGGTGTATTAATTTCACTGCTGTTTAGAGTTTAATGTCAGCTGTCTGCATGCAGTGAAATCTAGATATTAGAGATGTAGTGAAACAGTCTGTGAAGGAGACCTACTCATTATGAATGATACTGACACGGAGAGCTCCACCTTTACTTTGTTATGTCTTTTACCTTCAGTGCCTTCAGCTGTCTCTGTCTGTCAGTCAGACACAGAGGTCCTGTTCTTCAGTAAAGCTAGGGGGCAGTAGTGTTCATGTCTGACCATGATGTCGTGTTCACACCAGAGCAAATAAATGCATTTGTGCAGATGATTTATGTGTACCGTCTGCCTCCTTGCTGGGTGAAGCCACTCTGAGAACAGCACCCTCTGGTGACAGGCTGCAGTATAGGTCATAAATCCCGCCTCCTCCAGCAATCCCTATGGAGCTGTGGACAAACTTTAGAAATTTATTACACAGAATATAAATGTTTCTCCCCCTGCTTGCGATGTTGACATGTAGTTACTGTAAGTGTCATCACAAAGGCAGGAGGTAGAGTTGTTTATACTATATACAGTCTACACATTTGAGCTTTTAATTTCACACCAATTAAGCAAATAAATAAATTAGTTTGCATCTGGTATGAACACGACATGAGGAGGGTGTAAATACAGAGATAGAGTTTATTATTATTGTTGTTATTTTTACTATATTTACTAAGAAAATTTAATGTTAACGTAGAGGGAAGTATTCACACCTCACCTCACACCTGTGTGCTGGATTTTATTATTTATATGTGTGATTTATTTTGTCATATATTCATCCTCCTTCCTGTCAAACATTGACCTGTTACAAATTCGAATGATGGACATTTAATGTATAACATATAAAAAGTATGACACAGATTTATCACTGTTATTTATCATATAAATGTTAATTTGTATGGTTTATTTATTAAAGTGTATTTGTCCTTTATTTATTGATACTGTAATGTAAGATAAACTTCACTGTTTCTGACTGAGGCGGAAAAGTTGATCAGCAGGTTAATGTCAGAAACGTTTAAATAAAAGAGAAAAACATGAAAGTTTTTATCTGTAAGATTTTCTTCCTACAGGTGAGTTATACTTCTCTAACAGTTCAGGTGACAAACTCCTTAATATACTGTGAAGGTTTGAATAAATCTACTTTAAAGTTGAAGTCTGTGTGAAGACTTTTCTGTGTTTTTCATGTTAAAATATGAGTTTTAATTTACATAGTTAAGATTTTGGTTTTGTTGATGTTAAATTTGGATTCATTTTTGAAAGTTTGCGCGTATGACGGCGCTGTGAAGATGTTGCTGTTCCAACCAAGATTTAAAACAAACAGCAGGGAAAGTTAGAGGGAAAACCAATTTTAAGGCCTTACAGTTACGACAGTAAAGGTTACAGTTACGGTATTACAGTTTTAGTCCATGTCAAAGAGCTGGCTCTGTTTACCAAAGTCTCTCTCTCTGAGGAATAAACATGAATATTGGTCTGAGGTTTTTTATTTCAGACTTTCTGCTGAGTCTGAATAACAGAGATAGGCTGAATGATGTCCCTGATCATGGCTCATACATGATCCTGTCTTTAAACATCTCCTGCTGCCCTCTGCTGGCCAAAACCAAACCTGAGAATAAGTAAGACGCTCAGCAGATTTTCAGTCAGTAACCTTTTTTAAGGACTGATTCAGGACGTCTAAAAGCTGCTCTGCCTTCTCTTGTCAGCAGGATAAAAGGAGTGAGTCTGTGCTCAGCAGCCTGACAGGGACTCTTTGAGATTGTTTAGTGGGTCAGAATAAATCCCGCTTCACTGCAGTCAGCTGATTCAGGAGGTTAACAGGAGCAGAAGAAAACAGAGAAAGGCTTTTCCTTCACTCACCACATTATCGGATTCACAGGAGGAGGACGGACCTCTTTATCTGCATCCTCAGCACTGCTGCTATCATCCTCATCAAATCATCTTCATCTGTGGGTGGAAACCTGTGTGAACCTGTTTGAGGAAACACCTGGATTATGACAGATCTGGATTGTACACAGCAACTGGAAGGAAGCAACTACATCAGATCTGATTCTTCATCTGTGGTTGAAAGTTGTGCGCTCGATTTCTGGTCACCGTGGTAACAGCATCCAGGACTTGGTTGGACCTGTTGTTGTACCTTTAAGATCCAATCTCGGACCTGTTGTTGGAGCCATCATGCTGTACTTCCAGGTGGTGATTCTGGCAGCGATGGTGATGCTGGTCTATTACTGTGAGTTCACTGACACCTTCAGTCCAGCAGAGCAGGGCTTCATCTGCAGAGACCCTGCTCTCTCCAAACCAGATCCTGGACCAGAGCAGGACAGCCGAGTCCAGCCTGTAATCCTGTACTCTGTGCTGGGAGGTCTTCCTGTTGTCCTGGTGAGTCTGACTGGAAGTGTTTCAGAGGGGTGACACGGATATGTAGCTTTTACTCCGGGTCTCTTTTCAGCTTCGTCTGAAGTACATCTTCTTGTCTTCTGCAGATTTCAGGAGTCGAGCTCATCATCTTCCTCCTCTACTACAACTCCAGCTCCAACACCCTGTACGACCAGGAGAAGGCGGTGGTGATGGGCGACTGCTGCTACCTGAACCCTATGGTGCGCAGGACTTTCCGTTTTCTGGGTAATGTCACTGTGGACTCTTCTATAACGGAACCAGAAGAGCTCCTCTTTAGTAAAGATGTTTTTAAACTGTTGTGTAAGGTGATTCAGAGAGCTCACGGTTCTACACAGATTTATCGACACAGCTTCAGACCTGCCCTCACCAAAATGGCAGACACACTGACACATCACAGCTGCACAACACAACCATCAAGGCCTCTGACTGTACATGATTATTTTTAGCTAAGAATAGTGATCAGGTTTGATTATTCTGAGCCTTGTTTAACCTGCAACACCGTGTGTGTGTGTCTGTGTGTGTTTCTCCTCAGGTGTGTACGCCTTTGGTCTGTTCACTACAGACATCTTCATAAATGCAGGTCAGCTGATCACAGGAAGTCTCGCTCCTCACTTCTTGTCTGTCTGTCAGCCTAATTACTCCACTCTCTGCTGTGAGGACTCAGAGCTCTTCGTTAGCCAATCAGATGCCTGTATGGGCGACCCTGATGTCATCCTGAGGGCCAGGAAGACGTTTCCGTCCAAAGAAGCCGGGCTGAGCGTGTTCACGGCGGTCTACCTGTCTGTGAGTGTTAGTTATCCACATTAATCTTGCATAAAGCATCTTTAATTTAATTATCAAACACAGCCTCTCTCTCTTTTTTCAGATGTACATCATGTCCTGTTTGGGTTCAGGTAGGGGATATCTGACCGGCCCCCTCCTCAGCCTCTCATTGGTTGGTCTTGCCGTACTGACGGGCATCAACAGGGTGGCCGAGTACAGGAACCACTGGAGCGATGTGATTGCAGGACAGGCCATAGGGGTCGCTGTGGCTCTCTTTCTGGTCAGTGATGAATCTTATTAAGATGTGTGAGCTCTGAGCTGAAGCCTCATGTTAGAACTTGGTGTGTAAAAACAAAAAAACTGTCCACTGGAGGATTTTAGGAAACATAAAACACACGACAGAAGTAGTTCATCTTCATGGGTAAGTGAGGACACACACACACACACACACACACACACACACACACACACACACTGTGTTCATCCCCTTCAAAATGCATCTTCTCTAATGGACTGATTTGCTGCAGGACACGCGAACTCTCCACTGAACCTTAATTCTCCCTGAGTTACACACAACATGCAAGACGGAGCTGTCGGAATAAAGAGCAGGACTTCACACACACACACACACAGGCACACACAGGCACACACATCCCAAACAACATTTGTTCTCCCCAAAGGCGGAGTGAAACTATCCCACCATTCCATGTGTTGGCTGTTTTTCCTGTAGTTTTATAATGATATGGCTCTACCTTTATGAACAGACCTCTTGGTTTTCTCTCTGTCACTGACATATCTCTAAATGCAGAGCCGGCCCAAGGCATAAGCGAACTAAGCGCCTGCTTAGGGCCCCGCTGCCATTAGGGGGCCCCCAAGAGCAATCCAAAAATGCTCCAGAGTAAAATCTCCCACACACACTTACACACCAAAAACTAGTTTTTGTCATCCTGTGGGCCAAGTGAAAAAAAGCAAGGGGAGTATCAGGGGAGGTTTCTTAACCTATTAAAAGGGAAATTGGTGTGGGGCCCACCATTTTGAGGCCCCATAAGGTTACATGGTCTCATATTGTTGGTGTGCTCCCAGTACCTGGGCCCCACCATGGAGCAAATATGAGAGTACACACACACACACACACACACACACACACACACACACACACACACACACACACACACACACACACACACACTGTAGCATACATTGGATGAAGCTGTTAAAGAACAGAAACATGAATTAAATTTGTGAAATTGACTTCTTTGCTGATGGACCACCTAGAAAAACAGAGCGGCGTTTCCAGGTGAAGTCAGTAAATCCAGCATTTCGGTCTCGGGTCTCGATGTGATTGTTTATTCAGAGGTTTATTCACAGTCATGACCTACAGAAAGATCTGGAGGTTCAGGTAAATCTCTAGTTGGGTCACTTTGGAAGCTGAAGGTCTAACCTGTCCTGGGACCAGATAACTTACTGTCAGGATGTGAGTTTCACACAGTGTTGTCTCTACAACAATATCTCATAGATGCTGTCAGTGTATGTTTCAGTGTGTGTCTCTCTGACTCTGTGTGACTGTATCGTTACACTGACAGTGTGTGAGAGTAAGTGTGTGTCTCTGTCCTCTGTCCTCTCAGGTGGTGTTTGTGGTTCAGTATTTTAAAAAGAGACGTTCAATACCTCGCAGTCTGTCTGACGCTGGGACGGCCAATCCTGAGGAGGCTTTACCACAAGTCAACAACAACACGGCGACCAGCGAGAAATACATTATTATGCGGGTAAACACACACTCACACGATGCACATTATCGTCCAAAATCTTTAATATTTAATCTCTTTTTAAGTCCCGTGGGAAAGTTTGAAGTGCTTATTATTAGGGTTATATTATTACCTGTAGTCCAACCTCAAAGTCTTTTCTTCTGTTCTTATAAAATACAAACAGATAAAATAAAAAAAGTTTTTTTCCCTTTTTAGATATAATGTTGTTAAACATATCAAAGATAAAGATAAGATAGGAACTATCAGTCTTTTACAGAGGTGAACCTGAAAAACATTGTGATGTGGTCCATTTCTGAATACATCGAATTATTTGGCAAAACAAAAACTGCAATTATGGAATCCTTTGACAACCATTTAGGAAAAAAGCTTTGATTTTTTTTTTTTTTTCAACAATCCTTCTTAATTTGGAGATTCTTTTAATTTCATCATCTTTATTTCTCCTTCATAGAGTTCAGGATCCGTCCCGGAGATCACATGACTATGACTTCCCTGAATAAGGGAAAACGAAGGACTTCTGCAACATTTCAAATACAGATTTTCAAAATAAAACCCTTCAGACTTCTGGCTGTTTAAGCAGCAACGGGAAGTGCACACCTTTCTACCTCTCCATAGTAAACTCTGACACGTGTGTTTCACTGGGTTCATTTTTTATTCTGCTGGTTTAAGATGTTTTTTTCTGCTGTTCAATAGTGACTGTAGTTCTCGATTTACAAGGTAACACTCTGAGGGTTGTGTGAGTGTGTGTGTTTATGTGAGTGTGTGTGTTTATGTGTGTGTGATAGTTCCCTGGAGCTGGTCATGACATCAGCTTGAACTCTATCAGGGTTTCCATGATGACCTTCATCAAACAGGCCATTGTTATTGTGTGTTTGTGTTTGTGGGTCTTGCCCATAGACTGTATATAGATGGACGCCGTCTGCCTCCTCGCTGGGTGAGAACAGCACCCTCTGGTGATGGGCTGCAGTATAGGTCATAAATCCCGCCTCCTCCAGCAAAATAAATACAGTCTTCAGTCTTTCCCCAGAGGTTCCTGTTCCATAGTTATTCATTAAAATGGATTATTTCTGACATAAATGTTACCTTGTTATTGAGCAGTATGATTTTTTCCTGTTAGAGTCAAGGTTTAGGTTAAAGAGTTTAAATGTTAGCTGACCTCTGACGTGTCTGTTTTTAATCTTGTTTGTCAGATTTTCCTGTAAACTCTCAGTGTTTTCAGTTTGAAAATACACTTTCCTGTGTCGTTTCAAACTCACAGGCCAGCAGAGATTAATCATTCTCATGTAAACAGGTGCAGAATTTTTAAATCTTAATAATGGGACCTGGTACCTGTCTATGGCGCTAAAACTACCAGAAACTGGTTTGCTTAATGTGGTATGACTGTGTTTGGTCTGACCTGGTCTCCATCGAGGATCTCTGGAGTTTAATGAGGGGAAAGATGAGATTCCAGAGCAACAATACAGATGAGCTGAAGGAACTACCAGAGACCTGCAGAGCAACAGACTGATCATCAGACTGCAGATAATCATGCACTAACCGAAAACTGAGAGCTGAAGGTCCACACATCTCTGAATTATAAACCTTTTTTTCCAGACTGGTGTTTTGTAACAGTCTGATGTTGTTCGATGGTGGATTTTCATGAGCTGTGAGCCGATATCATCAGGATTCAACAGAAAAAGTCTTGAAATATTTCACTTTGTGTGTGATGAATCTAAAATACGTTTTTGAAATAACTTAAGGGGGAAAAATGAGGTTTTTAGGGACAGTCTGATTTCTGGAGCTGCACCTTTGTTTACTCACTGTTTGTTTGTTTTTTCTTCTGATTAGTTTGAGAGTAAATATTAAAGGTTAAACAGAATATTAAACTATACTAGACACTGTTTAGATAAGTTATAATGAAACCTGTTAATATCAAGTTTTTAAAGTTTTTTCACATCCTGAACTTAAATATGAAATATATCCTGTAGTTTTGTTGCAGTTTATTTGAATTTCCCTTTGTAAACTCTGCAGCACTTTGTTACCTGATATTAAACACACTGTGTTAATTTTTCTCTCTGTATTCTGTGTGCTGAATAACGACTGTAAGTTTATATTTACTGTATTTAGTTGCACAGCTCTAAAGTTTTGAACTGAGCTTGAAGTGAGATTTTAAGATGTTTTGAGATGTTAAATAAATCATATTATAGTATGATAGAAATATCATAGTATGGTATGTCAAAAGAAATCAGTTTAGTATGTTAAAAATGTCAAAGGGTGTTGAAAAATCATTGTAAAGTATGTTAAAATTATCATAGTATAGTATGATAAAAAATCTAAGTATAGTATGTTAATAATCATAGTAAATTATGTTTAAAATGTTATAGTATAGTATGATAAAAATATAGTATAGTATGACAAAAAAATGTCAAAATATAGTATGATAAAAATATCATAGTACAGTATGTTAAAAAAAATCAGTTTAATATGTTAATGTCAATGTATGTTGAAAAATCATTGTAAAGTATGTTAAAATTATTATTGTATGTATGACAAAAATGTCATTGTATAGTTTGATAAAAATCAAGTTGTAGTTTGTTAAAAAATCATAGTAAATTATGTTAAAGATGTAATAGTATAGTATGATAAAACATCGTAGTATAGTGACCAATATACTGAACATTTCATTGATCATGAAGAGTTTTGTGACATTAGCTTTAAAAAAGTTCAAAGGTAATGATAATAAAAGGAAAGTTTTGTCGGCCAGTGCTGTACAGGAAACCAAACCCTCTCTGTGTGACCGATCAGCAACAAAAGAAGTCCATCAGCTCATCACTGTGACTCTCAGAGCCGAAGAAACTTCTGATCCAGGATTAGACAGGTTGTTGCTCACCCAATGCCTCTAACCTTTAACTGGTATGTATTTGTTTCAGCAGTCACATCATTTGTTCATGTTCATCTGATGTAACAACCTTCTCTTCTCTCTGTAAATCACAGAACTCAGCATGAGCTGAAGAACTAGAGAAGTCCTGCAGATCTTCACTGTGGCTCCCTAGAACCAAACTCCGAGTCTACAGCAGAGAAGGGCTCTGAACTTAACCAAGTATGTTTCATCTTCAACATCTTTGACTTTTCCAACAACCAGCTGTGTAGGATTTGAGTTGGTCGTCTGTAACTCTGGTGTAACGGTTGTCTTTCCTCTCAACTCATCACAGAACCAGCTCGACATGAGCCTCAAAGCCAAACCAGCAACCAGCGACCCTATAAACCTTTAATAAATACGCCATTAATAATTGATAAAGTAGCTATTAACTTACATTAAAAAACTTTATATTTGCTATTTATAATTGTAAGTGTTACCTCTGTTTCTTATTTAAACTTTATGTGACTTAATTTAAAGAAACCTCCTCACTTCTGAGACATCATAGAACCTTTAAGAAAATGTAGTTTGAGGTAAGGAGTTTTATGAGACGTGCCAAACTAAAAACTAAATGTAGAAATGTTTCTTAAATGTTTAATTTTCTCTCTCAGGTCTTCTGTTTGTTTGTTTGTTTGTTAGTTTCCTCCTGAGCTCTTTGGGTAACAGGCTGCAGCTCTCTCCTCTCGCTCAGTGTGTGTGTGTGTGTGTGTGTGTGTGTGTGTGTGTGTGTGTGTGTATGTATGTGTGAACCCTGAGCCTGCTGTCTGTCACCTGGCTCTCATCCATCACCATGTGGGTGCCACATAAACCGGTCTAGTTCTTTGAGGTGAAACCACCTCAGGCATGATTAAACAGCCTCTAATACCTCAACTTTGCTCCCCTTTCGTGCGCTCAGGCTCTCCAGGCGGGGGGCGGAGCCTGGCAGCCCGGTGCCCGCCCTTTGAGATCGGGCAACCGGGTGGCTGCAGTCAGTCAGAGTAGTTGGAACATATCAGAGGAGATAACCTGCAGACTCCAAATGGAAGTTTAATGACCAGCGTTATTGGATATTATCAGACATGGCGAGGTCAAGGGCGAGGGTGTGCGCGTGCTGCTCGCTGATGCTGCTGTGTTTGATTGTGGTTATTGTGTGCGTGGCTGTTCTTGTGAGGAAGAAGTGTCCAGATGACACCTTTACTAAAGCTGCAGTGGCTGCAGACTCCAGGACATGCTCGGAAATTGGACGGTGAGTGACATGAAACTCTTCAATGATGGTTCAGAAAGTCTCTGATAGTTTTGGTGACTGTGCTCGAGTAAATCAACACATTAGGACTTTAACTTTCTCTGTAAGTGAGCAAAACTTTGCTCTCAGTAACACGAGAATTAACAGTTTGAAATAATGGGGAGCAAATTAAACTACGTGCGTGCGTAATCAAACCATTACGCACGAGTTCTGATGTGAACCAACAACTCATTAAACTTATCCATGAGTTAAAACTTTTACAAACTTTATTTTTACATGTGCTGTTGTTGGAAACTGTGAAATCTCTCTTCCTTTTTTCGCCTCCTGATCATTTTAATATCATGGATGCTGAATGTGATTTACATGGAGAGAGCTCATGCAAAACATAAACAGCCATACCTGCACGCAGCATAACGGAAATGGATCGGCATGCACAGTAGTGATAAGTGTGTAATCTCACAGGGATATCCTTCAGAGGGGAGGCTCGGCGGTAGATGGCGCCATTGCTGCGTTGCTGTGCACCTCTGTCATAAACCCGCAGAGCATGGGCCTCGGAGGGGGGTCCATATTCACTGTCATGGACACCTCTGGTATCAACAATCAGTCATTAACTCTCTCATACATTAAGATTAAATGATTGTCCTGCTGCGGAGACATTTTTAATATTTAATTCTCCTTTTTTTTCAAAGGTAAAGTGAAAATAATCAACTCCAGAGAGACCGTACCTCAGGAGTTTGACCCTGACCTGCTGAAATCATGTCCCAAGACCTTCCAGATGATGACAGGTACTGATCCCGAATACCAGATATTCAAACACCTTCATACTTTTGGAGGGCATGTCTGTTTTTTCTGCACTTGATTGAAATCACAGGTTACACGCAGGAGGACGCAGAGACATGCTCCCAAATATTAACCTCTTCCTGGTGGAGTCAAAGTCTTTTAGGTCAGCTTCATTAAACCCTGGACATGATTAAATATCTCCGTCTCACATGTTGGGCTTCTTGTTATATACACACCAAGAACCACACAGGTCTGATGTATAGAGGCTGGCCCAGAGCTGAGAACTCAGCCAAGACCACACACGCTCCTGGAACAGGAGGCCTACACAAGCTATTAATCTTGTCAGGACATGAACTTGTAAGCCTTTTTTGTAGGCAGAGGAGTTCAGCTGTAAGTGATACAGCGAGGACGTTATCAGGGAGGAGGAACTTTGTTTGGTGTACAGTATCAGTTCAATTTAAGACACACAAATCAATATATTTCTGTCAGTAAAGTTTATTAAAGCAGGAATCAAACCAACAACCTTTAATGTGAGACACAACCAGTGGGCTGCTGACACATTTCTGTGAGAACAGATTTTAATGGTTTGCAAATCAGGATGCAATTTCAAGATTTAACTTTTGATTTTGTTGTACTTGGTTTGGTGGAGCTTCTCAGGGATCTGCCATAGCACCCAGGCACGACAAACCCACTCAGGGTCCTACAGATTGGAGAAAAGAGAGAATAATAAAAAGTCAAAGGGGTGGGATTTGGAAAACAAGAGTGAAAGAGGAGAAAGTGGTCAGATTTTAATTTATAGGAAAGACGGAAGAGATGCGAGTGAGGTGTGGCCTCAATCCAGGAACTTTGCTGCAAACCTCACAAGATAGAAATGGTGTAAAGACAACCTAGCAAATATGGAAACAGAAAATTTGTGTTTCTTTATGGAAAATATTTGCTTGTTTTAAACGTAATGTGAGCAACACAGTTCAAAAACTTGAGACAAAGCAGCAAAATGATCTTGAATGTAAAAGTTGCAAGAAATTCGGGGATCCGGCTCATTATAATATCATGAAAGATTCAGAAGATCAGGATAAATCTTTGTTTTAAAGAGACGAGACTGAAAACTATTCATGGATGGCTGTGATCTTCAGGCTCTCAGTCAACACAGACATGACTCTTGAGTGGAGGTTACCGAATCCTATCCAAAAACTAGTCCATGAACACAGTTTGTCGCTCCATCCACAAAAAAACAAAGGGTCAAAACTGCAGTCAAATTTTCTTTATATAGCCCCAGTTCCCAACAGTCGTCATCCCAAGATGCTTTCCAAAGAAAAAGAGCAGGTCTGTCACGCTCATTGGAGGTCACAGTCTCTGCTCCATAGAGGGAGGGACAACCCGGCTTGTTATACAGGATATGCAGAAACTCAGACAATGACTCTCTCAGGTGAGACCGTGGATATCTCAGGGGGACCATGCAAATACTGTAACCATGAGTGCAGATAATAACCCATCATTGACACAAAGGTTTGATAGACCTGTCTCAGGTTTACAGAGGTGTAAAATAAAAGGAGGACTTTAGAAAATGGTCGTCTTGACTTACCTGCACATCTGTCCTTCTACTCCTCCAGGCACCCGGTGGGTCGGGGTCCCGGGAGAGATCCGTGGTTATGAGATGGCACACAAGCTTTATGGGAAGTTGCCGTGGGCGACCCTCTTTGAGCCGACCATCAAACTGGCCAGACAAGGGTTTCCTATCCCACAAATCCAAGGTCGATACCTCACCTATCTCGCTACAAATGAGACCGAGTCTCTACGGTAACGAACACACACACACTCTTCTGTAAATCAAAATTGACCCTTTTCTACATTTAAGTGTGTCTATCTGCCTGTTTTGACTCTTAGGAAGTTGTATTCAGATGAGAACGGGAAGCTGCTGCAGACCGGAGATATCATAAAGTTTGAGAAACTGGCCGACACGATGGAGGTGATTGCCAAACACGGGGCGGATGCTTTTTACAACGGCAGCATAGCAGAGGATTTAATCCGAGACATGCAGGAGGCAGGTATTGTACGATGGTTTTATTCATCATGCTCTCTTTCAGCATTTTCTGTCTCTGCCTGGCACTATGATCTAATTACAAAAGAACAAATCAATTGAATCTGCAGAGCGCTGCAGTGATCACTCACAGACTCTGAGCTGCCGGGACGCATTACAAGTCTCCATTATGTGGAGCTGAGAAGCATTTCTTTCAGTTTTGCTCAGCAGAACCATTTGTTTCAATGTTTCTGCTCAGGAGGAACGATCACGATGCAGGACTTGGCAGCGTACAGAGTCACAGTGACGGATGCGTGGGCTGTTCCTTTGGGAGAGTACCAGATGTACATCCCCCCACCCCCTGCAGGAGGCATCATCCTCAGCCTCGTCCTCAACATCTTGAAAGGTTTCTGCTGCACAGACTGCAGAGCTGCTCCTCCACACTTTCACATCACAGAGAGAAGCTTGTTAGCTGTATTCATGTGTTGAATCAGTCCTGTCTCTGCTTGTTTACACTGAGTGTTGGTTGTTAAGAGAATATCTTCATACACTGGAAACAGAGCGTGTTGAAACTGAACGGTTACATGTGTTTGCACAGGTTATCGTCTGAATCCTTCGTCACTGTCAGGTGACAAAAAGACTCTGGCTTATCATCGCTATATTGAAGCGTTTAAGTTTGCCAACGGGATAAAGAAACACATCCGGGATCCACAGTTCAGCTCAGCAGAAGTAAGTTTGACATGATAATCCGGTGAGTTAAACTGCAAACAGCCTTAAACAAACGAATCAAGTTTCAACAAAACAGCGGTGTGCAGACTGAGTAGAAACGGACTATAATGATCATAAATAGGGCTGGGTGATATGGCCTCAAATCAATATCACGATATATTGATCAGTTCACCTCGATAACGATAAATAGACGATAACTACTCCACAAGCTGCTCACCCCCTCCCACATTAACTTCGTCTACTTCAGCCGCTACAACTTTTGAACCGTCCTCCATCTCCTCACCTGTCTTTCCCTCTTTGTTACGAACTAGAAGGGGTGGAGTCACGTCTCTGACGTAGGACAGCGTCTTAAAGGGACATGAGATCATAGTCTACCTACACACATCCAAAAGCAACTTTGATTTATAAATTTTTTTGACATTGAATATACTGATATAGGTAAAATAACATTGGTTATTGTCGTAAATTTCGGTATCTGTAAATTTTCAATTTATCGCCCAGCCCTAATCATAAGGATGTTCAAGATTAGTGTCTAAAAAAACAGCCGTTTTTTGTTAAAGGTCCTATAGGGAGTTTTTGATGTTTATATAAAAGTGTTTTTTATCATTAAAAGCTTTTGATTTTGGCAAATAGAGGGTCAAACTCATCACCCACCAGAGTAGCTTAACGCCCTTAAAGGCCACCGTCACTTAGAGTATTTCTATGCTAGATGCTGCTTATTATTTCCACCTATTTCTACAAAACGTCTAAAATTCTCTTAAAACCTCATAAAAGTGTCTCAAATATAAATTTGAAAGGTCTTAAAAATGTATTGATGTTACTTACAAATAAAGATTGATTTGAAGTTAGTTTTTTGCCAGTATGGATGTTCATGGATCTTAAATTGTATTTATTATGGTCTTCAAAAGTCTTAAAAAGTCTTAAACTTGACTTGTTGAAACCTGCAGGAACCCTTTACGTAACTCTCCACATAACACAGGAAGGTCAAATACTCTGTTTTCCTGGAGTCTAAGTTAAACGTTTGAGGATGAGTACCTCAAAATCGCCCTCATGCACGATGTAAATGAGCGTAAATGTTCTGAGTTAATGTCATTGTTGCTTAGAGAGACTGAAAAGTGTGAGAGCCAATTAGTCTCGATAATAAGCTCTCGCACTTCGCTGTAATTGCTCATACCAATTAGTCTTTAGTGTGCATGAGGCTCAGTGTTGCACCACTTGACCCTCACTGGGTCTCAAACATGGATAAAAACTCAGATTTGTGATGTTCACACATGAATCCAGACTCTCTGAACTTTAAAGTTTATAATCCGCATCCTGTAACTCTGCTGCGACTACGTCAGCAAATGTGTCCGACTTGTTATTTTGAGAAAGGACACGCAGGACAAGAGCTTTAGAGGCAAATCAAAAAACACCCAGAGGTCAAAAATTGGGTTGCAAATCTCTTTTAAACACGCAGATCTGATTTTTTTCATCTCCTCTGCAAACAACAAGAAGCCCGAGTTATGATTAATGCTTTAAATGGGAAACTGGTGTTTTTTTAATGCTTTTTACTTTGCACAGATGGCCAAGAAATTCACAGAGGAAAGCTTCGCCAACAACATCCGGAGCTTGATCAGTGACGACAAGGCCCATGATCCTCAGTATTACAACATCACGCCGCATCTGGACAGCGTGGGCACGACGCATGTGTCAGTGCTGGCTGAGGACGGATCTGCTGTGTCTGTCACCAGCACCATCAACCACATGTCAGTCCTCTGCAGGGTTCTGCTTCAACCCTCAAATATTATTGTTGGTTTGAAAGCAGAGGATTAAGAAGATTTAAGAGATTATAGAGCAAGTGTTTTTGTGTGAGAGGAATTTGAAAAGAAATCTCTGCAGTAATCACAGTCCAAAGCTTTTGGTAACAGCTCTGATAATACACATTGTGAAACATAACCGCGGTACGTTTAATGTTCCTCAGACGGCAGCAGAACAAATCCTCTTCTTCTTCTTTTGATTCACAGATTCGGCTCAAAGATCTTCTCTCCAAGGACCGGAGTCATCCTCAACAACGAGCTGTACGACTTCTGCGGGAAAGTCGATAACATCTTCCCCGGTAATCAGATCAGCGCGACATGTTTTTATTTTCATTTAACTAAAAGAGTCAACAGATTAGCATCATATGGACAGATTAGTTTACTGAATTACTGAGTTTAACATCCACCTAGAAAAGCTTCATCTCAGCACATGAAGTTGAAGCCTCTTTAAAAGAAAAGATTCGCAGGGACCGCTGATATAAATCTGAAGGAAATTGTTGTTTTTATCAGAGGAGGGATCAGCGAAAGAGATGAAACGAATCACTTTGACCACAGGAGCAGCAGAAACCAGCACAGACCTACAGCTGCTCTTATTAAAGATAATTAGGACGACGGACTCAGACTGATTTTAACGTGTTTTAAAAAGCAGAAAGATGTTGACAGGAAACTAAACGTACATGTTGTTGCTAAACCTGCAGGATTAAGTTGTTAAAGTCGGTTAAGCATTAAAACCCTTCTTTAGGCCGTGCCAGAAACTCTGATTAGTCCATCAGTCTGGTTAACTCGACACCTTACATCTGACTGATATATCTCATCACCTGTACCCTGGATTACTACTGGCTTTGGTGCAGATTTCCCATCGGAGCTGACGACCTAAAAACATTTCCTTTAGCAGCAGCAGCAGCGTGACTAAAATTTGAATCAATTCCTTAACCCATACTCTGAGGATCAATATTGATAACCATAATCTTAAATGATGTAGGAGCCAAGTGAAACAAGGAGACCAGGCTGATGAAAATCTACATATGGAGTCGTGTGAATGAGATAAAAAGTCAAAATTAGGATAAATGAGTCATAATTATGAGCAAAAAAGTCGTAATAGTAAAAAAGATGTAAAATTATGAGAATGTTTTTTACAATAATGACAAAAAAGTCAATATTTTAAAGAAGTGAGTCTTTATTGTAAGTGAAAATAATCAGAAAGTAGGTCAGAGTTAAATTTACGTAACAGTTATATATAATTATGAGATAAAAACTCTAAAATTTGAGTTAATCAGTCATAATTATAAATGATAGATGAAAATATGAGTCAGTAAATCTTAATAATGAGACTTTTAATCAATATTTTATATCAAAAAGTAATAAAAATACTATTAAAAAGTCAATATAATGAGATAGGCAGTTCAGATTATATAATTCATAGAAACCAAGACATGAATGTTTTAATAATCTAACTTTTTACCTCATGAAAATGACTTAAAATATCATAATTTGACTTTTAATCTCATAATAAATCATTCATTTTATATTTGTAATGATTATTTATCTCATAATTATGACTTATTATTGTGTAATTTTAATTATATATCTAATAATGATGACTTAATTTCTCATATTTTGATATCTTATCACATAAATCTGACCCACTTTCTTTTGACTGTGACTTTTAATGATTTGATTCTGAGTTAATATTCAGGATTTATGTGTTTTCATGAAGGCCGCGCCTCCCTGTAGTTGTTAAATCAGCTGTAATGGACTTTTATAACCACAGTGGCGTCTATGAGATTCACAAGAACAGAGGAGTTAGAGTAACTGAGTGTTTTTGGAAACGACCTTTGCCTTAAATCATGAATCTTAGAGAAGGAGAGACTCTGAGTGAAATGGAAAAGTTTCCTCTTTTAGCACAAAAATGACAGAAACATTCAATTTTCTTTAATTTGACGGAACAAAGGCTGAATTTATTTTGTATAAATAGTCAAGATTTCGTTTTTGTTCGGTTGATTTTTCTGTCTAAAAGTGAAATATTCAGAAAAGGAGGGATGTTTTTTATATTAAGTGGTAAAAACCGTTGAATGAAGGTGAAGTACATGTCAGGGTCGAATTACCGCCCTTCATTCTCTGATTGACGCCTTTGATTCCCTGATTCAAAGACACGCCGCCGCCGCTGCTGCGTGCATTTATAATCATTTCCTTTCTTCCTCTTCACATCGACGAGTCTGTTCTGTCAGTCAAAGCTTTGTTTTGCTCGCAGGGGAGCAGCCTCCTTCCTCCATGGCCCCCGCTGTGCTGAAGTCTCGGTCGAAGACGCTGGTGATTGGATCGACTGGTGGGGGAATGATCACGACTGGGATGGCCTCGGTGCGTATCAAGGGCAATCATACTAAGTGCTATTAAGATAAACGCCGCCGCCGCCTAATGCCTCTCACTGTTGTCATAGCGAGAGCCGTCTCCTCGAGTGTCTCCAGCGTGTCCATAATCCATTCTGTAATCATCACTCTCCCATCAGTCAGATTGAAATGTTTTGTTCTGTCTATCCTCCAGACGCTCATGAACCACCTCTGGTTTGGAAGGAGTCTCAAGGAGGCCATCGCCACTCCTGTTGTTTACGTCGACTCGGAAAACTCAGTCAAGTTTGAACCAAAGTTTGACAAGGTAATAATTTATCAGCCGTGATGCTGCATCATGCACCGTCTCATTATCGATTCTTTATCGATTCCTTTATCGATGCCTTTCTTTGATTTAAAAAAGTAGACTAAAGGTTTTCACCGTTAACTCCAAATTTTATTGAGTCTCTGATCACAGAAAAAGATGTACGCCACCTTCAGTGAGAGCCAATGATAAGCAGACTTCTCTTCCTGGCTGTAATGAACAGTTTGATAGGAAATAAAACCATTTAATCGCTATCGTCTAAAAATACATTTACTCTTGTTGGTATTTAGTCAAATACATGATACGTTGTTAAGTCTGGCATACATTGTGTTTATGTTAACACAGGACATATGTACCTGACGACCAGCGGAGAGTGTCTAATACATGTGACTCCTCATAATTGAAGCCGTGCCCCGTTGACAAATTTTTTCTTAGTAAAATGAAGCCACGCCTTAGATCGTTTCTTCCTACTTTTCGTACCGTCCGACATGTTTTTTACTCAAAATCTCTGTTCTCATTTGCGTAGATTTGCTCTCGCGAGACCGTTTTTCAAGGCACCAGGAAGAAAGGATTCGTTAAAGTCCTGGTCGACGATCTGGGAAGCAGTTATAAGAAAAACGGAGCCGTTGAGGCAGATTTGAAAAAAACACTCCCACCCCCCACACACAAGATTTCTACGCTAGCTCCAAATAGGATTCACCATGTCGGATTGTTGGTGACTAGCAGCAGTAAACACCAGCTCTGCCAGCAAACGCCATCTGCAGCTGCCTGGTCAGCTACCGTGTTGACATGTCAGAGACTAATAAGAGTTATTTATGTAACATGTGCCACGATAAAAGGTGATAAAAATGACCTGTTCAACAAAAACTCTGCTGTCTCGGCGTCTGTTTTCACGACCAAATCCTGGCGGAGCTTTCTCCACCGCCCTTTCTTTTGTCGACTTGTGTTTTCTTCCCACTTTAGGCGGTGGGTCGAGCAGAAGTGTTTTTTTTTTGCGTCCTTCTCCATCACAGCTCCTGTAGCTAAGCTGCTACGCTACTTTTAGCTGATCAGAGCTCCGAGGAGGGCCGGGAGAGTGGGAGGGGACGAGTCAGAACCACGGGAGAGGGGTGTGTCGAATACAGCGAGCTGATTGGATGAAAAGGCAAAGCAGGAGATTGACCAATAGGAGCTGTTCGGGACGGGTGGCTCCTATTGGTCAATGTTTTTGCAGCCCTTCTCTTCACTTTGTGGAGATCGCACCATAGGACCATGATCGCCATAGAAACATGGTTCATAATAATCACCAATCTCTCCAATCGTCATTCATGCCTTTAAGGGAATCTTTAAGATAAAACATAAACGATGTCGATGGATTGAACCGTTTTTAACTGTTTCTCAACAACTCAGTAATTCTATCATAGGAAACATTTACTCTTCAGCCTTTATTTCTCTGTTTGTCCTCCTTTATTCTTCATTTCTGTACAGTTAACATTCTCATATCTCACTTGTATTTGCTGCTCGTTTATGTTTCTCATATTTTGGAACAATCCGGCGCCAGACTTTCCCTCAGGGGGATAATAAACCTCCATCTTACTCCATCTGAGCCCCTCTCCGTTTTATCTCTTTGCCTTTCAGGATGTGATTGAGGGGCTGAAAGCGATGGGGCACACACCAGGCTCTCCCAGACTTTTCTACAACGTGGTCAACGCCGTGGAGAAAGAGGACGGCTGTATCTCCGCCGTGTCCGATGCCAGGAAACTGGGGGAGGCGGCGGGTTACTGAATCAAGGGCCGCCAAGAAAACCACAAAGACTGCGACAGACTGAGTGTGATCCTGCTGGGTGTGGGATTGCAGACCTCCTCGGCGGACATGACACGATGGGCTGTAACAAGGACATGTTGAACTTTGGCTGGAGAAATGTCAAGACTGTGTCTGACCTTCTGGGACTCTTTGCTTGGTCACGATTTTTTAGCCTCTGCAGCTCTCCTCATTATTTACTCCTGTGTCGTACAAACCCAAACAGCTTCAGTTTTTAACTAAATAAGTTCATGTGTTTTATCTGTAACAGAGACATTTAATACGAAGCAGTCTCACTGAGTTCATAATTTATTCTTATCTTTTATCATAATGCAGCTATTCTCTTTAACTGTGATTAAACGAGTATCAGGTATAAAATAAAGACATTTTTGTTATATTCAAATAAAATGTTCTTTTTTAAAATCCTTTAAACTAAGTATCTGTCCGAACTTTGATTGGCAGTCACCACAAACAGGCTGAATCTGCTCTCTGAATTCTGTGTATTTCTGGTTGTTTATCGTCCTCAAAGATCAACGCTCGGCTCTAAACTTGCAGAGTCACACAGAGGAGGTGTAAAACTAAGAAAAAATGAAGCCGACGAGGACTCAAATGCAAAAAAAACAACCAGAATACGAGAGAAACCGAAAGCCAAATCCTGGTTTTAATCTGTGCTCGGCATCCAAAAGCTACAGGTGCAGTTTTTTTTGGATGCAGAATTGATCCAGACGGTCAATCCCTCTAACCCGAGGTCAGCCCTGTTGTAATCACGTCTGTAAATCCATCTTTCTTTGCCATAATTTATTCTGGAACAATCTGGACAAATTCTCTCTTTGCTGTTTTTCATAATATATTTCACATCTCGGTGCGGGAGCATGCAGCAGCTGGAGCGAGATAATCGGATCAAACTGTGAGGCGCGGAGAGGAGCGGTTTCTTGAGGGAAGTTTGGAAAGAAAAACGGTTCAGTATCTTCGATTTTCAACTCTTAATTAAAAGTGTTTTTGTTGTTCGACTCCAAATCGAGTGAGGTAAATTAATCCTGAGAGGTAAAGGTCAGATAAGGAGCTCCTGGTGTTTAAGGGGCGGGCTCTGCTGCCCTGTCACATGGTATTAGGACCTCAGGGGTGTGACAGTCACACTGTGCCCTGACCTTATAGAGACACCTGGTGCAAATGCCACATTACCATGTCTGGCAGCATGAACAAACAGTTGCCAGGAGAGGATCATGGGCAGAGCTACATGTGATGAGCACCCTGCCTTTTCCGCTGCAAACGATGTCAGCTCAGGCCTTTTCCCCGGTAGCACAGAGCGGCTCAGATGATCTGCTGGCTCGGAAACGAGTGCAGCGCTCCAACAACCAATCCCGAACAGCACGGCCAGAGCTGATTGTTTTTTATTGCCCTATTTACAGACTAATCTGCATAAATAAATCCTCGGCTTGTTTGTGTGGGCAGCTGCAGGTTCTTGTGCTCGTGACCCAGATGTTCCCGTACAACCGCTCTTTATTCTGCGGGACCTTCAAAATAAAACAAATCCAGAGATTAGCTCTCAGTTGGGTTCTTTTATTGGCAGTCAGTGTCTGGCGTGAGACGAGTACACACAGGCTACAAGGAAGTTTGACGTCGAGACACAAAAACAAACTACAAACCAAGTGGACAAAATCTACTGCCCTGTTTTCTGATTGGTTGTGAAATCTGTTTACCGCTTCACAGCGTCATAGTTATTAAAGTCATTATTATAATTACAGAGTCGGACAAAAGACGAAACACCGAAACGATAACACAAATAATTACAGCAGTAATCAGACACTTATCAGGTACAAACACATAAAACACACAGTTTAACATTTATTATATATCTGGTGGTGCAGGTTGTAATGAGCCTTCTAACAATCATGAGCCATTTTGGTCATCTTTTACCCTACAGAGAGGTATGCACTCCGCTTCAGCTTCATAAATATCTGTAATAAACAATGCACACAGAGAGTTAAAGGGATATTCCGGCGTAAAATTAATTTAAGGTCAAATACACCGCAACGCTGAGTTAGACCGCACGATAGCAAAACACAGCGGTCTGAGGAGCCATAAACAAACCTCAACTAAAACGCCACAAATGACGCTCAGAACAGCACCGAACTTCATCAACAGGACATACAGCAGGGCTTGAAGCAGAGGGGAGGTGACACTATATAACAGTGGAGCTGTTTGTTAATTGATTAATATTGGAAGATATTAATGATTCATAACAATAAAAATTCACCAAAATGATAAAAAGTCACATTTTCCTAAAACAGCTGTTGTAGTATGAAGAGTCCCTTGGTATGTTTGGTGATTTTGGAATCTTACAGCAGAGTTATTGATTTTTGTTTGCAGCGTCTTGCCCTTGTATCGTAATTTGCAGACGATCCCTGCGCACTCGCCCGGCTACTGGCTGCGCATAGAGATCAGTATAATTCATCCAGCTCGAAGAACGGCTTATTTTTACGATATTTGTGTTTATAAAACGTTTCGTCTCAGAGTTATTGATCCTGGAATCTGTGAATATCTTTTCAACTTTGCCGAACTTTTTCACACTGCTGCCATTTATAAGCTTTCCGGTGCACAACATAAAAACAAGCTCCTGGCTCTTTCAGTTTTTGGCACCAGCTTCTGTGAGGCTTTCCATCTTTTCAGCCTCTTACACCCAAGCCCAGCTTCCAATATCACTGTTCCTTCTCCTGGATTGATGTACCTGGCCTCCATTGTTTGAAATTTACCGTTCGCCGCTCGCTGATGCGTCTTTTTCTTCTCCGGCAGGATGTACGCTAGCCAGCATAATGCTGTCCTCTACCGGTCATACTCAAATCTAACTAACTAGGTTTTTTTTTTTAAACGATTTAGAAAAAAAAAATCCCGAGCTGGATTTCCGGCACCGTGCCGAAGGTCTTCAAGCCCTGATATAGGGTCCCAGCCATAGTACTAGCCACCAAACATCATTTTAGCTTTGCCTGATTTCTTTAGGAAAGAGACTAAACACAACTCACCTACTCTCTTCCAGCAGCCGCTTGTTTGTAGCGAGACCTCAGGCCAGTCCATTACAGACTACAGCGGAGTTTCGCAGCTCAAGGAAGAACATTTATGATCATTTCCCCCGAGTAATAATCACCATATTAATCCTTTTGCACTGCAGACGCAGTAGTTCTTCTGTCTTAGCGTCTCGGTCTGATTGTATTTCCATGAAGAAATGATCATAAATGTTCTTCCTTGAGCTGTGTATCGCTATATTGCGGTCGTTACTAAAGTTGGTATAATTAGAGAAGTAAGGGGTGTCTAACTTGGTGTTACGGTGTGTTTGACCCTAAATTAATTTTACGCCGGAATATCCCTTTAATGCTGTTAGGAAACTCAAATATGAACGAAAAAGTCCCCTTAAAGTGCTCAGCAGTGTTTCAGTCGGTCTAACTTTATCGTTATGTGCTACCGTAGACGGACTTGAACTAATAGGTAACAGTCATGGCTGTCTTAAAACACGAACACTCATTAAATGGAAAAGACAACATGGCAGTTTGGGAAGTGCTCATAAAAACAGAGTGTCGTTAAATGTGAGGATTTACAACAGATCAATAATTACAAAGAGGTGAGTATCAGCTTTTAGGCAAGTACAAAAAAGAAAACAAACAATCTATCCATTGTCGAGTCCTACCTGTTGTCTTCTAAGATTGCTTTGTTCACCTAAAGTGCACAAAAATAGCCTGTGGAAACACAACAGAGCCATGTTTTGTGTCCCGGTTTACATCTACACAGGCGCAGCGTGGGTATTCACAAGTGGACATTTGGAAAGGGGGGGAAAACGCAAAAAGTCTTGACCTAGCAGTTTTGCCGGCGTCACGTGACGGGTCGTCGGCTGTATAGTCTGTTGAACTTGTGTCATAGCTTTTGTTGAGAGATTAACAGAGAACACACAATGTGGAGCTAGGCCCTGCCTGCCAGAGATAGTCTCAGTCCTGGTTAGAGAACCCACAGGGAGCCTCTGTTTCCAAACGAACTCCGGTTTCACTTCAGCCACCGCCGGGATGTCTCTCCTCCATCCAACCAACTGATCTAAATCGCCAGGGGATTGGCTCTTCAGCTGCCATTTTAGAGAGAGAGAGAGCGAGCGAGAGAGAGAGAAAGAGAGAGAGATAGAGAGAGCACCGGATTTTTAACTCTTCCGGACCCCCTCCAATGAAACCGCATCTTGTTCCCAAGAGCACCATCCACCAACACGGTAAGTCCACCGTCGGCACGTCACTGTCCTCCTGTGTGGGTTAACTTGGAGATGGTTAGGAATAGCTTGGTAGCTGTGGAGAGAAGTTCACAATGTGGGCATCGGTCTCCCTGGTGCCTCAAAGGTTGAGCGGGCTCGTGGTGTGAGGGCGAAAGGGCAAAGGAAGTATCAGAGTGCTGTGGCGTGACGCTCCGACCACAGTGTAAAGAGCCTCAGCGAGAGAAGACCCCATCACCTCTCACAGAAGTGGAGGGTGAAGTCTTTGGAGAGCTGCTTCTCCTCTAAAGACCACGGCTCCAGGTTGAATCTGTTCCCCATCTCGTCGTCCTCCTCCTCTTCCTCCTCCTCCTCTTCCTCCTCGTAGAGGCTGGGCTCTTCGATAGACGTCTCCAGGTGGTAGCAGTAGGGTTGACCCTCAGTGTACTCGTAGATCGTGGGTAAGCTGCTCTTCAGGCTGCAGCGCCGACGTAACGCGACGAGGAGCGGCTGAGGCATGGTGAAGATGTCCACGTTGTTGCCCAGGTCGATCCAGGCCAGGCTGGAGAACATCTTGGGGTCTTTGAGCATCTCCGTGAGGTCTTTGAGGATACCGAGGGTGAGGCGGTTTCCGTTCAGAGCCAGGGTGCTGAGTTTGGGCAGCGAGGCCAGTAAGGGCAGGAGGATCCTCAGGTTGTCGTCATGGAGCTCGGTGAAGCTGATGTCCACGGCCATCACGCTGTCTCTGTTGTTCTGGAGGTAGAAAGCGACCTGGCGGACGTCACGGGTGGACAGGGGGATACCGGAGAGGTCGACTGAGTCGCTGGAGAGCTTTTTCTGGAGGGTCGTCTTGAGACTGATGGAGAGAAAAGAGAGAAAGTGAGAATAAACATGAGATTAAGTTTATTTTGGAGATTGAGGCGCCTTTAGATGTCGTGTTTCCTGAACTCTTGCACGCCATAACTTGACTCTGCGCGGGTTTACACTACTGTTGATATTTTCTTTCCCTGCTGCCGGCCTACTGGATCAAACCAACAAAACAAACCATCCGTTCAATGAGTCAAACAGCCCCGTTGGTACCGGGCCAAGAAAACCCATTACAATTGAGCTCCATCGACCAGCGCCGGGTCAATATTCATCAGCGTGTTTTTTAGGATGTACAAAGCGTTGGGTGACTGGGCCTGCACGAAGCGGAAGGCTGACGCAGAGACTCCAGCACGGGGATTTACTCGTGCAAACAGAAGAGCCAAAACATCCGAAACGAGCCAGAGGCTGGAGCTTAGAGCCGTGACGGCCAGCGGCGCAGAGCTCCTTACAGCAGAGGCCCAGAATGTTTTAGTGCTTAAAAGATAATCTATGAGAGGTTTTTAGAGGAAGATTAAACTTAAATAAAAGGAGAAACTTGGCAACTATATTTATGGGGCAGCAGGAGAGGAGAGAGATTAATCTTTGAGGAATGAAGAAGTCATGTTTTCTGTCGTTTTAACTTTGGACGTTTGATTTCAACTTAAAAAAACAGGAAATTTGAGACTAAAGGTCAACGTTTACTTTATTTCCTGAACTCTTTTTAGAGATTCTTCTGAACTCTGTCGAAACTTTCTGATCTCTGACCTCTAATCCGTCCAAAATAAAGGCGTAAAAATAACACAAACTCATGCATGACTCTTATGAAAGGTTGACGCCGTATGAATTCCTGTCGCTCATGATTGATAGATGATAAATCAATTAATAATCTTTATTTATGCAGCTGCAACTACAAGCATTATCTCAAGAAATGCAGGAATCAAACCATGAGGAGTAACTAAAGAGAGCGGTTTAACGTCACTCTGAACAGCTCTGGTGTTGGGATATTGGATCTGGTTTATCAATAAATATCTTAAGAATGTAAATCTGAGCGCAGTTTGACTCATTTGTCCTTAAAGAGCAGAGATGCATTAACAATAATTAGCTTAGAAATTAAATCCTGCTACTGTAGAAGAAAAGAAAATGATCTTCTGCTCAGTAACTCAACATTCACCGTACAAATTTGCTTTTTTTGACCTCGACATGAACTCAGATTTAGTTAAAATCTAGTCAAACAGTGGCTTTACCTTCATGATTTATTAATGTGGGCATCAGGAGTTCATAATTCATCATTCTGACACATGTACTAGTAAAAAATAAGTTTTTTCTCTGGTATTAAAAGTGTTGATTCGTTGTTTATTAGCAGCTGAGGTGTGCTGCTCTCTAGTTTCACCTGGGGCCTTTTTATTATAGAAAGTTTAATGAGATAATTATAAAGTGAGTGAATTAAGTGCTTGATGAAGGCTGTTTTAATGTGATTTGATGTGCTGACTTTGTGCACATGTGATCCTGTTCTTACATACAGAAATATTGATGCATCATTTATAAACTTTGCCCTTTTGTTCCTCGTCGGTCTTGTTTATCGGCGTGCGAACCTCCTCCCCGAGGGTGCGGTGTGTTTAACTGGAGCTGCTGCTGCTGAAGTGGCCTGTAGCGCTGATTCGGTGTCGGAGTGAATTATAACATCCTCTGGCTCACAGTGACTTACTGTGACATCCACTGCAGAACCTGTCGCCGCTGATGCTTGAAAGTGTTTTTTGGTTGTGTTGGGAACGGATGACCCCGAGCAGCACTTAACAGCTTCGTTTCAGAGGCAGGTGACGGGTTGAGGAGCAGAAACTTTATGCAGTTAGAGGGCTCGTGTTATTGTACTTTCAAAACGCACAAAAAAAAGTTAAAGAGGAGTTTAAAAACGGCTCCTGGAGCGAGACTGAAAGGGACTTTAATCGGCTGTTGAACAGAAATTCGTCAACATAAAGACAATGTCAAGGCTGTCGTGTCCTTATTATCAAAGTCTCTTTTCTATCCTCCGCCCCTCTTTCACATGACTGCAGTCTCATCTTTTCCAGAGGACCAAAAGTCATAACGTCGAGCAGAGTCTCCCCTGCAGGTGCGAATAGGTTTTGATCACACAACCACTTCTTTGTCTGTCCTTTCAGACGGTCTCATCCTTTATAGCTCAGGCGGCTCAGAAATGATGTCTGAGGCCTCCTCTCAGAAAGCCTCTTTCATCCTCCCTCCAGATCAAACTGAAACCAGAGAACAAGGCTGTCACTGATACCTTCAGCAGGACCTCTTTACTTTTATTTTACCTGTGAAAACACCGACCACCGTTTCTGCTTAATGACTAAGCAAAATTATAAACTGTTCAATCAAGCTAGGGCTGCACGATTCATCGATTTTAAATGGCTGTTAGAGCCAATTTTTACGGTTTAGTGCCATATTCCATATTTGTGTATTTTATATTTCTCATGTAGTTTATCGATTTTGGGTTCGTGGAATTTTGATGTTTTCCCAGTAGGTGGCTCCACCTGCAGGAAGTGTTTCGTTCGTCTCTTTAACCGATATCGTGCTGCTGAGAGGCAGGTGTGTGTGTTTTGTTTTTTGACTGTCAATTAGTTTTTTTTTTGCACGTCAAGGACAAATCTGTGTGAACCTGCATCTTTTCATAAAATTGTGCATTTGGGACTGATTAGTGTGGTGTAAATAAAACTCACGGTGGATTATTATTGGAAAGGACCCTTGGAGCCTGATATTTTACTGACAAGTGGACTGTGAACGCGTCACTCTGATGTTTCAGCCACGTCTTGGCTTGTAGGTTTTTTTTTTTCTAGTCGCATATAAGTCAAGACGGTACAATCGTAATCAGATTATTTACTGATGATGTTAAAAAAATAATCGTCAAATCGATTTTTCTCTCTATCATGTCTTGCGCCTCCAGGCCACCGTAGGCTCCTCCTTACTGTGGAAGTGCTCCCCAGTTCACACACACACCAGTGTAAACAAAAATGGCATTTGCAAAAGAAGGCGATAATTTTGTGGCTAAATAGGTCAAGAGCGAGTCAGTCGTGTTGAGTTGGTACGACTTCACAGTTTCAGATGAAGAGCAAACCACTCCCCGCTGCAAAGTCTGTCTGAGGGTGGTATCAACCTGTTCACAAGATAACAAATTCAGGAGTAAACGCAAAAGTTTTGTGATGTATCGGCGTTTCATCCACACGGAAACAGCATTTCAGGTGACTGTAAACTAGGGCTAGACGATAAACCAAAAATTCACAGATTCTGAAATTTAAGACAATAACCAACGTTATTATCGGTATAATCAGTGAAGTAGACGAAGTTAATGAGGAAGGGGTGAGCAGCTTGTGGAGTAGTAATCGTCCATTTATCGTTATCGAGGTGAACTGATCAATATATTGTGATACTGATTTGAGGACATATCGCCCAGCCCTACTGTAAACTATACTTTTTGAAAACGGGTCAGATAGTTCATAAATCTGTAAACGACGACCATTTCATCTCCGTGTGGATGTCTATCTGCATCTCTGGAAACGATCAAGTGACACACAGCATAAATCTTTTACGGCGCCTGCACGTGTCCGACCAAAACAACCTTTATACACATGCTCTGTACTCTTCTTCTGTCTTTTGTGCATTTCCTGTGCAGCGTTACAGCGCCACTAACTGGTTTGGCATATGCACTACATCGTTTTTAGTGGTTTCATTTTGAGAGATGATAGAGAAAAAAAAATTTAAGTGAAGTTTGGTGAAGTTGTCACTGAATAAAACATCAAAATCGAAAATGCAGTCTTCAGAGAAAAAAAATCTGGATTTTATTTTCGTCCAAAAGCGTGCAGCCCTAACTCAAACCTCAATTATTTTTAGAGCGGCACCTTTACTATAAATCTTAAATGATTTCATAAAAGCAGCAGAAAAGCAAAAAAACTCCTACACTAAAATGTTGAATTAAAGCCAGATGGCAAAGGCACATACTGAGGCAATAGTTCATGCAATTCATGCACAATTAAGTAATGAAATAAATAAGCACTGAATTATGGAGCGATCCGTTCAATTCAAGTATAATGAAGCCTTATTACAAACAAACAAAAGGGATCAGAATGAGTTTTTAATCCTCGTGAATGGCTCATCAGCTTCTGTTTGTCAAGCTCTGACACTCGGCTGCTGTTATTCAAATCACCCTAAAGATATATGACCGTAAATATTCATGTCGAGTCGATCTGAGGAAAACTGCTCTTTAAAAGGAAGAGAAATCCTGTATCTCTCTGAGTAAGAGTGTGGGTAATAACAGCCGTCATAAAAATCCCACTCTACATCGACATTAACTCACTTTTTTTTCCCGCTCATTGCTCTCCCTTGGGCTGTTATTGCATCGCTCACACGCTACAGATTTTTGCAGAGTCATTGACGCCGAAGCTTTCGCTCTATTATTCATTTCGGTCCTCTCGTGGCTGAAGCCAAACTGCACAGGAGAGACACGAGATGAGACATCTAACCTCATCTGTCTCCTGACGGTTCTCTCATACTCTCGGTTTACTCTCTGCTTTGTTACTGTAAGGGTGAGAAAGAATAAAACACACACTCTCTCTCACACACACACACACACACAGCTGTTTGTTTGGTGAGTGTGAATGACCGCAGGAGCTGGTGTGACCATACTGAACTTTTTTGAACCCTCTCTTCGTATCCTCGTTTGTCCTGGAGTAGATGAAGTCATCAGTAAAGAGACTGATGGACCCCAGAGGAGGCTTTAATGCGATTTCATGCTTTAAGCACGTTATTCTGTTAAACTGTGAATTTAAGAACAGCTGAAAATCTAAATTTCACCCAGAGGTTAATGAAGATAAGTTACATGGAAACTGTTTTTTTTTCCCTTTTGTTCTGAGTGTTCAGGTGAGAGAAGAACGAGGTAATTATGAGGTCAAATTAAGCCGCAGAACAGGAACAAAGTAGTGTGAAAACTGAAGACAGGAAAGGTCGTGGAGGTGATGACAGTTTTTACACGGACATGAAATTAAACCCTGAGGTATCATCAGAAATAATACTAGGTCACGTCCTCTGTCGGAGCGCCGTGAAGGTCTTTCATTCACGGTGAAAAACAACAAAAACACACATGAATGAGGTGGATAGATTAACCAGATTAGTGAGATTCAGACGTTAAATCAGTGAGACACTTTGGTCATACATGCTGATACGGTATTAAGAGTTTTGGATAAGAAGGGGATGAACGAACCGGTGTGATTAAAACGGACTGTTTTTGTTGGGAGCGAGTGAAGAAAACCCTGAGAATGATGCACTTCTGCACAAATGAAGTTAGTCTTCCTGTTAATATTAAAATGATGTAACCCTAACCATCATTTAATAATGGAGGAGACTTACATTGTTATTAACTAATTAGGGTTATGGGTTGGGGTAGGGCTGGATGATACAACAAAAATTTAATGATACAGAAAAACTGAGACATTAACCATCGTTTGCACCTTTCGAAAACTCAGGCCAGAGTGGAGGATTTGGAAAACTCGGTTTGCACGTTTGCATGTAAATGGAAAAAAATGGAGGTAAACTGAGATTTGGGTCGCTGACGGCAGATTGTGCGCCAGAAACTGGGTTAAATGCGACGTTGTTTACATTCTACAGTCGATGTTTACAATCTATGGTGATCATGGGTGCATTCTGATTGGCTAATGTGGGCTTGAGCTTCTTGCTACACTGCCACCTACAGGTTTGGCATGCTCTTGACGGCATATTTTCATGGGTTAGTGTAAACAAAAAACTTTTCTGAAAACGTAGCGGTGTGCACGCAGTTTTTTTGTAAATGGAGAGGGTGAAATGTCTGTTAATGAAAATAGTCGGGCTTGTGTAAACGTAGTCTCAGTGTAGCTCATTTCTTTAAACTGTGAGTTTGTATAAATATAATCTTTTTGAGTTTTTTTAAGCTTTAAACTAAGAGACTTTAGATGTCTAATGTCAGCTTACTTTCCCTGATTAGTGGTTGATCACTAAAGAGTCTGAAAGCAATGTCTCAATGAACACCTGGCTATCAGAGGCCAGTTATCTGTAGTAAACTTTTTTGGACATCTCCTGCTTGAAACTCAAAAAGTAAGATATCACAAGGTCTCGCTTTAACAGTCAGAGTAAAAAATCTGTGTGCAGCCAAAACCATCAAAAACTCTGACAGCATGTTTTTTACACAGACTCCTAACAGCCAAAGATCCCAGGTTCAGCCTCTTTGAAGTTCAGTTTTAGTCCTTTTCATTTTCCTTCATATTTGATTCAGAAGTTTTTTGATTTGTTATGATTTATGTCGAGGTAATTTTATTTCAGACAGTCTTTCAGTTTAATGTTGAAGTTGGTTGACCAGTTTCCAAATGTTCAAATCAATTTAGTTTCCTCGGGTTGAGTGGAAATTTATTTCAATCTCTTTCTTTAATTCATTCCCTTCAGTTTCCAACTGCTTTTTAAAGTTTCCCTGCGGGGAAAATCATCTGCAAACAAATTTGTATTTAGTTCATTGGAGGCTTCACATCAAAAAAAATTGGCACGACAGAGAGCCCTGAGGGACTCCACTCTTAACCCGCAGCAGTTCTGCTTTAACCTGTTGATTTGTTTTTCAGTATTTACTGCAAAGAGACTGTTGATGTATCTTTGTTTATAACTCATTACCATAGACCGTATATACTATGATCACTTGGCTCCGCCTTCCTGTCATTAGATGAATTTGAAGCCGAATTGCTCTCGGTATTTCCGGGATTTTCTCCACTTCCTGGAACCTCCACTTGCGCAGTCGCATTGTACACATTTGGCGGAAGAGTCACTGTGATGACGCTCAAACTAGGGATGTCCTGATATGATATTGATATCAGATATCGGTCCAATATCAGCAAAAAACAAATATCAGATTACATCGGCCTGCATCTAAAACCTCTGATATCAGCACTGCGGTACAAGCAGTCCATTCCAGACTCCGCTCCGGCACCTCTATATAGCAGCGCCCGGATCCAGCATGCAGAACCTACGTTACCATAACAGGGATTGCTGGAGGTGGGATTTATGACCTATACTGCAACCCGTCACCAGAGGGTGCTGTTCTCACGGTGGCTTCACCCAGCGAGAAGGCAGACAGCATTCTTTATATATACAGTCAATGCTCGTAACTCTTGGACTATAACAGACGACATCTCGAGTCAAATTTTTGTTTAAAAGTCTGAGAGACAGTCCAGCACCAAACCGAGTTTTAACACTTTACCTTCATACATGAAATGATCTTTATAGCGTTGATAAACAGGCGTTAAAGCTGTTAGTGTGAAGATTGTGTTACCTTCAGTCTTACTTTGTTCCCGTGATTCAACATTTATCCGACGCTCTATACTGAGCCGACCATCTGCTGGTTACTTGTCGCCCGGAATCGTCAGTGTTATTTATTCTCTCTAACTCTCCATTGGTAACCACTTCAGTTCGCCTCCTTAAACGTTGACCTGCTTTCAAACACAACCTGTGAACCATGCCGCTCCAAAGGGACCGCAGCAGCTTGTCTGAAAAAACTGAGTGTGCATCCAAGAAAGACAGCAGATTTGATCAAATGACCAGGACAGAAACGGTATCTCTAAAAATAAGGACAGGTGATTTCTCAGTGAGAGGCGGACCAGCCTCCTCGTCTCTTCTCCTTCTATCTTTGACAGCTATTTGTTCACGAACACGACGGCAGGCGAAGCCGTCAGAGCTCACAGCATCTCGAGTATTAATATTCTGTTTTGGGCGGATTGTTGTTTGAATGATTCATCTTGCTCCTGCTGTCTCAGCCCGTGTCAGACTGTCTCTCTCTGCAGGTTTTGAAGCCAACAACATGACTAAGTCAAAAAAGGCCCTTCAGCTAAGAATTCAGCGATCCTATGTATCTGCAGAAATTCAGCATTTCAGAGACGCTGTCAGAGTCACTTAAATCTCACGTCTTCTTCGCTCTTCTGGGTTGAATTTAAAGTCCAAGTGCACAACAAAGCTGTGCTCAGTGCAGCTCTGCTGTGGAGTGTCTGATTCTGCCAGACGACGACGACGAGTGCGAATATGTCTCTGCTTTCCTCTGATTCTGCGTGTTGATACCGACTTCTAATGAAAATGTCTCGTCTCACTGTGTTCTCATTGTCTCCTTTTCAACTATCCTGAGATTATTTCCACCCACAGAAAAATGAAAGCATTATTTGCAGCACCGCGGCTGGCTGCAGAACGAGCTGTTACACGGAGGAGAATATCTCTTCATGAAAAGGAGAAGCGAGCACACCTAGGCACACAAAAAACCTATTTGTACACAAGCTGATACTCTGTTTATCATTTGCACATCACCTTCAATTCAATCTTTCGTCAAGAGAAGCATAATTACATTTTATCACGACCCTGCCAGCTTTTTACCCTGCAAACACACACAGAAACACACGCACACGTTTCCTCTGTGCTGCTTTTAAAGAGAGAAAGGCCAGCAGCAAACACATCCGCCGCACGGACCTGAGCGCGCTCAAAGAGAGAGGGATGATTGACAGCTGTGGTAACCATGGCGCTCTCGTCAGGTCAGCCTGTGGTCGGCTCTGTCCTACTTCAATGTCAGCTACAAAGATGAAAATCTCTACAGCTGGAGTCCTGTTTTCTGCAGATTCATTACAGACTGGACGTCTGGACAGGAGGGCTTACCAGGCCTGGGATTTCCGTCTGGACATGCTCTGCCTCAGCCACTTTGAGTGTGGGGTCAGGTGGTAGATGAGCTGTCTGCAAATCTTGTCAGAGGATTTGATGGTGTCCGCATCCTGCAGCACAGAGCAGAAAAAAGGATCATAATTGTTCAAAAGACAAACAGGAAAGATTCAATATGAGAGGAAACATCTTTACACAACCTGGACTCTGAGTCCTGCAAAGTTTTCTAAAAATTATCAACCTGCATCCAAAGAAAAAAGAAATGGTTTGTTATTATACGTAACGCCCTGAGCTACTCCTGAACAAAACACAATTTAGCCGCCGTGCTGGAGCAAGAAAATCTAATCAGAAGCAGAAGCACCGACGGGGAAAACACAGGAAGTGCACAGGAGAGGAGATTCAACACAGCCACTGGTAAACACTGGTCATTTCAGTTCATTAAGCATGTCGAGGCTGCTGGTGGTCATCGCCTACTCCGAAATAATCACATATGCAAAAACACAGCACACTGTTTTAATGTCATGAGCTTCTTCTGGGGGTTAAGGTTTGAGGTTTGGAAGATATCGACATGAAACTTTAGTGTCCGGGTACAAGATTTGAAGATGAGACACTTGCTGCACAAATTCAGTGGATTGCATTGAACTAACTGACTAAAAAGAGGAGAAGCACATGTTGAATCAGATTGGATTCTGTTAAAGCGTACAGATATCTCAGTTTCTTTGAGGTGGGAACTGAGTGTCCTTTTTTATTCTGCAAAGTCAAAGTCTGTAAAGGTCTTCTCGATTCATGATCTTCTGCAGGAGAGACTCTGTAAACGTAGATCCTGAACAGAATAGAGCCATATGGTGTTTTGTGGCATTTTGTAGATCTGCTGTGATCCCTGATGTGGGCTGAGTTCAACAATCTGATTGTGAAATTTTACCAAAAGGGCAAATTTAACAAGGAACGTTTATGAGGAGCTAAATACACGACCCTCCAGGGTTAGCAAAACGCTTCTGCCTGATTTTTGAGGGGATTGATATGTCGTAAAACATCCTGTTTATCTCGGAGCTAAAGATTCTTGGTTGCAGAGTATCGAAGTTGATCGATTTGTAAATATCCCAGAAGAAAACAGACAGTTGTGTAATTTTGATGAAATGGAAAATTGTCTTTCTCTTCTTTATGAACTATACTGGCCTAAAAAGGAGTCACTGTTTCTGTGAAGTTGCTGAAAACCCTGAAATTTTGCGTTGGCCTCGATGACCTATAAGAGGACTGGCTGTTTAAGGAGTTTTCTGACCTTTCTGAACCAACCTGAAATTATAATTGGTGCCTTTCATGACAAATAAACCCATCAGTAACTAGATGAACACCTTTTATCGTGTAATTTTGTCCAGTTTTGACTCATATCTAAAGTTTCCCACTGGAGCTTTAAGTTAAAAGTGTTTAAGTCTGGATAAGGAAGCAGGACTGTCTCTCTGAGTGTAGAGTACACTTTGTTTTAATCCTCCTTCACCAGTTTAAGATCTACTTTGTGGTTCTTATATAAATTTAAACATGACACAATTATAACAAACTTCAAACTACACGGCTGTTTTTATTCCAGATGGTCGTGCTGCATGAGTCTGCAGAGCTTCTTTAAACCGTCTTCACTGAAATAAAAGTCGATAAAATCCTCCTACTAGATTTTCATCGATCTCAAAAGGAAACCATTCAAGGCAGAAACTTCTAGGTGAATGATTTTTCCCTGACATCCAGCCTGGTCTTTGTCGACGGCCTGTGAGTGTTTGGAGAAACAAAAAGTAAAAAAGCTGACCTTCTTAGGACACTGCATCTCTCGAGCCAGGCTGAGCAGCAGCTCGTGGGAGATGGGGTCCACCAGGTTGAGGAAGGCGGCGTTTTTGTATAAGATGTCGTTGAGTGAAGTGCCTTCCAAACCGAGATCCTGAAATAAGCAGATCAGAGGAGAGGCGTCATATAAAGACGGCGAGGTGAAACTGTAAGAAACATCCTGCAGTGGTTAGAAGAAAGGGTGACATTGGAGCTGAGGAGGAGTGATGAGGAAGGAGCTTCAGGTTCAAAGGCAGAGTGTGACTGCAGAAGGGAAGATAAAAGACGTGTTTAAGCTGAAATATTCATTGGAGGAGACAGGAGCTGTTTCATCTACAGTAGGAGAATGAGGTCTAAGGGGAGCGCCGGGGTTTGGCATGAATAATCACACCTCCATGGCACCCGGCCACGCTGCTGCTCCCAACACGCCAGGGCCAATCCTGCTCACACAAACACGGCAAGACACGACTCAGAACGGATCTGATATAAAGCTAAATGAAGACTAGGGCTGGATGATAAACCGAAAATTTACAGATACCGAAATTTGAGACAAAAACTAACGACATTTTGTCCATATCCGTATATTTGGTGTCAAAAAAATAAATAAATTAATGTTGGTTTTGGACATGTGTAGGTGGGCTATAGTTAGGGTGACCATATTCTGACTTCCCAAAAAGAGACAGAGTGAATTTTGAGAGTTTTTCGGGTCGGATCGTGTGTCTTTTATGTGCTTCTAACTCAGTAAGTCCATGTGACACAAACTCGAAACTTCTGTATGAACCGAATACAGACATTTGAAGGATTTTATAAACTCCCCCGGACAAACCCTGACAGCCCCCCAAAAAGAGGACATGTCCGGGTAAAAGAGGACGTATGGTCACCCTAGCTATAGTCTCATGTCCCTTTAAGACGTTTTTTTATTTAAAGTGGTTTTAGAGACGTGACTCCACCCCATCCAGTCCGTAACAAAGAGGTAAAGACAGGTGAGGAGATGGAGGACGGAGAGAAAGTTGTAGCGGCTGAAGTAGACGAAGTTAATGTGGGAGGGGGTGAGCAGCTTGTGGAGTAGTTGTCGTCAATTTATCGTTATCGAGGTGAACTGATCAATATATCGTGATATTGATTTGAGACTATATCGCCCAGCCCTAATGAACATGCATATTTGTTATTTAAAAGTTACTGCATTCCCCCTTTATTTAAGGACTAGCCAAGATGTTAAATACAGACTTCATATTAGGGCTGGGAGATATGGCCTCAAATCAATATCACGATATATTGAGCAGTTATTATTATATTGAGCACCGTCCTCCATCTCCTCACCTGTCTTTCCCTCTTTGTTATGGACTGGATGGGGTGGAGTCAAACTACACGTAGGACAGCATCTTAAAGGGACATGAGACCATAGCCTACCTACACACATCCAAAACAAACTTTGATTTATTTGTTTATTTTGACACAAAGTATTTTGATGTGCAAAATGATGTTGGTTATTGTCTTAAATTTCAGTATCAGTAATTTTTGGATTATCGTCCAGCCCTAGGTTGATCACTAAATGAACACTTGGCCCGTTATCTCTGTAGTAAATGTTATTGGACATCTGCTTAATTTTGGTATCGGTCAATTTTAGATTAATCGCCCAGCCCTACTTCATCCTTAAACTGTTCACCTATTTTCCTTCTTTCATACAGCTGTGCTTCTCTTAAATAGAAGAGTTCACATAAATACGATTTAGAAATCTGAGCAGCACATGAATTTATCCGCAGAGAGGTCAGGACTGACAGCTGTCGTCGCAGCTTACTCATGAAAATGACAACTCCAAAAAAGGATCTGCAGCAAAAACAAATCAAAGCAAATAAAAAAGAGGAGCTTTCAGATGACCTTTAGAGCGTGAGGGAGACACGCAGCAGAGCAGCAGAGCAGCAGCAGCGGTACAGCTGTGAACTGAACTGTACGTTCTGTCTGCATCAACATGTCCATCCTGAAGGTCTTAATGAGGCGTACACTTGTGCAGCCGATGAAACTTTAATGAGAGAAGAAAGCCTCAGAGACAAGTACATACAGTACACACACACACATGCAGATGCACACACATCTCCTTCTCTCCAACACAATGAGCATTGATTGTAATAGACAGTTTGAGTGGGAGGTTGGCAGCTCTGCATTACCGGCTCCCCTCTTAACAAGGGCAACAGTAAACACAGTCTGAACCCAGGGCGCGAGGAGGGAGACGCTGCTTCTGCCCTCCTGACAAACAAGGTATAAAAATATCTCCCTTCTTTCTGAGCTTCAACACCGTCAATTGTCACGTGCAATCACAGCAGGAAGTCACAAATCCGTCTCATATCTGCGGCGGAGGCTCAGATCTTTGTCACATCTGGAGCAGAGCTCGCTGTTACACACCAATTAACTCCACCGGCAGCTCCTTTCAGATTCAGAGAAGAAGATCTCTCAGACATCTGTGAGAAAAGATAAAGTTGGGCTTATTTAATAAAAGCGGAGCTCATTTAGAGGAAGCGAGCCTGCGTCCCCTGTGATGTGGCTGTCATGGAGCCCAGGCTGGCCAGTTTATCTCGCCGCCTTGATTAAGGATGTTCAGCCCTCTCCTGTGTCGAGGCTTCAGAGTAATTAACGTGGGATCGGCTGACAGCTAAAAGACAGAGGACGGCCTGAGGGCGAGCAAACAAATGAGATCACCACGGCTGCTGTCATAGCTCTGATGCACCTACATATTCTCAAACACGTGTTTAACGCTGCAGGTGAGGCGAGGATTCATGCGGGATAAACCTCCGATTAAGATTCAACATCATTTACGGAGAAAAGTGGAGCTGTGGAAGATGTAGGTCACCACCGCAGCACCTACTTGTAGCTCGGGAATCCTGCACCACCTTTACTAAAACCACAAAAACTGGACAATCTGTGAACCCTCTGTGAAGATCTGTAATAATTTCAGAGTTTATGCATAAGAGCACGTCGAGCACAACGAGGACATCTTAAAACTGAGAGGATGTTTTTGTCTGATTTGTAGTATAAACGGAGTGATTAGATGGGTCAAATAAAATCTCTTGGTAACACTTTATCTATATAACGCATTATAAGTATATTCATAATGCGTAATAATCACATTAGAGCACTGTATGATAGGACTGGGCGATACACCGATATAGAAATATATCAATATATCATTTAAATGAGATATGGAATCGGACCATATCGCATGTATCGATATAGAGAGATCAGATGTTGTTGTTGACAGGCTGGTGTTTCTCACACAAAATCTTTAAATAAAGAAGGACACACTTGTCTGTCCTCTAATGTCGACCCCCAGACAACACAAACTGTTTATCAAAGTGAAAAAGAAAGAGGAGGGGAAATGTTGACTGAGTTCATAGTCTTGGTGTTAAGAAGATAAGAAAGACAGATTGGTAATCTCAAAATGATGTTTAAAAACAGTTTTCTTTAACTGAGCTCTTTATTTCGTTCTCTCTTTATACATGTAAATGCTGCCCTTATTAGTGTTTGTCATATTTAAGTCTTTTGTAGTGTTCGCTGTTTGCATCTGTGGATTTGTTAGAGAGGAGAAGAAAATCTGTAATTTGATTTTAATCGGCCGTTTATAACTTTGTCAAAATGTTGATGCTTTTCTCATATAAATACATTTATTTCAGAAAAAGATTGGCCTATTTTACTTTATGGGCTATTTTTATTAAGATATATTTTTATTTAAATGTGTAACTTATGGAGCTCCGATGTGATTATAGAGTATTTATGTTTACAGTTTTTTGTTCTTTGAACAGCTGAGCATTATTCATCTCGCCAGTTTAAATAGAAATACTTGTGACATGTCATATTTGTCTGTGACGAAACATTTGCTCTCACTTTGCAAAAACAATATCAGGATATATATCATATATCAATATTCAGCCTAAATATATCGGGATATGACTTTTGGTCCATATCGCCCAGCCCTACTGTATAATTATATTTATAACCACTCATTAATTATCATAAGGCTTTATAACAATAACCACAACACATTATAATACCTTACCTTGTAAGTCATGATAAAATGCTTTAAAATGTGTTATGATTATTGCTATAAAGCCTCATGATCATTTATGAGTGTTTATAACTATAGTTCTACAGAGCTATAACGTGATTATAACTCGTTATTAATATATTTATAATGCCTTATAGAGATAGACGTCAAATAAAGTGTTAACAATGTCTTATTTCTGGATCTCATATGAAGAAGAATAAGAGCTGCGTTACTTGAAATAAGTTTTGAAATTTAACAAAAATTTAGATTTTTGAAATTAGCAGAGTGTCTTAATTTATAGATTCCATCAGCAGATTTGTGTTTATTCATTCCAACCAATTTATTTAGTATTTTTTGGTCAGTAATGTTTTAAAATGTGAAAATTTTTTGGGACTTTATAGGTCAAAGTTGCTTAAATAAAATCTAACTTTACATTTCTACTTCGATTAGACAAAAACATTCAAGTTTCTGCAGCAGATTTCAATGAAATGTCTCTTCAAAAAAAAAAAAATCTGTTTTTTTATCTTAACAAACAGCCTAAATTTAAAAACTCCTCAAATTCTCTCCTAAAAACACCAGAAAAGCAGCAGATCTTTATTCCTGCGAAGCTCTGAGCAGCACAAATTTGACATTTCTGCTCAGAGAAGATGAACTTTCAACCAAAACAGAGGGAGATTAATTTACTTCTGCAGATAAAAACACGGCAGCAGTCTGGATTTTCATTTCGGTGACCTTCTTTAATAAAAACCTTTCGCAGAAGAAGAAGAATCATATTTTGTGCAGAGGAACACAGGACTCTGGGGCTTACACTGCTGCTGCTGCTGCTGGAGCTCAGGCCATTACAAACAGAGAGAGAGAGAGAGAGAGGGAGAGAGAGAGGAGCATTAGTGATGGAGGGGGATGGAGGGGGCAGGTTGCTGTAATGGCAGTGTGAGAGAACAGCCTTAGGAGTAGAGATGCACCGATCCAATCCGATACCGATATCTGGGCTAAACGTATCGGCCGATATCCAATACCGATCCAATACTACTGTTGAATGAATGAACTTTATACCTCGCCCTGTGAGTGAAAGCATCAGGCTTGACATTAGCCTTATTAAAAAAAAGGTAACAAATTAACACAGATAGAAATTTACAAATTGCATATTAGCACTCAGCAAAAAGAAAGTAGACTTCTTTGTAAACGTTAGGTGCAAAGGGATAGACAGACGTAGTGTGACAGAGCAGCAGACAGAGCGAACAAAATCTCTCAAATCAATCAAATCTTATTTATATGGCGGCAATTTACAACAGTCGTCATCCCAAGACGCTTTTCAGAGAACAAGAGCAGGTCTAGACGAATTATCAAGAACAAACCTAAGATGGGATTTGGCCCATCTCATCTAACATAAGCAACAGTGGCGAGGGAAAACTCCCTTTTAACAGGCAGAAACCTCGAGTAGGACCAGACTCATGTTAGACAGCCACCAGGCAGAGAGAGAGAGAGAGAGAGAGAGAGAGAGAGAGAGAGAGAGAGAGAGAGAGAGAGAGAGAGAGAGAGAGAGAGAATATCGCAGTGTGGTTGCGTACGATACTAATTCAAAGAAAAAAAAATGGATCGGCATCATTCATCAGATATCCGATCGAGTTAATCTGTCGATATCGGAGCCGATATCCGATCCAAATATCCAATCGGTGCATCCCTACTTACTAGAGGTGAGACTAGGAGAGGAAACAAGGACAGAGGAAGAGAGGATTGAGGAGGATCTGTGTTCTCGGAAACATCCAGATCTCCAGTTCAGAGAAAACTTGATTGTCTCTAATGTGATGATGATACTCTCGAGTTTTAAATCACATGTCAACACGGAGGAGCACGTTCACCCACAGTGAGAGTGAGTGAGTCACAGACAAACACTAGAACAATGTGTCACAGCAGGTACAATGCTCAGTCTGCTGCTGCTGCGTGTGGCCTACTTTCTACCAAAACTTCAGGAGGAAGTGCGCAGAAGATGGATGGATGGACGGATGGATGGATGGATGGACAGAGGGGCCAGAGGTCACAGAGGCACCTGTGGCTCTGCAAACCAAACAGGATGATGTGTGCATCTGTTGCTGTGTGGTGAAAACATGTCTGACTTTGCTCTGTGCAGCAGCCTCTCCTCACTCACCTTCCTCAGTAGTTTAAGCACGTCGGTCGCCTGCTCGATCCTGCGGTCTCGGAGCAGCTTCTGGATCTCCTTGATCCATGTCACCCTCCTCATGTAGGGGCTGTGGTTGGTCCTCCGCAGCATCCCCGGCAGTTTGTCTGATTTGAGCATCAGTGCAAACAGAAAGTCCCCGCCGCCCCGGCTGCCCCTGTCGCTCTCTCCGCCGCTCTCCAGAAGCTTGCGTCGCTTTTTGGCGAAATTCTCATTGTCCAAACTGCCCTGTCTGCTCAGCCTGGATCCCATGGTGGTACTATTTCTCTATGTCAACAGATGCAGGTTCGAAGATGGTATTACCAAAAGGACAAACCCATGATCGGTCCCGGGTTTATTCCTGTCAGCAGATGCTCCTCCTCAGTCAGTGGATGGTTGAAAACAGCGCCGAGCTGTCTGGCGCTCAGCAGCAGCAGCAGCAGCAGACTGAGACTGTGCTGCTGCAGAAACACAACAACACTACCCTTCTTCTTCTTCTTCCACTCTCTGATGTATCACTCCTCTCTCATGCACTCTTTGCTGTTTCACTGTTTTTCCCTCCCACTCCTCGGGATACGTGCGCTCAGCTTGGCTCGGATGGATGATGAAGAAGAAGAAGATGCTCCAGCTCCGGATCCGGCTGCCTCATCCTGCTTTACGCTGCTGTTTAGATTTGTGCAACGTGGAGCGTCCGACCAATCAGTGCGTCTGCTGCCTGCTGCACGTCTCTCCTCCAGCCTCAGATCACCCCCTCCTCCTCCTCTTCCTCCTCCTCTTCCTCTGTGCAGCTACAAGCTACAATAACATGAAGGGTTGCAGTGTTTGGAGACGATGCAATAATCTACAAAAAAACTGACATCTATTCCGGTGTCCCAGTTATTCTCTGGATTAAAGGAAAGTTTTTTTGTCATCTTTTGGCCTTAATAAGATTTCCTCTCCTGGTATTCTTGTTCCCAGTCAGCAGCTGCACAGGCTGTCAAATCCTGTTTGTCACAACTCCACTAAATCATTGTCATCCCTTGGACGACATCCATGTCACAGTGTTTGTGTGTGTCTGTGTGTGTGTGTGTGTGTGTGACACATGAATCAGTATCATTGTCCAGAGAGCCTGGATTGTTATTGATGGGAGACCCAGGGGTGCATGCATCCAGCTGCAAACTCCACATCATCTGTAGTTTAACAAACTGAAACAAAACCGTCTTTTTGCAGCTCGAATCACTCTGACTTGAAGTATCTCGTGATTCATTTTCGTGTCTCTCTTCTCTGTGAATCCTCTCTGGACGCGTATTTTCCTGGAGGTTTGAATTGAGATCGTCTGCTGCTCTTAATTGACTGTATCAGCCCCATGCTGCTGATCTGTTTCATCAGCGCTTTGTCTCCTTGAGCAATACTGATGAAATGACTAATTTTCTCATCATGTGCTAAAATGTCTTGTTAGGTTGAGAGAAGCAGCCCCGTAAAGAGCAGCTTTGAAGAAAATATATGTACAAATGAAGGCCGATGGCATTGAGAGAGAATTTAAAGAGTCCTGTTTCCTCTAGTATGAATAATAATGAACAGAAATCAGAGTCAGAATTCATGTAGGTACACACTTTCACTGATCAGACATCGTCAGGTTAGCCAGGATCTATGCAATCTCAAGGATCAACTCTGTGAGTCAGAGTTGATCCAGGAGTCCCAGTACTCATGTGTAAATTAAAAGCAAATTTTTTCACGCAAATGAGATTCTCTGACTCTTAAAGTTCCTGCATCTTTGGGAAAAACCACCACCTGAGCAGGAACTCTTTATCAGGGTGCCTACAAGTATGGAAAAGTATGGAATTTGTTTGATCAATTTCCAGGTCTTAAGGGTTTGATAAATGAGAAATAAAGTATGGAAAAATATCGATGTTTCCAGACAGTTCTAGAATGCTGTTTTTTAAAAATAGAAAAGTATGTATTTCCAAAAGTAATTCTGAAAAGTAGGGTATGGAAAAGTATTAAATCCTAACTGTGTAGGAACCCTGATTTAAAGGGTAGATCTATTATTCTAGATCTACATTCAGACTCTTTCTTTCCTGCTACTAAAACACAGAGTTCCTCAGAAGGTTCCTAGTTTCTGTGGAAAGTTTCTCCTCTACTTTCACGCTTTTCTAACTTACTTTCTTTATTTGTTGTAAATTCTATTTCATTTCTCAGACTCTGGATGATTTCACCTCTTTTCGCTCCATGATTTAAGTCTTCAGTGTCATTGTGCAGCTCGGTGAAACAGTAAAGCATCTCCCTGAGAGGGTTAGGAGCAGTTCATCATCCTGGGCCTCTTTGTGCCTGAATGCAGAAGGTCAAACAGGTGATGATTGGTCACCGGTGACGTTTTGCGGTAGCTGATTTCCTGCTCTGAAGTTCCTCTTTGGTGCAGCTGAAAAAAAAACAGAAGAGTAATAGGTTAGCTCTCTTCAGCTGGTGCTCCAGGAAAACTCCACAGTCACCAACATGAAGCTGGTAACTCTCCACTGCATCAATAAAAGGCATAAGGTGCAGAAATGACAATAAAGAAAAGCCGATTTAATCAGTAACAGGAAGGAGAAGTAAATTTATGCAACCGGTGCTCAAGATGCCGACCATGTACCAACAATCCAATTCTGCTCCTGGACCTCTGTTTTCCTCCTCACCCTCATTTCTTTTCTCTTTGTCGCCTGTTTATAAAGTCAAAAATAACCCCCAGTGCACGGCCACAATACGTACTGACCTGAGAAACCACCTTCTTCTCTGAGAGCATGAATCTATTGATCTAAGACTCATGTACGCCTTTTAAAAAAAACACAATTGCATTTAAGAAAAGAAGAATCTGTATTTTTAACTTGTAATCGCAGCAAACACGACACAGCCCCTGTCATTAAAGGTCTGCTGCAAACCGTAAAAACACATGACATCACCTGAGTGTGTGTGTGTGTGTGTGTGTGTAATGTGGCCGTCCCTCTGCTGTGAGTGTGTTTCTGCAGGCTGTGTCTCACCTGTCGCTGAGGAACAACCGCAGCGTGTGATTTGATTTGCAGCTGAGTGTATGTGCACAGACAGGCCGTCCTCTCTATTGTGTGAAAACAATCTGGGGGAAAAAAAAGTACAGGAGTGCAGGAGAGTATCGCTCCAAGAAGGGGAAAAGAAACCTTAATAATATAGCTAACATGAACGAGCTCCTGCTTATTTTCACGACATATCCTGCTCTAATGGAGGGCGACAGAGACGTGTGCACAAAAACTGAAAAAAAGAGGATTTTTTGATACGATACAAACAGATGTAGTTGTCTCTTTTCCTCCTGTCTATTAAATAAACTCCCCTCCTCAGGCCGCTCTGAACCTGTGAGATCCAGAGCAGGATAGAGGTGATTAGATTTAAACACAATCACAGCAGCAGCAGCAGCAGCAGGACCAGAATCCGCCTGTAGGCTCCTCTGACGTTTTTTATTTTTATCAGTATGGCCCACAAACAGGAGCGCACGCCGCTTTAGCTCAGGTACCACAGATGGGTATTTGCCTTTGAGAAGCTCCAATCACAGACGCTGCCAGTTTGGGTGAAAGCTCAGGCATCTCAATCGGTCTGAGGATGCCTGCAGAATAAGCCAAATAGAGTCTGACACGGTTAGCGAGCATGGCAACGCTACCAGTGGAGCCAATCACACGGAGCTCGGAGTCAGGGCTGAATGCCTCCTCCTGCATCTGTAAACAGATCACTCTCACCTTCACTTTGGCATGCCTGCCAGATTGATATCGGAGCGAAAAGCAAGGTTAGAGAGGAAACTCCAGACTCTCTCTCTCCAGAGTAAGGAAAAGGAGGCATCCATCATTTGGAAAAAAGTGAAGTCTACTTTTGAAGAATGAGCAGCTGAACCACAACGAACTCTGTTTTTTTGTGATGAATTGACTTCAGTTTTCCTTCCAAATTAAAAAGTAACGCCTTCGAAAACACAAACATGAGTTTTCGTGACGTTTGCCCTCACACCTCTATCTTCCTCCAGATTTACTTTTGACAGCAACTAGAAACCTCTGAAGAAACTCTGTCAGGGTGTAAAGATGGTTGCTTCTCCATCAGAAAACTGGTCCTTAATTTACACATGAAATACTGGAAGCTGTACTCACACACTCACAGGAGGAACGTGTAAAAAAAAAAAAAAATGATTACATGTTTTTTTGGGTGTGTGTGTTTTAGGAATTGAACACATTTGTAAAAGATGGGCGCTTCATTTACACATGACATACTGGAAGCTGTGATCACACACTCACAGGAGGGAATATATTTTTTAAAAAAGAGGAACTACGTGTTTTTTGGGTGTGTTTTTTCAGGAATTGAACACATTTATACAAAGATTGGTGCTTAATTTACACATGAAATACTGGAAGCTGTGCTCACACACTCACAGGAAGGGACGTGTAAAAAAGAGGAACTACGTGTTTTTATTTGTGTGTGTTTTTTTTCAGTAATTAAACATATTTATATAAAGACAGGTGCTAAATTTACATATGAAGTACTGGACGTGGTGCTTAAAAACTTACAAGAGGAAATGTAAAAAAAAAAAAAGAACTACATATTTTTTTGGAAGGTTGTTTTTTTTCTTGCAGGAATCATATTTACTGATAAAAAGATGGGTGCTTAATTTACACATGGACACCAGCCATGCACGAAAAGGGACAGACAGGTGGAGGGAGACACCAAAATTGGATTTTATGAAACTTGACATGATTTTCCAAAAATTACCTGCTGGCAATTTGATCAAAAGTTGTGGGCTGTTTAAGTGGCTTTATTTACCCAGTAACTATCCTGGACTGAGCTGATTTACATATAACATGTATAATACACATTAAAAAGCTAGATGTAGTTATAATGTGTTATGAAAACCATAATCCTAACACTCCTATCTAAAAGTACCCGGTAGTTTCTTCTACTTTCTCTCTCTCCTGGTTTCTATTTTCTGCTCGTAACCCTTAAAAAACAAGTCCAAATAAGCACATGCTTATTATCTGGATACCTGCGTTAAGTCACACCTGAAAACCAAAGGTGAGACGTCATGCTCTGTAACAAAAGAAGCTGGTCATAATAAACACCTCGGCATTATGGCTCACTCACACCAGGAGCTGAGTGAATGACCAGCTCTCCTCTTCTCAAACTTTAACTCTGTCTGTCTCACACCAAAGGTACGTGTCTTATCACTCTTATTTCTGTCCACTTCCCTCCGTGTTGTTGGTATAAAGGTTTGGCGATCACTCCGACAGTGATAGACGATGTTTTGAGGGGAGGACACTTGTTTCTGACCTGAAGGATCTTGTCTTCTTGGGCAGGAAAATGGTTGGGAAGTCCCTGATTGCCGGTCTGGTGGTCCTTGTGGTGGCTGCAGTGAGTCTGTTCCTCGGGGTATTCATGGGCTTGGAGAAGATTAACACGCCTCTGCCCTCGGACCACTACTACTCTAAGGCAGCTGTGGCTGCGGATGCTGGGAAGTGTTCAGAAGTGGGGAGGTAAAAAGACTGAGAGTGGAGTATTTGGATTCTCAGATGCAGGAAAGCCTCTTCAGCTTCTTCTGAGTGTCTTCTCATTTTTTCAGGGACATTTTGAAGAAAAACGGATCAGCTGTGGACGCATCCATCGCTGCCTTGCTGTGTGTCGGCCTCCTGAACGCTCACAGCATGGGTATCGGTGGAGGCCTCTTCTTCGTCATCTATAACGCTTCCACAGGTGAGCGTGCAATTTCTCATAATTCCGACAAAGTTAACCGAGTGAAAATCATGAATGTGTCCTCATTTTCCTCTCATCAGGGAAGGTGGAAACCATCGATGCGAGGGAAACTGCGCCCATGAACGCCACTGAAGACATGTTTGGCAACAACACCAGGCTCTCTCGTACAGGTAGTGTCTGCAGGCGGTTGTGTTCTTGGAGTTTCTCCCAGACACAGAGAGGAAAAGGGAAATAGATTTTGCTTTCCTTTGCTCTGTAAAAATGTGGTTCCAACTCTGACAGGACTCTTATATCGAGGGTGATTTAGAGACAGCAAACTTTAAGACGAAATACTGAACCTGCATGTTTGTCACAGTGTCAGATGTCTCGGTCTGCAGGATGGGAAAAGCTTGTGAAATGCCTCTGCTGTTTTTTACATGACAGGTGGATTATCCATCGCCATTCCTGGGGAGATCCGGGGTTATGAGATGGCGCACAAGAGGCATGGCCGGCTGCCATGGAGGGACCTGTTTGAACCCAGCATCGCCTTGGCTCGTCACGGCTTCCCTATTGGAAAAGCTTTGGCTCACGCCATCTTCAAGAGCAGAGATTCGATTCAAAAGGACGCCAGGATGTGGTGAGACAGGAAACACAGGCTGAACTCACTCTGTTTAATTGTAATAATGACTGAGAAGGATGAATTCATATTTAGTTAATCAACTTTCTTCATTTCTTGCCAATCGTTTGATGAGAAAGTTGAAACTCTCACATGAAGCAGCAGCCAGTTCCCAGAGCTCGGAGACCGGTCTGGCCTTGTCCAAATTAAAAAAAAATCCACCTACCAGTCGCCTACTGAAGCCTTCTTCATTACTGCTGTCACACTCTGTGCACTAACAACTTAATGAGTGTGCTTTGAAACTGCCAGTAGGTGTTTCTCTCTTCTTTAACCGTGAACAGTGCCAAGATAAACGAATCCAAGCGAACCATCTCCTTTGATGCAAACAAGAACTGAATACTGAACTCCCAGACAGAACTTGCTCACTGGAATGAAAATTGTTCTCCCAGCTTACGGTACAAAGAAGTTTACTTGCAATCATGCGTGCAAAGCCGTGTGTCCTTCCCTGGATTCAGACTTCTTTGGCTCAGAGATGTAAGACAGGGATGAAGTTAAAAAATACTTTTAGTGGTTTAAAATGTGTTTCAAAGTTAACAGCTGATCCTGGAGCTGTTTGTTTTAAGTACAAAAAGTCGTCAGTTGGACAAATTAGCAGGAAAGTTGTCGGACGTTTCCTTCTTCACGTGTCTAAGTTTTGGGTTTGATGCTCAGACTTGTATCAGATATTATTAGCAGAGTTAATTTGACTAATATTAACCCTGTTTGAAGAGTTATACTATTAATGTGACACAGATCAGTTATGGTGTAGAGGCAAAGCTCTCGATGTACCGGTCAATCTACATTCCTACCCACATCTATGGTCACGAGATGTTGGTAGTGACCAAAAGAACAAGATCGCGAGTACAAGCCGCTGCTCCTCTGCGTTTAGAGGAATCGGATGAGGTGGCTTGGGCATCTAATCAGGATGCCTCCTGGACGCCATTCTGGTGAGGCGTTCAGGGCACGTCCCACCAGTGGGAGAGTGCATGGAAGACCAAGGACACGCTGGAGAGACTTTATCCTGGGAACGCCTAGGGGTCCCCCGGGAAGAGCTGGATTAAGTGGCCAGGGAGAGAGAAGTCTGGGCTTCTCTGCTCAGACTGCTGCCCTCACGACCCGACCCCGGATAAGCAGTTTAAGATGGATGGACTATTAATGTGACGCTGATAGTGGGAGTCTTTGCACAGTGGACTGTACAGTCAGTGAGCAAGAAACACTGACGGTTCTCTTTTGAAACATGGAAACAGAAATATTTTAGATATTAGGAGATTTAAAGATCCAGCTGTGAAAGAGAACATCATGAACTTATTTTGATCTCATGTGATTAATCAAGCTCTGCCAGGTAACACACAAGCAGTATTTTTCTACTGGAGATGGGTCTGATCAGGTCGGTCTGTTCTGTGTTTTAGTAAGTTTATCTTCTGGGATCATCTGATTGGATAAAAGCGAGCAGACTGGATATAATCTTGATTAGATCAGATCAGATCAGGTCAACCATCTTACATTTCAAAACCTCCAGTTTGTGGAATTTTGAACCCAGCAGTCTGGATTATCCTGATCCCAGCAGAGATTTACAAAGATACTGATTTGTCAGACATGGTGAAACTTTCCTCTTGAATTGCTGTATCAGCGATCTCTCCAGGTCAGATGAAGTGACGCAAGAAAACAGACTCTGAGGGAAAGACTCAACCGGCAATCCTTAATGAACTAATTCCATCGGCCATCTGCACAATGAAAGGCCCGAAAAGATGATCGACCAAATGCTGAGTATTGGCAGAGGCTGATAATCGTCAGCCCAGATAATTCAGGGTTGTTCTGATCCAAATGAAACTGGGCCTGAGTTTATAATCAGACTTCATGATTAGCTGCGGCTCTCACGGTTCTTGTCTGATTCTCTCTTTTCTCGTTTTCCAGTGAGGTGTTTTGTGATTCTCATAAAAACATCCTGAAGGAAAACGACATCGTTCGATTCCCAAAGCTGGCCGACACTTATCAAAGAATAGCGGAGGAGGGTCCGGACGTGTTTTATAACGGGTCGATGGCTCGCAGCATCGTGGAGGACATCCAGGCAGCAGGTCACTACCCACAGTTTTCTTGTTTCTTCAGAGTTAGGAAACTAAAAAAAGAACATTTAGGAAAAAAAAGCTGCATATTTTTCAAACTCCACTGAATCCTGTTGATAAATTGAAGCGTTATTCTTCATTTTAAATCGGTTCTGACACTTTCACGCTCCTTCCAGGTGGCATTATCACCTTGGAAGATTTATCAGAGTACCAGCCTGTGCTGAATGAAAACCCTCTGAGGCTGAACGTCGGGGAATACACCATGTACGTCCCCAACGCCCCCTCCAGCGGGCCTGTGCTGGCGCTCATACTCAACATAGTGGATGGTGAGTCGCCCGGCCAAGCTCCTGTGCAGCCATGCAGAAGGAAAGATGTCAGGTTTCCCCGGGTCGTCCCTGGAATGTTTTCTGCCTGTTTTGGTGGCTGAAAGCAGAACTGAGACTCGGTCCTTCCTGCCAAATTAAATTCACCACCAGCTCCCCATCTGTTCAGGCAGAGACGGTTTAGTCGGGCTTCAAATAAAAGTGGCATCATTAATTTCAGATTAAATGTGTTCATATATGAATCAGGAGGAGCCCGGTCTCACGGCTCTATCTCTGGAAGGTGTCATGTTGTTATTTAAATTGGGAGTTTAATGACCTGCCACTGACTGACACGGGCTTTTAGCGCCGTGATTGAGAGACTCATTACTTTTAAGGACCAGAAAATGTGTTTTTTCATCCTTCATTTCCTGCAGACATGTTTGTCATGTGAATATTTTTCAGGGTATAATTTCACAGACTCAAGTGTCTCAACAGCAGAGCAGAAGACTCTGACGTACCATCGCATCGTGGAGGCTTTTCGTTTTGCTTACGCCAAGCGGAGCAGACTGGGGGACCCGCGCTATCTCAACATAACGGATGTGAGCGTTCTTGTTACAACTCCTTCTAGGGCTGCACGATTCATCTGTTTTAAATCGTAATCAGGTTTTTTGATTATGACGATGTTAAAAAATTAAAATTCTCAAATAGATTTTCCTCTCTAGAAGGCGGAAGAAGGCCAAGAAGGCGATAATTTCGTGGTTAAATAGGACGAGAGTGAGTCAGTCGTGTGGAATTGGTACGTCTTCACAGTTTCAGATGAAGATCAAACCACTGCCCGCTGCAAAGTCTGTCTGAAGGCGGTATCAACCCGTCACCACGGAAACAAATTCAGGAGTAAATGCAAAAGTTTTTTGTCGTATGGGCGTTTCAGGTGACTGTCAACGGTACTTTTTAAAAACGGGTCAGAGAGTGTATAAATCTGTAAATGACGACCATTTCATCTCAGTGTGGATGTCTATCTGCATCTCTGGAAACGGTCATGTGACACGCGTTTCCTTGGCAGTGTCAGCGCCACCTACTAGCTTGGCATAAGCACTACATAATTTGTAGTGGTTTCGTTTTGAGAGATGATAGAAAAACTTTTTTATTTTCAAAGTGAAATTTGGTAAAGTTGTCACTGAAAAAAATGCGAAATCTAAGTTTTTCAGAAAAAGAAATCGTGTTTTTATTTTTGGCCAAAATCGTGCAGCCCTAAATCCTCCTATATCATTATGACTACTACCATCTCCTTAAAGGAGGAGTTTGAGTGTATAAAGCCATCTGAGAATTTCTAGAAGTTTCTGATACTCCTTTCTATAAAGGTCACTGAGTGCCCTGCTTCGTTTACCTTTCCTTATCCGTCAGGAACTTCCTCTCTGTGAGTGACTTGTTTTGCTCTCCTCAGCTCATCCACAACATGACCTCAGATTATTTCGCTGACGGCATCAGGAGCAAAATAACAGATGACACCACTCACCCAGACAGCTACTACGAGCCAGACTACTTTGTCCCGGACAATCACGGGACGGCTCACCTGTCCGTCATTGCTGAGGATGGAAGTGCGGTGGCGGCCACCAGCACCATCAATCTGTAGTAAGACATCTACCTGGCACCAGTTGTTCAAAAGGGTCGATCTGAAGAGTGAAAAAGAGGGATCCAGGATTTTACTGCCCGTTAAATTATCAGACACAAGAATATTAAGAAGTAAATCAAAAAGCAGCAGCATGAATCGGCTAAATTGATGTTTGGTTTCACGGTCAGTGCATCCCCTTACCAAAAAGAAGTCTGTTGAAGTGTACTTCAAGGATACTATTTTTAAACTAAGTATGCTTTCAGTTTACTTTGTGGACTTTTCAGAGATATACTAAACAAAGTAAATGTTAAGTATACTACTTGGCTTGTACTAAGAATTATACTAAAGGTCTAAAATATATTTAACCTATACTTGAGTTCAAGATATACTTAAGTATGCATTTGTGCTGTGGGTTCAAGTATACTTGGTCAGTAAATACTTCCATATATCTTTTTAAGAGTATACTTTTATATAGTATACTCTTAAAACGATAAGCAGTACAAGCCAAGTACACAAATATATACCACTATTCAAATAATAGCACACCAAAAAGTGTCTTTCAGAGTCAGTGTGTAGATAGCCGAGTGGATTAAGGTAAAAAAATAAAGGTATGCTTCAGTGAACTTATATAAACTAAAAAAGGGACTAGAAGTTTATTTCTTTAAAGTACATTGTTGTAAACTTAAAATGAACTTATAGTGTATACTTAAAGTATACTATAAACTAAGAATGTTCCAATTTAGTCCAAAGAAGTATTAAATTAGTATACTTTGTAGTACACTATAAATACATGGTTGGCAGTATACTTGATATTCTTATACTCAAACATACTTGAATTTTAAGTATACTACTTTTTGCTAAGGGTCTCTACTGTAACGCCTTTGAACAGCTGGCTCCTGGTGTCTCCTTCAAAATAAAAGTCCACCTTAAAATCAGCAGAAGACATTTTCATCTGTGACGTTTTATTTCCTCAGTTTCGGTTCCAAAGTCATGTCCCGGTCGACTGGGATCATTTTCAACGATGAAATGGACGACTTCAGCTCGCCGCACATGACCAACGGGTTTGGGATCCCTCCGTCACCGAACAACTTCATCCAACCAGGTGTGTCTGAACTGAACTCTCTCTGCTGTATTGAGTCATGACTTCAGGATCCAGGTCTGCGCTGATGGATGGTTGTAGTTTGATGAGTCACGTCCCTTGTTTCCTCGCCCTTTCTTTGGCGAGGTTGATGTTTTCAGCTGCTTTTCACTTCTTCCTGCATTTGTCATTGTCAGGAACACAAATAGCATCCCTCCTCCCTCCTTTTTTACGAAGGAATAATCTCACCCGCAGCCTCACACTGCTGCTCCTCAGTTTGTTTACAGTCATTTAAAATAAATGTCAAATGAATGTGGCTGTTTTTAGCTGTTAAATTACAGCCTGCGGTCCATCAAACCACAGGTCCAAAAAGTAAACACTCCTCCATTAAGCAGCCGTGGCCTCATTCTGTTTATCTGTTTCAGGCAAGAGGCCGCTGTCTTCCATGTGTCCCACTATCATCTTCGACAAAGAAAACAGAGTGAAGATGGTCGTGGGAGCCTCGGGGGGCACTAAAATCACCACAGCTACTGCCTTAGTAAGTCTGATTCATTCTCGTACATCTCCACTCTGCACACGCACTGTCAAACATTTTCAAGTCTGTCCTTTTTCTCGGTCTGAGCAGGTCATCCTGAACTCTTTATTCTTCAACTATGACCTAAAGAAAGCCGTGACCGAGCCAAGATTTCACAACCAGCTCAACCCCAATATGACCGTGGTGGAGCAGGGCTTTGAAAAGGTGGGTGACGTGACACAGGACAGCATCTGTAGAGGGTGAAATGTACATTGAGTCGTTGCCTTTTTATCCCTGAGATTGCATCATGCACTCTCTCATGCACATCACATAATATTTTGACTAACAAATCAAAAGTAAACAAGACAAAGAGTCTACCTGTGTGGTTTTCTGGAGCTATATTTAAACTGATATTCTAACATGCTCATGCAAAGCTGCCATAAAGGTCACCATGTTTACATTCTTACTCTGGAGCTCGACCAAACTGAAATCGGCTTTTGAGGACATGAGAGCGAACGCAGCCGTTGGGGATGTGTTTGGAGTTGCAGCTTCGACACGTGACTCGGTGATGACACGAGGTGTAAGCTGGAGAGATCAATAGGTGATGAGAGAATTATGTGCACCACATTAAACAACGATCTGCCCGAGTATCACTGAATAAGAGGATAAAATAGACACTTTGAATTTAACTCAAGTCATATAAGTGTGAGATTTTGTAAAGTGGTGTATGCTTTAGTAGCTGCATCAAGCCCTCAGGGTGATTTTTAAAGCAGGTATCTCGTTTTTATTTAGGTATAAAAGTGAGTTTTTGATCAAGAATACACACTAATATTAATATTAATAATAATTATAATATTATTTTACACCATCAAGACTTAACAGAATGGGTTTAATTAATAATGATTTATGTTGGAAGTGAGGGGCAGAAAGTGGCACATTTATTCATGCATTATGGGAATGTTCTAAAAGTCATAGACTACATGAGTAAATCATTAAATTACGAACTTCCCAGATTATTAAGATTATGTCTCCTTAGAGACAGAGCTGTGGTGCCCCTGCTGAATAAATACAGTTTTAGAATATTAAAAACTGGTCTGATAACGTGCACAGTGTTTTTCTGAGGTGTTGGAAGGAACCCCGAGCTCCCACACTGAGTCTGTGGAAAACACAGATGATGGGGACTGTAGCATGTGAGAAGATGTTGGGGAGATTAAAAAAGAAAAATGGGATAGTTTTAGTAGACAGATGTGTAAACTTTGAACTTACCTGCCTGTCTTATTTTTATTTTCTTTTGTGTATTTATTTCTTATTATTTTTGACCTCCATTACATCTGTTTTGTTTAATGTTCGTTTGTCGCAAAAATAATTAACTTTGAATTATATATATAAAAAAAAAAAAAATACACACTAATGCCAATCAAATCATATGACTAATATTGATCGACAGGGTGTGGTGGCTTTTAACACATCTAGAAAGGTTGATAATATCCTTGCAGAGGACTGACTTGGTTAATTTTGTAGGGAACAAATGTGGGTACTTTGTGTAAAAGTTTGAAAACTCTAACTCAAAAGTTTAGGGAGTTACAGGACATGAAGTAAAAAGTGTTAAAACCATCCCTGGTCTCCCCTAATCAGACATGTTAGTTTTGCAAAACTAGAACATGTTCGTTAAAGTGGTCTATCAGTAATCTTGTGTTTGTTGACGTCACCTTTGCAGAGCGTCCTGGAGGGTCTGATGCAGAAGAACCACATCACGCAGCTGCTTCGGATTCCTGACTCCGTGGTCCAGGCGGTCGTGCGTCAGGGCGAGCATCTGTGCGCAGAGTCCGACCCCAGGAAAGGAGGCTATCCGGCGGGATACTGAGCAGAAGTTCAGGTCCTGTCTGCTCCGTCAGCCTGGACACACTCTCTCCTCAAAGACACTCTGACAGAGACACAACACAAACCTGTCTGCACTGACAAATCAAGCAGTGTTTAAGCTATGGAGACACCACTCCAAAATGACTGCACTCCAAAAACCTCTTTCACTCAGACGCTCACTGTTATGGCATTAATTTTGAGTTGTGAAGTAAAGTGAGAGGATGCTCCTATTTTGACTCCTGTATCGTCTCTACAGGATACAGGTCAGGAAGGTGGCGTTCGGGGAAGCCTCAATCACGTCTGTCTTGTATAATAAACCTTCAAACCATGACATTTTACCGAATGTTTACAATATTGACTCCCAGTAGGTGTAGGTCGTCTGTGTTTAATTTAATCTCTCAAACCATGTGGAAAAATTCAGCCGTTTGGGGGTTTTTGTTTTCATGTCAAGTTGGTGAAAATCCAACAAATCCAAAAGCAGCAAACTTGCAAGAAGGTATACTGACCACAAACTTAGGATACCTCAGGTACTGTCTGACTTCCATGTCTGCCTATAATCCTTTTCCTGATGTCAGTGAATCCAAACACGGGAATCATTTAGAGGAAGCTGTTGTTTTTTTTATCGTGATTCCTTATTGAAGTTATTAATTTTTGCAACTGTAAATGTTTGATATCCAGTAGAGGTTTAGTGGATGTATAGTGTATTCTGAGAAATACATTTGCAGATATATTTTTCTAAACATGCATTGTTCTCATGACATGTTTGTTGACATGCTTGTTATTAAACATTTTGAACAAAGATGTTATATTTTACACCAGACGGACCCTCTGTCTCTGTGGAATATCAGGCACAAAATCACAGTTTTTTACTCATGAGAGTTAATTCTCTTAAAGGTGGGGGAGGCAGGAATCTGATAAAGAAGCATCTTTTTCTGTGGTGTATATATGGAGTATTAGGGCCATAAAAACTTAAGATTTCAAGATTCAAGTCGCTAATCTATGAGAATAAAGTCATGACTCACAAGAGTAAAGTTGTAATAAAGTAATTACTTCTGAGAATTACGTCCTTATATTCTAACCTGTTGTTAAGATGACAGTTGTTGAAATCAGAGCCATGGAGCATTTCATGAAAATGTAATTCAGTACAGGTTTCTCAAACAAAGAGATACTTAATCTTTTGGCACATCAGCACCACATTATCATAATGATTTTATTATGAGTTTATTCTCGTAATTACTTTACTTTTGACTTCTCTAACTAATCTCGTTAGTTATGACCTCATTCTTGTAATTTAACAACTTTAATCTCAAAATCTTATCTTTGATGTGGCCCTAATACTCCGTGGTATAAACGTTTTTAATATCAGTCAATAGCTACTAATTATTGATGACATCTGGGAATATCTCTGTGTTCTCTTATGTCTGTGTCGTCAACATTTGAACATTTTTGAGCGGTCCGCTCTTTCTGACTGTAAACAAAGCAATTCTCCACCTCCCCAACCTGATTGGTTGTGAGGCGGACGCCGCTCCCCCGTGTCGTTCAGGAGCCCAAACAAAGTTAGAGTGCTACAATATCGGACAGTAGAAACCAACCAGAAAGTTCGGAAAATTGTCTGAATCCTCCTTTGGCCACGACTGCCGACACAAGCAAGAAAACAAAGTAAATACCGGAGACTCTGGAGGAATAACGGGCGCTTAAAACGGAGGTAGACCGGACAAGAGCTAAAAAGCCGGGTCAACATAAACCATGGGGGACGCTTGGGGATCTTGGTGACCCTGTTATCTTTCTGCTGGACAGGTAAACTGCTTTAACAAAGTAAGACAAGTGTCTGTAACAGAAGTGTTTCTTGTCAAACGGACCTGCTGTAGCGTGTTGTAGCGCCATCGCTAAACTGTTGACCTCGGGTCCTGGACTATGTCACTTTATCCTCGTTGTAGAAGTCCTGCAAACATTGTGTTTGCTGGTAGTCTGTTGGCATCTACAGTAGCACCAATGCTTTTGACTTTCACCTTGACTGGGCCCCATTTGTAATGATCTGAAGTATTTATCTGCATTATATCTGAGCAGGAGCGTCTGTTTGTGGGCGGGGCTTGGGGGAAGAGGAGGAGCCGAGGGGAAAACTGGTTGGGAGGGGTAGAGTTTACATTCAAGATTTCTCCTTAAACCTGGAACTTCCTCAGATCCTGCCTTCCTCTTCCTTAATAATGCTGTTTCACGTTGTTATCGCCTCTTGTTTCGACACTCAGTGAACAGAGTTTTTAGGACTGAGGTTAAACTGCGGTCAAAGGCGGCAAACAAAACCTGAGCAGGACTCAGGACCCCTGAAGACACAGACACAGTTTCACTTTCACTGTCCAGTGAGTTTCAATCAGCACCCAGTAAATATCACCACTCATGTGCGCTCTTTCAGTACCTGCAACAATCACGGCGTTTCACTAACTTCAGGTCCAAAAATAACAACTCAGTCTCAAAATGTCAGCTTTTTCATCATCCAGCGTCACTCCTCTGGGTTTTTAACCATCTCCAGCTGTTTTATTTTCATGTATTCAGGTTTAAATGGCTTTATTATTTCTCATGTAAATCACCCTGCTGCATTAAAAAGGCACTTTGTATTCAGCAGACTCAAATTCAAATCTGAAGCTTTCTGGGAGAGATGGTTTCTCTGCAACTTAATGGAAGAACGATTAGTGTTTGAATCCGGCTGCAGCGAATTATACTCACAAAAGCATCGACTAAATACAAACACTGAACTTAGCGGACGTACACATACCCTTTTATAGTCTCTCTGACCCTGTGAGCTGAACTGACCCACAGTTCACCAAACTTCTACATAAATCCACACGACAGAGCTCTGCTTGGAAAGCCACATCCCAACAAGCCGGGAAAAGACCGCCCTGGTGAGACCGTGGAGTGTCACACAGCTGAGATATTTACATACAAGACAGGCCAGCGCTTCTGTTATCTATGTGTTTATGTAGTATACGACGTGAAGCCAAACACTGCGCTCTAACTATGTCAACAGAAAGTCTCAGGGGGGGCGCACAGATGGTTAACACGAGAGAAGGATATCCTGCCGGCGAGCCCACCTCAGTTGTTTGTGTGTGAGGATGAGGAAAAGCAGCTTTAAGGATCTAGAAACAGAAAAGTGATTTCAAGTCAAATTTGATCATTATTTTTATCACTTCACTCCTGCGAAAGCTGAACTGCAGATTTATTTCTCTGAAAATTATTCCCGTGATTCTGTCAGACTCACTGGAAGCTAAAAAAAGAGGAAACAAGTCTTTTATTTCTCGAAAAACAAAGTGCTGTAAGTAATGGGTTACAGGCCCGCCAGGACACTTAAATGTAACGTTATCAGCCACTATTGTTCTCCCAAACTGTGTCAGACATCAGCAGAATACAGATACACTATCAGATCGTATGCCATAGTGGGTCCATTACATTAGAAATGTGATCACGATTTCCTCCTCCCCGGATTTCAGCTTCATCAGTATTCCTCTGGCGAAATATGAATCATCCAGGCCACTGAAACACATTCATCTTGTAGCTAACTGTGATATTACCCTCATTCATCAAAGAGCCGTGCGTGGCTGGGGCAGCTCTGATAAACTTTTGACATTTGTACCTTGTTAGCTTGCGTGTTGTGTCTGTTTGACATACCGGGGCTGAAGCTGCGGAGGAAGCCTCGAACCACACGTTAGAACTTCTGTCAACTGAACGTTTAGCGCTGACCCTGTATGCTAAGAGTTCAAGATGTGCCTCTAGTTCAAAGTGTTTATGTCTGAAAAAGGCTTGAGGACGCGCTACAGATCATCACCGCCATCTAGTGGTCGGCCGTGCTGCCAGGTTGGAGTCGAAACAGAGGAAGTTAGAGCCTCATGGAGACAGGTGGTGCGGGTGATTGCAGCTCCTGGTCCAGCAGCCTGAAGAGCATGGCGCTCTTGTTGCTCTGTGAGGTTTGTCCAAGAGAGCGGTGCAGCAGAGCCTGCAGGTAGTGGACGTCCCGCAGGTGCTCCTTACAGTTCAGCTTGGAGAAATACGCCGCTGCTTCGTTTAGCGTGTTAACGGCCAAAACTGTCATATGTGAATCTGCGTGAGACAAGAAGCAGGGGTGTTTCAATTTAGCGTGCATCGCTCCAAGAGGGGAGGGGGATAAGTGTTCAGGAGGAGGCGGGGCTTTTACCTGCTTGCCCTTGTCTGTTTGGCCTGAACCCAGCCACCTCCATCTGACAGAGGGCTGTCAGCAGCAGCGCTTGGCCTCTGTCCATGACCGACCCGTGGGCCAAGATGGGCTCGATGGCTTCATGCAGAACAGTCAGAGCCTGCTCAGGAACCCCCAACATCAGCTGCAGACAGAAAAACAAACAACCAATCATTGTTCTGCTTCTATTTTGCATAAAAGCTAATTATACTGAAACGAGGCGCCGGTGATTTGCATGTTTGGGAGCAGCTCCGGCGCCGTCTCTGACCTGAGTGAAAGCCAGGTGAAGGATTGTCTTAGAGGCCAGGGACTGTAGGTGGTGCTGTCTAGCCAGAGCCAAGGCCTGCAGGAGGAGAGGAAGAGCGGTGGAGAAGCCAGACGACTCCCAGTGGAGCTCGGCGGTGGAGAGCATCACTCTGTGTGAGACAGACGCAGGAAATGATGTAGACGAAAAAAGGAGCTAAGCCTGGTGCCTAAAAAAAGGACGCACGCTTTGAAGGATATCTTTAGAAATGTGCATGCCTCCCATTATACTGCATTATAAGACAGTTTCTGCCTCTAAAGATGATTCAGAATTTGAATCTATCCATTAAATATTTATGGCAGCTATAAAAGAGGAGACAGTTCAGCTCCAGACTAATTTTAGGTGTTTTTATTCCTCCACATTTAAGGAAACACAGAATCATGTCAGTGTTCGTCTGTCTCTACCTGATGACCACCTCTGTGCACTTCTTCTTCTCACAGTGCATCTGTAGTCTCTGTAAGATGCTGTAAGCTTCAGTGCTCCGATTCAGAGCCTTCAGAACCAGAGCCTTCCTGTAAGCAAACACGACATTACAGATTTAACTTATCATTAACTGTAGGTTACAGACACTGTTGAGATCAGGATATAACGAGTGTGTCTCACAGTTACCTGTAGAGACCTTCTGTTTTGTTCAAGGCAGAGATGGCAGTGACCAGCGGCTCGGCTAAATGGTATTTTCCTTCATGCATGTGTCTGTCGAACTGGATTTTCAGATCGCACAGCATCCAGAGCTGCAGGATTTAAGATGTAGGTAAACAAAGGAAGGTGATAGAGGTTAGTGAAGAGTACAAATACTACAAACAGGATTTGGTTGAAAAACACGAGAGAGAGGAGAAAAAACACTTTTTTAAAACACCTTGAAATGCTTTTTTTCCTTCAATATATTGGTCGATAATGTGGATGTTGCTGTCACGTTTAATGCAATAACAACTAAAGAAAGTGACCTAACACAAGAGAGCTATAGGATATTTACTCAAAGCTCTTCCTTTAGCCTCTTCATACTAGCTTTCATACCACTTCTCTTGAGTGTAAATTGTAAGGATTTTAGGCGTTTATCATCTCCAGTTCATAAAATTCTTAAAGAGTTCTCAGAATTTGGAGAAATATTTTCACAGAAAGGGACAAGGAGCGAAACTAAACCTAGATAGCTGTGATCTTGAGGCGCTTCGACATCTACAACTCTGCAGTGGAGAGCCCAAACCCTGTAAAGATGGACGTGAAGAGGAAAATCAACCTGTGGTCTAATAAACCAAAATTTAACGTCTGTTTTGGAAATCTTGGATGCGTTAATGTCCGATCTAAAGAGAGCGGGAACCACCAAGCTTGTTGTCAGCGTGGCCTGATTAGAAACTATTGATACTGGAGTTTATTAGTGACACATGATGATGCTTTTTACAGGAAAGATCGAACATAATACAAGAAGGAAATGCCAAACTACATTTTGCATGAATTATAACATCATCATGGCTCCTTAGAAGAAGAGTCTGGATGCTGAAAAAACATTTGGTGAACAAAATAATATGACCAAGAAAACCCTGAACTGTTGAGCAGCTGAGTATTTCAGTATTTGACATGCCTTACAATCCTGTGCAAGACTATTTTGTGAGGCTGTGATGAAAATACATCATAGGAGAGAGAGAACCCACCTTGGCGTGCTGCGTATGAGAGGGAAACTGCTCTTTTAGGTGCAGGAGAATCTCTGCCACAGCACTGTACAGGCCCTGCGATGGAGACAAATGTGCACAGGAGAGGGAGGTTAAGGAAGGAGCCAAAAAAAGAAAACCTGATCAATGTTCATTAACTTCCTGCAACGCGGCTCCAACCGACAAAGGGGGCATGAAGCAGCAGGGAGGAGAGCAGACAGACGGGATCAAATGAAAAGTGTTACCTGCTCAGCGTGCAGCTCGGCCAGGTGGCAGAGCGCCACAGCAAACGCTTCTGTGTTGTTCTGTTGGACCCCGAAGTTGACCGGCTCCAGACTGCTCATGTTGAGAAGCAGCTGGGCCTGCTGCAGGGCCATGGTGCTGCACGAGACACAGGAGACCCCGTTAAAGACTCGGATAAAAATGATTAACTGTGAACACACCTCAAAGTCACGCCTGAGCGCTCACAAGTTTCTACATTTCATGTGTTTGCTTGTACACTGGATGTCTGAAATTTGAATCCATGAGATGTTCCTCCTGTCTGTTAGAGGAGGGGAGGAGGAGTCTGTTTTTGAAGCCGTAAACATCACTGACAACTGAGAGTGTAACAAAGTGGCGTGGTGAAGAGCCTGACCTCTTGCCGTACATCCTCCATATGGACGTGGTCTGAGCCAAGCTGATCTCGATCAGCTCTGACAGACTGTGCTTCCAGTGCAGGATATCAGTGTCCTTCAGCGCGTCCATCAGTTTGTGGGCTGTCTTGCCTTGTGTCGCCCCCTGCTGGACTAAAGACTGAATGCCCAGAGACGCCAGATACTACAGCAGAGAGAGGAGATCGATCAGGTTCAGCCATGAGGACATGAGGAATGATTTTACTAATGGACAAGCTGTGGCTCTCTTAAAAGGGAGATGGACTCGTCTCTGCTGTAGCAGGATCATTGATTAATATCAAACCATGTTGTGAGGCTAAACTGTAATAACTGAGCGAGGGCTTGACACTAACTTCCTTCACATGTGCTCCTAAGTTGAAAAAGTAAGGAGCACACAAAGAACTTTAGGGGCGCAATGAAAATTCATAAGTTGGAGTATTAGAAATCAATTTTAGGTCTTTTGATTACGTGACATGGAAGCAATTGAAGAAAATGTTCAAAATTTGCCTTAAAAATTAAATACAACATTTTTAGAGGACAAATTAAGAAAATAAAGAGATGTGTATTATTGTCCAACATAAGTACTATTATATTTGAAATCAATTTTAGGTCAATTGGTCACGTGACATGATAGCTACTGAAGGAAAACAGCCTTTTTTTGAGAACATCAACCAGTAATTTATTGACGGTCCCTTGTTCAAAACCCTACGTTGACAGTGAGGGTGTCGAGTAGATTTAACCGCGCTGCTGTTGTTATTCCCGGTCATGGAGAGTGAGAAGACACCGGTAGATCCTCAGAGAATGTCCGTCAGATATCCAACCTGAAACTAACTTCACCGCCGTATTTACAGGAAAATATATCCAACCTGAAACTAACTTCACCGCCGTATTTACAGAAAAATATATCCAACCTGAAACTAACTTCACCGCCGTACTTACAGGAAAAAACGTTTGTTGCCTCGGCTGATTTTTTTTTTGATGCGCACATGTGACCCTAAATACATTTTACAATTCGCACACATCTATTTCTAATTGAAATGGTCGCCCTGTCGAGCCCTGTGATCTCTAACAGATGTTTCCGTTTTGTTTGCTAATGGGGACATTCTGGGATCACAGCTATTTGTGGAGTTTAGCAAACTCAAAGTGTTGTAAAAAATGTGCCAAAAATGATAAAAAATAAATGAACATTCACAGCCAACTTAAAGCAGGCCTCCTTCTGAAAGAGCTCATGAAGCACTCACTGGCAGGCAGAAATGGGCAGCCATTTTCACTGAATCCTCGGTTAACACTGTGCTGTCAGATCCCCTCATCTGTTCCAGTGTGTAGAGCCAACTCTAATGTAGGACAGAGAGAGAGGGAGCAATACACCCGGGCACATGCATATTTATGTGAGGAATAACGAACCATTTATCAAGAGTGACAGGAAGCAGAAAACAGGGTTTACCAGACAGTGCTGCAGGCACACATGATCATTGGACTCCTGAGCAATGCGGATCGCCTCCTGCAGGGCCAGATCAGCCTGCTGACTGAAGCGAACAGAAGGAGAGACAGCTTTGAGAGCCAGACACACTTCACACATGGACACGCTTTTTGTATGAACACATCCTTTTACAGTCTCCAACGCTCTCCAGACTCACTAGTGACCGAAGCGACAGTGCAGGCTCGCCAGGTTCAGAGCAGCGTAGCGGAGACTTCGCCCGTAGCCCTCGTCCCCGTTGCTCTTTCCCTCGTTACCGGACAAGATGAGACGGTCAAAGTAATGTAAGAGACTGTGGGCAGAGAGGAAGATGTCCTGCACTCTCATGCTGTTCAGGTAGTTCAAGTAATGCTGAGGAGAAAGTTCAAACCACAGAGCCAGTCAGGATGATTTGCTTCTTACTAAAACACTAATAAGACTTATGTAAGTTTAGCGAATGCCTCACCGCTTCAGCAAAATCAGGATTAAATTTCAGCATGTTGTTGAGCTCTTCCTGCAGAGCGGCGGGCTTTAAAGCCTTGTTCTCGTCGTTTTTCAACAAATAAGCCTGTAGAGAGAAATTTCACAAGTATCTGAGAGGCCTTAAGTGCTTCAAAACACCGGTTTGTCACATGGATAACAACCCTGTAAGCGGTTGGTTCTCAACATTCATGCACCAAAACAGTTATTCACTTCTTCCTCTGATTCAACACTCACCTGTCTCGCAAGAAAATACTCCGCTTGTTTTTGTGACAGAGGACCACGGCTTGGCGTGTTGTCGTTTCTAAAAAGGAGAAAATAATCTCTGCTGTGAACATTCGACAAAACTTTCCTCCTCTCAACAACCAAACTAAAGGAGGTTATGAAAGATCTAACCTGGAATCAAGCACAGATGATCAAAAATGTACCCAAACATTCCAGGTGAGGCTGAACCTTTAGATGGGCGTCAAATATGTTTCTACTTTTTCTACTGTTCGGACTTCTGTCTCACTTACTGAAGCTCGGACTCGTGCAGAGGGAGGTCTGACTCCTCTTTGTCTATCCTGTCCCCCACAGTGTCCTCGGTGCTGGTCAGGTCCATCTCTGAGTCGTCAGCGGCCAGCGCCGGCAGACTCACCTGTCCGTCAGTGGGCTTGGCGTAGTGACTGTGGTAATAATGCTGCAGAGATTTGTACAGCTTATAGACCTGACTGAAAGACAGCTTGTTGTAGGCCAGCAGCATGTGTCTCATAAACAGACCTGAAAGAGAGGCGAGACACAGCCCAGTGTTAATCTTCTCAAGGAGGACGAAGAGGAAATGTCAGGGCTTTCTATCAGACATGAGGAGCTGTGACTCCATGTTTGCTGCTCACCTACAACACTTGTTTTATAAGCCTCAGAGTCGAAAGCAGAGAATGGTGTAGGAAGAGTGGCGAAGAAGTACTCCATGTCCTTCAGTTCTCCATCTGCCATTTCATGCAGCCTGCAAGAGGGATGAGGATTCAGCCAAGTAAATATCTGTGTCAGGTCTGATTTTGTAGGCAGCTGCAGATTTTACAGAGTGAAAATTTAACAAGTTTTATCTTCACAAATCTCAAGATGTGCATGTTTTCAGGAATTCTGTCATAACGTGATTAAAAGTTGTGAAGGATGATTAAAAAAGCATTTTTAGGGCACAACTTTTGACTCTTCTTCATAACTTTAAGACTTTTCTAGACACCAGACATAAAAGAAATTGAGGTATGTGTGACATAAAAATGGACATATGAAGAATTTTACTCAGATGAACTTCCCTCTCTATGTAGGCCACAAACTTAAGTATTAAAGGGATGTTCCGGCAAAAAAATTAAGTTCAGGTTAAACACCGAGTTAGACACCCCTTCAAGAGATGACTGTTGCTGACCGCTTGCTTCTCTAGTTATACCAACTTTAGTAACGACCGCAGGATAGTAATACACAGTGGTCTGAGGAGCCATAAACAAACCTCAACCAAAACGCCACTCTATAGCCACAAATAATGCTCAGAACAGCACCTAACTTCATCAACAGGACATATAGGGTCACAGACATAGTACTAGACACCAAACATCTTTTTAACTTTGACTCATTTCTTTAGCAAAGAGACTAAACACAACTCACCTACTCTCTTCCAGCAGCTGCTTGTTTGTAGTGAGACCTCAGGCCAGTCCATTACAGACTACAGCGGGGTGACGCAGCTCAAGGAAGAACATTTATGATCATTTCTTTATCATTTCCTTGAAGTAATAATCACCATATTAATCATTTTGCTCTGCAGACGCGGTAGTTCTTCTGTCTTAGCGTCTCGGTCTGATTGCATTTCCATGAAGAAATGATCATAAATATTCTTCCTTGAGCTGTGTCACCCCGCTGTAGTCCGTAATGGACTGGACTGAGGTCTCACTACAAACAAGCGGAAAAAATTTAGTCAAAGCTAAAAAGATGTTTGGTGTCTAGTACTATGGCTGGGACCCTATATGTACTGTTGATGAAGTCAGGTGCTGTTCTGAGCATTATTGGTGGCTATAGAGTGGCGTTTTGGTTGAGCGCGTGGCTCTCTGTATTGCTATCCTGCGGTTGTTACTAAAGTTGGTATAACTAGAGAAGCAAGTGGTCGGCAACATTCATCTCTCAACGGGGTGTCTAACTCGGTGTTACTGTGTGTTTGACCCTAAATTAATTTTACGCCGGAATATCCCTTTAACTGATATATGTAATCCTACATCAAACATTAAAGCTACTCTGTGGTGTGTTTTCAGATCAGTATGACAGGCTACAGCTTAAACGATGGCTTTTTAAGATGTTTAAATGTGGAAAAAAAAGAAAAACATCAGCAGGAATAATAATTTTGTATCTTAATCTGAAAGTCTGATGAGGGTCTGGTCATAAATTTAGGATTAAATGTGGGTCCATTAATCCAGATGAGCTTTTTGTGTCCCAGCTGTGTTTACTGTCTGTTTTTAATGTTTCAGACTTTAGTATCTTACCTGAGTTTAACAGCATAAGCAGTCTGAGGACAGCACTCCTCCACCGTCTTCAGGAACTGACCCAGACTCAGATCTGGACCCTGAAAACAGACATCAGACTGTCACCTGCAGCTCTCAGACCTCTTTAATCCTCTCCTCCATGATAAACACTGACCTGCTGTAGAGGCAGGATGAGTTTGTTCAGTCTTCTCCTCTCCGGCAGACTGATTTTAGAGGAGGTCATGTCGTAGAGCAGAGCCAGGACCGAGACTTTATAGGGGGTCACCCAGTCCTTAATCCCGAACACGTTAGCATGGACCACTCCGTTTGTCATCATGGGGTTAAAATACAGGTTTTCATGAACACTCGCCATCTCTCACAGGTAAACCTTGACTATAACAGAGAAATGACCCGGGGCTGAGTTTACTCTGTTTACCCAGAAGAAGCAGCAGCTAACGTTAGCTAACTCCCAAATATCAGGTTTATTTAGCTCATAAACTCATACGAAGCTGGTCTAAACCGGTTTGGTCCACATGTATCTCACAGACTGTAAACTCTAAGTCCTGTCCTACCGGTTAATTTGATTTAATTTAAACATTATTGTTGATATTTCCCTCTCTGCTTTCAAACCGCCCTCCCACTGTCCCATAAAGATGACGTCAAATTGAGGCGCGGGTTTTTTTCCTCTCCTTCCGGTAGTTTGAATTTAGTTTAACGGTTAACAAGTTTGCTGTTTACGACGACGAAGACACGGAATTATAGAGAAAACGACGGTTTGTACATTTTATTGACGACACTGTGGGACTCTGTTTGTGTGAATTAACTGGATATGAACAATTACTGTCATCTAAAAGATTATACTTTTATTTTGAAAGTCGGAATCGACAGAACACTAATGCCGTAGACTTTGCTATAGCTGGTGGCGGTTGCATATGTCATTTCCCATATTTTTCATAGTTTATTAATCTTTTTGTATATTTGAAAAGAAGTAAACTTGGACTGTCTGCTAGAATAAGTCTGTTTTTAGCTCTCAGCAGTCATTAATTGACTGATGGCGTAGTTGCTTGAAAATAGATATACACCGCCCTCTTTTGGCCACAGAGCGCAACTACAACCTTTTTTGATTTAGGCGTTTAGACTTTGGTGTTATTTAGGAGAGAGTGGGGTAAGATGAGCCATTTTTCATATTTCTGATCACTACATCAAGTCAATCATATTTTTGTTTCTAACTAGTGTATCTGCATATATTTCAGGATGTTGTTCATCCCTGCAAACCAACAGAAAGAGTGTAAACAGAACTGTCTTGATAATATAGCATGCAAAAAAAAGTGGTCTCCTATGGTCAACTTACCCCGTGTATGGGGTAAATTGACCCCAGACTCCTTTACTTTCTCAGTTACCCCTGAACTACTATGATGACTTTATTAGTCCTCTGAGATAAAATGGTGGACTTTTATGTTGGGTTTTTGACCTCATGTTGTAGCTCATAGATACCACAGTTGATGTATAAAACTAGTTTAAGATGGTCTGAACACAATTCTAATCAAACTTATGTCAGACTAAATTCACTTTCAAGAGTGAAAAAATGTTTTTTTTTTGTAAATAAATGTCTAACCCATTCACCCATGTGCTTCTTACCTTCACAGACTCCATGAATTGATGCCCATCTCCTAAATATTTGGTCACATGATCAATTTGTTTGACCATTTCCAAGCAACAGGGGGTGGCTCAACTTACCCCACTCTCCCCTATCGGAAGGTAGGTCGTTTATTATTTCACTTAAAGTGTCTTGTTGCCCATGTGCAATGCGTTCCTTTCGTTCTTTGACTACTGGACGGCAGTGTACTTAAGGTCTGAAGGGTGTAACGATGGCTGTTACTAACTTTCCAAGCGTCAATGCTAATACACACACATATATGTTTCCGGTAGACGCCTTCAAAGTAAAAGTTTACATAAACGAGTTTTTTTTCAAAGGATGTAAAAAAATATATATTGAAAAGTCAAAACATTTTATACTTCAATTTTAGCTAACACTATTAATCATTGTTACTGTCTTTAGTTATAAGTACACACTTCACCTGTTAAACCACATTGATCACAAAAGCATCTTAAGATATAATACTGAACTATTACAAAAAATAAAGATTTAGAGGTTAACTTAATATTTTCACATAAAAACAGCAAATTACTGAACTGTAGTTAATCGTTTTCATGCTTGATTCAGATGTGATGTATTCTTGCATCCTAATTGGCTTTTTAGCCGTAAATTAAATGCAGATTAGTTAAGGTTATTGATTTAATTACTTATTATTGTACAGTGGGTGGTAACTGTGAATAAAAATGCAGAGAAAACTTTACCTGTCTTTGTAAATTCCTCCTGAAGCAGGTATGGTACCCAGCCTCAAAGCAGCATTTCCCCCCAAAATATCACTAATATTTTCCTATTTAACAGATGGTGCAGAGTCCCGGGAACACTGGAGCAGGACCTTGGCCCCGGAGAGCCGGAGAGCGCTCAGTTTGTTTCTTCACACATCCTCCTGCAATATGTTGGTGTCCTGGTGGTGGAGCAAAGATCAGCTGGTTCCAGATCAGCTCTCAGCTCACAGAGAGGCCGCACTGGTGAGTAAGAGGATCACAGCTTACATTGAGTCGAATATCATTCCACCTTATTCTGATATGGAGCCAAACTTACAGCCAAAAATCACCGTCCTCTCTCTGCTCCGTGGTCAGTTATCATTTCAGTATCAGTCCTAAAAATCTTGGATTGAAGTGTCTCTAAAAATCAGAAGGGATTTTTCTGCTCTGTTGACATGTGGGCGCTTCTGTATCTTCAGTATCTGGAGGTTTCAGTCTGACTTGACATTAGACTGAGTCATTTTTGACAGTAATAGTCCCAGAGTGAGTTGAACCCTGAGCTTAGCAGTGGGATGATCCATCCAAGGTTGTTTTCCTCCACTGCATCCATCTCATATAGGCCCTCCTCTAACTTCTCATATACCGTACCATAAATACGTGGTGAAGACACCCTGGAGTAGTGCTGTCTTTTGATGCTGCGGTGTTTTTACAGATATATTGTTGCTGATTTACTCCCAGAGGGTGGAAACATGAAAAACAACAACTTGTCAATATGTTTCAGTTCGCTTGTTTTTGAGTTTGTGTATGCTGATAATTGCAAAAAGTTCTCAAACTTTCAAGTCAAAAAACAAACAAAAAAACAAACATAAGACCACCAGCCAAGAGCTTGATGTCAAGGTTTAACGATGTTCATTGATTTACCAGGAAAAAAATAACCACAGGAGATACAGTACAACATCACAAAACAGAGGTTTCAAACTGAAAACACATCTTTCTTCCCCGGCATGGTGAGACTTTAAAAATCAAACCTTCTCATTACGGATTAATTCACATTCTCGGCCCATCCTTTATCTGCAGCCTTTCTGCTGCCACAGGCTGACTCAGACGAGTTTCTGCTCCCCCAACAATCAGAAATCCGAAACTCTGACAGAAAGCAGACACAAACACTCGCAGACTGCTAATCGAGCTGACAGAGAGGAGTTATAATTATAGGACGGCTTTGATTCGTTTATGTGAAACAGAAATGAGCTTTAAAGGCCGATTCACAAAGATCATTAACAAGAGAGTCAACAAAGCGAGCGTGTGGTTTATTAGAAGCGTTCAACTCAGATATTGATATGCTGTATTATTTCATTTTAAAGCTGCTCATGTCTATAGGAATGAATGTAACAAAGCTCAACCTCGGCTCATTTTTCTTTATTGAAACTCACCCGAGTGTTTCCTCATTTACAGAGCTCTGTACAGCTGCTCATCAAAAATAAATGTCCTTCATCGCAGCGCTGACATCTCCAAATAAAACTAGATAAAGTCAACCTTGGACTGAACACTCGCAGCTTTAAGAAGCACCCTTCACATCCTGTTGAGATTTCATATCATGAATTTTTTAAAAAGCTTTTCTGATTAATGACGATTTGACTGATAAGACCAAGACTGCTCGCTCAGTTCTGGCAGATCCGTGTCCGGTTTATCCCTGTTCAGATAAGATTCGGCTCAGTGCCCCTTTGACCTCTTGTCCATCAGCACCCACTAACTCTGTTTACAGTCTGTGTCAATTTAAAACACATCATAATAAATATACACATGTACTATTTCAAAGACGGGGAAATCACTGAATCCAATCCAGATCAAAATTTTACATTTTTCATTTTTGTGTCCAAACTATTTCATTTTGTTTGAAGCAGCTGATCAGGTAGTAAAAGCGTCCTCCATGATGAAAAATAAAAACACTTTAATGAATCTCTGTAGTTGCAGACACGGGTCACTTCTTAATCCCTCTATCTGTCTTCTTGCGTCCTTTGCTCAGGTCGTTTCATGGTGTCTTGGCTCCTCTAAGTGAGGACTGAAGGAAAGAGAGACTCAGTCAACACACTTCAGCTGTTAATTAGATAAATTTAATCTAAAGTTAAAATCTTCAAATGTTTCAACAGATCAGTGTGACTTGGTTTGATTCCTGCAGCTCTTTATTTGATATGTAAACATAGCAGAGCTGTGTGAGTCGATATTTTTATTACTGTTAAAAAAGTGAGAGCAAAATACCAACTGCAGCTTCAAGACGCTTCATAACACTTTATTATTAAATCATCATGTAAATATTTATACTGTGTATTGGTATATTGCGCTGTCACAGTGTTTTGAGCTGCTAATCTCTCTGCAAATCAGTGCAGTGAGAGGAACGTGCAGAAATAATCGAGGTCTGTGTGCAGACGAGCAGCGTTTGCTGAAATGTCACACCTCCGCTCAGATCCCTTCATGTCTCTGGTGGAAAGACTTCTGCTGAGGATCCACCTGTGTATCCTCCCTCTGAGCTCCTCCAAAGTGCCTCCTCTCTCCTTGATCCTTATGTCCTTCAGGTGCACCCAAGAAACTGGAGGATCCTTCATCGGTTTCCGGGTCAGTGGAGAAGCAATGAAAGGATGCAAAAATTAACGTGATCTGGATGTCGTAACAGTCCTGCTGCTGGAGGGTCTCACTTCCTGCCCTCGCTTCACATTCAGAAGTTTTAGATGGTACTAGATGTGGTGGAGGAAAAGGAGTGTGAGAGGTTTGAGGGAGATTTGATGTTTATTTCTTTAACATAGCACTAGCCATTTTATTTCACTGTAAAAATCTTTTTAGAAACTTTTATTTTAAAGTACACTACTTCTGGTCATACAGGATTGAATGATAACAGGTTAAAGATGGTTAGTTAATCCAAAAGTTCAGTTGATTTGTAATCTGAAGAGGCTCTGATGATGTTTTTGGATTCACAATCTTGGATGTCAGTTTTTAAAGGTGTTAAATCATCTCTCAGATGGCTGCTAAATACTTCCTTTTTAAAGTGATGGTTAGGCAGTTGCTCTAGAGAGAGGGACCGCAGTAACTCAAGGCCCCTCTTCTGGTTTTAATCTGATTTGGGTATCGGTTAACAGACTGTCACCTGATCACCTTTGGGGCTGGATCAGGTAAAGCACTTCAACCACTAATAACAGGATTCTCAAAGTGATTCAGGAACCTGACGAAGTGTTTTGGGTGATAGAAGAAGAAGAACTTTACTGATCCCTGAAGGGAAATTCAGTAGATATTGATAGAGTGAAAGGTTTACTTTTCTGGTGAGTGTCAGGATCCTGGATTAGTCAGAGGCGCCCTACAGACTAATTTATCCTGCCTTGTAGTGATCCAGCCTGGTTAAGATGAATGAATGGACTAGTTTCTCTGTGTTAGATGGGAGATGTATTTAGTAAAATACTGTAGTCTAGATCAAACTGCTGCATACTTGCATTGGCCCATTGGTGTTTAAATTAAAGGCACTGTGAGGAGTTTTTGACTGGCTGAGAAACAGACTGATACTGGTGCCTCTTTATGACCGTCAAAAGTAAACAAAACTGACAGCAGTGTGGCTTTGTCGCAGTTTTTAACAGCTGGTTTAGGGTCGGTTTCAGGTATCACTTTGTCCACAGGGGGCGCCAGAACCAACACAAACCTCGTTACTCACAGCTGCTTTAAGCTTGAGCCACCCTAAGTTGCATTTTCAAAACAATAATTACTGCAGTGATGCAAATAAGCCCCTCTAGTAGTGCAAAAACATATTTAATATCCTTATTGTAGAGAAACAAAACAGAAACAGTAACTGAAGTACAACAACAACTCAACTTTGGCTCTGTTTTGCACGTCTTGGACCTTTTATTTGGTTTTCTAAATATCTGTTTTGACATTTTCACTGATAGAGTCTGATTTGCATGAAGCCATTTACAGTGAAGCCTTTTCACACGTCATGCAAACTTAATCATGAAGACTTGACCCTCTAACTCAGCTCCAAAACACACATTTATTCACCTTTCACTTCAGAGCTACACACACCTTTGTCCAGAAGATGGCAGTATTGAACCAGCCGCTCATGCAGCCCTGTCCAAATTCTGATCTCATCAAGGAACCAGTCTGAGCGGGCCAGGACAGAGACAAGAGACCTTCACCCACTCCACCCACCACCTCACCCCCTCCACTCCCCTCCCCTCCTCCCTGCCCCGCCTCCCCTCTATTCCCCTCTCTGATATACAGACAGGAGACACCCACAGTGACACCTGTCAGAGCAGATATATTTTTTTTAAAACAGCTTAAATAAATGGAGTGTAAATGCTTCTGTCAATACATGAGTCACTGTAAGCTAACAGTACCAACTGTACCCGAGCTCGGTCTGCAGGAGCTGAAATTCAAAGGATCAGTGCAGACAAACTTTGAGTCGTGTCGTGAGTCTCCTACATCTGAGGAAAAACAGCCAATCATGCACCTTCCACATCTATCTATCTATCTATCTATCTATCTATCTATCTATCTACAAAATACTTGACTGAAAATTTGTTCCTTATCTCTTCGAACCGTCACAGAAAAAAAAAAAAAGATTTAAGAAAAAGATTGAAATTACTCACATTACATTGGACTGAAACTGTCCCACTCGTTCCTGACCTCTATTTTATTTCCATTTCCATCGATCATTTCTTTAATCAGTGAAACAGACGTGTTGAATCAGTGTTTCACTCCTCGAGAAGAAATAACAACCCCCCCCCAAAAAACCATAAAAATACAGAAACTTAAAGCAGACTCACAGTTTATTACATACAGTCTACATACAGTCTCATACACATGGATATATTGGCACATTTTTCAGTGCAAAAATACTTTTGGTTACATGATAGATTAGATCAGCATCAAATGCAACACTAATATGAACTTAAACAGAATTTATATCAGTAATAATCCAATAATTCAGGTTTAGGTTTATGTTATAATTCAGGGTGACCTCATCATTGCCTCACTGATCAGACTGCCTGCAGTGTCTGCAGAAAATTCGTGACATTTCAGTCTCATTAGCTGATGACGATTACTTCAAACTACCTTAAATTAGCTCGGTTAATTGGTCTCTCTGGTGTGCGATGATATCAATTTGTGATGTGGAAAATGTCAGCGTCGTCCCTGATTATGCAGTTTTATCTACATATATATGTTTTTGTGTGATTCATAGCTTTTGCATTGTACTGAAAAAACAAATATACAGTTTCTATATTAAGAAAGGAAATGAGCCAGGTGGACTATACTCTCCAACATGACAGTTAACATGTTTAATTTTGTGGTACAGCTGGACATTTTTATATGGGACTAAATGGGATTTCCTGTTTTTTGTGGTCGGCCTCAAGTGGCCACTGGAGGTACTGCAGTTTTTGCACTTCCACAATGGCCTCCTATTTCTACATCAGAGTAGGGCTGTCCTGATATGAAATTGATATTGGATATCGGTCTGATATCAGCAAAAACAAAATGAATACTGGATTGTATCGGCCAAAAATCTCCAAAATCAGCACTCTGTTATGAGCAGTCCATTCCAGACTCCACTCTGGCACCTCTATCTAGCAGCGCCCTGAACCCACAAAATCACAACAACAGTGTGCACTAAGATACTAACAAAGTAGAGAGGAGTAGGAGTGATGTTGGTCGTGTGGCAGTAGTTTTTGTTTATGTCCAAAAAAGACGTTGCAGCTGAGTGAAAAAGTTGTCATGCACAATTTTGTGCCAATATCGGATCAATATCGGTATCGGTCAGTAATGAAGGCTACAATATCGGTATCGTATCGGAAGTCAAAAAGTCGTATCGGGACACCCCTACATCAGAGGTTTCTGCTTAACTCCTCGCGTTGCTTTGTGGAAAACTCAGCCCACCCATAATGAGTCGACCTGCAGAGGGCGCTCTTGTAGTTTGCGGTTGAAGTATTTAATTTATCTAAAAAAAACTTGTAACAAAAGAGAAAAGTCATGCATAAGTTTGCTGTAATCAGTTTGTATCATTTGTTTAATGCATAAAAATCTGAGGATTAAAGTTGCTAAATTGAGATTTTGGTATGCTGCTGGATTGTTTTCTTCTAATCAGACCAGTCTGTTTGGACTTTTTACTCTTTCTGCTAAACTAAGTGACGCTAACTGACTACTAACACCAAAGTAGACTTAATTTCCTTATCTAACATTCAGATAAAACACTCAGGCTGCTTTAAGTGTGTACCCTAAAGGATTTATGTGCGTAATGTTTCCAAAAATTTGTACTTAACCGTATCAAAAGGAGCCGTATCTTTAACTATAACTCCTGCGTCTAATCACCACCTTCCAGAGAAGTATATTTTTTAGCTGTAAGAAGACACGGCGATGATTCATACTGGTGCTTTTATATGTCACAGTTATGTGTATCATCTAACTTATATAACCGTGCACATTTCAGCCTCTGCACCGCTCTCTCTCTCTCTCCCCCTCTTTGTCCCTCTCTAATTTATTCCACCGCTTTCTTCTGTCACTTTCATGAGTCTCGCTCACAACTTCCTCCTGTTGTTTGAAACACACCCACCTCTCTGTAGTCCATTTGCACCAAATTTTCTCCTCATTTTCCGGCGCCCATGATGACAGCAAAGTCGCTGAGCGCGCCGCCGCTCTGCCTCCAGCTGATCCAGCTCCACCTCAGAACACGACTTCATTAATTAACACATTGAACTGCTCCCTTTTCAAAAGGTCGGTTCCTCCACCCTTCACAACTCCAGGATTTTTTCATGACACATCCTCAGATCAAAGATTCCCTCCTCTTACAGTCTTTTCATTTCAGCGGCAGAATATGTAGACCACACTTTCTCCTCTTCTTGAGCACCTCAGCGGGCTGACTGGACTTTCATGATGTGACACCTTTTAATCATGCGGATATCCAAACAGGATGATGTGATTTTCCTCTCGGCCTCCTGCCGTTCTCGCCTGACTTTTAAGCGCGTGGAATAGATTACCAGAGATCAACTTATTGTGGCCCGTGTGAGAAATGACAGACCTCTGTGTAGGCTGACCCTGACTCAGCTTCCTGCTGCTTACTCAGTGTCTCTAAATGGATTAAGTTGTCAGTCGGACAGCCCATCTGAGATTTTTAATATCCAGCCTGAGGTATATCAAGCAACCGGCTGCCAAACGGCATCAGAGGGATTTACTTCTGGTTTTTATTGCAACTTTTTCTCCCTCTCCCTCTCCCTCTCTCGCTCTTTTCTCATCTAAGATATGGTCGTGCCCTCTCTCATTCCTCGGGGGTGTTTCGCTTGTGCATTAATAACACGTTGAGGAGATTGAATGAAAATATATTCCATAAACTCCAGCAAAAGAAATAGATCTTACACCTTAAGAGTAAAATTCATTGCACTTGGGAGGTAGAGAGGTAAGAAGAGTCTAATTAACCGCTTTATTAGCTGATGTTACAGTTTAGCATCCCGGGCCTCTTTTTTACATTACATAACATTCATTTACATTCAGGTGGGTCTATTTATGCTCTGATCCGAACACTGAACCGAACTCAAAACGAGATTAATCAGAGAAATAAAAAGGGGGACTGTGAACGAGGTTTGAGCGCTGTCTACTTTAGTGACTGAATAAAAAGAAAAATGATTCATACAGATATTATAATAAATGTTTTATAGAAAAATCAAAAAATCAGCTCTCTGATTGGACTTTTTTTCGAAACATATGGGCGGAGTCAGACGTGGGCGGAGTCTTCCTGCAAATAGATATTCAAATGAAGAACCTGCTTTACTTATTCAACTTATTAAACACATATTAGGGTCAAGTGTCATTTTAGAAAATGGATAAACTAATGGAATCCTTTTTTCACCTTTTTATGATGTCCAAAACACAAACAAGACCATCAGCGGCAGGATTTATGTCTGATTTGTCCACAGGGGGCGCCAAACCTGACACAAAGTTTGGCATTCTAGATGTTAAATTTCACAGTGTCCTATACCAAATCAAGAAAACACATTAAATATATCAAACATTTATTATGTATTGCATCGACCTGACTATCTGGTGACCTTAGAATTAAGACCCAGATTGTCCTCTAAATGAAACAAAATGTGATCTTAAGTGTAAATTAAACATGTTGTTGTTTTAATGTTGTAACAAGTACAATGACCTAAAGTAACCTTTCCAATCAGATGGATGTGTGACCACCATCACTCTTTCGTGCTCTCGTGAATCTCAGACAACTTTTTGGAGCTCGTCATCTTCAGATATTTCTCAGTTGTTTGACACTTGTTTGGTTTCACTGCACTTAAGAAACCCTCCAGAAACCCGCCTCAGTTATCGGTTAACTCGTCCTACTTTTGTGCGTTTTTGCTCACTGTGTCGATCTTTGAGTGACGGCTCGACTCAGTCATGAGGGGTTGATGTTTCTGCAGATAAGATGGAAATGAGCCCAATTTTCTAAAGTGTCTTAAAAGAAATACACCCTGTTTTATATTTGAATCACTATGAGTAATTGATATGAATGTTTTTACAACTTTGTCAGTCCTGTGCTAACTCATATTTTTATTTTTTTACATTAAATCACAAACCCTCTTTGCCACAACAACTTGTCTTTGATTGTTCCAAGTACTTTCATCACTTTTAAGCTGATTTTACGTTTTGAGGTCCAAAAGCAGGGTTACAGAGGTGCACCTTATTATCTTTATTGCTTTTAATTTTACTGGCAGTTGAGACATAAGCTGTCTGTGCATTTCTGACGCCCACAGATCAGGAGCATCAGGAGACGTGATACTAAAATAATCAGGGAAAGAGACGATCAGGACACAACCTCACCTTACCTTACCTTCTCCACCTCCCATGCCCCGCCCACAAAGCCACAGTCAGTGTGGTTCAGCCCTGATATGTTTATCTTTGTATTCGCAGCACTAAGTTCAGAGCTAAACGACACTTCTGTCACAATGGCTAGTTCTGAATCATTACAAAGATGAACTTTTCCACACGCTGCCAGAATTAGATCATCAACAACCCAAATTAAACTCTTTCACCGACAATAAACAATGACTTTGGGCACAAAAGATACAAGGCCATCAAAACTTGGCTCGGGGACGTTGCTGGAGCCGAGTGTAGCCAGCCAAATAGTCGCCATATGACTTTTCTTGGGATTAGTTTGAGGAATTAAAAGCCTAATTTTCAGAATAAATACCAGAGTGTAACCATGCCCGACTCATATCCAGTATTAGGAGAGCAAACAGAGGCACTTTTGGATGATGCTGTAGTCTGATACTGTTTTGATGTGCTCTATCACGTGCATTTACTTGAATCCCTGCAGCTCAAATAGGCTATTGTGAATTTGGTAACCAGCAGCATTAGCGGCTTAATGGATGAGGGCAGAAACACGGCGCTGACCAGAAGTTTATTGACCTTAATTCAGAGGACACACGGCTCATTGGAGCGAAAGTGACACCCACCTCTCTGTGTATCCTATAACTGCCCATTTCAGTCCCTTCCCAGGATTCAGTCTCTTTGAACGGACCTTGAACACTTCCTTGACTTCCTCTGTCCGTGGTGCTGAAGTGCCGTCCACGGTGCCTGAATGTTAAACAGTACAGTGTGGGCAGTACAGGGAAGGGGGAGCAGAGTGAGGAGTGTGACAGTGTGCTTGGACCGATTTCATCACA